CCCGCAGTTTGGCCACGGACTTCAACGATAACCCAGAAAAGGCATCTCGCCCATTCGACGCTGACCGCCGCGGTTTCGTCGTCGGCGAAGGTGCAGCCGTGATGATACTCGAGGTAAGTCCATGCTATCAAATCAGTTGTGGCAAAAATACTGACGCATGGGTCCAGGAACTGGAACACGCTCGTGCTAGAGGCGCAAATATCTACGCCGAACTCAAAGGATACGCCTGTTCCAGCGACGCACACCACATGACAGCCCCTAAAGAAAACGGCGAGGGCGCCTACATGGCAATGAAAAAGGCATTGAAACAAGCCCAGCTGCCCCCATCAGCCGTCGACTATATCAACGCGCATGCAACTTCAACAATTGTTGGCGATTCCGCTGAAAATGCCGCTATCAAGTCCCTTCTCCTAGGACCGAATGGTAAGCAGAAGGCAGCAGATGTCAATGTGAGCAGCACCAAGGGCGCTATTGGTCATCTTCTCGGCGGCGCGGGCGCTGTTGAGGCGGTGTTCAGTGTTCTTGCTATCCAAGATGTGAGTATCTCAACAAGAATAAAGAGATATGATATACTGACAGTTTTATAGGGTGTTATGCCGCCTACTATTAATCTGAATCGCCTGGCGGATGGGTTCGATTGTAATTATGCGCCTCATCATGCGCAGCAGCGGAAGATCGATGTTGTTTTGACAAACAGCTTTGGATTTGGAGGGACAAACAGCTCGCTTTGCTTTGCGAAGCTTAAAAAGTAGAGAGATAATCATGTACCATATTGCCATGTTTTGAGCGTGTACCATATTCGACATCGATGCTTTAGACAGTGGGTTTTTGCCATTCTATCATGTCTACTTTCAGTCTTAAACTGTCTGTCTATCTGGAATGAACCTCAACCTTTCCTTTTATTCTTGAAGTTGACGTTTCTTGTGTCGCCTGCCCATAGCGAGAGAGGCACGTGACTCACCAAATGCGGAGCCCCAGCCGACGTCAATCCCGGAGTCCAATGTGTACACCACCCGATTTGATCCACCCTGGCGCAACCAAATTCCCTAAAATAGTGCCAGCGAGCAAATCTCAGTCTCAGGGCCCCTCCATTTTGCCCTCACCATGGCGACGAACGGCAACTCCGGTCGAGGTAAGCGTCAACCCGATCCCCTCGAGCGCGACTTTGGAAACCGCGCTGGGATGAAATACCGATGGACGAGGGGTCTGCAATGGAATAAGAGCTAACTATTTGATCGCGTGACAGGATCGGGTAGCCTTGTTGATGCATCAGGCTATAAATTTACTGATAAGGATACGAAGCCGGGGAAGATGAAGGTTAAGAAGACGTCCAAGGTCTTGGCGAAGAAGAAGGCGGATGGTATGCACCTTTCCATGGCGCTGTCATATTTGCTCAGAGCTTACTTTCTCTTTGTGCAGATGCTAAGGACGGTCCCCTCGATACTTCGCCTAATTCTTCACCTCTACCCAGGCTGGATGACAAGATTGCGGCCTCGTTTCCTACCGGTAAACCGCACCAGGAGGATCTGCTGGAGACCATTATCTGCAAGCATTGCAAGCGACCAGTGCTGAAATCCAGCGCGTCGGAGCATATTCGTGGCTGTTTGAAGGCGAAGCAAGAGAAAGCGCGCAAAAAGAAGGAGGCACGCGACGCGGCCAACCGAGCGAAAGCTGGTGACGACGACGACTTTCGTGATAAAGTGGATATTGGTGATGACGTGATGACCGGCCAGAAGAGCGCCAAGAAGAGCGCTGTCAAGGCAACCGAGGACCACAAGAAGGGAAAGAAGCGCAAGGCTGACGAAGACGACAAGGAGCCTAAGAAAAAGAAGAAGAAGGATGAGCCTAAGGCTAAGAATACGAAGGCTAAGGGTCCCGTTGATGTTGAGAAGCAGTGCGGTGTTACATTGCCCAATGGTGCTCAATGTGCTCGCTCTTTGACTTGCAAGAGCCATTCCATGGGTGCCAAGCGCGCGGTGCCTGGCCGTTCGCTACCATATGATATGCTGCTCCAGCAGTATCAGAAGAAGAACCAGGCTCGTCAGCAAAGTAAGATATTTGCCGAGAATTTTTGTGATGGTCAGACAGCTAACATTTTCTACAGAGGCTGCCATCGATGCCAATGCGCCTTTGCAAGAGGACATTGAAACCAATGGACCAGTCGACTCTGATGAAGAGCGCGACTCGGTTATGGCTGCTATTGCACGCTCCAAGCCAAAGCCTCTGGCCGAACACACCCTAATCAACTCCAAATCCAAGTACCGCTATGTGCGAATCAAGGAACAGATGCTCCACGCTATTGGCGGACGCGGAGGCGGCGGGCTCTTCTCCACAGACGACAGTCAACCTTTATTTGGAGGAAGTATTTTCCAGCCCTTCGACCCCAACGTGGACGCATCCTCATCCCCAATGCTTCCCGGTGCAGAATCAGTGGATGCCGACGGGTCCAGGAGAACCCCAGTACAGGGCACGCGCAAAACTCCCGTGGCGATGGCTTCGTAAGGTGCTTGCCGCTTGTGATGATTTTATGACTTTTGGGATTTTGGGTGCTTCGCTTTCTCGGCCTTCATGGTGCAGATGCTGGCGTTTAGGGCGTAGGATCCGATACATCCTTTTTCGCTCGTCTGGTTCTTTTTGATGACTTGGATGGGCTGGAACAGGCTGGTTCTGTTTTCTTTTGGTGATGATATGATACCCCGGCTGGTGATATGTTTCACTCAGTAACTATTTTGCAATGGATGTTTGTTCTTGATTCATCTTTATGGGTAAATCTGTATCTCGGTGTTCTTCCATATACTCATATTCCTGGGTTCTCAGCGTAAGGCCTGTACACTCGACCTCGATCAACCGTGATATCACATGACAGCCGCATAGGGCACCAAGGCTGTCAGGCATCAAGGCATCAAGGCATCCAGGCATCCAGGCAGCAGGCAATCTATCCCAGCTCCGCCGTTATCCCAGCTCCGCCGCACGTTGTTTGAGACCTTCAACCATGTCGCAAGCCTGATTTGACTGCTCAGTCGAGCTTCTCTCACAGTGAATCCATCTTTGAAGCAGAATAGAACTCATAGACCATTGCGTGGGCGCGCGCCCTTCGCCTTCGCCTCCAATTTACAGCGACCTCCCAAAGCCTTGCTCCCACCCTGATTCTCCAGCGCCCCTCGAGGCAGTCTTCGGATTGCCAGAAAGTGTTTGCGAGCTTCCTACAACTCGATTCGCCCACCCTCTCCAATATCTCACAATGAGTCACGCCGTCCCCGATCTCGACGTGATAGGCATCAAAGCCGATTACGACCTCGCCGACCAGTTCCGTCGTGAAGTAGCCCAGCTCCTCGGCCGCACCAATCTCAATTTTCCCGGCGCGCAACCCGTCAGCTTCTCGTCGAAACACCTAACGGAACTTCAAAAGGAGGATTACTATGTCTGTGAAAAGACGGACGGCATTCGGTGTCTGATGTACTTTGCGCGCGGGGATGATGTCGAGCACCCTGAAATCCACTACCTGATCGATCGGAAGAATGAATATCGCTTTGTCCCGGGCTTGCATTTCCCTCTACCAGATGACGACACGTTCCAATCATTTCACGTCGACACGCTGGTGGACGGCGAGCTGGTCAACGATACCTACCCAGACGGCACGCATCAGCTCAAGTTCCTAGTCTTCGACTGTCTCGTGCTAGACGGACAGAGTTTGATGCACCGCACACTTGACAAGCGACTTGCCTATTTTAAAGTGAAAGTGCTCGAGCCCTACAGGGCCATGTACCGCAAATTCCCCGAAGAAAAGGCCCATCGGCCCTTCGCAGTCGAAGACAAGTCTACGCAGTTCAGCTACGGCATCGAGATGATGTTCCGCGAGATTATCCCCAAAGTAAAACAGATTCATGGAAATGATGGTCTGATTTTCACCTGCCGCAGCACACCCTACCGCATCGGCACAGACGAACACATCCTGAAATGGAAGCCTCCGTCCGAAAATACCGTCGACTTCCGCATGCGCCTTGAATTCCCCATCCTGGAGCCCGACACCGAGGACGAGACGGACGGCATCTCCACCCCATACCCAGACTACGACGCCATCCCCATCTGCCATCTATTCGTCATGCTCAACGCAGGCGAGTACCGCCATTGGGGCGAGATGCACATCACCCCGACAGAATGGGAAGATCTCAAAGCTCTGCGTGTCCCGCTCGACGATTCCATCGTCGAATGCTCCAAAGATGAACACGGACATTGGCGCTACCACCGTCTTCGCACCGACAAAATGGATGCGAATCACATTTCTACAGTCGAGAAAGTTCTCGAGAGTATCGAAGACCGCGTCACAGAAGACGATCTGATCCGCATTGCCCCTGCTATCAAAAATGCGTGGAAGAAGCGCGCTTCCATGGGGTCCGGCGAGGGCAAGCCGCGTGCAATGTCATCAATGAATGGGAATGGAGTTAAGCGGAAATTCGAGGAGTGATGAAAGACAGCTCTTTCATCTCTTTCCTGGGTTATGCATCATTTGCAAGGCGCCCGGTGTTGGTTTGTTTCTATTTTCTGTGGAGCTGAGCATGAAAAGATCTCAGTGCAATAAGGTGGATGTAAAGACGGTGTTTATGGCCTTTGGACTCGGTCCTTTCTCTTTGAGTTGAAATGTATTACCTGCCTATAGCCTGGGATAGGACCTAAACGCTCGGATGCCTCCAGGAATTGTATTTTAATGCCGCAAATGCCTGTTTTAAAGCTGAAATCCTTGTAGCTCTGAGTTCCGTGACAAGACTCTCTCATTAAACATCATCTCTGGCCAAGTAGCTGCTCCGCGACGCCTACAGCTAGGCCAGGAATATTATACAAGTGGTCCTAAACAGGCGGCCGTGACTGACCACACGTGTGATATTCAGAGCCATCTGGAGGGATACCCTGGAAAATGAGTTAAAAGGGCTTTAAATATGTCTAAACAAAGGTGCCCAGAAAGAGGTCGAGGGAAAGCTGAAGAAACAAATGTAGAGTCCCCATTATATTATCTTCTCTTCGCAATGATCAGAGCCCACTATCCTCGCGAACCGCATCGTCGAAAGAAGATTTTCAGCCGCATTCGAATGAGCATGGATTGTACCACCATGGAACAACTTTGTAGCATCCCTACCAATATATTCCAGTAAGAACTTCTCTCCACCGGGATGACGACCCACAAAGTCCTCAACATCATGAGCGACACCGTCGATGACAAGCAAAAAACGCCCATTCTTGACATGCTCAGCGTACTCGTCAAAGCTCAAGATCGGAAGCTCATTGATCAGAGTCGCCCAAGAAATCTCCTGACGCTGGAGTTCCAATTGTCGTTGAGCCTGCTGGAATTTTCCCTTTTGGATCTCATTTTCTGGGAATCGTTTCAGGTCCGAGGCAAGGTTGACTTTCTCACAGAGCCAGATGAACCATTTCGTAGGATCCCATTGAAACCACCTGATCCCATTGCGATAGTCGATCGGAAACTCATGATGGAAATTATGATACCCCTCTCCCCAAGTAATGAGCGCAACAAACCAGCAATTTCTCGGCGAAAGACGACTTGCAAAAGGCTGATCCCCAACCCAATGCGCGAGAGAGTTGACACAGAACGTCCCCTGCTGGATTATGAACAAACGGATGCAACTCGCCCATATGAACCCTCCGGCAAAGTCGCCATACTTATAGCCGCAGAATAAAGTAGGGAATACATAAACAGTCAGAAATAGCAGTGCCAGGTAGTATTTACGCTGCCACATGACGATCGGATCACTCGTGAGATCTTGCAAGTCCACCCGGCCTGTTTGCTCGGGTTTCCGTCTAATGACGACCCATCCATAATGGGAATAGAATAGGCCCTTTTGAGCAGAGTAGGGATCTCTATCGGTGTCCGTATAACGATGGTGTGCTCGATGGTCTCTACACCATGTCCTAATAGAGGCTTGTCCCGCACTAGCGCCTAGGATTGCTAGGGCAATTTTCAAGAAGGTCCCGGCCTTATAGGCCCGGTGAGCCCACAAACGGTGATACCCTGGGTTGTTGGTCAATGTATAGTCCCGATATGGAATATATAAGTGAGAGACACTTTACCTGCAGTGACACTGATGCCAGAGCATGTTGCATACATGGCGGCAAAAATTGCGGTCTGAGATTGTAGTGGTACCCATAGAATGCCAAAAATTATTGCGATGATGGGGATTCCGCCTGTGAACCATAGAATAATCCAGTGGATTCGGTGACTCAGGGCCCTCATGTCTCTTATCACCTTGCTCAGGGTGGACATAGGGTAAGGGGCGGCCATTCTGACAGTACAAACTAAGGTAAAAGCAATGTTAGAGAGGAATAAGGGCCCGAGAGATGGGATGTTTATGAGACAATTCATACAAATCGACCGGTGTTTTGATATGGTCGTATGAGCTTGCTTCTCGCCGGCTCTCAACGAGAAAAGGAGAACAAACGGCAAAAGAAGGGCTTTGAGAACTAATTCAAGATCAACAAGGAAGATGTGAGAGATCAATCTAACTGAGAAAGCCTGGGGTCCTATAGAAAAGAAACGTTGTCCCCGGTCGTCCTGAAATTAATAGTCCCGACGCCACGCAACGCCGGCATTCTGCAAGATGCAAGATAGCTTATTCATTATTTAACAGGGGTCTCAGAGGCCTTGTATAAGTATCGCAACGTTGATCTAGTTTTTGGAAGGTTTGGTGGCGCCAATCTATTGTGTATTGTTTTTCAGAATCCATGAACGGCATCTACAAGTGAGAGAAGATTCCATCGGATAGTGCTCTTGAGGCATACTATTAGAAAGTTAGATTAAATTCATCCGGCCTCGTGGTTCCTGTCAAAGCTGAGTACTTTACTGATTGTTCTGTACTTTAAACTAAGTGGCTTTGCTTCTATCACATCTTCCCAAGCAAGGGACCCATGCAGTGTCAGTCACAGAATGAAATTATGATCCGCGCACGCAGTGATTCAATAGTCAGACAGATCTGCATGAAATGAAAAGTAAGATATTTAGATTAATCACAAAGGGTTCCCCAATGTTGTTGACGCGCCCACTTTCCGATTATCCCATCTTGTGAAGTCAACAAGATGGAGACGCCAACCTCGGAATTCGAACATGAGAGCGACAAGAAACAGGGATTCGTCGTTGAACAGGTCATCGAGAGTCAGCCCAAGTTCTCGATTTCGAAACAGGATGGGTTGATCCTTCTGGCAATGGCCAGTCTGAGCTTGATGGCAGCGCTGGACGGGACGTCTATCTCGGTTGCTCTGCCGGTATCGCATCTGAGTCCTTTCTGTATAACCTTATTGTTGACACGAAGTGCATCTAGACCATGTCTCATGAGCTGGGCGGAACCACAATAGAAGCATTTTGGACAGGAACCTCCTTTACACTTTGTTCCGCAGGTGCGTCAATGACAACTGATATAGAGCCCATACTAAATGAACATCAATTCAGTCTTCCAGCCGGTATTCTCGTCATTGTCGGATTTGTTCGGTCGAAAACCATTGGTGCTTGTCGCGATAGCATGGTTCACCATCGGAGCAATCGTGGCTGGAGTCGCCAATAACTTCACCCACATGCTCATCGGTCGGTCTTTGCAGGGCGTTGGAGGAGGGGGAATCATCACCCTCACCGGTATCCTCATCGCAGATATTGTGCCTCTCAGTGAAAGAGCAAAATACTTTGGAATGCTCAGCGCGATTTGGAGCTTGGGAACAGTGGTAGGACCTGTCATTGGGGGCTGCTTTGCAGAGAAAGTCACATGGGTAGGAAGGTTTCTTTCCATCTTATGGCTTTTAATAACAATTTATCCCTAGCGGTGGATCTTCTATATCAATTTCCCTTTCATAGGAATCGGGGCGATCCTGGTCGCTTGGTCGTCTAGCTTACGGATCCGGAAGGCCTCTTTCACTGCGCAGGTGCGAAAGATTGATTTCATTGGGATCGCACTGTTTGTTCCAAGTTCCGCTTCATTCTTGATACCCTTGACCTGGGGAGGTGTCTTGTACCCCTGGGACTCATGGCACACCCTGGTGCCATTGATTATCGGGTCAGTCGGACTCGGCGTGTTCGCGATCTATGAGTGGAGATTTGCGCAACAACCAATGATCCCACCAGCGATCTTTCGCAATCGAACAGCCCTCATATCATTCGCGGGCTATGCAGTCGTTGGCCTACTCGTCTGGTGCTGTCTGTATTTCCTTCCCCTCTACTACGAAGCCGTGAAAGGATTCAAACCTATCATGTCCGGAATTGCCCTTTTCCCCGAGACATTCACTGTCGCCCCAAGTGGAGTGATTGTCGGCCTTATTATCAGTCGAACGGGTCAGTACTACTGGGCCGTTTGTATCGGGTGGTTTCTCTCGACTATTGGAACGGGCCTGTTATGTCTATTGGATGTCAACACCGGCACCATCACCTGGATATTCTTGAATCTCGTGCCTGGCGTCGGCATTGGGATGATCCTCCCCTCCGTCGCACTAGCAGTGCAAGCATCCGCAACGGCTGAGAATCTCGCGATCGCAGTGGCAACATCCACTTCCTTCCGAGGCTTTGGACAGTCTATCGGTGTGGCGATCGGGGGCGTAATCTTTCAGAACCGAATGAAGAGCAATCTATTGCAGTATTCTACACTACGGCCATTGGCGGATAAATACAGTGGCAATGCGGCTGGCGCGGTGAACATGATCAGGGAGATGCATGATGACCTGGTCAAAGGGGATCTTAAGCAGGCTTATGCTGATAGCCTGAAGATTGTGTGGGCATTTTGTTGTGGTATTTCGGGGTTGATGTTTTTCATCAGTCTATTTACAAAGTCTTACGATTTGAACCGGACTCTTGTTACGAAGCAAGGCCCTGAAAAGGCGGAGGTACATGAGCAAGAGAGCGAGGCTGTTCATGGTTGATGCCAACCCTATCCTCCTCGGATTGGGATCACGAAGGAAATGGAAGAGCGGATAAGATGTACAATTAGCCAACGAGTAGACAGTCTAATTAGTCCCATACATTTTCAATTTTAGGTTGGCATGCAGTGAAAGTCGAAAACAGAGAGCGGTACTTTCGCGGAGATGGGAGTGTCTCGCAGTTTCGCGCGTATACAATACCGGAGATAATGCGACAGACCCAGAAATAAAGGTGTCTTTTCTAAGAATGGGGCTATTTGAGACTTTCCAGGGACTGAGTAGCCGTGTTTCTTAAGTACGACCCGAGAAACAATGCGTGTGGCCAGAAGAGAATATATTTTCGGCTCTTACTATGCGCTCTAGATTGAGGCATATAGATGAATGTCGCACCGCCTTTGAGAAGGTCATGATATAACTGAATATTTGATTCACGTGTATCAATCCTGGGTAGTCTGAAAACCAACCCGCAGAGCCTCAATGGAAATCACATCAGCGGCCCAGAATATCCAAAAGACCTTTCTCTTCCAAATGAAGCTCCTCGTCTAGCTTGACCCATAGTTTTGACCTAGAATCAGGGTCATTACAATGCCACTGCTGCGACGCTTCCCAAATACGATTGATATACAGTCCCCCGCCTCTACCGTTCTCCGCGCCCACACCCTGCTTCTTAGGATCCGGCCCAAACTCAGGACTAGTAGCCGCATGGGTAATAGCCAAGCTACCCTGCTGTGAATTGATGGCAACATAGTGTAAGAGGAAATCCAGAACTGAGCGAGGACCAGACCCAAGTATACTCTCGAGGTTTTTCCAGATACCCGAGGCAACGAAACCGGGGTGAAGGCCGTTGATCGTGATGTGGAGGTACTCGGGATGCTTGAGGAGCCGAGATTGCAGCTCTGCAACCCAAATCTGGAAATAGAGCTTGTTATTCGCATAGGGATTGCCGCTCATCTCTGGGCCGCCGTTGAAGTGCTCCAGATCAAAGTAGCCGAGGTGGTGTAAGCATGAAGTTGAGCAGATTATGCGAGGCTGCGAGCTGCGAGCTAGAGACGGAAGGAGTCGGAGAGTCAGTAGAACATGAGACAAAAAGTTGACCTAAAAGTTTAGTTTGGCTTCGCGGATTCAGATCAAGAATAAGACGAACCTGGTGAACCAGCTGGAACCCATCCGTCGTCATCGTCAAGTCATTGTGTGCGGAAGACGCAAGGCCAGCATTGTTACAGAGGATATCCAAAGCGCGATCAGTTTCCAACCATCTTCGACAGAAAATCTCGATGCTGTTGAGATCGGCCATGTCAATCTCCCACCATTCGATCGTGGATGAATGACCGTGCGCCTCGGCGATGTCCTTGCATTCCTTGAGGGCGGCTGTAGGATGCAGCTCCCACGCAGGCGGCTCACGGCAGGCGAGAATTAGATTCGCACCCCATGCTGCGAAGGATTTGGCAGCTTCAAATCCAACGCCATTATTGGAACCGGATATGATTATCCATTTCCCTGTCAGATCGGTGCCGGGGACGTGTTGCTCGGTAAGGAAGGTGCTATTTGTTCCCCTCAAGCCTTGGAGGAGATCGTAGAGACGATACAACGGTGATAGAAGGGCAGCCATCGTGATGCTAGATGGATATCAAAGGTAAAGAAAAGGGATCCAACATGAGTTGAGGTTGGGAAACAACGCTATGCCTCAAGCGGCTTATCCCCGCTCAGGATCCTTGATGTCAGCTTTGAGGTAATAGCGTTGCCTGGGCCCAAAGCGTCAGGGTATTTGTGAACCTCCGAGGTCGAATAGCGCTGTCATCAGGAGGCACCAAAGTTCTGCCTGAGGTGACTAAAGCTCATGTGGAGAACATCGCCGACCCCGCAACATTAGCATCCGCCACCTTCAAATTCAGCCTCAGCTGCTCTCCAACTCGAACTCCTACTCTTCTCTACACTCAACATACTCCACAATGACCGACTCACCGGATGTGCCAAACTCCCAAAAGGCCTTTGTGCCTCTCGGTACGTTGCCTCCCCTCCTACCCGTCAATACAAAACTAACAACCACCAGAAAACAACCCCGAAGTAATGTCCCACCTAGTCCATCAACTTGGTCTCCCACCAAACTTCGGCTTCACCGACGTATTCTCAATCGACGAACCCGATCTCTTAGCCTTCGTCCCTCGCCCCTCCCACGCCCTCCTCCTCGTCTTCCCAGTAAGCTCCACATACGAAGCATCTCGTACAAAAGAAGACAGCACCCTCCCCGAATACACCGGCACGGGCCCTTCTGAACCCGTAACCTGGTTCAAGCAAACAATCCGCAACGCCTGCGGTCTCATCGGCCTCCTCCACGCCGTGGCGAACGGCGAACCCCGACAACACATCACGCCCGGTTCGGACCTCGATACTCTGCTGCGCGAAGCAGAGAACCTGACACCTATTGCGCGGGCGGATCTACTGTACGACAGTAAGGCGCTTGAGAGTGCGCATGCCAATGCGGCGAGGTTGGGGGATACGGCGGCGCCGGAGGCAGAGGATAGTGTTGATTTGCATTTTGTGGCGTTTGCTAAGGCGGGTGGACAGCTTTGGGAGCTTGACGGGAGGCGGAAAGGGCCTCTGGCTAGGGGGGCGCTTGGAGAGGATGAAGATGCTTTGAGTGAGAAGGCGCTTGGATTGGGCGTTAGGAGGTTTTTGAGTACGGAGGCGGCTGGGGGAAATCCGGACTTGAGGTTTAGTCTGGTTAGCTTGGGTCCTGTGTTTGATTAGAGGTCTGTATTGTCAGTTGAGATTAAGGGCTACGTTCCCTAGAACCGGTTGATCTTCATTGAAGCAAAATTGTGCTTCATTGCTCATGCAGTCTATATCTATTAACTATCTATATATTCGGATATACGCCGAGGAAGCAGATTATCGCTTTGGCTCAATCTCCTGGCCAAGCTATTTCCCCTAAAAGCATTATTACTTGTCGAAAATCTCCGTTGGAGTCCCGACTCTAGTCTCAGAAGTCGAATCATCGACAATAACTCTCTTCTCATCTTCGACACCCCTCGTCACAGACTGATCCGGCTCCGGGGGGAACCCCCCTGAGTCCCTAGCGTCAAAAATGGCACCAAGAAAAGTGAAATACCAGCTGCTGCCGCAGCATACCAGTAAACGGCCAAATAAGGCCTAATGGCCGGAGTCGAGGCGGTCATCTGATTCGCAATAGCACTATTGACCGATGTAGCAATACCAAGACCAAGATTGTTGCAAAGCTTGGAAACGGTATTGAAGATACCACCGGCAATAGACTGCTGCGAAGGAGGCAGCGAAGACATGACATACATGTTTGTCACATTGAACTGGATATCGGCGCCGACGACGACGAGGACGAGAGCCGGGAAGATGTATGCCCAGTAGATGGCATCTTCTTTCATGAAGCTGAGAATCAAGAAGGAGGCTGTGTATGCCAGGGCACCGATGCCGGTCAAGAGCTTGTTGCTGACGCGGTGCAGGACGAGTCCACAGACTACATTGACCAGCACACCGCTGACGACCATTGGGAGAAGGCGAACAGTGATGTCGAGAGCAGTTAGGTTCTTCACTTCTTGCAGATAGAGTGAGAGATAGAAGGTGACTGCCGAGAAGCCCATAAAGCCAAGACAAAATGTCGCCATAAGAAGAGAAAAGTTGCGGTCTTTCCATACCCACAGTGGCATCAAAGGGTTTTTAGCGATCGATTGCCAGTATAGGAATCCACACAGAAGGAAAAATCCAACGATGAACAACGCCAGAACGTAGCCAGTGCGCCAACCGTCGACAGCATCTCCTGCTAATCTATAGAACAGTCAGTAAACCATCCGAACAAAGGCCAGAAAGTACTCACGACAGCGAACTCGAGAAGAACGCAAACCCAACAATGACCAATGCAGTTCCCAGCAAATCAAAGCTCCTAAGCGCGTCCATACTAACCGGCGTCCTCGTAAATCCATCAGCCGGCACAGTCCAAACCGTCAACACCGTAAATATAGCATAAATTACAGCCAGAGCCCAAAAAGACGCCCGCCAATTATACTCATGCGACGCAACACCCGAAATAATCATGCCGCCCACGAATCCAAGCGGGTTTCCAGCACTGAAGCACGCAAACGCGCGATTCTTGCGCTTCGATGGCTTTTCATAGACCGCTCCGAGGGCGCCAACAGCTGGTGGAACTACAGCCGCGGCGAAAATGCCCAGAATGCCAGAGAAGACATCCATGTAGATAGCGTTCGTCGCGAAGCCCGCAATCAAGAGCGAGATAGTGAATCCAGCCATACCGATAATAAAGAGACTTTTGCGGCCGAACATATCAGCCAGTTTGCCAAATGTCAGAAGAAAAGCGCCGCTGCTTAGACTGTGACGGAAGGAATTAGCTTGTCGCATGGTTTTTATCGCCATCATCTCGCGAGCTTCAAAAGCTTCAGAAAGAAGAAACTCACGAAGCGCCTGCATTAATCCACGTAATCTCTGCAGAATTCATCGCCAAATCTTTCCCTATACTCGCCGTCACGCCAACGATACACCCCTGGAAGAAAGACTGCTGTCCAATGGCCATAGTCGCCGTCAAAACGAACAGACACTCTTGGAAAGTGGAGCTAAAGCATTTCGGTCGCGATGCATGGTCAAGTTGCTCGTCCGTCGCGAGTGTGACCTCTGGTCCCTTTTCATGATCGTTTTCACCCATGCTGAAGGCTCAATTCGGCTGTCCAATGCAGCGAAGGTCCAGAGCAGTGCAAGAGGGAGGGTCGGAAATGCCGAGATTTTGCCTTTGATTGCGACAGCGGAACCGGGGGGGGGGAAATTGGGGCTCACGGGTGGGTTATATTCGGGGGTTCCTAGTGCTAAGTGGGGGCTTCCATTGTGTTTTATATTTATTTTTTCTTAATGGATGTATTCTCCTGTTTACTCGGTTACATTTGCAGATCTGCGACTTGCATTACGGACTCACCGCAAGTGCAAGTGCTGAAAAATCGACCTTTGTCAGCGGCGGGTGAGTTCCGCGATTATGAGGACTTTGTTGGCTTTGGGGTTAGCGCCGAACGCGGCTATGATGGTAAGATGGAATCCATTGGCTTGGGTATGGGGCGAACACGACCGTGTTACAAAGATGGGATTCATTGGTTTGCCTCTGAGAAGGAAGGGAATCATTAATAATTTCAACGGACACGGAGCATCATAGTAGTCATTGCGGTGAGATTCGAGATGCTAAGATTGAGTTCATTGGCTTTCAGTCCAAGGTCAACCCACTCGCACCACTGGAGCTGAATCTGTTCGCTTGATTCCAGGGAGATTCAAACTAACAATTGCACCATCATGTGAGAGTAGAGCGATAGTTAGATTAAAATCTTCGTCCAGGTTCATGAAACCTTGTTGATAAGTCTACACGTGGATGATCCAGACGTCAATAGAGACCATAGTCATTCAGGAGTATATGTCTCACCCCTCAACCCAACACTCCCTAGCATTAAATTTAATCACCTCATTCCCAGCCGCGCACCACCCCGCCGTCAAGTTCCTCGCAAAGACCTCGAGCGCAGTATACTGTTGTACACTCCCATCCCGTGCGAAGAACAACCGCTCAAATAACCCTTTCAAGTTAGGCTTCCGCGAGTGGAGATCTGGGACTGCAGCGATGAATCGTCTTTTGGGGACACAGGGATCGGGTTCAAGTGATTTGCATGAAGAGAAAGGGATCTCCGGCTCTGGCACTGTTACTGATACTGGCTCTCGTCGACCGATAACCAGTATCTCATATGGTTTTCTCCAAAGCCCATTTACTGGAGAAACAGGGTCCCCGTTAGCGGTGATTTTTATCCAGATCCATTCTTCGACGACAGTGAAGCCCGTGCTGGTTAGGGAGTCATAGGCTGTTTGGCGGGATTTTTCGGAATTTGTTGTCCAGATTCCTGCGAGGGATAATTGGCTTTGTGGATAGCGGTATAAATTATTGAGTGGGGGTGTTTGATCCGAAGTGAATGCGTGCATGTGGAGAATATCTTGGAGTCGTTGGGTGAGGAGCTCGTACGGGTGTGTGCTGTAGTGGCCGCTGCGACGGACGGAGCGGTTTGGCCATGGTGGGTCGAAAAGGACGAGATTGAATTTCTGGGTTGAGGGGAGACCTGTGATTGGGAAGGTGGATTTGGGGCGTGGTTCTGATATGGGGATTGTACAGAGTATGAATTGGGATTCTGGAGGGATGATATACTCAGATGGAGCGGGTTCAATTCCATCGTGACAGTCAGCCTTCAGTAAAGCTGGTTGAGACGATGGATTTCTTACGATGCCATCGAGTGAAGATATTGACTCGAACACATTGGTCGACGTCGAGGATAGAATCGTTGGTGGACGAATATTGGGAGCAGCATGGTGACTCCGGGATACTTTTGCCGTTGAAGATCCTTTAAGTAGATTCTGAGTGCGTTTCTCCAATGTCGCGTACTCAGGCTCAGCTCTCCGTTTCCTGGTACGGGGTATTTCCTCGTCGGAGAAATGTCGTGGCCGACACCACCGCGCGCCACGATATTTACCCCGGATACCGTGTAGTGCGCTCAGGAGCAGAGGCTGGATTTCATCATGGAAGAGCTTCTCGTTCGTCGGTACCTGCTCAAGCAGCCTGGCGCGCGCGGCCTCTGTCTTGGGCTCACAGGATCCCGCGTAAGGTGATTCAAGCGGTGGGGCTGAGAGGATATGTTTTCTGGAAACATTCCTCCCGGGCTCCAAGTCCCCTGCTGAGGTGCCGGCAGTGCCGTCTCTGGGGTCGGGAGTCAACCCCTGAGCTTGAGCGATTGAACTTGGAATGTCGATTATGAAGACCGTGTTTGGTTCATTGTGATAGAGGATGGACTGATCCTCCGGGCTGGTCATCACAGCGACATGAATGGTGTTGGAAAGTTCAAGTCCTACGGAAGCGTAACTTAAATCCAGGCGGAGTCAATAGCAGTGGAGTCAGAAGTCACACGAGTTAACCTCGACTTTTTACATTCCAATAAACATTTGAGTAAAAACTATGAGCGTGTCGATTTCATACAGGCATCTTCGGTCAGATACATGGTCATTTGAAATTATCCAAATACATTCAAGTGTCACATCGACCTCGACATCGACACCGACACCCAACTTTTTAAGACACCTTCTAATCCCACCCCACTCGCAGCGGCGAACCAGCGTCCACAGGAGCGAAGAAAGGGAAACTCCCATCATCAAAATCCACAAGGTAGCTAGATAACCCGCTGAATCTCCATGATAAGACGGCCAAAAGAAAAAAGACTCGGAAAATGAATTTATACAGAGATGGAAGGCAGGAAAAGAGATTAAAAAAATCATACGCAACGATCAGCGCTAGGACAGCGTTAGCGTGCTGCTTGCCCAGGAGATCCTCACTGGTGCCCACTCACCCGTCCTCGGCGGCCCCCTTGGCCCTGCACTGGTTGGCCCTGAGGGTAGAACTGCGGAGAGTATTGGTACATCTGCGCAGGGTTGACTACCGGGCTGAATTGCTGCGGGGGGTAGTTGGATTGGCCGAGCATCGGGTTGGGGCTCATTTGGCCGGGTCCGGATAGCGAAGAGGCCTGCTGGTTCTGCATGGAGCGGAGGTTGTCGACGGACCCTCCGGGATAGCCAAAGTTGGCACCGGGCATGCCTCCGTACATGCCTCCGGGGGAGACACCGCGGGCCTGGGCAGCGAGGTAGTTCTGGTACTGCAACTGTTGCGGGGTGAGAGCGAGACCAGGGTCCTGGAACCCGCCGTTGAGGCCGCCCAGTCCATTCAAGGGGTTGCCATATCCGTTGATGCCGTTGGAGTATGGATCAAGAGGGACGTTATTCTGGTCGGCTGACATGGGGCGCACGTCGGACTGGCCAAGCATGTTGGGAGCAAATTGGCCGCTGTACTGTCGCTCCAAAGACGGTTGGGATGGGAAGTTCGTGCTTCCGTGGCGAGAAGACTGGCGGTGCTGCGTCTTCTCGGGGGTGGAAGAGTGGCTGGTTCCATGCTCCCGGCCATGATGTTCCCGGCCGCTTCCACGCGAAGACAGACCAACTTCATCCATCAAACGCTTGTAGCCTTGGCTGGGAGAAGCCTTCAGCTTGGTGAGAACCTTCGAGACATTCTTCACGACCTCCGATCGCATGGACTCATCAAAGAACGGAGTGGTCAAGACCTTGAAGATCAAGGTTGCACCGGAGGTTTGGTCACTCAGAATCTTCTCCAAGACTTCATCACCGGGGCTAAAGAAGAGAGCCTTGAGAACGATGTCTCGGGCTTCAGCCTCGTTGCGCTGGTTGATGACCTTGAGCACAGTAAGGTAGGCAACCTTGTGGGTGCAGAGGTGCACAAGGTGAGGAACAAGTCTGGGAGCAAGAACGGTTCGGCGGCGGGGGAATGTACAGGTGTCGAGGAACCAGGTGAGCAGGAGAGCGCCGTTGGCATTGGTTGCCAGCTGCACGCTGTGAAGAGCGATAGCAGCCGCAAGTGCTCGCTGCTGATCCTTAGAGGCGTGGTGGCTTTCCAAGCAGGCCCGCATCGCTCTGGCACCGAATCGTCCTTGGGAAATTTCCCACATCCGGCTCAACATGGTCTCAAAGATGAAGTCATTAAAAGGTGTGCCGAACCGCAGGCAGCACTGGAGGACATAGTTTCCGTACTGGTCCAGGAAAAGAGGGACCACGTAGGGACGAAGGGCATCAACAATCATGTTCATCTGGCCGGGTGTCTTCGCAACGTCGATGATCTTCTGGGCGGCCCAAGTTCCGTTCTTGTGGACACCGATCTCGGCAAGGTGGGGTGCAATATGCGCGAGCATCTGTTCCTTGGTAGACTCGGAGCAGAACTCGAACATCTTCTGGACAACAGTGTTACCCAGGTAATCAGAAGACAGCTCCGCAATCTCAGGAAGCATAGCACCAGCAGTCTCTTCAATCTCTTGAATGGAGCAAGCGCCGTTGTCAATGCGTTTGCGAATATCACGCAGTCGAGGAGCGTCAAACATGCGAGACTGGCTGGGCTCAGAAACCGTAGGAATCTCATCCTCGTAGGCTTCAAAGGCGATAGAGATTTGGATACTGTTGGTGATGTTGTGTAACTCCTCCTCGGTGGCGCCAAATTCTTGGACAATGTCAAGCATCTCGGGCATCAGATCGATCAGAGCAGGGATCTGAGGCACGACCCCGAGGCCTGTCTGTGCCATACCATCAGATGCAAGGTTAGACTTGAAGTTGGGATCGGGAGTAGGAGACGATTGAATGCCATTGGTACCGGGAGTCCCAGCGGCGGAAGTGCCAGGAACCTTAGCATAGCCAATTCTGACAGGTCCCGCGCCAGGGAAAATCTCCTTGCCGTTAAGAAGCGACTTCGCCTGGACAGCGGCCTCAATGCGCTCGAAGTTGACAAAGCCACAGTTCTTGTGGGTCAGCACGCGAGTAGACTCAATCTTGCCGTACATGCCGAAGATGGCCTCCAGCGAAGTCACAGTAGTCGACACGGGGATGCTGCCAATCCACAGAGCTCGAGTAGGACCGTCCTGATTGTTCTCGTCTGTCATGTCACCCGGTTGACGCAAACCAACCCCGGAAGCACCACCCCCCAGCCCCAACATTTGAACTGCCTCCGACAGTTCATCATACTCACCATTTTCAGCGATCTGCAAATCGGCAGCACTGAAGCTGTTATCGAGACGGGAGGGGGTTGCGAGGTAGTTACGGATGGAGGACCGCTGCGGAGGAGCCTCCAGAATACCGGCAGTCCGAGCTCGGGGCCGGTTGACAGAGGCGTGGCTAGCAAAGGCCTGGACTGCAAGGTTGTGCTGATGAATCTGAGCTTGCGTGGCGGCAAGCTGAGCAGCTGTAGCAGCTGCAGTGGGTGTGAGGTTACCCGAAGGGATCTGAGAATAACGGCTCTCATACTCCAGATCCTCATCATCCGCATATTTCTCCTTCGCATTGACCGAGTATGATCGGAATCGATTATTGTTCTTCATCATCGCCAGCTCGGCCAGGAGTGGCGGCAGCTGAGCCTGCTGTTGCTGTTGCTGTTGCTGTTGCATCAAAATCTCCATAGAAGGTCGTGCCAAGTTCGCCCGTGCCTGCTGAGGAGTCTCCGCAAGGCCCAGGTAGTCCAGCGTCTTCACATCGGAATCGGCGAGACCGTTACCGGAGTACGACGATTGGCTTGGTGAGGTAGGGCCTTCGGAAGAGCGAATACTGGTTAGAGTTGTGGCGCGCTCGCGTCCCCAGCCCGAAGAGAACAATGATGAACCGAAGGGGTTGCTGCCGGAACCTAGCAAACCGCTCCTCTGAGGCATCGAGCCAGCTCGAAGACGGGACTGTAGCGTATTCGGGTTGGGCGCACCGGCCGAGGTCGCGATTCTGGCACTCGAATCCGTTGCGGGGATACCGGGGGGTCGGAAAGGGCTGGTAGACGGCGTTGGTCGGGATGTTTGGGACATGAATGGCTGCTGGAGGTCGTGTTCATTCAGTGTGCCCATGGGAGGGAATCGCGAAGGAACGGTGCCCGCTCGAGCTCGGCGACCCGAGCTGCCGATCGCATCATTGGTGGTAGGGATCAGATCGGGAAAGCTGTCCTGGTTGGGGGATTCGGGGATATTTTCACGGAGCGGGGTTGAATGGCCGCTTGTGGGAGGGCCCCATATGCTGGGGGAGATGCCTTCTTGCGCTTGGATTTCACGAGCCCTTTCAAATCACATTCAATGTCAGACCAGTCCCGATTTCCGGCAGGTGTAAGCTACTTACCGCTTCGGGTACAAACGTGTCCCCAACTCGTGAGAAGGGGAGCCAGCCCCCAGCCTCGCACCACCAATCGAGCCCGCGGGACCGAATGGTGCTTTTGAGGCCCCATCACTGGGAGAGCTTCGCCCTGTCGATGTGCCGGACATGGGCTGAGTGGTCGGGATGTAGTTGAAGTTCATCTGACCCTCAGGGCGCGAAACCGGTAACATTATCGATTATCTCCTTCTGCCTTTCTGGAAGACAGACTCTATCTCTTCCACTCTAATAGCTCGATACAGGTGCCAGAAAGGACTGACAGAGTCAAAAAACTCAAGGTATAGAAATCCTGCTTAGAAGCGGTTGTGCGTCGTAAGCAGCATGTAGTGGAATCGAATCAATGTGCGGTATGCAAACTCCGACGGACTCGAGGATGTCGAGGTAATGTGATAAAACGCCCTGTTGAGCTGAGATTCGACGTCAGTGGTTGCTCGATGCGATTATTGCCACGCCTTGCGTTTCCACGGCGCGGAAACGAGGGAGGGGTCGATAAAGCGCCTCCACGGAGTGTTGGAAAAACACGAAAAAAAAAGGTTATGGAAGATGGATGGCGCTCCGGTCGAATTTATCTCAAAGTTCCACAAAACTAACCGAAGAATGTTATGATGGGGAAGATCGTGGTGATTCGCCCGAGTGTAGATGTGACGATCACTGGCCGTTGCCCAGAGTGATGGAAACGGGCGGAAAGAACCTCGAAACGGTACGATCGGAGATCAAGAAGGGCTCGAAAAAGAAGGATGCATCAAAGGAAGTCCGGACACACAAAAGGAGCGTCAAGTGAGGACTAAAAGTAGAGGGGAGACCGAAGGGATCGAGGTGGCTGGAAGGCTGGTTAGTCGGAGGCGAAGAAGATCAAAGATTAGAGGAGTCACTAACCGAGCAGAATAATAATGCAAGAAAATAAGAGAGGGGAGGGTAGAAAGAGGAGAGGGGACAAAAGGATACGAGAAGACAAGAGGACAAGAGGACAAGAGGACGAGGACGAAAGGGAAAGAAGGAGAAAAGGTGTTGGGCGGATGTTCGAGGAGATGTGGTTGGTGGAGATCCTCTTCAGCTTCACATCCACAATTCAATTGTCGTTTCTTGCTTCGATTCTGCCTATTCCGGTGCTTTCTTCTCAGCTCGCTGTTCTTCCTCTTCTGTCTATTCTTTCGAGCACTGGTTCGGCAGTGTCGATTCTACTGCTCTTCTAGATCTAGCCTGCACTACGTACAGTGCCTTTGCACCGATGACACAGCCCCATATCCTTGCTCTACTCCGTCTTGAGTCCCAGATTTCAGGGGAATCCTGGCCCATCAGCATTGAACCCCCTCATGGATAGCCGCTACAGACCCCATCATTCCTCCCGTCATCGGTCCGGACTGTTCCTGTCAGGGAGGCGACGTGTGTTTATGGCATGTCTGAGAACCAAGCGTGGAACCGAACCGAAGCCCCGCATTCCCATGCGTCATGTTGTCTCCAGTTGGACTGCACAGCCATGGAATCGCAAGATTCATCATCGTGCCTGGGGAACCGGCTGATGCAATTGCCAATGCAAGGGACCCCGTCCCTGCTGTTCCGAAACCGCGGCCAGCGATTGTTTTGGAGGCGCGCAAGGGATGGTTCAGGTACGTGTCCTACCCTGTCCTCGTCCTACAGTCCTTGACCAGTCCTCGTCCCTTTTCTTGATGCCTTGGCCGCCGGGACATTGAGACCCTCAATTGTCAAGAGTGACGTGCTCGTCCACCTCTAACAAAGGAAGAACATGTTCGCTTCCATCCTTTTGGATCCGGACGATATCGGCTGTCGGGGGGATGTTTCGGCTTTGGCGCCGGCACGGAAGCCCCGGAGAGTGGACAGGGCGCGTAGGCTGCAGTGTTCACGGAGACGTGGTCTCATGGGGCGCCCGATTTCAACGTTCAATCGGACAGATTGTAAAAGTAATATAGTAATATCAACAGACCACAACTTGTAACCACTTGTAGTTAGTTCCTTAAGTCATTGTTTCTGCCTGAGGCATATAACGCGCCACGGGACAAGCCACACGATCCTCACGTTAGCGCGACTTGGATTCTTGCTTCATGTCCCTTCATTCGACACTTGTCTGAGCTGAGCTGAGCTGAGCTGAGCTGATCTGACCTGACCTGCTGCTCTGGCACTAAAATACATTTCTTCGCAGCCGTGATTTTTCAAAGCTTGGCTGCCGTCTCATGTCTGACCACTAGGAAACCCATCGATCCTCACTTCCCCGGACTCTTCAAAAAAGTGCGCCATGGCCGATACCCCAGAAGAGGACCCCTACGCGGGACTCCAGTCTTCCTCGGAGGAGGAGGAGGGCCAGGAGACAGAGGCTCCCATGGAGTCCCTCGTTTCCGGACGCGCAAAGCGAAGCACCGCCGGATTACACATGTCCGCTCTCCTCGAAGCCGCCGCAGACGATGACCTTACACTACTATTCGAGGAGGTGGAGGATGACAATGAATTCGCAGAGGATGAGGCGGGAGAGGAAGATGATATGGCACTTGACTCGTCCTCAGACGATGATGATGACCAGGGTCCCAACGCGGACAACGACTTTGAGGGCGAAAAGCAGCTCCAGAAGGAAGAGCGCAAGAAACGCCGAGCACAGAACGATCTCCGATTCCAGACCTTGCGCAAGCGCGTCAAAGTTGACCCGACCGCTATCTCTGCCGTACCTCCTGCCCGTCCGAAAAAGAAGTCAGAGCGCATCTCGTGGCTCCCTACACTGGAAGATGGCCCTATACGAACCTCCTCTCGCAGGCAGACCATGGCCAACAAGGAAGTCACGCATGCGCGTCTCAAGGACAGCCAGGAGAAACGCATTCGCATCATCGCTACAATGAAGGAGGCAGAGAAGCGCAAGGCCCATCTGAAGCCCAAGAAAATGACCCAAGAGGATCACCTTGCGGAGGCAGCGAGGATCGAGCGACTCAACAGCAAGAGTGTGAATCGATGGGAAGCCGCAGAGAAAAGGAGAGCAGAGGAGCGAAAGGCTAGGATCGAGGCGCTGCAGAACCGTCGCCTAGATGGTCCTGTCATGTCCTACTGGAGTGGGGTGGCTACATGGGTCAACGGTCGTCTCACGCGAGTGGGCAAGGTTGAGATCAAAGCGAAGCCGGATAAGCCAAAATCAGAAAAGGACGATCCCAAGAAGAAAAAGAAGGAGGAGAATACTGTGGAATCACAGGGTACTCCTCTTGCTACTCTTGCTCCTGGACAGGCGCAACAATTACCTATAAACACCCCCGCTCAACTTGAAGGCGCTCCGGCGACGATAGCAATCGTCCAACCCACCACTCTCCCGCCATCTGCTCAAAATACTCTCCCAAATCTCCCAGTCTCGGGGACCGTCGCGACTCCGAATGCGCCTGCACCTCCAGCACCTACCACAACTGAACCCGTCAAATTAGATGATCAAGTTACTGAAGATCAAGTGGCCGAACAAATTGAGAAATCTGGGAGCAAAGACCCCGATAGCACTTCCAATACCCCTACAAAGACCCCGACCTCTACAGCAAATGCCTCTGATAAGAATACAAGGCCCGTTGTGGAAATCCTGGTGCCTCCTCAACCTGATGCACCGGTGCCCAACGAATCAAAAAGTCCAAAGTCGACAATAACCCCGCAGGACGATGCGATGGAGGTTGACCAAAAGCCACCGCGAGCCAATGCCGAGATCGATACTTCGCAGTCGGCACCTAATCAAACAAATCCACCGACCGCCACAAGCGCCGACACACAAACCGTTTCAGGGGGTTCTCAGACTGGGCCCGGTACAACGGAGCAGTCGCTGCAGATTACACTTCACCCAGCGCCTGCACATGCAACCACTCCATTGGGCCCTCAAGCCTCTCCCGCAATTTCGGCCGATGTAGCTCCCCCTGCACACCACGCCACCCGTGATTAATGCAATCCAGGGCCACCAACCCGGATCAGCCCTGCCGACACCGCTCACATCACATGAACTGAATGGCTTGCCAGCACAGTCAGAGGCGCCAGAGGTGCCGGAGGTGCCGCAGCTCCCGCCGGTAATCGAGAAGACGGGTCGCAACTTGACCATCCTCGAGAACTTCGATGACAAGACGGCACACAGTAAAAAGTACAGTATGTACTTCAACGCGAGAAAGCCGCCTCGTCTAACTAGTACGTGATCTTGAATATTGCAAGCGAGTGAGTAAATACTAACTCATCATAGAAATCTCGTCATCACTTTGTGTCATCACCTCATTACCATCCCGTTATCGTGATCCAGAGACCGCACTCCCTTACGCCAACTCCTATGCCTATGGACAAATCCGCAAGATGCTGTCCCAAGGGTACATCTGGAGCTCGATGCTAGGCTGCTTCGTTGGCGCTGCAGATACCGCAGCGCGCGGCGTACCCGATCGATTCTTGGGTAAGACCGCGATCGAAAAGACCTCGACCAAGCCCACAGTGCAGGTAGAAGTGGCCTCGAAGGACTTGGCGAAGCCAGCTACAAATGGATCAGCGACGGCCGAGTCGATGGAGATGGACCAGACCAGTTAAAACCTCCGAGAGTGCGTGTACGATATGTCATTCCAGATACCCAGCCATAAACCAATTTAGCAATGTAAGAACCAAACAATATACCCGAATAAGCTCGATAGGGGTCCCACAATGGGATCATCGATTTTCTAGACCTATCAACCGCGACCCCTCTCAGGGGGGTGGTGGTCGATGATGTCTACCACTCTCACGGGGGTTCTCCGACCGAAGTCAAGACGCCATCCAAGGTCGATGGCGGCAGCCGCCCAGGGTTTGGAACGGAGGGCGGCGGGAGTCAATTCACACCAGTATAATACCAAGAGGGCAAGGCGTCTTCTGACGTGTGTGTACACTCATTCTTTGAAAACTCTTCGAGTTTGTTTCTATCCCCACCCCAGTTCGCCAGCGAGTCAGGTCGTCTACTGTGTAGAAGTCGTTTGTGTTCACTCTTTCTATTCTCAATGTCATTTGCAGAATTTTCAATGACTTCACTGCCCCAGAATGATCGACTGTATCACCTACCATTATGCTTAATTGTGACTACAAACTAGCGCAAGAATAATGATCCTTCAGGCATCAGTGAATGCAACTCTCGTCTCCAGCTTTCTCCATCGACTCCACGGACCCGAAACACACCTCACAGAAGATCGACAATTAGCATGATGAATCCTGTGACATAGGAAGAAAGATTCTAGAGCCAGGCTAGAGCGTCTTAGGACCAACAAGGAAATCACCCCTGTAGCCCACCTACTCCAGCGTGCCGTGGCCATGACGATCAAGGCGATCAAGTTTGGCCAGAACGAGCCTGCGCACGGCCAGATCCGCGCATCACTCTACGTGTCAAGGATGTGTCACAGTGGGACGAGAGGGGGGTCCACCCCTTGACTCGAACCAGTTCCATCGTTGATTTTATTTTAGGTAGGTATTGCATGTTCAGGATAAAGAAAAAATCCTTTTATTTTATGTTTCTGACGGTGTGCGTTCAGCTCAAGAGGGATTAATGGCGTCATTTGTGTAATGACAGCTTGTTTTACTAGGGCCACCGATCTGGGGATGGTGCGATCAGGCCAGATCCGACCCCTCCGGAGAAGTTTCCCCTGCAACGGAGCCCACTAGTGTATGGTCTTATGCAGGTAAACCTGGAAGTTGGGCTGCAGAGCGTATTGTCCGAGCACGTTGGCGCAGGGATCTAGATCGTCTCAAAACACCTTAGATTCAAGTACCGCCGATGCGAGGTTATCACAGTCAATGCTACAATGTGGTGGGAAAAGAGAAACGGATTGACACAATTAGAGTGGCAATCGCAACAGAACGGAGGATGGGATAATTATAGAATAATAGGCCGAAAGAGGAATCCTGAGTCAGCCAGTCTAGACGTCCCATTGCGTGTACACCGGATCTCACCCATAACCCGAGGTTACCCATAGTGGGGGAAGGAGACCCGAGGGTCCTCCGATCGTCCCAAAGAGTCTAGAACTCAGTTGTCATGGTGTGCTCGTCTCTCACACTTTTATTTATACTCTTAGGTTCCCCTCCATTCCTGCTTCTACCCTTTCTTCACATCATCACCACAGTACATCACGATCACCACACTACGATCGCTATTGAGATTATAGTTTCATTCAGGTATGTCAAAACGAACGGATCCGCCACAAGGGAAGGCCTTATCTTCCCCCACTCGGGACGAAGATAGCCGTCCCCGGCCTTTCAGTGACACAGAAACTGACTCTTATCAGGTTCATTCCGTGTTTCCTGGAGAACATACATATTTTGCCTTCCAGAACTTTTACGATCCTGCACCCACCCGTTCTCCCGTTGTCTCTTGACCGCAACATTGCAACAGTACATACCTCACAAAAATCCCTCGTGCTCCACACCTAGCCCTGTCTTGAAAGCAAGATAAGATAGCGTGAGGCATTTGAAGCCACGGCTTCACCGCCATCCCATATGACTCAATCAACTTCCCACCGTCGTTCCCCTTCGACTCCTCATGCCTCGAAGCCTAAGTCTCGTCCTGTCCTACACCGACGGGGTACTTCCGGCGTGAGCTTGTCCATCTCCAAGTTGGGATCCGGTCACAGTCACTCTCGGGGCGTGAGCAGGAACAGGGACGACGACGCCGACTTTGATATGGCCGCCAGTTTCCTCAATTTTTGGTATGTCTCTTATCTCTCAGGGGGCGGCAAAGCAGGGACTTTCCTTGCATACCGGCTACCGTCAAAGCCCTAGTCCCCGGCCCGGTCGATCCTTAAATAGATGCTAACGCCATCCACAGCGCCATGTGCGAAAAACAAATCACCGTCCCCTCCAACACCGTCCTCTATTGCAGTGAAAGGTAAGTTCAGTCTCTTTGGTCTTTGTCTTGCTTCGAATATAGAATCATGTCTAACCCAAACCACAGTTGCCGTCGCAAAGACTCCTGCAAACCACTATCAGCCTCTATGCCCTCTATGACCAACATGTCCTCCATGCACACTACAACAACACCTCCCACATCCCCTCCTCTTTCCCCCCGAACCATCGTGGCCCCAATGACTCCCACCCGGTTCCCTTCCACTTCAATGCCACCCATCAGGATACCCACCGAGCCCCACGACTGCAAATCAGATCTTGACCCCACTGAATGGAAGCCCGTATTACTCGCCGGCGGCCAAGGCACCGGAACCTCCCTCGCCTCCTCCGACGCCTGGAACTATCTCTCCCGATTCCACGGTGGTTCAGAGAACCTCCTCGCTGGCCGCGCCCGTAGCGCCGCTTCCCTACCGGCTCTCGTCGGCGGCGCTCCGTCCATGACAGCTGCCCCCTCTGAGGCCTCGTCTTACTCCAGCACCGCCTCCGACTACCTCGGCATGTACGAGCAGCGCCCTCTTCCCCCGCGCCACAACCCGTACTTCTCCTCCAGCGCCGCGACCAAGGGCGTGGAACTGGTTGTTCCGCACATCATGAGCACGCCTGATGTTGTCGCTGTCGAGATGTCGGATTCGGGATCCATTTTCCCCGCTAGTTCGACGGTTTGGGAAAATGCTTGTGAGAAGTCGGTCCCTATTACCATTGAGTCTGTGCAGGCACGGACTCAGAATGCTTGATCAGATTTTAATTTACCTGGTCGGGTTGCATATTTTTCTTTCTATCATCATTTCATCTCTTCATCTTCCATACACTTCGTGGCTTTTGGCTTTTGGCTTTTGGCTTTTACATTGCAATGATGGGCTGAGGGCCGAAGATTTTGCTCTACATTTTGTTTTTTTTGATGAGACCGGATCTGAATGATGAAGCTTGGCAGTTAGACATTTCACTTAATCTGAATAAAAATGAGAACCTTTCATGATACAACTCTTTCTTTAGTAAATCTAGATCGGTCTAGTGGAACACTTATTGATTCTGCAATATAGATCACAGTATGGGAGTCTACCCGTATGCAATTCAACAATCATGATGCCGACCTGCATGCCTCGAGGACCTGTGGACCATAACCTTGGAAGTATGCATAGGTAGAAAGCGTAGTATATATGACGTATAGTTTGATCCAAACTTGGATTTAACACCGCATCGTACCATTCAGCATTTTCAAGGCGAGATATGAGATCGCATGAATCAATCTGTTCGTTGTATGAAAGATGATCTTTTGCATATATATGAGAAGACGTATCCATGTTCCCTAGCAGCCCTATCTCCAACACATGTGTTGATACGTTGACGCCAGGTTGCATACGCTCGGTATATCAGGCCGATGCCCGCCGCTCGTAGTTCTGAGCCTTTATCAACTGCATGAAGGGTTGGCCTTATCTCGCGGATCTAACTTTCACTGGCCTTGATTGACGTCAAAGTTCATCATAATACTTCATAATATTTTGTAATGGGTCTAGGCGTATTGTTAAAAGTTTTGGTTCAATCTTGACATGATATCCTCAAAATACACTTCCTGCTCCAGTGCTCACTTCACAACGATCTGCAAAAACCATACTCGACAACCATCAATCATACCTCACACAGCATTGAACATTGAATTTCAGCAATCTCACTCCCTGTCCACTTCCAACTGAATAGCACTAGACCTACGCTCCGTAACCGGCACGAATCCCACTGCGCCGGCTTACAAGACCACCGCTGCTCACCATTCTAAATAGCATAGAAGAACATACCGCCTCCGCTAATCTCAAATTTAAAAAGCCCCCAGAAGTTCATATTATTCACAACACAAGTAACATCCCTATTCTTATCAAAACATAGAAGTTTTGAATATACGCGTTGCGGAACCCGAACCTGTTGTTGTTCGCTTTTGCGTTCCAGAGCTGATCGCGATCGTGTTCCCAGGATCGAAACTGCACTTCTTCCGGTAGGTATATTTTTTGAGACGATGCTTAGGGCACCGCCGTTTGAAACTTTGAGTCTGAGGGAGAAAGTGCTTCCGTTTGAGACGGTGAGGATTTCGGTGGACATTGTGATAGAGGGGCGATGATAATTGTTCTCTGCATTTAGTACTTCAAGGTACTCTTTTTCAGCTCGCGCCCGGCTTGAATTAGATGCCAAGAATGTTCGATAGGGATGCTATATCTATATCTATCAACCGGGGTATGGCAACGGCTTGAATAGTCAGGTACGACGGCTGCGTCGGCCACCTTTTTTGGTATGAGAGGAACAAGACCTACTATGGTCTCTTTTCAGCAAAGCTTTGTGGTGGTTAGAATAAACGAGTAGTGAGATACTTTATGATTGATAAAAGCTATTACAGAGTTTCTTTGTGTTGGTCTTGATGGATAGCTAAAGCTAAGACTGAATAGGAGTCATGGAAGAGTATGCCTCCTTTTTGGCTATCTTAATGTAATCCAGGGGTCTGGAAGCCTGCTTAACTAACGTAAGCATAATCAAATGGCTTATGATTACTTACTTTCGAGTCGTGGGGTTGAAGAAATGTCGGAGAATCTTGATGAAAGATCCAAGATATGGAATGCAACACGTTTCTTTGGGTCAGTTATCTTCTTGCAATATCGAAAGCCTTTGTCAAAAAATATTCCAGGCACAAATGCCGCTACATATATTTACGCCAAACTGCGCATTCTCATGATTCTAGATATACCCGGGTAGTGGCATTAGCCAGTAAAGATAATAAGCGGCGGTTTCTTGCTATAGTGGCGGCTTTGCTTCGCAATCGGTCTAGATCGTACACTGGCCGAGGATAGATTATAAGATTACCGTCATAGAAAGAAGAACGCTCAAGAGTGAGATAGCTCTGATGGTTCTAAATTACACGCGCATCAAATAAGGCCAACAGCATGCGTGACATAGATGCCGTGAAAGTTCAAAGAGAATAGCAACTCGCTCATTTCGAACTTTCCAAAGAGCGACAAATATGCACATACAATCAGAATCAGACATTGTATAATCTTCGCCCGAGCTATTATACTAATTCGGCCTTTCAACATGAAGAAGGTAAAGTTGTAAAACATGTGAAGAGGGGAGCAAGAGCGAGGATGATGAGAGGGATGTAGATCGTAGGATCCATCTACCGAAGGCTAGACTAGTGGGATAAGTGAGGCATGGCCGTAAAAGGGAGCATCTCATTGACACCATGCCCTGTGAGAATGTGAAAATTGGGTCGCTAAGTAGACTGAGGGAAAGTCAAAGAGGGAGCGCGTACAGGAGCTCGGGTTTCACTTCTGTATCGTAAACGGCGGACCTGACTACTACCTACATTTATGTTACTTTTGCCAATTTCTGCTTAAAAACCTAGTCAAAACTGTCACGTAACCAATGCCTTCGACAATTCGATATTAAAGACCTGACCTCTCTTTCCCCTTTTCTCTCTCCTGCCTTTTTTCTTCTATCTCGCAATAAAATCCGCCGCAGCTGAACCCAGGGATACCGCTGCAGGTGTCATTTGCAGCGACAAATAAAACAGCTTGGCACGCAAGGCTGGGATGCTGCCCTACGACAGCATCTCTGCTACAGCTGGACAGTGCATTCGCGCCGATATCCTCCGACTTGAAATGGCCTGTTGGCAACCAATTGATAAATCAAAGGCTCAGATCCCTTCAATGGCCCCCACGATACATTCCTAATTAAAGAACAGCTATCAGGGATGTATTTCGACGCCAAGGGCACTACTACAGTAAATCGAAAAGGCATCCTAACCAAGGTTAAATTTCCGCATATGGATCGCGGAATTTGTCATTCCTCGTCGATACGAACACTGCCGCCTCAAACCGTAGTGGCGGGCCCATGGCCGTACTTTTGTTCTGGGCGCAGTGGAGATAATTCGCAGTTGTTTCCCATGTACGTACTTTTGTTCTGGGCGTAGTGGAGATAATTCGCAGGTGTTTCCCATGTATGAAACCTCCGTCACCTGGACCCATGCGGTTCATGACTCGCTCAATAAGATAACATGTTAGGGCCGGTCCAGCGGCTAAGTCTTGATTGGTTTGATCTCAAACAATGTGAGGCTGTGTTGGTCCATCAGCTAGCGCCGTGGATATCTGATATCCTGACCAAACCAATGCTACAGAATGATGCGCCAATTACCTTCGGAGATATATCAAGCCTGGCGTTTAGCACAGCGACTAATGCATGCATGGCGACTGCGGCACGGCTGCGGTGGAGTTATGGGCCTCTCGTTTAGTTCAGGGGTTGAGTCGGAACTGGGGCCGGCGGCTTGCTATTTCAAATGGAGGTACTTTCCAGTACTGGGTAGCGGAAGTAAATATAAGTAGCCCGACATCCCGCAAGAAAGCCGCAAAAGGCGGAACCTAAACCATTATCAAAATGGACAAGAGACCGCGCCACTTTGACGGAGTCGAGAGCTCTGAGCAGCTGGCCTTCATCGATGAACTGCAGGCACTCGGGCTAAGTAGCACTATCAACCTACCCGAGGTCAGTCACGAGAACCAATTCGCATCCCCGCGATAGTGAACATAATACTAATATGTACAAGCTCGTGGTGGTAGGTGACCAAAGCGCGGGCAAGAGCTCGGTGCTCCAAGCTATCACAGAGGTTTCTTTCCCGGTGAAAGACGGAACTTGTACTCGGTTCCCCATCCAGATTTCGTTTCGTCAAACTTCCGCTGCAAAGGAATTGCCGATCAAGGCTACGATTGTGCCGGGCCGACAGTCCGAGGATGACGGTGCATTGATAGCTCGCATGAGAGATTTTACAGTCGAGAGAAAGGAGCTGACGACGGATGTCATAAAGGATATTATTGAAGAGGTACGTTCTGCGACGTGGATGATTGGATGTAGACTCATCGCTTGGCAATCCAGGCAACGGAGTGTATATTTGGCGCGCATCAGGCCGGAAGGAGGGTGAGTTTGAGCGATGCGACACTACGCATTGAGCGGTCGGGCCCGAACGAGATGCATTGGACCATTATTGATCTCCCGGGGCTCATACGGGGAGACAAGAAAAAGCAAAATGAGGTGTTGAACCGCGCGAATGGTAATGGGCCGACTGATACGTCAATGCGGATGAATGCAGCTGTTGCATCCGAGTTGGCACGCGAATATCTGGAGAACGACAGGAACATCGTCTTGTAGGTTATCAGACAATATTGTCCATTACACCCAGACTGATAGCAAAGCAGGGTCGTCATTGATGATGTGGACGTGGAGCGTCTCCGGATCTTTGAACTGATGGAGGAGATTCCAGGCCTGGAAAAGCGTTGTATTGGCGTGCTGAACAAGTGTGATCGCAAACAAGAAGGATCAGATGAATGGGTATGTCTTTCTTTAGAGTCCGCCCTACGGAGTTATGCTAAGTCCCAAGTCAGATGGTCAAACTTCTTCAGAACGATCTCTCCACTGTTCCTCACCTCGATCACGGGTGGTTCGGATTGAGAAACCGAGTCCCCAACGAAGCTCACATCACCGATGCAGAGCGGGACGATCGAGAAAGTGCAGAATTCTTGAAGAAAGACTGGCAGGACGTCGCGAAAAATCGCACAGGAATACAAGCGCTGATGAGTTATGTCGATAAAGAGAGACGAGCGCAGATCCAATCTGGCATCCCGCACATCGTGACGGAGATTCGTCAGAAGCTTCGGGAATGCGAGTCAGATCTGAACCGAATGGGTGAAGCTCGAGATAGCCCAAAATCCCAGCGGCACTTTGCTTTTCAGTTTTGCAATGAGATGCAGCGCATGGCAGAGGCAACGCTCAGAGGTCAGTATCAGGTTGTGCCTTCCCAGGATCCCAGGATCATGCTTCGATACGAAGTACAACGCCGCCTAGATCGGTTCTATGACGATATGGCGGATACCGACAAAATGCCGCTCCCGTTCTCAGACTTTGAGCGAGACCTAGAACTCCTTAGTTACACCGGCCCAGACCCAAGCGCGTGGGACGAATTCGTCATGAGTGCACCGGGGTTATACGCTGAGATATATAAGGAAGCCAAGATCAGCGAAGGCTGCAGTCTTCCCGGCACTATACACCCGGACGTTGAGGAGAAAATCTTCCGCAAGCAATCTATCCACTGGGAAGACATTGCCCGCCGGTTTGTCGATGATGTGAAAGATCTGGTCAAGAACTGCTATGATGTTCTAATTCGCATTGCCATTCCCAACAGTAAAGTGCGGTTGGAGGTCAGCCGCCTAATGATCAAAACACTGGAAGATTGGCACAAACATGCAGACACGGCTCTTTCCGAGCTATTGGAGGATAATCAATCCAGACCTTTAATAACTCGCAGCCCGAAGTTGCTAGAAGACACTATCAGAGCGGATCAAAATCGAGGGGAAATTCTTCTCGGGAGAAGGTCTAGGGGAGCATCTACAGATCATGATCAGAATGATGATGTCAATGGCAGCCTTGAGGCTGATGGCGACCATCCTCGTTTTATCTCCACTATTCTGAGCCAAGTTTTGTTTGTTCGTGCTAGGCTGCAGTCTTACTATATGATTGCGTTGCATCGATTTATTGATAATGTAGCGATGCAGGTTGTGGAGCGACATATTCTCGGACCAAGATGTCCAATGCTCACCATTTCTGTCGAGACCTTTGCTAAATTAGATGATGAAGAGCTGAATGCCATAACCGCAGAAGATGAATCCGATGCGAGAATACGAGCAAGGCTTGAGAGGCTGCGATCTCGGTATACCGAAGCGCTCAAGAGGTGGGAGAGGTTGAGGGTGCTTTAGAAGTAAGCCCCAGTAGTTTCCATGGCTGGTCAATTTTCCTCCACTGTTTTTATATCGTGATTTGATCTGTATTTGACCAATTTGATTAGCTCGTTTCTTGATTCGCCATCCTTTTCTAGAATCGAACGAAGTCGCTCCATCTGCCAGCACGAGATTCATGTAGATTTACCGTGATTTCCAATTCAAGAGAAAACGAATCCTACATATTGCAAGGGGATGGCTCGATAGTGGTCTAGCTCTGCAGATTGGGCAACACCAACCAGGAGAACACACGCAACCACTCCCAGACTCTGTAAGAGGCACTGTGTATTCCCCTCAGGCCCCAATTTCATCTACTACGTCACGCGTTCTACAGCGACTGACTGTTACTGTTTAGAAAATGTCTTCTTGTCTGAGGGTTGTGAAAAAAAGGCACGCTCGGACGGGCCCTTTTGTTTAGCATGTTGAACTAAATGGATCCACTTTTGGGTCTCATTGTCTCCTAGAATGCTTCATATAATCAAGCAAGGGCTCGAAAGAGGCCTGACGGGTGACAGACGGATAAGTATCTGAGACCTAGACGCGTGCACGTACAGTAGTGTCAGCTTTAGTGGGGGTAAATGATCGTTGGATATCTGACAAATGAAATGGTAGGTAGCAAGCCTAATAATGTTATAGTGTGGTTAAATTCGGGTTATGATCTAGTCAGACATATGCTGTCACCTTCTCCGATTACCTCGTGTCTCCTTGCCTGGTTTACATGATGGTATCCTGATATAACCATACCGTCATCCCAAGGAAAGGAAGTATGCCAAGGCTATGTAGTATAAAGGGGCTTGCTTGTATATTCCCGAGTTCCAAGTAACAGAAATTGACATCCAAGTGCTTTACCTGGTTCCTGAAATATGATTATAGATAATGATAGTACATACCGCTGCCTCGCTTTGGAAGCACGTGGGCACCAGCCCACAGACAAGCGAAAGCTTGGCTGGTGGAGCGCACATTATTAACCACATTTTTCTCCTTGCAATTGGACTATGTACATTTCCCACATGCTCTGACCCTATCTCGTGTTCACGAGGACAAAGATGTTTATGTTTAGTGGGGTAGTTATGGCTAACCTACCTGCTTGTCATGTACGCACGCCCGGGGGCAAACACAGGATCGGGTAGGGCTGCTAGCCTATCAAATAGACTAGATTTCTTAGGTTTTGGAAGTCTGGCTTGGTTTATTTGTGGCGCGGGGAACCCGTCGGGGTTCCCTCCGCTTGGGCCTCTCAAGATCTTCCCGTACGGACAACCCAGATACCTTATTCTCGAGACCTACAATCTACCAGACCGCGAACGGCTAGAAAATTCTCGCCAATCTTCATCTGCTTAAATCATTTCGATATTTTGCTTTAGTGACTTGCCTCGGTAATTCTTTTGTGGCTGGTTTATCCTCATTGGGACTAACAGACGTACGTCTAATTTGCCCCTCCTTATCCGCCCACGACCCCGTGTTATCATGCCTCTATTCCCCCTAGCTGAACGCCACTGCATGGCGTGATAAGCTACGCCAATGACATTGTGCAAAACGCCATCGCCGCTGGAGGTCCGCCTTATTTTGTCTTAGTCTTCGCATGAAATCGGAGTGGTGGGAATAATGCCCAAGTCTTTTTCGCTTGGCGGCAAGATTCTAGCACTCATGACCTGGGCTAACGCTGGTGTACCAGATACCAGACAACTTCCAAGATTTTAGAGGCGCATAAAGTAAACTTACTAGATTGCGAGGTAGTATTGCTAGAGCCAAAATGGAAAGGCTTTCGTGCTCGGGGAGGTATCGGCTATCTTCACTCTAGTGTTGCGTTTCCGGAGGCGAGAAACGCAATGGTCCCTCTATCTGGCTCAGTTTGGGGCTTGATGGTATCACAACCAGTTTACCCAATAAGGGTTACTCGAGACGTGGTTTTAGAGACCCTGCATGACAAGGCTATAAGAAGGGGCACCTGGTTACACAGCAAGGGCCGCTTGACTCCTTCATTCCACTCCACCACCCGGCGGACAAACGCGCAACATGTCGGCCATTCGCTCCGACTCGCTTGTAGAGGGTGTCGTTTCGGTTTCAGGCCACGATGCCTTCGATGAGAAGACCACTGTCAATGTGACCACCAAAGATGACCACCAAGTCACCACTACATCCTTCGGATCCGGAGAGGATGGTGCCGAGGATGATCGTAGCAGTGACGACGTGATCATCGTCGATGGTACTGATGCGGCGAACCACTTGCTCCCAATGCGGGATGATGGTGACCCAGCTTTGACCTTCCGAAGTCTCCTCTTGGCCTCGGGTCTCTCGTGCTTCCAGGCGGTCATGTACCAAATCTATATGGTATGTCACTATCAGCTTGACCTTTGTACTTTGACTGACAGATCAATGTACAGTTCAAACCAACCGCTATTACAATCCAAGGAACTTTCATCGTCCTCATTTCGTACTTTGTTGGCAGAGCCTGGGCCAAGTTCCTCCCCCGCGGAGATAAATTCGAGGCTCGATGGAGGGCGAAGGGTGGTCAAGGAAAGCTTCCCTTATACATCACTATTCTCAAGTTCATCAACAATGGGCCATGGACATTGAAGGAACATGCGATTTGCTCTATCACGGCCACGAGCGCTTCAAGCGCCGCCGCAAGCTCAGAGGTGTTCGCAGCGCAAGAGCTCTTTTACAATATGTCGCTGACCCCGACAACTATCATCTTGAGCACTATCTCTATTGGCCTGTTCGGATACGGAATCTGTGGAATCATGCGTCCAATTGCGGTCTGGCATGTTGATGCCGTCTACTGGAGTACCTTGCCCACTGTTAAAGTTCTTCAAGGACTTCATTGGCAGGACCTGAAGAATTCAAAGCCGCTGAGATACTTCTGGTATGCTTTTGCCGGCATGTCTCTCTATGAAATCTTCCCTGCCTATATATTTGTCTGGCTTAACTCTATCTCCATCCCGGTAAGTCGTTTTGCAGTCCAAATGCTCCCCCAAACTAACCCATTAACGTGCGATGATACAGTGTCTGGCTGCTATGAAGGCCACTGGTAGTAAGGCTGCTGTCCTTACTAACCTCTTCGGCGGTGCCTCAAATAATGAGGGTCTGGGTCTTTTTACTTTCTCTTTCGACTGGCAATATGTAAGCAATCAACTCTGTCACTGACCGAGCAAGAAGATTGACCAGTTTAGATCACCTCCTTCCAAACCGCTCTTCCTCTTACGCTCCAAGCTCACCAAGCCGCCGGCTTTGTTGCTTGCTTTATTGCAATGCTTGGCATTTACTATGGAAATGGTTGGAATTCGAGGTCACTTCCCTTCATGTCGACGAGGCTTCTTCTGAATAACGGAACTTCATACCCCGTCACTGAAGTCTTTGTTGGTGGAGTCCTGGATGAAGCAGCTTTGCTTAAACACGGCTTGCCCAAACTGACCGGAACTTTTGCCTTTGCCATGTTTATGGCCAATGCTGCCGTAAGTACCAAGTGGCCCTAGATTTGAAATTTGATCTACCAGCTGACCATCTTCAAGATCGGAGCTCTCATTGTTCACTGCTTCCTCTTCTGGGGCAAGGACATCTATAAAGCGTTTAAGAGTGCCAAAGAAGGTCGGTACGACGATCGCCACCATGAACATATGGTCAAGCACTACAAAGAAGCGCCTTGGTGGTGGTATGTGGCTGTTCTTGTTATCAGTTTCATCCTAGGTCTTATTGTGGTCCTTAAAGAGGACATTTCGCTCCCAGCTTGGGCATATGTTGTCTCTTTAGTGGTTGGAATCATCATATCTCCCTTTGTGAGTGGTCCCAGTATCGGAAGTTTCTAGAGCTGCGCTAATTCGCTATAGAGTACTATCCTGTACTCTCGCTACGGCAATGGCATTGCAACCAACAATCTGTCAAAAATGTTGGCGGGTCTCATGATTCCTGGACGCCCAGTCGGCAATATGTATTTCGCCGCTTGGTCACACAACGTCATTTCCAATGCGGTCAACCTGTCTAACGATCTGAAGATGGGTGAATACCGTAAGTTTCTTCTTCTTATATTCAAGCTCTGGCCTAACATAGATCTAGTCAAAATCCCCCCACGGGTCATGTTCCTCACTCAGATCTGGGGCACTATACTCGGCGGGTTTATCAACTACGCTGTAATGATTTCAATCGTCAGAGAGAACAAAGAGGTTCTCAGTTCCACAAATGGCAGTAACTCCTGGAGCGGCGCCACATTGCAGGCCTACAACACTAGTGCAACCTCCTGGGCCCTGGCTTCCTATCTTTACAAGATGGGCGGGCAGTACTGGATGGTACCTATTGGTATTGCCATCGGCGGTGCTTCTGTTGTCGTCCATCGCATCTTCTATCAGGTATGTAACCCAGTGCGCCTTTCTTCGATACAATGACTAACCTATATGATAGTTCGTCCCCAAAATCCGTGGGTTTGACGTTGCCGATATCAACATGCCCCAATTCATTCAATATGCTGGCTACATCCCTTACAACCAGAGTCAGACTTGTGTCCTCTTCAGCTGGGTCTTCGCTGGTTTCTATGTCCAGTACTACCTCCGCAACTACCGTCCTCGCATCTTCAAGGACTATTCATACTTGGTCACTGGTGCCTTTGATGGTGCCAGTCTGACTGTGTTGTTCATTCTCTCCTTTGCGGTGTTCGGTGCTGGAGGTCCTGCCCATGCCTTCCCTTCGTGGTGGGGTAATAACGCCAACGGAAACTTTGATCTCTGCCCGGTATCTGATTAGATCTAGCGCAGCTTGAAGAAGCTGAATTAAACCCCTGTCGAAGTCTGTATGAGATGCCCGTGATGATTTGTTTCTGAAATCATGAAACTCACGTCATAATGAGAAGTCATAATGAGAACTTGACACCATTGTAATAATCATGTTGATTCGTGTGCACTACAGTAATCATGGATAGAAACGACAACACATGTACCTAACCACCATAGTAAAACAAAGTCTTGGTTTCCACCTACTCCATCTCTCTCGCTCGTGATACACCCTCAACAGCCGTGTGGTTTTGCCCACCAATAGGCGCTCCGCATTCAGGACATCTAGCTTGCTCCATCGGCATACCGCATTCCCCAATAGCAAACTACCGAAAATAATAATTTAGCTCTGTGTCCTCGTTTAGGTGAACTGGGATTGAACTTTTACTCACCGGATGCCCGTTGACGCAGTTGTACCAATGCCCAGAATGAGTGGCGATTCCTCGTCGGCCGCTGACCATGGCCGTTTTAATCGAGTGAAGTTCTTTTAGAGTCACTTCCTCGTACCGCGGTCCTTCGTAGAGGCGAGCCATTTCCTGCACCTTCTCTTGGAGTTCAGGGAAATTCTCTAGTCTGTCGCATAGTTTCAACGCAGCGTCGAGGAGATTGCGGGTGGTTTCAGCGCGATTTTCGAGATTTTCTAGGCCCTTGTATCCTTCTTTGAGATGAGGGTCATTTGGTGTTTCTTCTGGATGGGTGCGATGATACCACCTGTCCATCTGGGCGACTTTGGCAAATGAGAGGGTTGCCACAATAACGATGCGAGTGAGGCTACCTTCATTGGCTTGAACGATCAAGTCTCGACAATTTTTCAAGAAAAGTGTCAAGGAATTCTGGGGTAATTTCAACCGTGCCGAAATCGCAGATATCCCGCTTGAGCTGATCAGTCCGCAGATATCGCTAAACTTGATTTCCAGGGCCTTGATTCCAATTAACCGTGCGCTGAGGGTAATCTGTTTATCGGGCTCTCGTTTGGCTATCTTCATCGCGTTCATCTGGGCTGATATAGAGACTATGTCATCCCTTGGTGACAACTGGTAGATGGCAATTGCATCTATGAGCCGTTTCGTCGGCTGATGCTCGGCCTCCATCATTTTGCTGAAAGCTGAAGCTTCTTTCTCAAGGCGGTCACAGTTAACATATCGCGTTGAGAACTTGGAAGATGTTCTAAGCTTTTCTGACGTCGATGGCGCGAACTTGGTGGGATTGAAATCAGCTTCAATGTTATTCAGACGCGATTGAAGATTTTCAAGGTCGGCGCGACCCTTGGTAAGAAACCGCTTGCAAGTCTCATCCATAACAGCACGGTTGATGACACGATTGTACCGCTTTGTCACGAACTGGCGGATGGGCAGCTTACAGTCCGGGCATGATGGGACCGCACTAGCAAGAGAAGCAGAGATATCTCGGAGGCCGCCGAATTTGCCATCTTTGTCTCTCGTGTATACTTCATCCAGACCAACCATGCCATCGATCGACTCACTCGTGAAGAAGTGACCGCATCCAAGTACGATGATTGGATTTTTGTCGAGGTTGATCTTGGAATAGGGTTTCATCTCGAGGAAGTCAACACGAGCATCTCCCTTGTCACTGCACTCTTGACACAGATTCTGGGGACAATCCTCTCCGCAGAGACTTGGGCATTGATGGCCGCATTCGAGAGTCAAGTTACATCGTGTGTCGCAAGGAAGTCGGTCACATGGTGCTGCGCATGGCATTGAGCAGGAACCTTGGTGAAGGCATGACCAGGCACATCTTTCGATGCACGGTGCACATGCTTCTCCGCAGCTTGAGTCGCACTGTGAGTGTGAACATTGAACCTGTTTTCGTGATTAGAGCTCTTAAGATGGTGCCAAGATGGATAATTTAATGGGTATTACCTCGCACTTTGCCTCGCAATTACCGCAGCTTTCTCCATCATGGCATTCCTTGGGACACCTGTGATTGCAGACACCGTGTGGACGATCACACCTTCTCGTGCACTTTGGATGCTCAAACACTTTCTCCCTCTCATTAGATTCCTTGAGACACCTTCCGCAGGAGCCACTACAATTGTGACCGCAGCTAAGGATTGTGGTGCAAGGCTCCGCACAAAGGAAGAGTTCAGATGTGACATCCATGAAGCAACCAACCTGGACTTTATGAGCACACTTGGGAGCTGTCTTTTCCACCTTGACGTCACACTTGATGGCTTTCAAGTTGTGCATCTGATGACACATGACAGTATTCTTGATATGACCGCAGGGAAGCTCCACGTCATTAATCCTCGTCATGCAAAGACCGCAATCTTCACCGCAGAGCTTGGGGCACTTGTGCTCACAAGATGAACGAATTCGTGGGCAAGGTTTGCCGCATGCAAAGCCGTCGTGCATGACTGATGAATGGCACTTTGCCTGGCATTGATGACCGCATGGCTCAAGTCGACGGTCGCATGGGAGGCTACATCCACCTTCAGGGCTCTTTCTCTCAAAGTCTTGCGGCTCGGAACAGAGAATAGGCGTGTCTGAGTGGCGAGGGCAGCATAGTGCCAACTCTGTACCGACTGCATTCGTGCGGGCGAGCTGAGAGTGAACATCAGCCCACATTGGGACATTGAGGTATGTCTCAGCATTTCCAATCAAGTACATGCCATGCTGAGCTCGGCTGAGAAGCACGTTGATGCGGTTTTCGGTGCGTAGGAAGCCAACTTGGCGCTTCGAATTGCTGCGAACAAGGGAGACAACAATCACCTTTGCCTCTTCACCTTGGAAATTGTCAACCGTAGCAAGACGGAGCGTCTGGAGCAATGTCTTCTTTTCGATTGTCCTTTTACCCTGTGGCTGGGGAGTCTCATTTTCGAGAGGGTTACGGGTCTCATCTTCAAATGTCTCGAGCCCATCCGCCGCCAAAGTCTCCAAGTCCCGCTCGCTGAGACAAATTTCGAAGTCATTGCTGAGAGATGCTCTCAGTTTCCGTAGCTGTCCAGTATATGGGGTGAGGAGGGCGATATCTGTGCTTTTGTACTCCCCCTGCCGAACAAGGTGACGTACCAGAGCGGTAGCCATATCGACCTCCCACTGGTTGCTATGAGACTTCACACGGCTGCCGTCATCTCTCGAGTCCTCGTCACATCGATGGTCCAGCCAGAAGAGGTTATGTCGCATTCCAACAACATTAGGTAGAGCTGTGACGCTCTCATGATCCTCGAGCTTTGGATACACACTCCTGATAAGCTGCGAGATCTCAGGTCTCATTCTTCGCTGTACATTGAGTTGTGCAACAGATACAGGCCTGAGACCTGGCTCGCCGACAGCACGTCTCTCAAATTGGCTCCTGTCTAGCTGCCAATTCCTTCCAATTGGTGTTTCAAGGCTGAGTGAGTGATTTTGAATCTGTGGTCGCAGCTGTCGGTGATCACCAATTTGGATGAAGTGCTCAACACCCGGCATGAGAGCTGAGATGACATGAGGTTCCATCACCTCAGCTGCCTCTTCACATATGATGACTTTCGTTCCTATGCGGCGTAGTGTCTCAATATTGCGTGCAAGGCCCGTGGTTGTGATGCCCACCACATCCGCCTGGATCAGGGCTCGACGGTTGATCTCTTCGTGCACTGCATTTATCTCTCCACGAAGTTTTGCAGCACGATCAAGGGCCTCAAAAAGTGAAGCAGTCTCACTTTTCTGCCATAGCTTGAACCAGCTAATCGCAAGGATCCGGCGCTCCGGCATCGAGAGACTGTGGATATTTTGCTCGGCACTGCGTGTGAGGCCTTCAAAGCGCAAATTGTCAACCTCATTTTCACCCTGGGCTGTCTGACTTTTCAGCGATTTTACCCCAAGCCAGCTGAGTAGTACATCGTCGGTGACAGTCTGGAACCCCTCCAGATCTGGCTGCTCCAGCTGCCTATGTATAATGGGCCATTTGCGGCGCAAAAAATGCTCCAATGCGGCCCAAGTCAGGCCTTTCTGGAACTGATGTAGAGGCTTTATTGAGTACCCAGCTTGTTTCATACACTCTTCAAGCTCTCCGTAGTTTTTGCCGAGGGTCTGAGACTCTACCCTTGTCTTCCCGATGGTTTTGCTGACAACGCGAAGGTTCTTGCCTTCAAGTTCAGTGGCCTGACTGCGGCCGCCAATACGCATAATTTTCTCGATACCAACATCAAGAAGATGCTTCAAGAATTGATCCAAGGCATGGTTTGTATAGCAGCTGTAGTTCAAGTAAGTAAAGATACAAGAAGGCCGGAAAATCAGTACTCACATAACCAGAATTGGCCCCAACTTTGTCTGAGACTTGATGTCGAGGAGAGCTTGAACGAGTTTGACACCCACATAAGACTTTCCAGTTCCCGGTGGGCCTTGTATGAGGGCATACTCTCGTGTAAGAGCAGCTATAAGCCCCTGGCATTGGCCATGGTCGAGACCAGTTTGAGTTTGTAGTTTCAAGATGTCAATGGTTTTGGGAGTATTTGGGTCCAATCCGACCTTATCAGCTCCAACTTTTGTGATCGAAGTCAGGGGAAAAACAAATCCCGGCTTGCGAGCGTATGCTGGCGGGGGTATGTTGTTGCCGTCCCCATCGTCTTGACGGCCTGGCAAAACCCATTTCCGGAATGTCAATTCCCCCTCGCGTTGAACTCGTTGAAGGTTTCTCAGGATGGGGGTAAATGTGGCAGGGATCAACCCGTGGAAGTCGACAAGTATACCGGTGAGCTTCTCGCTGTAAAGCTCGCCCAGGAACACCAAGCTTTGCTCTAGGCATGCAGCAAGTTTGACCGTAATGCTAGGTGAAAGTCTGTCAGAAACAAGGCTACTTTTCTTCTGGTCCGCTCGGTCCTTGGATGCATTCTTGACAGTGACGTCGAAGAAGATAAGCCTTTTTTGAGTTCCTTGCGAGGTTAAGAAGCACACCAGACTTCCTTCCTCTAGTTGACTGGAGTCTTGCCACCATCTGCATTGCTCGCTGGAGGACTTTTTGCGGAGTTGCGGAGGAGGAGAGAAAGAAACATTTGCTTCAAGCTCATTCTTCGCATTGATAAAGATATGCGGGATTTTCGCTCCCAGATAAAGACGTGTTCCGCTATTTTTGCCTGAGATATAAGGATTACGCGCCAGGTCATCCTGTTGGAGCAGATCTTGAAGGGCATCCTTGGCTGAGCCGAAGATGTCATGACGCAGAAGCCGGAACATAGAGTCAATGTATCTCTGAAGAGGGTCAGCGAGAAAGTGCGGCTGAAGAAAGTTGGTAGACGGTAAATATTCCGAGTTTCCGCTCACAATCTCCCCGTGAGTTGGAAGAATCTGAATTTGAGATATTTCTGCGAGGTCATTGTCGTGTCTACCGCCAGGGATTTGTATATCCATTGGGAAGGATGATTGGACTTGCCCAGCCTTCTGGGGATTTGCTTCAGGCCCTCTGAGCGGGGCAAGACTTCGGTTTGCGCTGGTGATCAGGCTCTGCATGACTTCTATTCTGCTTTCAAATCCGTCAAGATCGGCCTTGGAGCATGTTCCTGTCAGTTTTTGGACCAGTTGACGGGTGAGCTCGAGTAGTGCCGGAAGGTCATCGTGGAATCGAGCCCGTTGGACTCTTGACAAAAGCTGATAGAGGGCATTCAAAAGCAACTTCATTATGTCCGGAAGTATGGGAACATCGTCTCCGGTATCCTCCCATCTGTTTATCAGCTTCCGACAGACGCTTCTCAAAAATGCGACTGCTCGATCTCCATTTGTGCCACCGAAAGATGTGTATAGAGTGCCAACAAATGAATCGACAGAAAGGCAGTTCAAAAGAGAAGGATGGGTGATTACTTTGAGAAACGGCTCATCGTAAGCTGAGACAGATTGAAGACCCTCTGGGTGATCTGAGTCTGCAGTTGCAATGATAAGCTCATGTCCATGAAAGTTGTCATCGACGAGGTCTTTGACGAGGAACTGGTGATTCTCTCTGTTGTCGCTTTCAAGAATGTCGAGAGCACCGTTCCAGAATTGAAAGATCTCTTCATGCTCTCTTCGAGAATACCCGGGCCCAGAAATCCCATTTCTAAGACGCCTCTTCCAATCGAAGTATTGGTTTCGAGCGTCTAGGTCGTCGGCTGTAGGCTGTAAACCCTTTGGATTAGGTCTGGCATCGGTAGCCCGGGTCACTTCGTGCAAGAATCTGCAACGTTCACCATAGTGACACCTGCCACGCTGGAAATACAGACAGGGGGTTTCCGGCTGGTTATTACTTCTGAAGTTGTTCGACCCCCTTCGGTTGCTCGGATAGCCCCGAGGTCGCCAATTTCCGCGAAAAGTCATCTTAAGAGGAGATGGAGGGTGTACTGGACTGGAGGTGTAGTTCTGGTAAAATTGAAGGTACTTTGAAGCTTCCTGTGATGGGAGATGGGAGATGGTTTGGATAATGTAGTAAAGTGGGTAGTTATCGTTGAAAAAGAATTAGGTTGGCTGTAGATATGGTTGTTTGAAGATGGAAGGTTTTATGAAATAGTCTAGCATACGCCGAACCGTATCTGCTTTGATCGAAAATACATACTGCTGCCTTGTACTTTGGAATCTGTATATAGTATTCCATGATAACAGCCTCGAATAAAAAAAGCCTGCTACCGTTGGTTAGGCGTTTTCCATGGTACCTCTGCCATCTGCGGCAAACAAATCAGCCTCGCGATTCCTCTACGAAAATGACTAGAAGTGCAGATGCTTTGCAAGAGACAATTATAGCCAATCCTTGTAAGCTTCACTTTGCGCAATCTAGAGGCACAGTACTAATTATTCAAACCTACAGGATGTTACAAGTCTTGGCGTACGTGTAACGGTTGAAAGGTGCGATTTTGCACTTCGATTAGATGCGCACGAGGAGATCGCATTCATGCACGCCTTAGTGAGGCCTGAATTCCATGCACTGCCTGCACGCCTCACTGGGTTTTTCTTACAGTATTCACTAACAAGCGCTTGGACTCAACTCTAGTCAAAATTCGCCTTCAGCTCCATTATTGTATTGGACATCGAATCTCATGACGTGCCCCCCGCTCCCCCCAAAAAAAAAAAGAAAGAAAAAGAAAAAGAAAAGGAAAAAGAAAAAAAACCCTAGATACGGAAAGTATCCAATTTTGCCGAGACATCCAAAGCACCCATGCAATCACCAGAGCCAGGTTTATCTCATAGGTCCATAGAGCTCTACGTGGCGGTACGTCGCGTCGCAAAGCCACAACCAACGGATCCAGGGGATTGGCTAGCCTACGCGCCTGCATGTTTGAACCGCGGCGATACCCAAAGGCCAAACAAAACGACAGGGATTTTGAGGTGTTTTCGCTATTGGTTAATAGCGGCTAGGCGCAGCATCTACAGCTTCCAACATACCCCATCAGGAGGAGCAAATGCTACCTTTTGTAACTCTAGGTTCTGGATCGGGCCGTATGAACGGGTTTCTTGGCATGGCGCATGAGCCGCACCGGAAAATAAACCTCAGTCATAGTCATTCTAGACGTTGTCTTCAATTTTCTCAGGTTCTATGTCTATGTACATGTGTCCTTCATGTCACACGTCCCTTACGGGAACGGATTATAAGTACCATTTCCAAAGCAAGGTCCATCAATCGCATACCCACTAACGTTCTTCATCGGAATACCCTCCTCCCCAAACCTCAATACATCACCCCCATAATGATAAGGGTGCCATCCAATAGCAGGCGGACCCTTTACGGGATCCTTCATAAAAGCCAAGATATGGTCCTGCATCACTTGACTCGTCTTCGCCTCCGCCGCGGAAGGCCCAACTGTAGCATTCGTCACGTTATAGTAGTACGTTCCAAAGTTCATCACCAGATCCGATGAATGATAAGCTCCGAGCCATTTATAGGGGTTCTGATTTGCCCACTGGCCGGCGTATTGGTACCGGTATGTGGTAAGGTTTGCGGCTGTGCGGATGAGGCTTGTGTTTGCTGTTGGGCAAACCCAGTCTTTCAAGGTTCCTGCGTTGACGGTGGGCTGATAGGGGCCTGCGGAAACGTTCGAGGATGGCCAAGTTACTAGGTCTGCGTCGTTGTTGGCCGCGTCGGAGAAAATGGCGGGTCGTGGTGAGATCTTCCCTGCTGCTGCGCGAGCTGGGTAGTCAGAGAACAGGTAGACGTTGTCAACGATGGGGCCAAAGGTCAAGCCGGGGCTTCCACTGTACTGGCCGATGTAATTCTCTATCTGATCCATTGAAACTTGCTGCATGCATTGCAGTTCTGCAGTTGCGTCATTGGGGAAGTCGCAGCCTAGGTTCTTGGCCACGAAGGTGAAGTTCGACTGGGCGAAGTCGGTTGAGGTCACTGATTTGACTGCCGTTCCTGACTGCGAGAAACTGCCTTGGACAATAGGCTTGTCCCAAAATGCATAGTTGTGGTAGTCGGTGCTTATCGCGCCAGCAGATTGTCCCCACATGGTGATGGCTTTGGGATTTCCGCCGAAGTTGCCAATGTTTTCATGCACCCATTCTAGCGCCATGCGCTGATCCAAGAGAGCTGGGTTGGGATTGTCGAGGCCTGCTGCGTTGGGATAGCCAAAGATGTTGACGCGGTAGTTAATTGTCACAACAATGTGTTCCTGCGTGCGGTTCACCCATGGTGCAGGAATCTGGCCTGGCTCATCGATACCGCCAGTCTTGAAGCCGCCGCCAGTCATAAAGAATATAACAGGCAGCTTTGATTTGGGTGAAACATCGTACGGGGTCCAGATAGCCAGGCTGAGGCAGTCCTCAGAACCTGTCTGTAGGCTGAATCCCGTGGAATGGTTCTGGTTTCCATTGTTGGCATCCAGATACGGAGTGAAGAGATTGAAAAAGGTGGGTTTATTTGAGACGAATTGCGGACACGAGGGAGGGAAGCGTGTAGAGTAGTAGTGTTTCGTCGACTTCGGCAGACGCTGCGGAGGCTTGAAACGCAACTCACCTACGGGAGGTTGCGCAAAGGGAATATTGCGGAATTCCCGGACACCGCTGTAATCGTCATTCTGGAGACCAGTGAAGACTCCGGTGTCGGTCTGCACTGTCAGGGGACTTCGAGCGGCCGTAAGGCCGAATATACCTGCCCAGAGAATAAAAGACTTCATGATAGCGGGAAAATCTTAGCAGTAATGACGCAGCACTGGACATGGGAGACCTGTCCTTTTTATTTCCTGCATAACAGAATTCATTTCCCCAACTTCCGAGGCCAAGCTTCAATGACAGAAGATGTGGAGAAGGAGCTCGGAAGACCCGAGGGTACAATCTTTACCCATCTATACTCATTTAGGAACGATCGACAATGCAGGCACCTGGCTCAATTTTAGTCCGCATAAAGTCGGATGTTCCAAGGCGCACGGCGGTTTGAACGTTGTAAGTACAGTAGGTCCTAGTTTCTCCGGGAACCAGTTACGAAACGAACTACAAACAGTCCAATAAATGCTTCAAGAGAACTAGCCTCGTTGTATTCTGTCTTCGTACATGAATATAAAACTTTACGACAGCCAATGAAAGACGATAGGAAACATGCGTATCTTTTCAATGCACATCTACCGCTTCTTGATGCTGACATCAATGTTGCCAATGACCCATATGGCAAAGAAAGTAGTCACTAGGCCAGCGAATATGGTAAGCGGCTTGCGCAGGGCATCCGTCAAGGTGTGGTCATAGATCACCTAGACTTGAATTAGCATATTGTTCAAGGCCACTCTTTGGGTAAATAAGACTCACCACCAGCTGCGCATCGCGCGCTTCGTCGGTCAGGCTGTCAACCTCCAGGGTCAATGTAGTCCGGCCGAGGGTGTCCATATAGGTTTTAAAGGACGACAGAGTGGCCTGGATCTGGTTCGCACTAGGCAGACCATTGCTGTTGGCGCCCTCGACAAGTTCGTAGCGAACATTGTGCGCACCTTCGGGCAAAACCAGACGAACAACAACGCGCTCGTACTGAATACCCTCAGACATCTTGGGACCCTGGAGGAAAGGCACCTTAAGAGCGTAAGAGTCGGAGCCCTTGATTTGACGCAGGAAGCGACCCAAGTCGTTGTTCCAACCCACCTTGAAGCTGTAGTTCCAGCCACCAAAAATCGGATAGCGGGGCTTAAGCTCCAGGTTAGCACCGGTCTTGCCATTGCCGGGGCGGTACCTGCTGGTCGAGACGTTACCGATGTCATCGGTAAAGTAGGGGTCAACGGAGCCAGGCTGCAGAGGATAGGTGATCTCGCGCACCGCCGAGCTCGGAGCCTTCTGGTAGTTGGAGAAAGTCCACTCGACACGCGAGAAGTGGTTCGCCAGCTCCGAGCCGTTGTTACGAAGCCAGTATCGCTCCTCGGTAGCCAGATTACCTCCCCAGTGCGAAACTTCCACATCGCGCTCGAGGAGATGGGCGGTGATGACGGGGTTGGTGAACTCGTAGCGGACGGTGATCGGGTACTCGGTGCCCGGGGCCACCTTGGCGGTCTCGTACGGGCCGTAGGTGTAAGTGGTGCCCTTGCGCTCCGGGTCGGCGCCGGTCTTGAGATCCGAGGTCTCTGTGTAGTCGGCCACGTTGGTGCCGGGGAACTTCAGCTTGGTCTTCTGCGTAACAGTTTGATAGGCTGAAGGGACGTAGGCGGAGAAGCTGTAGGTAAGGTATTGCTTGTCGTTCTGCTGGATGACAGAGGGGCGCGGGGCCAGAGAGTTCAAAACGGAGTAGGAGATTCCAAGGGTGATCTGGGATTTCGGGGCCAATGGCTCGGGGAAGTGAACGACAAAGAACTGATTGCCACTGTTGGAATTGAAGAGTTAGCGACGGGTCCACGCGACAGGCCCAGCTCATGTCGAAGCCATTGGCTCATCCAGTTAACACCTACCTGGATGACACAATCTCAGTAGCATCCACCTCGAATCTTCCTGCGTCGGTCGCCTTCTTATCCCGAACTTCAAAGCCACCTACGCGGTTAAAGACATCCGAAGGGAAGGGGATATAGTAGTCGCTTTGCGGCTGCTTGTCGACATTCTCCACGACAACATTGATAGTCTCACGAACATAACTCTTCTCCAGATTGGTGTTTCGAACCAAATTGGTGTTTTTGAAGACCTGCGGAGGCTTGAAGTCTAACGGGAGAACGAGCTGGGTGGCAGTGCTTAGGTTGGATGCGGCAGCCAGGCTGGGCATAAGTAGCCCGAGAACTGAGGCAGTGAAGAACCTCATGATGACTGAGGGTATCACGCCGGAGAACAGGTTCTCCGGAAGGGGAGCAAAAAAGCAAAAAGACGAGGTGGAGGTGGGAGGTGAATTTGGACGGATGAAGCTGATGAGGTGTCCCCATGTATACGCAATACGGCGGGCGTAGCGGCCATAAAGTGCACTCCGCTTTCTTATCGCTCGGATAACAGCTTCTCCTCATTTCTCCTCTTCGATCTACATTCCTTCTCTGCTTCTACATCTCCCTCGTTTCACTATGTTTGCTATGCAGGCAGCTTTTCGGTCTAACTGCTGGAGGGCAGCACGGCTACCCCGTGTTCGCTGTTTGCATGACCTTAATAAACACCCTCAAAGCAAGTTCTTGCAGGTATCAGAAGAAGTCCGTGATGCTGTCGCGACAGGGAAGCCCGTCGTTGCGCTTGAGACGACCATTTATACTCATGGTGAGTGATATAATAGAATTGAAGCTTTTCGGTTGATTTCAAGGAGAGCAAGCATAGCTAATATAGCGTCAGGCTTCCCATATCCCGACAACGTTGCTCTGGCGTCGCTGTTGGAATCTGTCGTTCGAGTGAACGGCGGTGTTCCTGCGACCATTGGAATTATCGGCGGTGTTGCAAAAGTTGGCATGAGTGCAGAAGAAATTATAGAGCTGGCCTCTACTGTGGAGAATGCCTCCGCCTTGAAGGTTTCCCGCCGAGATTTGGGGTACATCTGTGGCATGGTATGAATACGCTAAAAGACCTATCAAGCTTCAACTAATGCATCGATAGGGCCTGGCTGGAAAGCGTATTCATGGTGGAACCACAATCTCGGGCACCATGATTCTCTCTGAGCTTGCAGGAATCAAGATCTTCGGGACTGGTGGCCTTGGTAAGTTTTATGCCAGATGACATGTATAATATCTAACATTGTCTGCAGGTGGTGTCCACCGTGGAGGAGAGAATTCAATGGACATTTCTGGTAAATGATGCATCTTCTGCTATGCCTGCCAAAGTGCTAATGCCCTTTTCAGCTGATCTCACTGAACTGGGCCGAACCCCTGTGACGGTCATTAGCTCCGGTTGCAAGAGCTTCCTGGATATTCCTAGGACGCTTGAGTACCTTGAGACCGAAGGTGTCTGCGTCGGTACCTTTGCCGATGGACGTGAGGGATCCGTCGACTTCCCCGCGTTCTTCACGCGAGACAGTGGCTTCCGCAGCCCGCGGACTATCCAAAATGAGGCCGAGGCTGCTGCTATCGTCTGTAAGGACACCCTCTTCTTTTATCCTCAGTGGGAAACTGACATCCATAGATGCGCAATCTAAACTCCCCGTCATGTCTGGCATCCACTTCGCCAACCCCGTCCCCTTGGAATCATCAGTGTCTAAGCCCGAGATGGATCGTATCATTGAAGAGGCTGTCCGTCTCGCCAATGTAGAGGGCTACCATGGTAGCGATAACACTCCATTTGTTCTAGCTAAGATCAAAGAGCTGAGCGGCGGAAAAAGTGTGATTGCAAACCGGGCTCTAATTGAAAACAACGTTCAGCGCGCTACACGAGTCGCCGTGGAGCTTGCTAAGCTCGAGGAACAAGACCGAGAATATGCGGCTCGGTGAGTTGGGCTTTTTAGATACATAAATACATTCATTGCTAAGTTTGGAGATATTCTTCCGTATAGACACATGCCTGCAATCCCAAACATTGTCCAGCCAAACCATGATACCGCCAAGCCCCAAGACGCTTTCAAGGCTGCCCAGCCCGCAGCTCCTCCGCAGGTTGAAATAGCAGATGTCATGGTTGCTGGCTCTCTCGCCATTGATCTGTCCTGTGACTTTACGCCATTCCACAATGAACTGGCCTTAATCGCACCCGTGCCTCATACGTCCAACCCAGCCGTCATCGGCCAAAGCCTTGGAGGCGTAGGCCACAACGTCGCCCTCGCAGCTACCTACGTCGGCAGTGACGTTCTCTTCTGCAGCGTTGTAGCCGACGACTTAAGTGGCCGCGCAGCACTGGCATCGCTCGAAAAAGAAGGCCTCAGCACCGCAGGTGTTCAAGTCCTTCCCTCAACACCAGGAACACGCACTGCCCAATACGTCGCCATCAATGATGCCAAAAAAGACCTCGTCGTCGCGATGGCTGACATGGGCATCGTCGAGCTCCCAGAACACCGACTCGACTTTGACGGCTTCTGGGAGCCTTTAATGGAACGCACCAAGCCCGCCTGGGTCGTCGTCGACGCTAACTGGCACCCAGAGGTTTTGAAAAAATGGAGCACAATCGCTCGCAAGCACGGTGCTCGCGTCGCATTCGAGCCCGTTTCAACAGCGAAATCCCGCCGTCTCTTCGGTCGCGATGCTACCGGTACATGCGCGACTATTGGTCCAGAACAAGTAGTTCCCAACCACACCATTAGCCTCGCCTGTCCGAACCGCCTGGAGCTGACCTCAATGTATGCCGCGGCGCGTGAGACAGACCTCTTCGAGTCCCGAGGCTGGTGGGCCGTCATCGACGCGATGAATCTATCCCCAACAGGTTCTCGCGAGCGTCTTGTTTACGTGACATCCGCTGCGCTCGTCGACCAGGGAATTCCGCAACAATCAATCCAGCTCCTTCCCTTCATCCCATGCATCATCACGAAACTTGGTGAATCTGGCGCTCTTCTAACTCAACTCTTACCCCCTGGTGATCCCCGTCTCACGGACGCAGAGTATGCGCCGTATATCCTTGCCCGCGCACAGGCTTCCGACGCGCCTTTCGGTGGTGTTTATATGCGGTTGTTCCCTCCGGCTGTGAACTTGGATCCTGAGGATGTAGTTAGTGTGAATGGAGCTGGTGATACACTTCTTGGGGTTACGGTGGCTGGGTTGGCGAAGAAGGGTGATGCTGCGCGCGTTGAGGATGTGATTTCTGTTGCTCAGGAGGCGAGTCGGAGGACGTTGACTAGTGCTGGGGGTGTGAGCCAGGAACTGGTTGGTCTTCGGGGTACTATGGGGCTTTAGCTGATTATTTATCTGTGGAGCGTCTTGTGATATCCCGGTACTTTATCTAGCATGTACATATACTTAGCGAGGAATTGGGGTTCGTATATATCAAATAATTGTACGCTTCCTACTACGTTAATAAGCATATTAAGGTCGAGCCTCCTTTTTAATTCCCTGCCTAGGGCTGAATCATGAAGTTGGAGAAAAGGGTCACACCTAGTAAGATTACTATATAGAAAGGTGAAGTGATATCAGTTTTGAGTTCCAGTGGAGTTCTATTCATTTTGAGGTTGTATACAATTTTCTTGACTTTGACATTCTAGGCAAGTGTCTCTTTGAAAATGTTTCCTTTTGAAAAACAATGTCTAGAATCATAAACTCTTATCGTGGGCGCGATCACAAATTTTAGTCTGGCATAGAAGACATCATTTCTCTAGTTACTTCCCTGTCTCCTACCTTTTCAAGCTCCCGAGTTTCTTGATGTTTCGATCTTACATTAAGCGACTGCCAAGTTCGCCGAAACGCCACTACATCCAATGAGCAAACAACCGGACAATCTACGTCACGCAACAACGCAATTGTAATATTGGAATCATTTCGATGCCAATGAGCGCTTGCTTTCAGGCACTCTAATCACATAGCCACCACTTCGCCTTAGGCCCCGCCATTTCTGTTTCCTCGGCGATCAAATGGTCTAACACTAATCCAAAACAGGCGCAGTTGTTCTCAGGATAATAGCAGTGGCTTCCAAGCCTGCGTTATCCGAAGTACTCCACACGAGGTGCCACCACCCATTCTTGCCGGTTGATTTTGCGTAGAAGTTTCCGCCGGTTCGGTTTATCAGCACAGTTGAACCATACAGTGACCAGGCATTTGTGATCGTCTCAGTGTCTGCACTGGAGATAGAAACAGAATTAATGCTGTTGAATGTGACCGGGTTGGTAACAGAACTGCTTTCTTTCAAGCACAGCAGGTTTGTGGTGGAGGTGGTAGACGAGCCGAGTGCTGCGAAGGTACGGGTGGATTGCGTTGTATTGGCGTGGGCAATCCAAGTCGTGCGATCATTGCTAGAGTAAGTCACTAGAGAATTAAATGAGCATCTCTGTATATTCCTGATGAAATTTTCAGCTCTCACCATACATAGGGACTTTGTTAGATGCATTGGACAGCGACATGTCGCCAATCTGAGCTTGACCTACACAATAAATTATTAGTCGATCAAGTATCGAGACTATTGTAGGGAGTCAAACCATCAGCATAGAATACATGCAATCCATTGATGTCTTCACCGTAAGCATACAGGCTGAAGGGATTTCCATTGGACTGTCGCTCTTCTAGAGGTTGTGCCGAGCAGAAGAGCCCGAAGGCTGCCACAAAGGCAGGTAGAATGAAGGTAAAAAACATTTGGGAGATATCTTGAGTATCAAATAGTGCTTCTTAAATAAACAATGTATCTGGGGGCACAATTCTAAACGCCGGAAGTTATAAAGCCGGAAGCCGGATGGCCCAGCCTCATTATATTCTCCCTCCCCAGGTGCCTAGTTTACGACGAAAGGAAGCCCTAACTAATGCTATTCAATGAGAAACGGAGATAGTACGTACTTGTCAAAGACATACCAAGGGCTTTCCATGCAAGCTTACATATTACGTCTTCGTTCTCCCAGATTAGAATCTTGACGGGTCCCCTACATCCATGTCACGGCTATCCCTATACGGCGCTGACGTCGCTGAGAAGGCAGTATTAGACTTATAACTCTGAGAGCTGACGACAACCTGTTTCAAAGACTATAATTCACTATGCCTTGTACCGATTAGCTGGCTTTCTTGTTTTTGTTGTATCATGATGGTTATACAGAACCGCCACGACACGCGGCAAGGCCCTGTCTCACCCTAATGCAATTCAATCTTACAACACCCGAAGTAGCGGATTGGCACTTGCCCCGTTCCCTATTACTGAGCAGCTGATGTTTCCATCAGTGATCGGAACACGAGATCGCGGCCCCTGCGCCGGGGATCTTAGAAACACGATTATAGCCACATAATCGGAGGGCCTTGTAGTGAAACCACACGTTTTTAGTGGCCAAGGATACGAATGGCTCAGACCAGGCTGCTGGAATAAACACGAGATTACACCTTATGACCTTCAAGAAGTAGGCATTCTTTTTACGACTCACGAGGTCCTGACACCAGTCCACTCAAGATGGGGAACCACCCACCAAGACAATGTCCCACTTCCCTGCTGAAACCAATAACCTAGTCAAGGCTGCCTATATATCCCATCAGAAAATATATTATAATGAGCAACTCTCTTCCGGCCTCAGCTGCAAGTCAGCTAGGAGATCCTAGCAAGGGTCCAAGATGTCCTGTCTTGGGAGTACGGCCCTTCGCATTGAGGGTCTTCGAGTCGACTCTGCTGATTGTACGAGGTATATAGCTGGACAATGGGTTCGCCGTCCAATTTCGTTCAATTCAAGTCTCTACTAAGAATAAAACACCGTTACAATTTTTATCCTTTGGATAGTTTTAAATCATCATGAAGCTCTCTCGTCTCGCTTTTCTGGCGCAAGCTTTCAGTGCGGCTACTGTCTACTCCCAGAGCCTTACCAGAGTAATCCCCAACTGGCTAATTTCTACTGGAATTCCGACTGGAATTATTCCATCCTTTGTGACAAGAACGCAAGACTCATCCGCTAGTCCATCCGTGACCGCTTGCCCTGGCAACGCGCCCAACAAGAGAGCTGTCTGGTGCAACTATAGCATTGATACTGACTACGAAAATGTCGTTCCTGATACTGGCAAGACCCTCGAGTACTGGTTCGACATTGACGAAGTCACCATTTCACCCGACGGCTTTGCACGCCCAGTGATGGCCGTGAACGGGACCATCCCCGGGCCAACCCTTTATGCAAACTGGGGTGACTATGTCGTTATTCATGTTACCAGTCATCTTGAACGGGCCCGTAATGGATCTAGTATTCATTGGCACGGCATGAGACAAAATTACACAAACCAAAATGACGGTGTTGTTTCTGTCACTCAATGCCCCCTTGCCCCTGGCCAGACCATGACATATAGATGGCGAGCTGTTCAATATGGCTCTTCCTGGTACCATTCTCACATCGGCTTGCAAGCTTGGGAAGGTGTGTTTGGCGGTATTGTTATCAACGGACCAGCAACTGCAAATTACGATATCGACAAGGGCTCTCTGTTTTTAAATGACTGGACGCATGCAACAGTCGATGAATTATATGAGTTTCAACACCAAAATGGGCCAATTACTCTAGACAATGGCCTGCTCAACGGGACAAATGTTCTCGGAACGGGAGCAAATTCAACCAAAGGATCGCGCTTCACCATGAAAATGAACCAGGGTACCTCATACAGGCTTCGACTTGTCAATGCAGCTATCGACACCCATTGGAGCTTCATGATTGACAATCACTCTTTAACTGTTATTGCAATGGATCTTGTGCCAATCAAGCCCTTCACCACTGACATACTGAGAATTGGAATGGGTTCGTCTCCTCCTCATCCTCTTCTTCTTCATTATATTTCCCCTCTTGAAAAGTAAACTGACCATCCCTTGTAGGCCAGCGATATGATATCATTGTTGAGGCAAACCAAGCCTCCATAGCCGAAAACTTTTGGATTCGAGCAATACCGGGTGCGTCCTGTGCGTTGAATTACGAGGCAACCAATATTGAAGGCATACTGTACTATGGAAGTGCTCCTCAAACACCCAACACAGTCGGGTACACTTTGACATCCTCCGACACGGATTGTCTGGATATGTCAATGACGGATCTAGTTCCGTACCTCGCAAAGGATGTGGCGGCACCAGTCTGGAACAAACCCGAAAACGTGTCATTAAACCACCTTACAGGACCTTTTTTCTGGGAAATGAACAGTACTTCGATGAAGATTAGTTGGGAGAACCCAACTTTGGGACAAATCTACAACAACAAGATGAACTTTACGGCTTCAAGTGGAGTCATTGAGCTACCCTTCGAGGATGAATGGGTGTACCTCATGATCAAGACAACACTTCCAGTAACACACCCAATCCATTTGCACGGGCACGACTTCTCTATCTTGGCACAGGGAACTGGCTCTTACAATGGATCAGTCATGACAAATAATCCCCCTCGTCGAGATACAGCCATGCTCCCTGCGATGGGGTATCTCCTTCTCGGCTGGCAGACTAATAATCCTGGTGCATGGTTGATGCATTGTCATATAGGGTGGCATATTGAAGAAGGATTTGCGTTGCAGTTCATTGAACGCTATGATGATATCAAATCGTTAATTGATTACAATGAGCTGCAAAGTGTTTGTGAACCATGGGATGCATATGATACAAGTGCGAACATCACGCAAATTGATTCGGGTGTATAGATGGTGAGTTTTTCATTTTATTTTATTTTTTTATAAAGTCAAAGAGCAATCGTACCTTGAGCTAGAGCATAAATATTTGGTCCGTTTTTGCCCTCATTCTCGAACCTATAAACGCTTTTAGATCTTTATTTCTCGATGGGTCAGCAGACTTATGTGGTTTATCAGCCGTTCCTCGGGGCACAAGGCAACCCGGCAATATACTCCATAGTACTTGCTGAAAAGATACTGCAGTGGACCAGCCCCAGTCCGATGCAGGCGCTGCAGATACCTATCACATTGTGGAGACAAACCCAGCAGAATATGAAGACACCAGTTTAAATACAGGGGTCTTATTTCTGCTTGCTTACGCTAGCCCATACAAAGAGCCATCACAAGGTATTCCGTCAAAATCTTCAGCTTCTCATTATTCGTCGATAATAGTTTCTTCCATGGATTTATCGAGCAATTCATCTGCGACAAGATGAAACAATCGGCCTATTTGGACGAACGTGCCCGAAAATCGGGACTGATCGGCTTGTACATGAACACGGAAACAAGCTTGTTCCACCTTCGAGCCGAGATGGGGCCGCGTTGGCAACCTGACCTGGATATGGTTCCGACGTTCTTCATGGTCCATCTCACAAATATGAACTGAACAACTATGCTCCTAGGTATGTCTCGAGATTCACGGGATTGAAATTAGCTCAAGTTATCCTTCCGAGGTTGCTCGATTCGGAGTATATATCATTAGGTGTGGTCCGACCGCAAATCTAAAAACTGGACAATCGGGTGCTTATTTTTGGGCATTTATGTACGCGCAAAAATTGGATCCTCGAGACAATTACCTGACATTGCCTCGGTTCAAACTGTTAGTAGCTCGATAATTGAACGTGGAGCTCCGGAGCGCGTTGAAACAAGGCTTGGTGTTCCTAGATATAGGGCGCGTTCCTGCATTTGAAGAACGGGAGATCCAGCATTCCAAATCACCCCTGACCACACACTCTTTTCTCTTTCGCTCACAAGCACATTTATTGGCTTCGGGGTACAATTTTGGGGATGCTGCTTCAAGCTGCTCTCATTTTTCTAGCGCTGCAGGCCGGCGTCGTCCAGGCCGATCTCTCAGCTCGAGCTGGCCCTCTCGTTGACGCGACATTCGACTACGTAGTCGTGGGTGGTGGCACGGGCGGAAATGTTGTGGCAACTCGACTCGCGCAGCATGGGTCTAAAGTCGCATTAGTCGAAGCTGGAGGACTCTATGAGCTTGAGTCAGTGGTAGAAGTCCCCGCGGCCGATGTACTCCCCTGCGGCTCGGATCCGGGCACTCAGTCTGCTGTGGATTGGGGGTTCGTGACGCATGGTCAGCCAGGTGCAAATGGGCGATCTATTCATTATGCTCGTGGAAAATGTCTTGGCGGATCGTGAGTCCTCGGTTTCGAGGTCTATCCGGATGCTTATAGCTAATGCATTTCGTAGATCTGCACTGAATTTTATGATCTACCAACGGTAAAGAGTCCCCGATTTTTGAAAGAGTACATGCGCTAATCTTGAAATCAGGCCAACGATTGAATCAATGCAGCAGTGGGCCGATACGGTCAACGACAGTAGCTATACCTTCGATAAAGTTCTCCCGTACTACAAAAAAAGCGTTCAGTTCACAGCACCGAACACCCAATACCGCGCATCCAACGCCACTGCAGCTTATGATGCAAATGCTTTCGAGTCAAGTGGCGGCCCACTACAGGTGTCCTATGCCAATTATGCTATGCCTTTCTCTTCCTGGATGAAGTTGGGCATGGAGGCAATTGGCATCAAGGAGAAGGAGGATTTCAACTCGGGCTCTTTGATAGGAGCACAGTATTGTTCATCAACCATTGACCCTTCGGATGAGCTTCGCAGCAGCTCTCAGTCTTCTTTTCTAACCGAGATTACCCCGTCTACTTTGACCACTTATAGCTCTACACTGGCGAAGAAAATCGTTTTCAACCCCCAAAAGAAAGCCACCGGTGTGCACGTGACAGGGCTACTTGGAAACACTGTTACTCTTCACGCATCTAATGAGGTTATCATCTCTGCTGGTTCTTTTCAGTCACCCCAGCTTCTGATGGTCTCCGGTGTCGGACCTTCCGACGAGCTGAAAGACCATGGAATTGATGTTGTTGCTGACCTTCCTGGAGTTGGCCAGAACATGTGGGATCATCCATTCTTTGCTCCCACCTACCGTGTGCAGGTTGATACCTTGACCAAGTTTGCCAGCAACCTGGTCTTTGCTGCTGAAAGCGTTATTGGTGGACTGTTGGAAAAGACTGGTCTTATCACCAACCCAGTCGCGGATTACCTCGCTTGGGAAAAGATCCCGCAGACCCTTCGCTCGCAGTTCTCGCAGAGCTCGCTAGAGTCTTTGACAAACCTCCCCAGTGACTGGCCCGAGGCCGAGGTGAGGCTACATACCCCAATGCAAAAATCGCTACTCATGCACAACTTAATAGTACATCTCCGGCGCGGGATACATTGGCAATGTCTCCAATCTCCTTGAAGACCAGCCCAAAGATGGATACCAGTACGCCTCAATCTTGGGAGTTCTGGTTGCACCGCAATCTCGCGGCAACATCAGCTTGAAATCTGCTGATACGAATGACCTGCCAATAATCAACCCCAATTGGCTTGACAGCACTGCAGACCAAGAAGTTGCCATTGCCATGTTCAAGCGCATGCGTGAGGCATTCCAGAGCGATGCTATGGCACCAGTTGTTATTGGAAAGGAGTACTATCCTGGCGAGGCAGTCCAGAGTAACGCGGATATCTTGGAATTTATCAGGAACAATGTGATGACCCTGTGGCATGCTGCTTGCACTTGCAAGATGGGCAGCTCCGATGATGAGATGGCGGTTGTTGACTCGCAGGCCCGTGTCTACGGCGTTCAGGGTCTTCGTGTGGTCGATGCCAGCGCGTTCCCATTCCTGCCTCCGGGTCATCCCCAGTCGACAGTTTGTAAGCCTGCTGTTCTAATATCTTCCTTTGAAATTAATTCTCACCTGTTGAACAGATATGCTTGCGGAGAAAATCTCAGATGCCATCATCCAGGGTCTCTAATGGCCGGATTATCGACGTAGAAACTCTTTGCAAGCACTTAAACACCTCATTGACTTTGTACATATCTTGGGTACCTTGACCCATTCAATCTTATAACTTTGTGTACTATTCAGCCCAGAATTTCTGTCACTTGAAGGATCGACGGTTAATGAGCAGTAATTGTGCCATCAAAGAGCCCGAATTGGAATCGCCCTTCAAACACGATTATAGCACATATCGGAACGCCTTGTTATCAATCTCCGTCTGATCCAACATCCCATTTTCAATGCCATCCTCTTCACTCCCCTGAACCCCAAGTGCCGCGCGATCCCGTCGCTTGTTCTCAAGGTACATATAGGCATAAAGAATAAGGATAGCGGTCAACTTGACCGAATACCCGGCAAGCATCCTGTAGAACACATCAGTAAAAGATACCACAATTCAAAAGGTAACATCACATACGCAGTGTAAGCACTATGATACCCTGGCGCCTCGCTTTCCTTAAAAGTCTGCGGCCCAATAATATTGCCAACGCAGTACCCAGTGAATAACAAGGCACCCGTGACCTGCTTCTTAGTATATCCCGCAACATTCGAGCTGACTATAGTCAAACTCATACTGAAGCCCAATCCCTGGAAATAGCATAACCAAAGTGCGACGAGACGACCCCACTTATTCGAGTCCGGAAGACCGACTAATAACCCCGAACCGAGGATGCAGACTGTATTGGCGACAACCATGCACGCAAATCTCGAATGGAATTTATCGCTGTATTTCGTTGCGACAAAGCCTCCGGATATCAGAGTCAAGAAATTCACTGCTCCGCCGGGGATCTGGAGGTATTGTGTTCCGAGGGTATCGAATCCGAAAGTACCGACGATAATGGACGTGAACTATATCTCCGTCAGTATCTTTTTTAAATGAGCGATGGATAAAACCGAAACTCACACTCGTCAAAGCCGAATTCGGCACCTGAGCCCCAATGGCCATAACAAATAAAAGCCAGGTCTTCGGATCCCGAGCAGCCTGCCACACTTGATACCACTTAAACTGATGGTTTTTCACACCCTGTTGGTTAACCGCAACGCGATCAACAGCAATGACCCTTTGTCGCTCGGTAAGGAACTTGGCGGTTGAGGGAAGATCCGGTAGAAGCCACAGCGCGAAGATACCAGTGACGATTGAAAAGGCACCGAAGATAAGGAATACGTACATCCATCGAGGGAGGGCGCTTTGGATATGTCCGACAGCGTAGCCAATAAGTCTGTTAGGTCAGTAGATGTAACTAGAACTAAGACTCGCGATTGAGATTCTTACCCGCCGAACATGGTCGCGATTCCATTCGTGCAGTAGTACGCTTCCAGGCGTAGGGGCTGCTCTTTCGAAGTATACCACATGCTCATTAGGAGTATGAAGCCGGGGTTGACGACCGCTTCGACGAGACCGAGGAGGAAGCGATTTATGGCTATTCCGGCGAAGTTGTGGCATGCCGGGGTTGTCATGAGGAGACCACCCCATACTGTTTCTGTTAGATGGTTTGACAATCTTGGGGAGTTTAGGGGATCGGACCGATTGTTGTCCATGCTAGGAATTTGCCGACCGGTAGCTTCTGAAAGGCTAATCCGGCTGGCCATTGTGCGATTAGGTAGCCGAAGTAGAAGATCGAACCTGGAAATATGCGTGTTAGTGATTCTTCCATGTATGGAACTGCAGAAACTCATACTGAGCCATGAATAATCTTGTCCCGTAAGATGCGTCCCCGCCTTGAGGCCATAGACGGACGCGAAATTGATACTATTTTTATCCAGATACTGTGCGTGTTAGCAAGGCACTCGAGATAGAGACAGCTCAGTATACCTGAATCATATATATGACGAATAACAGCGGAATCAACTGGCGATCAATCTTCCTCAAGGTCTTCTTCGCCTCTTCAGGCGTGTACTCGATATCTTGATGCTGGCGATAGAATGCATAGTTGTCATCTCGATCCGACGAAACCGCGGTGGAATTAGTAGGTGATGCCGTGGCTTCAATCTCTTTCTCGAGATCTGGCATCTCGTCTTTCCAGTCAAGTAGTAGCTCGGGGCATCAAAATCCCTTCAGGAACTGGGAGGACGGGTCTTTATAATCAAGATCAGCTCAAGCCTGTGGAGCATATCTGCACGCCATGGTCCCCATAAAACATGCCAGGGGAGCTAGAAGAATCAAGCCAAATCTGTCTTGTCAGAGGGGCATGACAAGGTGTTTTGAAGCCTTTCTGGACGACATGATTCGGTAGGGAGATGGGAGTGTGGAGGCGGTACAGGGATCGTAGTTGAGGACTTCCTGTTTTGAAGAAATCTACGGGTCGCTTAAGGCTAGTTTATTTGTCTTTGAGTTTAGTTTGTAGGGGCAGGTGGGAGAATTGCAGGGTGAGAGGTTGTCGGAAGGTGGAGGTGATCACGACATCGATGCGGCGATTGCGTGTTGGAGAAGGTCTGAACTCCTTTCTGGCTTCGTGTCGGATATGTTCCGAGGTGTTTTTGTGTCTTTACGAGCGGTTCTCTGTTTAAGTTCGTGAAATTTGCTGGTTTAGATTGGTGACTGGAATAAGGCGGTCGTAGTCTATAACAAGTAGCTGCAAGAGAAGAACTCGGAGCTGCAGTTGATTGCGGTCTTGGCTATAGGTCCTTTCTTCTTTGCTATCTATAACTTTGACTGGATTTTATCTGAAATAAGGGATATGCATTCGATCATGGAGAGATCAAACATATAGATCAGACTAAAGATTGGAGGAGACCTCGGCCTAAAGCACCGTACCTCAATTTGATCGGCATCCTCGATGCAGTTACGTCACTTCCCAATTTCTCAAATCTCATCATCACAAGTCCACTGGTAGGACTAACATGGACTTTGAAACATGCCACTCAATTCTAATTTATCAGCCTACCAGCTCCTTTAATTCAATTAGTCGAGCGAAACTTCAATGCGCGCCAGTTCATTCATATAACTTGTAAATTCTTTTTAAATTCGTTAACTATCGACCCGGAAAATCTAGAGAAGGGTCTTCATGTCCTCCATGTTACGGATACCAGCCAGGTTACCAGCCTTGATGCGCTTCAAAGTCAGAGCAGCAATCAAAGCAGCACCAACACCGGAACCATCCTCAGCGGCCATGATGTCAACCTTATCCTTCTCGTTAGGAGCCCAGTCGAGGATCTCGCGCAGAGCCTGGGCACCACGGGCCTTGAAGTGGGGATACTTGGTGAAGACGGAGCCGTCGGCACCGACGTGGCAGGACTCGATCTTCTTCTTGGTGCAGATGGCTGCGACACCGCAGGCAGAGAGACGAGCGGCACGGGTACCGATCAGCTCGGCCAGACGACGAATCATCTCCAGCTCAGGCCGGGTGGGACGGATACCGAGCTCGCTATGGAACTTGTCGAAGGTCTCAGACAGGTTCTCGTAGGGGTCCTCCTCGATGGCAGCGAGGAAGGAGGCGTCCAGCAGGTAGGGCTTGTTCAGCTTGTCGGTATTCTGGCCGTTGAAGATAGTGCCAGGGTGGCTCTCGATGAGGTCCTTGAGAGCCAGACGGAAGATCTCACCCAGGTACAGACCGGCGGTCATCTTCTCGAAGGCCTGCTGGCCGGGGCGGGGCGAGTCCCGGTCAATGATCTCATCAAACTTGGTGAGGGGGAGAACCACGCGTTCGTTGTCGAAGGCGCCGTATTCACAATTGATAGCAATAGGCATATCAGCAGGGAGGTTCAGGTGAGCAATCTTGGGCACAGAGCCGACGTTTTCCATGTATGCGGCGTTGACACCAGTGCCGAAAATGCAGCCGATCTTCATATCAGGGTCGGTGTAGGAAGAGGCGATAAGGGTACCGGTGGTATCGTTGATGAGAGCAGCAACTTTAATGGGCAGGCCCTATGAGATTGGAGTTAGAGTTAGGCAATTGGACCAACAAGTTCCTAGAGCATTGCATACCCGCTTCTTCAGAATGGCCTCCAGAGGAGGAACAACATCCTCGCCCTCGACACCGTCAATATCGAAGCCCTTGGTCCAGCGCTGAAGAACACCGTGGTCGATGTAATCCTGAGTGGCGGGGTAGGAGAAGGTGAAACCGAGGGGTAGCTTGGCCAAGTCCTCGTTCTCGTGGTGGAACTCAATGAACTGCTGCAAGCAGTCGGCGATGTACTCCCACATCTCCTCGGCGGTACCGGTTCGGAGCTCCTCCGGCATCTTGTATTTAGACTGGGTGATATCAAAGGCACCCTTCTTGTCGGTCAGGGTGATCTCGCAAACACGCAGGTTGGTGCCGCCCATGTCAAGGGCAAGGTAGGTACCCTGCTCTTCACCATCGGGGAAGCCCATAACCCAGGTCACGTTCATGGGCTTGAGGATTGGTTAGTTCATGTGTGGGATGTATTAGGATGCGCGGGGTCTCACAATGTTGCCGCCCTCGACCGTAAGACCTATGTTGTTGTTAGCTCCTTGAAGCGGAACCGGCGGACGCGGGGCTCGGGCATACCCTTCTCAAGCTCACTAACGAAGTGCTTCACGACCTTCTTAAGTTCAGCTGCGTCGACAGTGAAGACCTCTTCGAATTTCTTGATGTGCTCCAGAAGATTTTGCGGCAGCTCGTGCATCGATCCTAGAAACGATTAACGAGTGAAAGCTTGTTGGCACAGAATCAAGCTCACCCTTGCGGGACGGCGGCTGCTTAGGACCAACTCCGACCATGGTGAATGTATCTGATGAAGGTGTAATGAAGATGTAGAGTAGAGAAGAGAATAACGAGGAGGGGAGGATGACGATATGAGGGAGACGTGGGGCAACGATCGCCTGGCTTGATTTGGCTGCGGTGGACAACTTTAGCAACTGACCAACTTTACCCACTTCACCCCGAAATTCGCCCTGTTGTTGGCTCCTTGGCTTCCGACAAATCAAATCTCTTAATCTCGTCGCTATGCTACAGCTTACCCCATCTTTCAAACTGTCAACATGTCATTATTGCGTTTCATTCACTTCATTCCGATCTCTCCCTTCCCTTGAAGCAGAGCGGGGCGGTGTGAGCCCCGTTTCACTGATCTAACGGGATTTGCGCGCCAAGTGTGGAAATACATGCGCCAGTCCAGATTCAACGGTGTCTTTCGACTCCAGCTTCTCGCGCACGCGCTTCTCGTAGGCATTCGATATCCCCACAGTCCGCTCAATTTCCTCTGTGAGCCGATCGACCTCGTCTTGGAGCCGCTCGTCCCGTGTCTGGGGAGAGGCATCCTCGGCTTCACGCGACTTCGGATCCGGGTTGGTTTCTTCCCAGAGAGCCTCCAATTCTTCATCCCAGCCCATAGCTTTAGCAAACTTCCTCACACCTGCATCAATATCACCTAGTAGAAGAACATCATCCGGTCGTGATCCCAAACCCCCAACGCGATCCATGTTGATGAGCACGCGAGGCGTTCCCTGTTTGCACATTTGGGGGAGACTGGCAAATGGCTGGACCGAAAGACTAGTCCCCATCACAATGCAAAGGTCCGCCTCTTCTGGTAGAAAGCGGTTCTGAAAGAAACTCTCGGGAAGGGCTTCACCAAAAAAGACAATGTCGGGCTTGACCAGACCGCCGCACTCCTTGCAGAGCGGCACCTCGCCTTTCTCAACAATCTCGTGCATCTCATCGTCCGGATAGGGCACCTTGCAGTCGATGCACCGCTGTGTAGCGAAGCTGCCATGCGCTTCAATAATCTTGTCACCAGGAACACCCGCCTGGCGCTCAAGACAGTCGATGTTCTGAGTAAAATGCTTCAATAGCAGGCCCTTTTCATGCAGTAATTTAATGAAGGCGTGTGCGACGGTTGGGCGATAGCGTCCGGGGTAGAGTTCACGCGCCAAGGCGTAAAACGGCTTCGGGTTTTGTCTGAAGAAACCTATGTCGAATACATCTTCAGGTTCTTCCAAGTCCAGCATAGCCAAGTTGGCATAGAGTCCCGTCTCTGGTGATCGGAAATCCGGGATGCCTGCTGAGGTGCTTATTCCCGCTCCTACCTGTGTCAAATTAGCTTCTCTGTATATACAGGGTTGGGAACTTCACTTACCATCATCACAATATTCTGAACATTGTGTTTCTTAACATATCTGGCAATTCCGTCGATATTGCGAGCTTCCAACACCGAGGGGTGAGTGGAGTCGCTCACCATGGCTGACTCTTCGTTTCCCATGATGCGATGCTGGCGCCCGGGACGCCGAGGCTGATGCCGGGGTTTGTGCCGTCGTCCCACCGTGAAGGTTCGTTCCTGGCTCGGTTCGAGACAGTAGATCGTTGACGTTCAAAGTGATTGGAGATGGAGAGAGAAGTGGTAGAGAAGTAGAAGTGGTGGAGTGAATGATGTTGCCCACCATCAGAGTCGCACCGGCCCTTTTATCGCTTTACAGACAAATAATTCACTCTTGAACTTCACTCAAAAGCGCATTCATGCAAGTTCAATGTTCTTTGCAGATTTAATACACCATCTTTATCTGCTATCAAACCCTCAGCTCCTAATCGAGTAAAAAAAAAAAAAAAAGGCCCGACCCTTCACCGCCCGCGGGGACTACAACTGGCGTATTTGGCATCAACAAGTCACTCCCCGCGTACCCCAGCATGGCCCTGTCACAGGCCACGGCCAATGGCCATGTATCGTCGCCGCTCCCGGATCAATCGGACTCTGCCGAAGCTTCCTCACGAACCGATATCTTCAACGCCAGCTCCGTCGCCGAGATCAAGGCCGCCTTGTCCCACCTCCACAATCAAGAAGCGGCCGTAACTGCCCGCCTCGATGCCCTGGTGACCTCGCAGAAGGACCTTTCTCGAGAACTGGGCCGCTTAGATCTCATGCGCGCCAATATCGGTACACAGACTAGCACCACGCGATCGATTAGCCATGGAATGCTCTCTGAGGCCGCTAGGACCGCCGAACGAATCTCGAGCGCAGTGCGCAGACTCGACCTCGAACAGGCTCGGGTAAAGGCTACACTGGAGGTGGTGGAGCAAGTGGCGGAGCTCAAGGCGTGCGCATTGGGTGTCTCGGGGTCAATGGGTGCTTCCCAGGACTGGGAGACCGCGGCCAGTTACTTGCACCGCGCTGCGCAAGTTCCACCGACTGTGGTCAATGGAGCTTTCGCAGCTGAGATGGTGCCGACGGCTGAGGTCCCTGACTCACCTAGTGTTACACTGGACAATGCGGCCGAGTCGCTGTGCGGGCTGTTCCTGCGCGAGTTTGACAAGGCCGTGAAGGAGAGCGACGGGGCCAAGATCACTCGCTTTTTCAAGCTATTCCCCCTTATTGGTCGGTCTGAGGTTGGTCTGGATGTCTATGGTCGCTACGTCTGTCAGGGTGTGGCAGCTCGGGCTCGTGGAAACCTGAATGCTAGCACTGGAGCTCACAAAGATGGGTTCTTCTACGCCAATGCATTAACAAAGCTCTTTGAACATATCGCACAGATCATTGATGGTCACGGCGGACTTGTTGAAAGACACTACGGTCCAAGGAAGATGGGACGAGTCATTGAACGACTTCAGGTCGAGGCCGACGTGCAGGGTGGCATCATTCTAGACACCTGGAGTGATGAGAGGCATGTCGATCGCAAATTGATGGACATCAAGTCGTATGCCTTTACGTTCTTGGTGCAGAGTTTCCTACCTGCCCAGCGAACGGGCCCAGCTCGTACACAGTCTCCGGCCCCGGGTGCCAATGCGGCCACTGAGGATGAAGGGGTGGACATGAAGGAAATCGATGGTATCCTGAATGAAATGGCTATCATGCTTGGTCGGTGGTCTCTATACTGCCGGTTCTTGGCAGATACATGCAATGTAAGTATACCACTTGATTTCCATCCACGGACCAATACTAACCACAACACAGGCCCCTACAAATGAGGAACCCGAAGACGACGACGGCAGATACACTCTGCCCAGTTTCTTGCAAGAGGCACCTCTTACACACAAGATCAACGACCGCCTAGTATCTCCATTCAACGCCATGACAACATTCTTCTTCCGTCGATCAGTAGAAAAGGCCTTCCAACTGGACGAGTCCCCTTCAGGCCTAAACCTGAACCTCCAAACACCACTACGAGCCGACCCACCCCACATCACCTCCGCCGTGGACGACATAATGTACATCGTCAACAAAGTGATCCAGCAATCCCTCGCCACCTCCCAAGAATCAGTGGTAACCAACGTCGTCCCAACCCTCTCCCGCGTCCTCGGCTCCGACTTCATAGGCATGACCCAACGCAAAATGCGCGACGAATGCTACCCCCGCGCCGCCGTCCAAGGCGGCCAACCCCCCGAACAGACAATCTGCTCTTTCCTAGTCCAAATTAACAACCTCGACATCGGAGTCGATTACATCCGCCGCATCGTCCAAAACAACACCGGCGCAAGACAACCTCTCACTCCTGACTCCGAACCCCATATCACAGACCACCTCCTCGCCCTCTTCCCTGCTCCCGCGTCCGCCCTCCATGTCGCGCAAACCCTACACTCCCTAGGCTCCTCCTTTGAGTCCAAAGTCTCCGACCTCCTCTCAGACGGAATCCAAGTCATTTTCAACAACGTAATCAAACATCGACTCCGTCCCATCCTCGCAGATGCCTTCCGTGATATCGAATACATGCCCGAAGACACAGAGGGCGAGTACACAGATGAAAACAATAAAGAAATCGTCCGTCCCCGCTTCAGCACAGGCTGGACAGAGCTCCTCCTTCCTCTATCCCGGATCCTTACACATCAAGCATTCGATCGTCTCTTAACCGTGACAGTGGCGTATTTCGTGCGTCTTCTTGAGAAGAGGATATGGTCTTACCAAGGCCGGATTAACCCGCTTGGAGCGGCGAGGCTTGAAAGAGATATTGCCGGTCTAGTTAGTGCGGCTGTGGATGTTGGGTCTGGGTCTGGTGCGCCGGGGAGGTATAGGCATAGGGAGACGTTCGCCAAGTGTGTACAGATGACCTTGGTTATGAGTATGGATGAGGATGAGTGGGATGAGGTCATTAGGGGTGGGGAGGCGGCTGAGGTTGTTGATAAATTGAGTAGGGAAGAGAGGGTGAGGGTTAGGACTTGTGTTAGGAGGGGGTAATCTTTGATTTGAAGGGCGAATTGTATAGATAGCCCCTGGGAGGGATTTGGTGTTTTTTTCTACATTGCATACATTTGAATCATATTCGTATATCGTCTTGGTTACATAGAATTGGGGTGCTTTGAAATTTCAGCTGTAGATAATACCGAGGTCCTGACGTGTTTCTATAAGCCAGTCTTGTTTAAGAAAGGTATACCGTGTCGATGGATAAGACAAGTAGCAATCAAGATGAGTATTCGAAAGAGACTCGGAAACTACGTTAGAAATGATCTTTTCAAAAAAAATTCTAATCAGAATTGTCTATACTGCATAATAATGACTGGTATCCTCTTCCGCCGCCAAAGCTCCACCGGAGCAAAAAAAACATTATATAACTCCGATCCAGATAAAAAACGCCAGTCCTGTCCAGTCCATAGAAACAGATGTGCTTTTCCCGTACTATTCACGACAGGTCATGGGAATCGAGATGGTAGAAGTTCGAAGATGTAAAGGAGGTGGATAGGTAGGTATACATGAATATGAAAAGGAAGCCCCAGGCATCCGACGAAGAGGAAAACAAAACACGCTCAAGGGATATCGAACAATGCGAATCGAAAAAATAGAGGCTGGAATGCTGAGGTCGTGGAGGGAATAAAGAAACAAGAAACATTGTTACAATGTTTACTCTGCCTTCTCGCTTATAACGGGCTGGTTCCCGATAGGTGCATGAATATTCGTGTGAGCGGGTTGGTGCTCCGCAACCTGGCGGGGCGCGGCCGAAATCTTAGGTTCATGCATGCCCATGTCGCCTTCACTTCCTCCACGAGAACTCTCTCCGTTAGGAGGGTGGCCCTCGAGCATCATACCGGTGGGTGGGTTGCCGCCGCACATCATCTCAGAGTGCTCGCCGATACCGTAGCGCTGCTCGTCGGGGATGTGGTGGCCGTCTTCGAGCTGATCGTGCTTCTGCGGGGTCCAAGCGAGGTAGTCGCGGCGGACTTCGACATAGTCATAGGCGAACTCGCCGAGCTGGTCGTCGTCCATACCGAGGAGTTCAGCTTCTTCAGAGGCGCGCAGGTTCAGGCCTGGGATGGCGTTGATGGCGTAGGCGATTATCGCGGACATGACGAAGGCATACGCGGCTGTTGCGACGATGTAGGCGATTTGGATGTATAGTTGTTTGTAGTTGTGAATTACCCAGCCACCGACACCGGTGCCGGTGTTGACACCGTCGAGGCCAACGATGGCGTCGTCGCCGAAGAGAGCGTTGAAGATGAGACCGACGATTCCGGCGATTCCGTGCTCGGCGAGAACATCCATTGAGTCGTCGATGCGGATCCAGTACTTGATTTTGGTGGAGTAGTTGCAGACGATACCGGTGACGACACCGAGGATTACGCTGGCCCAGGGTGAGATGAAGCCGGAGGCTGGCGTGGCTGCAACGAGGCCGGAGATGGTGCCGGAGCACCAGCCGACCATGGACCACTTGCGGGCGAGGCGCCAATCGAGGAGAACCCAAGTTATGGCGGCGAAGGCAGCGGTCAAGTTGGTGTTCCAGGAAGCCATGGTAGCGCGGAGGTTGGCGCCGAAGGAGGAACCGCCGTTGAAGCCGAGCCAGCCGAACCAGAGGAAGACGGTACCGAGGAGGATGAGGGAGACGTTGTGAGGGCGGAAGTTAAGCATCATGCGTTCCTGTCGGCGTCCGAGAACCATCGAGTAGGCAAGAGCAGTGAAACCGGAGCCAATCTCGACGGGACCACCACCGGCGTAATCCATAACACCATATTTGTAAGCCCAGCCGTTAACGTTCCAGGCCCAGCAGGCCAGAGGGCAGTAGACGATAGTGGCCCAGATGAAAATGAAAACCATGGCGGGGAGAAGGCGACCGCGCTCAGCGACAGCTCCCATAACGATAGCTGCAGTCACGCCGCAGAATTGCATCTAGAGCGAGTTAGATCAACGTCCAGCGAGGAAATGAGCCAGCTCGAAAGTACCTGATAGAAAGCGTAAAGAAGACCGGGAATCAAAGGCGAACCAGGGCTAGGATCAGCCAGAGTCTTCATCAAGCCAAAGTTTCGCAAATTCCCGATATATCCATTGGTCGCAGTCGGAGAGAAAGCCAGAGAGTAACCCCAGAAATACCATTGGAAAGTAATGACCGAGAAAGAGGCCATACACGCCCAGATCATACTCAGGGCGGACTTTCGGCGAGCGAGACCGGAGTATAGGAAACCAAGACCGGGAATCATGACCATCACCATGGCCGAGGCCACGATGATATAGGCCTGGTCACCCGATTGGAACCATTTGTTCAAGTTTTCAGTGCCTGTTCAGGAATTCGATGAGCCAAAGTGCACCACTGCAGTTAGTCCAGGACGAGAGCACGTACGGGAATCACCGCCCAGGTCCGGGTTAGTCGAGAGAGAATAGTCGGCCGGAGCACCGATCCAGTTGTAGGACGCGTAGTCCGGGGCGTAGTCTTGTTTCCCGTTGAAAGTCGACATGATGAAGCCGAGGAGCTCTCACGAGCTCGCGTGTGCTGAGTGGAATGGAATGCAGGGCAGGAGTGTAGGGATGTCGAGTCGAAGGTCGAAAGAATAATGCTTAAGGGTAAGGGAAACCTGCAACTGTGGCAGGGAGAGAGTTGAAGAGAAGAGAATCGAGTGGAGAGTGGAAAGTCGCCACGGGGGAAGGTTGAGTATAAAAAAGGGCGTGGAGGCCCAGAGATAAGTCGGATCGACGGTCTCCACTTGAGGCCTGAAATCGGACCTGGCAAAAGTAATCTCGGGCGCGATAAAAGGCAACGCAGGGGAATTGTGGGAACCGAGGAGCTAGACAGTTTCAAGCAGGAGAATTAAACCGGGGGAGGCGCGGTTAAGTGGTAAAATGGGAGGTTGTCGAGTGTTCTGCAGTGGAACTTTGGGGGAAAAAAAGATTATGACAATAGCAATGGGATAATCGGTGTCAGCTCCCGATAAAAAACCTGGGAACCCTTGGCCAAACCCTAATGCCTATAGTTACTTCATCTTCAGAATTCCCATTCTTGTCCAGTCAAAATAAGTGTATTGCATGTCTCTAGAAAAAAAAAAATATAATCAATCAGCGCTCATAATCATCATCATGAAATCCATGTCTAAGATCCCGGCCCCGATGGCCGCACAGGTGGCGAGACAGGCTGCCTTTTGCCTTGGCCCATGGGTCTTAAAACCAGAATGGTCTTGGCTCGAAACAGCCTAAGAAACTCCGTCTACCCGTTCGTTCTCCGGTGACGGCCACTCCGGGGAAATCATGGAGACATGGAGCCCTGGAGTCCTGGAGTCCTGGAGCCCCGACCCCATTTCTCTGCAGGCGCGCAGGCGCAGGTCTATATATACTGGCTCTAAAACTGTTCCACGTTTTTAGAGTCTCTATCTTATCATTGACCGACGGAGTTCCTGTCCCTACAAAGAGCCTCGCACTTCGCCGGAGACTGCAAGGAACACTGGCGATAACAGCACAGGACGATTGACTATCCAAGGCTGGCAATTGGACGACTGATGCGGCCTTATCGGGCCTGTGATTGGTCGCAGATAAACGTTACCACCGGGAGGGAATGACATTCAGTTACTCAAATTGATTAGTACAGAACTAAGCTCGGAAAGTTCTCGAGTGGGTACTCCTATCATCCCGCATCGGGTTAGCCTGCTTGGTATCCGATCGCTTGTTCATTGGCGATAGATAAGCCCGAATTCGCCGCTGCCGGGTTCTCCCGGTTCGGGATGTTAAGGGTTCAGTCTGTCCTGCCGAACTCGGTGCCCCAACACCGGGCTCGGAAGAGTCCGAGTCGATCGCTGTCGATTCTTTTGAAATTGGGCTAAGAGACAATGTAAACTACGGAGATACCATTGCTGTATGTATATCGGGTGGTTCATCATGTCCACGTCCGCACGGCCACTCGGAGCAGAGTACTAGTCATCGATCCGCTCCCGTGGGGCCGGGTCTTGCTCGGCCGTGGACGGGTCTGGGCTTTATCGTAGCCTCACTCTTAGCACCGTGGCTGAGCATCGAAGTACCGAGTACAGTGTACGTAGAAGATGCTCATGAGATAGGAAGGATTTCCCGGCCACCGTCCACAGCTTTAGTTTCACTTGGTTTCACGAGGCTCTTTTCGCTGGGAGATGACACCGGACCTGGATGTAATCTCTGACGGTGTAGGTTCTCGTATGCCGTTGGAATCCCTGCCGGCATTTCCTTTGGCAGGTGCTTTCCCGCGTGCCCCGGTCTAGTACGAATCCAGAAAGGAGTCCTTTGTACGCTCATGGCAGTTTGCCTATCGATACGAATCTCCACGGTGGGTACACTCGCAGCGACCTTCAATAAACATGCTTCTTCAGAAACAATTGAACACTAGAATCCCCACGGAGCTAGCCTCCGTGGTCGGATGGAAACAATTTAGAATATTGCCCCGATCGAACCGACTAAGTGGGGATCAATCAGCCATTGATGGAGTAACTCAGGGGGTCACGTCTCGTTGGCTTGCGTCTTTAATTTGACGTGCATTCTGTAAATTTAATATTGGCTATTGATAGTCACGTGTTCATACATGCTGTATCGGATGAGGCAATTGCTGGCTTTCGTACCAACTACTAGATTAAAAGCCAGTAGGTTCCGGATCTTTTCTTGGAGGGAATGAGTGTTCAAGAACTGAACCTTGGAAAACGACTGCCAATATATATCTCGGTCGTTATATCCCACCATAAACAGAACCTCTCCAAGGTTGTGCATCGAGAACTGACCTAGACATACATCACATATCCTCAAAGACTTTATAATAAAAACATGACATTTTCAGAACCACGTTCCCCATTCTAGAACCCATCCCAATCCGTCCATCCGCATCTTGGCACCACCGCAGCCGAGCCCACCCGTTAGCCCCACTCATTATGCAAATTTTCACCCAGTTCTTCAACAACAAGGCCGGCTGGCCCAATGGCAAGGCGCTTGACTACGAATCAAGAGATTGCAGGTTCGACCCCTGCGTCGGTCAGTTTTTTTGGTGTTTTGGGGCAGCTATAACATGGTTATCTTTTGCCCGGGCTAATTGGGAGGTTGAAAACTTCAATTTTTGGATATGGTGGGATGGGGTAGTGAGCAATGGGATAAAGGCGCAGCCGTCAAGTCGTTCTACGAGGTGATAGAGTACCAAAAAAAAGAGCCTTAGCGAGTTGAAGCTTCGAGAACTGGATGTTTACCTGAAAATAGGTGCAGATTCATTCATCAAGGTCTTAAGACGTATAACGTATGCGGCGACATTTCAGTTTTTAGTCTCTCCATCTACCAAAAATCCAGATCAAACAATTGCACCGGCGTAAAACATCTATTATATATAGGGGATATCAATCCAATCATATAGGTTACATTCAGATCCACACAAGCAGTCCGAAAAAAGCACATCAGACATTAGCACTGTACCCAGCACCTAGGCCACGCTGGCGACGAAGCGCACTAAGATACTTGCGACCCTCATCAACCCAGAAGACAGAGCTAGCAAGCAAGAACAGCTTGAAAATCGAGCCTAAGCTCAACGGCTCAGTCTGGAAGACGCGCTGTAGGAAAGGCAAGTAGATGACACAGGCTTGGCCGGCCAAGGAGCCAAGGACACAGTAGTTGAACATCTTGTTTCCGAAGAGCGAGATCTCACCGCGGAGGATGGACTTGCCTTCGCTGCGGCAGGTTAGCGCGTTGAACATGTCGAAGAGGACGAAGCAGGTGAATGTCATTGTTGTGTCATGGGCTGTTACGACGCGGGTTCGTTTGCCAAGGGGGGTGCCGTCGTCCATTTCGCCCATCTCGTGGATGTACACTGCTAGTGTGCCGAGCATGATGACTAGGGCCGAGGTGAGGACTCGTTGCACGAGGGGTCTTGTGAGGACGCGGGCTGTCTTGGGGCGTGGTGGTCGGTTCATGATAGAAGGGTCGACGGGTTCGACGCCGAGGGATTGGGCGGGTGGGCCGTCCATGAGAATGTCTGGAATGGGTTAGAAGATGGTAATATTAGATAGAAAGGGGGACTCACTGATCCATAGAATCTGCATGGCATTCAGCGGATTTTCGAAGCCCAGTGTGGTGCTGACCAGCACAAGACTGAGCGCAGCCACACTGGTACTAAGTTGGAATGTGACGAAGTTCTGGATGTTGTAGAAGATTCCCTTGCCCTGCTCAATTGCGCGCAGAATAGTCGAGAAGTCGTCATCAGTCAGAATCATATCTGCTGCCTCCTTGGCAACGTCGGTACCAAGCTTGCCCATGGAAATGCCAATGTCGGCCTTCTTAAGGGCTGGTGCATCGTTGACACCGTCACCAGTCATAGCCACAACATCCCCACGGGCCTGAAGGGCCTTGACAATCTTCATCTTGTGGTCTGGGCTCGTGCGAGCAAAGATCGACGTGGTTGAGATTGCTTGAGACAGCTCAGCAGTGCTCATGTGGTCGAGTTCTCTACCGCTGATAACGGAGCGTGAACCCGGGGCCTCGCTGACAGGCATACCAAGCTTCTTCGCAATAGCGACGGCAGTTGTCTCAGCATCACCGGTGATCATAATGACACGGACTCCACCAGACATCAAACGACGAATAGACTTGTGCACATCCCTGCGAGGGGGGTCGTTCATGCCCACCAGTCCCGCGAAAACCAATCCATTATAACGATCATCATCATTAGAAGGGCTGCTAGAGTTGGAAGTAGGAGTTCCAGAACGACTGCCAAATCCTCGCATGCCCCTAGATGAGTCTCGGACTGCACCGCTAGCAAAGGCGAGGACTCGGAGACCCTCGCTTGCCATTTGCTCGGCAGCATCCCGAATCATCTGCCGCCTGGGCTCGTCCAAAATAACCTCACGACCATCCTTGGTCAGATAAGTATCAGAGCGAGCGAGAACCTGTTCAAGAGCGCCTTTGATATATGCAACATTAGAATCACCAGGGCTACCGCTACCAATGATGACACCCATCCATTTCCGCTCAGAGCTGAAGGGAGTCTCAGAAACACGGCCGCTGATGCGGTCGCGGACGTCGTCCTCGCCCAGAGAATCAAGGAGGTCCAAGATGGCAACATCGGTAGGCTGGCCAACCCAACGGCTCTTCACAGCAGTCGAGTTTCTATCAACGGTCGAGGAGAGAACCGCAGCGGAGGAGGCAGTCGCGGGTGAGTTAGCATGCGTGCGGGAGAGTCGAGAATTGTTCGCAATGTTTCCAACTCGAAGGATAGTGCGGGCGGCGGGGCCGGGCGAGAGCACGCCAGTCATATCCCGTTGAACCTCAAAAGGCTCGGTGCTGTCAAAGTGCCACATTTTGGTGATCGTCATATGGTTGAGCGTGAGTGTTCCAGTTTTGTCACTGCAAACAACATTGACAGAGCCAAGTGTCTCGACACTGGGAAGTCTGCGCATAATTGCCCCTCTTTTGGCCATCGTGAGTACACCGAGAGCGAGAGTGACAGTCACAATGATAGGCAATCCTTCTGGGATGGCTGCAACAGCAAGAGAAACGCTAATCGTGAACATTTCTAGGACTTTACGACCTTGCAGGAGACCAATGAACATGATTAAACCAATGACACCGAATGAGACCCAACTCAATTCTTGGCCCAGTCGATCCATGGACAGCTGCAACGGAGTCCGCGGACTCTCAATTTCCTGCAGAGAAGCGGAAATAGCTCCAAACTCTGTCTTAGCCCCCGTTGAGATGACAATACCCTGACCGTAGCCCGAACGAACCAGGGTTCCCATAAAAGCAATGTTGTGTTGCTCGTTCAAGCGAATATCGGCACCAACGGCGCCAGTAGCCGGGGCATCATAGAACGGAGATCGAGGAGGGGTGGTACCTCTCAGAGCGTGAACCTTTCCGCTATGACTGCGAAGGGCAGCAGAAAATTTGACCACCGGTTCGTTCTCACCAGTCAGGTTCGATTCATCGATCGAAAGGTCTGTCGCAGACGTGATTCGAATATCGGCAGGGATGCGGTCACCTGTAGAAAAGAGAACCATGTCGCCAGGGACAAGGTCAGCTGCAGCGACAGTTGTGGACGCCTTCATCGCGGATGAAGGTGTCCCCGGGCTCTTGCTCCTGAGTCCTCCTAATTCCTCCCCAAGCCCCGCCGGAGGAGCATTCTCTGCACCAGCGTTTGTCCCCGGCAGGTGACGAATGAGGTGGGCGTAATGCGGGACGAGACGACTCAGAGCCTCGAGCGACTTCTCCGACCGATATTCCTGAACAAAGCCAACCGACACCACAATTGTGACCGCAAGCGTAATGCTAAGGGCATCGTCAAGGTTGCCCATCAAGAAGGAGATTCCAGCCGATGCGAGGAGGAGTAGAATGAGGGTTTCCTTGAACTGCTTGAGGAACCGCAGCCATAGGGGTTCGGGCTCCTCGTGGGGAAGTTCATTGGGGCCATCGCGTGCGAGGCGAATTTCGGCCTCGGCGGGCGTTAGGCCATACTGCAGGGAAGTCTGTAGGCGCTCGGCAGTTTCATGAGGTTCGAGCCACGAGTATGTAGAGGTTGATGTCTGGAGCAACGAATCCGGGGGTGTTAGCGGTGTGTTTCGAATGGCGAGGCTGGCTCAGTAGAAACCGGGCATTGGGCCAAGTAGAGGCTCCTATATGTCCACACTTACCGAAGAAGGTGCATCCAGTCGCGCACCTAGAGGGTTGGCGGGCGATGGACGCGGAAACTCAGCGTGTGCATTATGCAGAGGTAGCGCAGGTGTCGTCGACCTTGACATCTCTCATGCTTTGGCGAAAAAAAGAAGGAATAGAACAAAGAAAAGGACGCGTCAAGTCTAGCGTAGAGCACTTTGCATCCCGGATCGTGATTGAGGGGGCGGATGTTTCTATTCAAGATGCGATCTGGCAGCAGCTTCAAAACGGGGGGCAAGACTGGCGGATAGAACCGAGTGGGAAACGCGGCCGGGGGATCGACGAATTAAGCCCACCACCAAAGGAAGGAAACAATAAGGAGCAGATGATCGTGAATCCAGCAGTTCAAAGAATCACAAATGGACATGAGATAATCGATCGACTGCTAATGAGAGCGGCCAAGTCCCATGATGATGCTTTACCCAAAGGGGTTAGTTTAAGCGGACGCGGCATCAAGATTATCCGAAATTGCAGCATTTCGGACTGGTGCATAGATGAGTCAGCACATTCCTCGTTTCCCAGCCCCCTCGATTACATGAGCAGGCATCACTGAGGAGGCACCTGACTGCCTGATTCCCACCCGACGCGCATCCCCTTCTTTCTGAGACTATCTCGCGCATCAAGGACGTGACTCTCACGCGACGTGGTTGTTAATTTTGATTGACTTTGGTCGCAATCTTGTCGCCTTGGTCGCCTATTCTTAATCAACGTGTACAGCACCTCCCTCGAGTCTTTGTTTTCACTTCAGCGCGTCAACCTCTCTGTCAACTTGCACCCCGCGGCCAGGCGGGTTGCCTCTCCACTATCTGACAACCTGACCTTTGTGAACTAACACTTGGATTACGCGCCATGTTCTACTCGGAGACTCTTCTGTCAAAGACGGGGCCGCTGGCCCGCGTCTGGCTGTCGGCCAACATCGAGCGCAAGCTTTCCAAGTCGCATATCCTTCAGTCCGACATTGAAAGCAGTGTCAGCGCCATTGTTGATCAGGGCCAGGCCCCCATGGCTTTGCGACTTAGTGGCCAGCTTTTGCTGGGTGTTGTACGCATTTATAGCCGTAAGGCGCGTTACCTCTTGGACGATTGCAATGAAGCTCTCATGAAAATTAAAATGGTATGGACTCGAATTTTGTATTCTGATGAAACACGTCAATTAACCTCACAACAGGCCTTCCGTCTTACAAATAACAACGACTTGACGAGCACAGTCGTCGCGCCGGGTGGCATCACCCTCCCTGATTTGTTGACTGAAACCGATCTGTTCACCAACCTTGATACCTCGCTACTCTTCCCCCAGAACCTGAACATGGAGTCGAGCGGAAAGCGACCAGGTAACATGGACTTCGGCAGCCAGTTCTTGCCTGATAGCACTCTCCGGCGTTCAGTCTCCCAGGAGCCCGCGCGCCTCGAGGATCCCAGCCTGGTCGATATCGATCTGGGTGAAGACGAGATCCCCCTGGGAATGGATACCACTATGGAAATTGGTCGAGACGCTCCTCCCGCTCGTCCTATGGAAGAAGATATGTTTAGTGATTCCGGAAAGCTCATCGACGACCATGATCTCGAAATCGATATCGGAGAAGATGATGCCCCACTGGACAAGATGGATCTCGATGGACACGACAACTTGAATGACCCCCTCGCCGATGGCCCCATGGACTTTGGCGGTGATGACGACCTTGATGGTATGACACCTCGTGTTGAAGCGACTCGCTTTGCGCGCGACTCAGAGAGTCCTCTTTCGGACGCCGGGTCTGTCCAGATGAACCAACTCGAGGAGGCATTCAACCGTGATGTTTCTGCTACCCCTGAAGCTCAAGCCCAGCAACGCCAGACATCCAAACGTCAAAAGTTGATCGAGTTAGACCACCAGGTGTCCATGTCCAACACCGAGGTCAAGGCCCTGCAGGCCGATCGATCTGAAATCCTGAAGCCCACCTCCTTCCTTCCCCGCGACCCCGTCCTTCTCACTTTGATGACCCGCCAGCAGAACGGCGACTTTGTTTCAAGCATCTTCGGCGAGGAACGCGGTCGTGGCTGGGCTCCTGAACTGCGCGGTCTCCTTTCTCTGGACTCTGTCAAGAGATCTGGTGAGCTGAAGCGCAAGCGGGACAGCGGAATCTCCGACATAGATGTGGCTGCTGCTGAGATGCCTGCATTGGAATTCGGTGACGATGATGCCATTGCCCCCGTTGATGAGGGCATCGGCCTCGAAACTACCCTGAACCAGCACTCAGAGATTGACTTCCCTGGAGATGATGGTGTCCAGGATATGCACTTCAGCGATGCAGGCGATGTTCAGCCCCTTGAGGACTTGGATGATACCATTCGTCCCGTTGACAACGAGGCTGTCTCTCTGGGTACCAAGCACGCCGTCCACGTCCTGCGCGAGCAGCTCGGCGACTCCGAACAGAAGAAGGGCGTTCTTTTCCAGGATCTACTCCCCGAGAAGCGCGCCACCAAGGCCGATGCGACCAAGATGTTCTTCGAGGTCCTGGTGCTGGCCACTAAGGACGCCGTCAAGGTCGAGCAGACCACCAAGTCAATTGGCGCTCCTCTCAAGATCAAGGGCAAGCAGGCTCTCTGGGGCACCTGGGCCGAGGAAAACGCCACCGGTGCTGCCAGCCAGCTGACCCAGGCTTTGTAAATGGGATGTCTGTTCAAAATTACGGGATATACTGGCGCACTTTCCATTCATGTACAGCTGAGTTTGGGATGGTCTATGGGTTTCTGGAAGATCCGATAATTGAGGTAGCATCATTTAGATGACTATACGGAGTTCTGGGACTGGTCTGGAGAAACGGGGCGATTGCTTTGCTGGGTTTATTTTCACCGGATTGTTTTTGTTCAACGGTTGACCGTAGTGCTAGCAACTAGATAATTGAACATATCAATATGATACAGTTGACAATGCCATTTGTTCTACTTTTGTCTCTGTAGTTCGTAAATAGGCCATGCAAGTCACCTGTCGCTCGGTTCACAGGTACTTAGACAGCCCTAGGTAGTCCCATACATCTCCGGCGAAAACCCAAAGCTCGCCTAACGGTATAAGCTTCATTGTACAACGTATATGTATAGCTCGGCCAAGCACCCGGCGAATCGGATACTGACATCCGAGAACAGCACCCTTACATTGGAGAGCCAAGCCTATAGCTTTTTCCCAAGTATACCCCGCAAAATGCACGATAGCAAAAAAAACATCAAATGAACAGTCCAACTTTGTAATTAAATACCTAATTATTTGAACAACACCAAAAACAACGTCAATTGCCCAAACCCGGATTAGCTTCGGGGAGTTATGATATCACCCGCTATCGGCCCGATAGACCTAGTACAAGCTTGGACCTCGCGCGATAACATTAATCAGCTCGGCGCTCTTCCAGTCCGAATTTACCATTCAGGAAAAAGCACAAAAGGGTCCTCCTTTAAGCTTGAAGGGATTTCATTCTTCGCCATACCCTACACTTGAACAAACCGCATGGCCTAAATACCCCTCTTCACAATGTCGCGGCCGATCTCACCGCCGGCCACTCGCGCCGAGCACGAACCCGGAACCGAAACGCAGATGGAAAAGATGCGCGAGGGTGGAAGTCCACGCCGCTCGACGGATGAGAGTAATTCTGATGATGGATTGGAACAGGGGAATAAGGAAAATGAAGAGGACGGGGCGTTTGCGCCGATTGCGGGCCCCGCGACACATGAGGATCGCGGGACGCTACAGAAGATGAGATCTAATGCGTCGCGGTCGTTGCAGCGGAGTTGGTCGTTGAATGATGGGGTTAGTATTAGTGGGGAGGAGTTTGGGGAGGGGAATGCCGAGGATGGAGAAGATAATGGGTTCGTTGTTGTGTGGGAGGAGGGCGATGTGTTGAATCCGAGGAACATGAATAAGGGGAGGAAGTGGTTGATCGTTATTATTGTTTCGATGGGGTCTCTTTGTGTGTGAGTATACGCTTTCCTTCCCAGGTTGGGTTTGGGGTTGGATTTAATCATTTGGGTCCGGTTGGTGCTGACTTGCATAGGACTTGTACGTCGTCGATGTATACTACGACGTATACCCAGTTGATGAAAGAGTTTGGGTGCTCGCAGGAGGTTGCGACGCTAGGATTGTCCTTTTTTATTTGGGGTCTAGGTTCGTATCTGTGGACCGGGTGTTTGGGTTATTGTTGACGTTGGTATAGGAGTGGGACCGCTTTTCCTGAGTCCATTATCTGAGGTATGGTCGTTTTATCGGTCTTTCAAGCTAGCTGACTGACATGAAACAGTTCTATGGTCGGAGAAACATCTATATTGTCTCGCTCTCACTGTTCCTGATTTGGATCATTCCCTGTGCGGTTGCACAGAACATCCAGACTATGATCATTTGTCGCTTCTTCAATGGATTGTCAGGAAGTGCTTTCCTCAGTGTTGCTGGTGGCACTGTGGGTGATCTGTTTGATCGACATGAGCTTGCTTTCCCAATGATGCTCTATACTGCAAGCCCATTTATTGGACCTGAAATTGGACCTCTGTGAGTTTTCTGTGCCAAGGGTACCTCTTCATTCAATTAATTGAGTGGTATAGTGTCGGTGGATTTATTAACACATTCACAACATGGTATGTTCTCTCCGCTTGCTCTGATGGTGTAATATTAACCGCTGTAGGCGATGGACATTCTATGTCCTTCTTATCTGGACTGGTGTGCTGCTCGTCTCGATCGTGCTTTTTGTCCCGGAGACATACCATCCGGTGTATGTATCATCCCTGATTGATTCTGGTGTTATTTCGCATGTACTGACCAAAATAGGCTCTTGAGGCGCAAGGCGCAAAAACTCCGCAAGGAGACCGGAGATGACCGATGGATTGCCCCAATCGAAAAGATGCATCGAACAATAGCGCAGACCGTTCTACGATCTATGTATCGCCCTATTCTCCTTTTGGTCCTAGAGCCTATGTGCCTGAATCTGTGTATCTTTTCCGCCATCTTATTGGGTATCCTCTACCTCTTCTTCGGAGCATTCCAATTGGTCTTCGAAAGCGTATACGGCTTTTCATTATGGCAACGAGGTCTCTGCTTCCTGGGTCTCTTTGTCGGCATGGTTTTCGCAATCATTTCTGATCCCCTTTGGCGGCGGAATTATGAGCGTCTGGAACGAAATTACCAGAAAGCCACTAATAAGCCGGACGAGTTTCAGCCCGAGTGGCGACTGCCTTCAGGTAAGTATTGGACTCGTTTGAGAAGCGGGTGAGATCTGATTCATTATCCATAGCGATTCTGGGTGGGCCCCTGGTGACCATTGGATTGTTCATCTTTGCTTGGACAATTTATCCCGACGTGCACTGGATTGTTCCCATCATCGGTAGTGCTGTATTTGGCGCAGGGTAAGTACACCTAGCCTACTTCAGCCGGTCCTTGAATCATTTGATACTAATGCAACCGTGTCACTGCTAGGACTATCCTGGTCTACGCAGGCATCTTCACCTTCCTAGTCGATGCCTATCCTACCTTCGCAGCCAGCGCCCTAGCAGCGAACAGCTTCACCCGGTCAACATTTGGAGGCGTATTTCCTCTGTTTGGGATCCAAAGTAAGTTTGCCTAGAGTTATTTCCATCCCAGCATGTATCGAGGGTCTGTGCTCTGCATGGAGAATCCCCGTTGCAGACTGCATCATGTCTCCAGCCGTTTTGCATCTGCAGAGACAAAGGCGTGGGGGCACTCATTCTGTTGCGAAATTGTGTCGAGGACTGTAACTAACGGCCACGCAGTGTACAATAACCTGGGTTACCATTGGGCAACTTCGCTGTTGGCTTTCCTGACCTTGGCAATGGCTCCTTTCCCGTAAGTTGATTCAACGTCTCCTGATTTCCCCATCCCTGATCGTCGCGCTATGACCTCGAAATTTCTTTCCCCCTGCATAGCAAGCCTCAAGGGAACTCAAAACTTCAGATTTATGCAAGCCGAGCCAAGTCGCAAACTTCACATGGCATGTTTATGAAGAATGCTGACCTTTGACGTTGTTTTCTAGGTACATCTTTTTCAAGTACGGTCCTCGTATTCGCAAGAAGAGTCGTTTTGCGACTCAGCAGATGTGATGATAAAAAAAATCCGAACATACATAGCCTACCGACAACCAAAATCGTCTTTTGCACATGATCATAGACCATACATATTCTAATTTGAGAACGTGACTGCACGGTTCCAGAGCAGCTGCAGTGCTGATGATAGTACCGACATAGACCCAATGCTCTAATTTGCTATAGATGTCGAGGACTCCTTGCCTTGCCAGTGGCCAGCTGGCATCCTGTGATCCGGTGACTCTACCTAGGCCAGACGTTGAGCTCGCGAAGCCCAATGACGCTCTGCCCGTCACCAGGATGATGGCTCAACGCCAGCTGCTGTCCTACAGCTAGAATGCCAATACAGATAACAAAGAGAGTTAGACACGTACGGGCTTGAAGTTGAAGGTTGTATACATGCTCCCCATGAGATACACATTGCCACCATTCCCTTTCCGTACACCGGGCATCCCCAAACTATAGTTTGATCCTACTACAAAAGCCGGATGGCCCACCGACCCCGGCATTTGGCGTCATTAGCCCAGAACCCAATTCTCCGACACGACCAGGCCAGTTGCAAAGCATACGAGCATCATGTGGTCTCTCACTTCAGATGTTCCCAGCCTAACAGCTGAGCACATCAAGGCGTTCAGGCAGATATCTAGTTTCCCTCTAACCGAGGCACGCTTGAACGCGCAGCCTCGGGAATAGTCGGGATATCGAGAGCGGCTCCGGGAACTGACGAAACCCTCAGATCTGGCGTGCGGGGCGACACGATAGGTGGCTGAAAGTCAACTAAAGAAATTAACAAATTTTAAGAAGATTCAATCCATTACAATGAACATTGTCTAGGGTGTGTTTTTCCACACGTGCGCAACTGCCCGCGGGGGATGTGTGATCTGCCGGCGCAGCTTTGCGGCCCAATCAAGGCGGATACAAGGCGGATACATGACGGTGACGGTACCAACGCGCTAGAAGTTACGGGTATCCGTTATACATTACGGTCTACTGCCGCGCTCCAGTTGCCGGCCTGAACGCATGTGCACATGTGAGGGGAGATACTCCAGACGAGAACTAGAAATACTAGGGATTAGGATCTTTTAGGTCAAGAAAGAATAACCATAGTAAGAATATGAGTTGAGCTCACTCCCTCTCCTCTCCTATTTGAATTATGTAAAAGAAATTGGGGAAAACGTAAAAATGGCTCACTCTGAAGTATATCCAACCCTGTGGTGGAGGAGTCAGAACGTGCGATATCCACAACCAGTAATTTAAACCCCCAAGAAAAACAAGATTAGAAAGAATTAAAAGCAACCCTGGTCTCCCTGATGCACGCGAGCCCCCGGTTCTTCTTGAAATCATTGAATCGGCCCGGTTGAAGTCTTGCCTGTATGCTAAGACCTCAGTCACGGGAACATTTCGATCCAAAGCCATCACTTCAATAACCTTCTTCCCCGCGTATCTCCTGGAACCGGTTCCCCTCAGCATTCTACAGCTTCATCTTCTCGGCTGTCCGATCCGGTCTGCGGATCTCTTCTCTCCCCCTCTCCAGCTTTTCGATTTCCGTCTTCCCCGCAGCCGACCAGGTCTGCCACCTCTCCACTCCGAATTCAGCTACGCCCGAGGACCGTTGCGGCATTTACCTCTTTCGCCTGTCGCGTTACTCCTGCCTCCTACCAGTCTCGACGAGACCCCTTCAATGCCTCAGATCTCCGACGAATCGTCTTACCTCGACTCGATTGTGCCTCGTTACACCCGTGACTCGACCGCACGCCTTCCTTCCGTTCCCCCGCTGTAGTCGCGAACGCGCGATTATACGATCAAACGACTCAGGAGCTTCTGAGATTTTCTCTATTGCTATTACAGGTGGAAATAGCAGCTCGAAAAGCCCCGGAATTTACTTGCGACCGGATTTTTCTTGGTCGGTGTCAGAATTGCGCCAACACGTGGATCCTTTTCGCCGAGATCGAAAGCGAGCGCGGATGGTCCCAGCGCTACCACCTCGGCCTTTGAGATCGCAAATAAGCGAAGGCGGCCTTTGAGCCCTTCGAATCGTCAAGTTATAGAACCGTGTCAGTTTTGGACGCGCCCGTGAAATTTCCCGCCTAGGGAATACATGCCGAAATGAATCAAGTTAAGCTGAGCGGCTCCCCGGTGCCCGACCGAAGTGGCGGGGACCGTGATTCTGCCGACATCACCGAACACTCTGAGGCCATGGACTCTGGCAAAGACCAGCCGAATGGTGGCAAGGCTGAGAATGGCCGTAAAGCTGCCAACGCCAAGGATCCGTCGCGACCGCGGCGTAAGAAGGCTCGACGAGCATGCTTTGCCTGTCAGCGAGCTCATTTGACTTGCGGTATGCATTCCGATCGGCACAGTGTTCTGTGCCAAGTCGAGTGAACCAAACTGACGTGCATATGGTTTTCTAGGTGACGAGCGTCCGTGTCAGCGCTGTATCAAGCGTGGTTTGCAGGACGCATGCCATGATGGTGTTCGCAAGAAGGCCAAGTATCTCCACGATGCCCCGGACGGCGCACTGATGCCCGATGTGAGCAGCAACAATAACAGCAAAACCAGCGGCAATAGCAACAGCAACACCTTCTACAGCAATACCCTTCGCAATAACCTGCCTGGATCTCGAAATGGTAGTGCGAGCACTCCGCAGCAGCAAGCACCCAACACGAACAATTTCTACCCCACGCCCCAGCCACAACCTCAGCCGCAGCCAGGATCCTACAACATGTATCAGGAATCGCCAATGGGCCAGAGCCCTTTCACCACCCAGTCTCCCGTTTCACCTACATTTAATCTGAAGAATACCACCAATGGTCGCAATCCCAGCTTATCGTCTACCGTGAACCAGCAGCCCACGCCGAGCACCGCTCTTTCCGGGGATACCAGCCAGCCGCAAAATCCATTCGCCGGACCCTTCTTCGATCCCAGCGACCCCGCCCTCTTCAACTTCGATCTATCAAGCATGAACTTTGAGAACCGCTATGGTGCTCTCGAGTTTGGCATGCTCGGTCACATGGCTACGGGAGCCGGCGATTCTCCCGACTCGGCAACGCAGCGAGGGTCGATCGGCCGCAGTGGGTCTGCGCAGTTCTCCACGCCAGCTCCCGGTTTTGGCGAAAGTCCGGGGAACCAGCCCTTCATGTTTGGCGATCCCTTACTCAATGAGTGGCCAACCGGCCAGACCTCGGGCCCGCACGTGAACGTCGGAGGCGTATATGGACAGAATGGCATGCTGCCGGGACACATGAAAGCAGATGCCCCCCATGCATTTGCAATCGAGAGCGGTCCTGTAAACTTCACCAGCCCCGGCTCAGCGGCCAGTCCGCATGTGACGAATGCAGGCTTCGACGAAGCAGGGTTCAATGCAGCTGCAGCCAAGGCAAACACCCTCGCCCCTAATGGTACGCGACCGGTGATCACCACGCCAAGCTTGAAGCAGCAGACCCTACAGGTCGCTCCAAAACGACGTCATCGCGACCCATCCACCATCTACGAGAGTGTAAAGGAGCCGTATGCTTACACAAGTCGCTTCCACAATCTCACCGCTTTCATCCAGCGCCGTTTTACGCCGCAGAAGACCGTTCGCATTGCTAAGGCGCTGGCGTCTATTCGGCCGTCGTTTATCGCAACAACCAAGACCTTGAATCGAGATGATCTGATCTTTATGGAGAAATGTTTCCAACGGACACTATTCGAATATGAAGACTTCATCAATGCCTGCGGTACACCGACGATCGTATGCCGACGCACCGGAGAAATTGCCGCGGTTGGCAAAGAGTTCAGCATTCTCACCGGATGGAAGAAGGACGTGCTGTTGGGCAAAGAGCCGAACATGAACGTCAACACAGGCGCATCAGCAACGTCGGGCACGACGTCAAGAGGCAGCTTCACCCCGCGCAGCTCAACGTTAGAAAACTCCGGTGGGCGCCCACAGCCCGTGTTCTTGGCCGAGCTTCTAGACGATGACAGCGTTGTAGAGTTCTACGAGGACTTTGCACGGCTAGCGTTTGGTGACTCACGCGGCAGTGTCATGACACGATGCAAGCTGTTAAAATACAAAACCAAGGAGGACATGGAGGTTGCACAGTCCGACGAGGGCAAGTGGAACAATCACATCCGCAAGGGTGGAATTGCCGGCGAAGCTGGCATGAACCAGCTGGGGTTCAAGGACGGCAAGGTCGAATGCGCGTACTGCTGGACAGTCAAGCGCGATGTATTCGATATTCCGATGCTTCTCGTGATGAATGTGAGTCTTTCCAGTCACGACTGATACGACAATTTACTAATCTGCTTTAGTTCCTCCCGTGCATTTGATCTGCTACTTCGTCCTTTTTTTCGCTTCATGTTCTTTTTTACATTTTCTGTCCAGTTCTCTTCATACCCCAGGCTCTAGCCTGACCCTTTTCGTTTCTTGCCGAATCTTGTTCTGGTACATACTCTTTCCCTGTTTTCTTTCCCTGGGACTGTACGATTCCCCGACTTTTGATCTGGTGCTGTTTTTGTCCGTACATATTGCCGGTGTTTATAGCTACGGTCTTGACCGGAGCGTCGTTGACAATTCTCTGCTTTTGCGGCGCTCAAAAGGGACAAAAATGATATCTATGGGCTGGGACTGTTTTTTTTTTCTTATGAGATCTAATGCCATTGATACTGTGGATGTTATGCGTTTTATCAAGTATTTAACATTGGTCTGTATTTGATTTACTTTAAGGGGTTTGTAGTCGATACGGAGCGGCGTTCTGCGTGTAGATCCGTACCGTACGTGATCGACCTCGTACTAGAGCAGTAAATGCAAGGTCATAGAAACCCGCGCTTCGCAATTGGTACCCTGTGTCCGGGATGCCTCAGGTGTGATTGCTTATCGGTAGCCCCGCCATTGCTCATCGCTTCCGAAGTCCGAGCCATTGTCGCATCCAATACTTTCTACACTATACATAGCGCACCTGCTCGTCTTCTCTGGCCAAATCTGAACCCACAGAGCCTAGCATCTGGCTTCTACTCCCCGCGCTCATTCGGCGGCCCACTGCCCGCAGACCCCTCCAGCAGTCTTTCACCCAATCGTCACCTCTCACCTCGGCCTTTGCGACTCCCACTCCAGTCCCTCCTCGAGACAGATACCATCACAATGCGTCCTGACAAGCCCCGCGACCCAGTTGCCGGTCCTGATGCTGGGCCCGAAGCTCCGTTCCCCGTGCGCTTGTCCGGGCCTGTCATCAAAGGCTTTGGGCGGGGGAGCAAGGAGGTAGGCGCTTCAATCCATTCCTTTGAAGCTCTCATATGCGATAAGCAATGCTAACACTTAAATACAGCTTGGAATCCCCACAGCCAACATCCCCGCCGATGACCTATCCGAGAAATACCCAAATCTGGAAACAGGCGTATACTACGGCGTGGTAGCGCTAGACCCTAAGAGCTACGAAAACGAGAACGACTCGAACGGAAAAGAATCCACTACGCTCCTTCCAGCCGTACTGAGCATTGGATATAACCCATTTTATAAGAATACCGTGCGATCAGTGGTACGTTTCAGCCGACCCAACTTCTTCCAGACCCCAAAAACTTGATCAATAATTCTGAAAAGTACTTGAATACCTTCTGACTTTCCCAGGAAATCCACATCATGCCCCCATTGACATCTCCCTCTCCGACAGCCGTTGCGCAGCCGAAATTCAACCGTCTGCCTGATTTCTACGGAACCAAACTCAACCTGCTCATGCTCGGCTACATCCGGCCTGAATTTGACTACGTGTCCATGGATGCGCTGGTCGAGGATATCCGCGTAGACTGCGAAGTTGCACGACAGAGTCTCTTGCGCGAGGCGTATCAGCGGTACCTGGTTGATGATGGGAAGGCGACGGAGCAAGTCAGCGCGGACCGGAAGTGGTTGGTCACATTCTAGCTAGAGCATGGCATGGATATAGAGCATTGATAGAAGCGTGAATTGAAGTCAAGTTAGGACCTTGAGTATTTTAACATTTACAAGACTAGTTGAAGGGGCCTGAATTGTTCCGAAAACCACAACTTCTCACACCCGACTCGTCGACGTCACTCCAAGAATCCCTAAGCATTGGCAACTCAGGCAGTAGAATTAAACCCCCCTTATCGCGTGTTTCCAAGAAAATCATACCACCGGAACCCTCGGCAATGTAAAAAATACATATACCCCTTCCCCTCCCATCCGAATGACCCAACCCAGAACCACAAAATGGTCAACGTCTTTTCCCGCCTCGTCCGGCGCGCAACCAGCTCCGGCAGCGCCGCCGCAGATACCGGTGCAAAAGCACCACATGCTCAAACTGAACATGGACCCCCGTTAAGTCGAACACTAAGCGCCAGCTCGGCGAAACGACTCCGCCATGCACCTGCAGATGAAGCAGTGCCGAGATATCTTCTCTTGATATCAGATTCGGCGGATTTCGACCCACATATCTTGCACCGGTTCCAAGCGGAGGGGTTTGATGTCAAATCTATTGGGTTTGTGGGTAGTGGAGATTCAGAGCGAGATCGAAGGGCGCTTGAGAATGCCGTTCATGAAAAGGAGGATGAATTGGAGGAAGGGGAGAGGTATGCTATTGTTGGTAGGTCTCATCTATACTTCCCTGTGAATGGACTATGCACTAGGAGAGCAAAACTGAAAATGAATCATAGCATACAGCCGCCCTGCATACTACCTCCTCGGTTCTCACCACCTGACATCAAGCAATACAAATCCATTCCCGCGGCTCTGTGCCCTGATCGCATATTACCCACTCACATCCACCGACCAATGGTCACGGGACTATCATGCTGGCGAAGCTGCTGGCCCGGCATGTTGTACCGCGGACTCAATCTTCGAGCCCGGTCCGAATACTAATTACCTGCCCATTCAAATCCATCTACCGGGTCACGAGGTGAAGCCTACGTTTTGGCCTTGGATCGGAATTAGTGCGAGTGAGGGCGATACGACGTATAAAAAGAGGCATAGGTGCTATGTGTATGCATATCCGGGGGCTAAGGCGGGGTTTGCGGAACGGGATGTTGAGGGGAGGGTTGATGATGGGGTTAATGCGCAGTTGGCTTGGAGTCGGGTTATCGGGTGTTTGAGGAGGGCGTTTGGGATTGGGAGTAATTGGGCGGTTGTGGATATTGAGACTGTTTGGGAGGAGTATTGGGCCAGGATTATGGTTGGTCTTGATGATGGGAAGGAGAGCAAGGGTCAGGGTGAGGGGCCGTTGGAGTTGATGGTTATGAAGGGGCAGGCTCATGAGGGGAATATGCGGGGAAGGATGGATATGCATGAGGGGGAGGGGCCTGCTCTTGTGTGTGTGCCTTCGAAGGCTGGTGGTAAGTTCTTTTCTTGGAAGATGGGAAGACGGGAAGATGAGGCTGATTTGTTGCAGGGTCTAATCCGAAGACTTTGGAGTCATTCTTTGCGGGGACTTTTATTCCGAATGGACCCGCGAGCCAACGTATTCGACTTTTGTCGAGGACCGTAGGCGCGGATCAGATTGTTGATGAGATATCGTTCTCTTTCAGACATACCGCGGAGATTCCTTGGCTTTTACCTAGCGTGGCACCTACAAACCGTGACATTCAGACTGTTATTGTTGTGGTGGCTTGTTTCTGTGCAGACAAGATTGTCAAGCAAGTTTTGTACTGGGATCAGGCTGATGTGCTTGTACAAGCTGGATTGCTGGATCCAAAACTTGTGCCGAAGACCAATGCAGTTCGGTAGAATATTCTATGGATTGATTAGAGAGGATGAAGCAGTGAAGGGGCAGAATCGACTATGAGATGCATCGAAAATCAAATAAATGATCATGAATATTGAGTCTTGATACATATTGGAACTACGCAGGTCCACAGGTGTCTATTGTATGACTAGGTTTGGTGCTTGCGTAGCAATGGCTGCAAAGAATACGTAACAAAGAGTCTCTAGGGCTCTTTAAAAAGGGTACCACAAATTATCACGGTTTTTCCTCTTCCTGTCTTCTGTCTACGTTCGGTAGTATATACTCGAACCACCACCAAGCCCATCCAAGATCATCTTGTATACTACCATGTTTGTATGAAAGAGTGTCATCAAAGAAGTAAGTTTATTAACCCATGAAGACAGTTGCAGAGACACTTTGTGGAATTTACGGATCCTAACAGATTGATATCTCCTTTCTGCCCTTCATAATCACCAAGGAAGGTTGAACAACGCCGATAAAATCAAGGTATTATCAAAATTCCCTGTTTTATGTAGCACAGGGCTCGCCTTCTTTCTGTCTTTCTAGAGAAGATATATTTCTCCTTCTTCCCCCTAAAGATTATTATTAACCTCTGTTTTCGGGGAAACGTACGCAAAAATCGATGGCGTCTCCAGCGCAGATCGGTTGGCGCGGCGCGTTGGAGTCTTGTCAAGTTCAACAAATCCTATCAGTATATGGCGGAAACCAGACTAGGGCGATCTGAGCGGCTCCGTGTACCTTCAGGGGCTCTGGAAAATTAAGATGTTCATCGGATTCGAGCCTTTAGTTGAACCAGATACAAAAGAATACAAAAAAAAGAAAACGGCATATCTAAAAAAACACCAAAAATTTGACCGACGCAGGGGTCGAACCTGCAATCTCTTGATTCGTAGTCAAGCGCCTTGCCATTGGGCCAGCCGGCCTTGTTGTGGATCGGGAAACTTTTTGCATTTATGAGCGGGGCATATTCACGTCGCCAGACAGCATAATCAAATTCATAGATTTGAGGATAGAGGACTCAAAACAGACGTGAGCTATATATGTATAGCTCCGAGATGAGAAATTTCCAGAACGAATGTTGTGGTATTCAAAGCTCCTTCATGTCATCTTTTCTCTACTAGACTATATATATATTTAATTAACCGCATCCGGGAGACCGAACTCGGCGATTGATAAGTGTAAGATCAGATTATCAGGAAAATGTCATTCCTCTTCAAGAAATAGCTGCTTCCCGATAATAAAATCGGGAATAACAATGGAATTGGTATGAATGTTCAAGCTGCCATAATGACGGCGTTGCACGGAACATCACGCCAAGGTTGGTCCCTGGCGATGCTCGCGTCATAGACTTCGAAAAAAAAAAAACAATTGCTTCACATGTACCGAGACCTTGGCGGATTTCGCTTCCGTAAATTCTGCAAACAGCCTCGAAATTGGCTTCTTCCATATATCACGACTAACTGGCTGGCTGACATCCTGGAAGAAAGACCATCAAGATGACATCCACCAGCCAACACTACGATCACGAGAAGACTACCGAAAACGCCAATCGTGGGCTCATTGCAAAACTAGATCCTTGTATTATCAAAGACCGCAATGGCCGTGTTGTCTGGGATAACGACGCGTACGACTTTTTGTCCGCGCCTTGTCCGGACACAGCAAATCCTAAACTATGGCGACAAGCACAACTTGTTGCCCTACAGGGTCTTTTCAAAGTCACCGACGGCATATACCAGATCCGAGGTCTGGATCTCTCAAATATGACAATCATCGAAGGTGATCGCGGGATCGTGGTGGTGGATCCTCTCACTTCCGCCGAATGTGCAGAGGCCGCTCTCAACCTATACTACGAACATTTCGGCAAGAAACCAGTTTCGGGAATGATCTATACGCACTCCCACGCTGATCACTTTGGGGGCGCGAAAGGGATATTCGCAGAAAATGAAGCCAGCTCTGTGCCAATCCTAGCACCTTATGGGTTTCTCGAGCACGCTGTCGCAGAAAATATCTATGCGGGCAATGCGATGGCTCGAAGAGCTGCGTTCATGTATGGTGATCAGTTACAGAAAGGACCTTCTGGTCAGATCAGCTGTGGCTTGGGGGCCACTGTATCAGCAGGAACAGTGACCCTGATTGCACCCACTGTTGATATTACTCACACCGGTCAGGTAGAAGTGATTGACGGAATAGCTTTTGTATTCCAAGTCACCCCCGGGACAGAGGCACCAGCGGAGATGAACTTTTTCCTTCCTCAGTATCGAACGCTGTGCGTTGCAGAGAACGCGACACAGTGCCTTCACAATATTGCTACTCTTCGTGGAGCTGCTGTCCGAGATGCTCTTGCATGGTCTTCGTACTTGGATGAAACTATTGTTCTCTATGGTGAGAAATCGGATATCGTTTTTGCTTCTCATCACTGGCCTACATGGGGCCAGGATGCTATTATCGAATATCTCACGTTGCAGAGAGATCTCTACGCATTTCTGCATGATCAGACCTTGCGCAGAATGAATGATGGGCTGACTGGCATTGAAATTGCCGAAGAGATGCAGCTTCCCGTTCGGCTGCAAAATGCATGGCATGCCCAAGGATTCTATGGATCTGTCAGTCATAACGTGAAGGCAATTTACCAGCGTTACATGACATGGTTCGACGGAAACCCGGCACATCTATGGGAACATCCGCCGGTTGAATCAGCCAAACGCTACGTCGATTGTATGGGCGGTGTTGACGAGGTGATTGAAAAGGCAAATACCTTTTCCGAGAAAGGGGATCTACGATTTGCCGCCACGCTTCTCAATCATGCCGTCTTCGCAGACCCTGGAAACAAAAAGGCCAAAGAGTTGCTAGCCTCAACTTACGAGAAGCTGGGACATGGGTGTGAGAATGGTCCGTGGCGGAACTTTTACATCTCTGGAGCGACTGAGCTACGGGGTTATGTACCAGAAGGAAACGTGCTTTCTGGTCAAACAGGAATGGCTGAGACGTTGTCACTTCAACAACTATTTGCATCGGTCGCTGTTCGACTGGATGGCAGCCGGGCACAAGAAGGGAACTTCATCATCGACCTCTACGTGTCGGACCGAGACGAGCACTGTCGCTTAATTATCAGTAATGGTGCTTTGATCCACAGGACCAGGCAGCGTGTTCGTGAAGTATCTTCATCGGAAACGGTGGATTTCTCATGCTCCCTTACCTATCTTCAGTTAATGCAGAGTTTGGCTGCCGGGAAAGCCGAGGCTTTCAGTAATGAGCAAGGAGAGCGTTCTTATCTGGACCGGCTGCTTTCTCTCCTGGTCACTCCGAACCCATCGTTCAAGATTGTTACTCCATAATAAGAGAAAGTGACAACAGCCTGGGGTTGGCTCTCAGTTTCCAAATTTTGGAGGCACGGGACGACTCGTCCAGGGTCAAACAAATAATTCCCTAATACAAGCTTTGAATTTGACTCATTTACGAAGTTGCAGTCCTGAGAAAGTCCCGATTACACTCATAGGCTAAAGTTTGACTCTACGTGTTTCTGATTTTTGTTGCTCTGAGAAAACCGATTCACCACCCACGACTCACACACACCTTTTCGTCACTGATCTTAAGCTGTTTGTTTTAATTTGAAGTTATGTTACGCTTTGTACCAGCCCCTCACCCCTTGTTGCTGAGTTGTAGAAAGAAGCTCGACAGGTTGGTTGCAAGACGATACAAAATCTACAGAGGGGGGTTTTGAACACATTTCAAAAGGCTGTCAGCAATACTGGAAGAGAATAAAATACGAGAGAGGGTTATTTCAAATAGAATAAGTAAAAGCACATGTAGAGTTAACGTTACCGTCATTTGTGCACAAGAGAAAGAGAAGTTTATCGGTGTAATTGATTGTAAATGGATAATTGGACTGATTCTCCTTGTTTTACTTGGCATTCAATATAGACATGTAGAAATGTCTTTATATAATCAAGTCAGTCTGGCCGAGTGGTTAAGGCGTTGCACTCGAATTAATTCGACCAAGTTGATAACAATCTGGCAATGCAATGGGTTCGCCCGCAGAGGTTCGAATCCTCTGGCTGACGATAAAATCATCATTTTTGGTGAATCTTTTTTGCTGGTCACGGGCCGCGCTCATTTCAGCCTATCAGAGTGGGTATTGGCTAGATATGTCGTGTCGGTTGCCTTTTGTTTCTACGAGGAGAAAGGAGGCAACGATCGAGTATAACTTCTTTGCATCGCCATCACATTGAGCGAGACACAAGACTCCGCTCGTGTGTTTCTGTGCGTGGTCGGTACCTACATTTGGCCGCCGACAGCTTATCTTCTCGGCCCGTGTGAGGGGCTTTGGTCGACTAGCTCGAGCTAGATCGTTAACTGGGAACTCTTTAAACAGTCCATTTTCGCAATTGCTTTTTGAGTTGCTATCTCAACTTTCATCAAAATTCAACATGGGCAATACGCTATCCGCATACGCCGAGAGTCCCCATGATATTGACCTTGGCCCTCAGGGTAGAATTAAAGGAATCCAGTACGACAACAAAGCTCGAAGATATGCAGGTGTTCCTTATGCTCAACCTCCAGTATGTGCCAATCGTTGGCGAAAACCCATCCCATTCCCTAGCACCCACAGCTATACTCAATCGGACGGAACTGCTTTCGACGCAACCTTCTTCCGCCCTGTATGCCCACAGGCGACCTTCTCCCGTGGCGCAGAGAAGGATGTCGGCCCCGAGACCTACAGTGAAGATTGTCTTCTTTTAAACATCTGGACCCCAGTCGAAGAGCCAGGGGAGACCAAGAAATGGCCCGTCGTCCTCTGGCTTCATGGAGGCTGGTTCCAGCTCGGTGACCCTCTCCAAGAACTCGGCATGAATCCCACCGAGCTAATATCGACCGGGAAGCTCAATGCGATCGTGGTTGGAATTGGGTATCGTCTTAATGTTTTCGGATTCCTGGCTGGTGAAGCTCTGCTAGAGGACAGCAATGGAGAGAGTGCCGGCAATTTCGGATTGTGGGATCAGCGTTTGGCGATGGAATGGGTGTATAAGAATATCACCGCTTTCAATGGTGATGTGAACAATATCACTCTTGGTGGTCGCAGTGCTGGTGCGTACGCTACCCATGCACAGGCATTGTATGAGTTCCGGTGCGAGGAGCAAATATTTCAGAGATTATACCTATACTCGAACGCGATACCGGCACAGCCAAAAGCTTTGAAGGATGTGAATCCTCAGTTTGATGAGTTGTGTCAGTACTTCAAGGTTGATCATTCTCTATCGGGTCCCGAAAAGGTCGACAAGCTGCGTAAAGTGAGCTACCGGGATCTTGTGGACGCCTTGAAAGAACTCAAAAACCACACTTTTCGTCCGGTGACCGATGAATTGTTCATTTTCGGTGGTTTCACGGAGTATCATCACAGTGGGAAATTTGCTGAACAGTTTAAGAAGGGTCGGCTGCGGATTCTCATTGGCGAGGTCCTGAATGAAGAAACGCTCTATGCTACGTATAACACCCCTGAGCCGAACCTCGAGTCCCTGCGACTGCAGGTATCTAATTACTATGCTCCCGAGACCACGGATCGGATTCTACAAGAATATGAGCTACCATCGAGCGAGGACCCAAATGAGTGGAACACGCTTTTCGGGAATATCATCTCGGATGGCCAGGTCCGAGCCCCGTCTCGATGGCTAATCGATTGTCTCGACAAACATGGGGTTTCTCTAAGCGATATCTGGCACTATCGAATTGCCTATCGGCTTTCTTTCATCACGGACAAGGTGGCCCCTCGATCCTTCGGTGTTGCCCACGCCATGGATAAGCCATTTTGGAAGTGAGCAGAAAAGTATCTTTTTTGATGGACTTTGCTGACAATTGAATAGTTTCTCCATCCTGCATGGTCCAACACCTGCCGAGAGGAAACTGATGGAAGACTGGATCGCGCTTTTTGTCGCATTCGTCAATGATGACCATACATATGAGTTCGGTACTAATGCAATAGATGAAATGAAGGTTGCAACACCGGAGGGCAGGATTGAAATTCAAAAGGATGAGAGATGGGAGAGTCTTGTGAAGCTTGGTGCGGTCTTCGCAGACGATAAATAGAAATTGAATGGTAAATAGAAATTCCGTTACACCAATTAGTCACGCCATCTATTTACAAGAGATTGGCCATGTGCAGATGCCAATAGAACAAGTGTTTAAAAGAAGACTAACACCGTACTGAAGCCAGAAACATACGTAGGTAGCCTGTAAATTCCGCTTTTTTCTTACATAAGCAGAGGACGTAAGTGGACGGGGAGTTTCGATACGGTGTCTTCCTTTCTAGTTAGCAGTCAATCTGACTTAATAGTATGTCAATATCCTAACTCCATGGGAGAAATCAAGTCACCCGGAGATTTATCCACGTAGCACTGTTATGTGCGGCTAGGACGATTCATCACGGTGCGGGGTTCGTAAAGCTGCGCTAGACTAATTGGAACCAATAATGGAGAGGAATAGTGCGGTTCGCACGAGTGGGTACGGACGTGTCGACACGACCTTAGCCACCGACTTCTTTTTGACCATTTAGAGTGACGTGTTTGTAAAGACCACTGTTGTCCTTTGTGTCACTCGGATTAATTATTCGACTTTTCCAAGCTATTACCCGCCCACCTCCTTCCCCCGAATTTATGTGCAGACGGGCAATTGCTGCTGCATCGACCAGGCACAGTCATAACCATGTCCTTTGAGAAACATAAAAATGACCCTAGACTGAGCGTCGAGCTAATTGACCGACCCGAGGATATCATCCAGGCCTTTGACTGTGTATGCGAGGCATTCGGTCGCCAGGCGCAAGACGGCATCTTCCTAGCCATGAACCCAGGATGGGAAACTCCCCATGGGAAGGAGCTTAGAGCGGCCAACATGGTGGCCCGCTGGCGCACTACAACCAAAGACAAGGACGGAAATCTGAACACCTCGTTTCTGAAGGCTACGATACCGGGATCGGAACAGGAAAGTGAGCGCATCATCGTGGGCTTCGCGATCTGGGTGCAGGCTTCGAGCGTGCAGGGCTACGGCGATCTTCCAGTGGAGGATCTTCGCAAGGGCATGGATCTAGAGGCACTTTACCCCGGAAACGAACGCGAGCAGCGTTACCTCTGCCAGGTTATGGCCTCTTTACACCGGCGCCGCATCGAGGTAATCAAGGAGAAGGCCACCGCAGTACCCCCAATGGTTATGGCCTTAGACATGTGTGCCGTGGATCCAAGCTACCAGCGGAAAGGAGTTGCCAGAGAGCTAGTACAGTGGGGTCTCGACGAAGCTCGTCGGCGTGGCGATCTGGAGGCTGTCACCGAAGCATCCAGCATGGGGAGACATGTGTACGAGAAGATGGGATTCCAGGCGGAAGGGCCTAATATCGAGTATTTTGTGGATGAGGAGTTTAAAAGTCGCAGGAGACCGCCCAATATCTTTATGCGTACCCACGGCAACCTCGTATGATACTTCTGTTGGAGCCAACGCTAATCTTTGTTTAACTGGCATGGGTGCCACGATGGATCCTTTAACATCTTCTCTCTATTCTGATGCATGTCATTAACTACTTCCATCCCATTTTGGCCCCTTCTACCAGTTATTTCAAAACATAGCTGAATGTGTATATAGGTTGATATTGAGAATCCTTCTCTTAGCTGAAGTTTAGCTAGATGCATTGGCATTGTTGTGTTTGAACGAACCTAGAAGATCATTTTTATTGTACCAAGATAGAGTTTGCTGTAAGTACGATGTTTACTCAAAGGATTTTCTGAAAAGCCTTCGAAGCGCGCATTGCATGTGCTATATATCACGTGGATTCACTCGATAGTACAAAGAAGCGAGAATAAAACGGGTATTGTTTGCCGCCGGAGCCTTACACCCGCGACGCTTAAGTAATATATTAATGTAGCTCTGAACTGGGATTTGTGAAATTTGAAATCGAAAGCATAGTTGTTCAAAATTTAGCAGATAGAGGCTTTCCTGTAACGAAGTATATGATGCTAGGAACCCCGGAGCTTCTGTTAGACGATGCAGCTCGGTCTGTCTCACAATTTTGCTTGTTTGAAGCTGAAACTCTTTGAAATCTCAGCCAAGCTTCTCTGATTTGATGTAACGTACTCGGATTCGGCTGATAGGCTTCGGGATCTTCCAGATTCCGGGAATGACCGGCGACAACCGGATGATCTTGGCGGACGCAACAGGAATAAATCGAGGCAGAGTGAGCTATGCATCCGTAAGTACCGGAGGGCCGTCGAATAGCTTTGAGTAAATTTGATTTAGGATGCGTGCATCAGCACACAGGGCAGCTGAGGTGTTACCGTAACGCAGAAGGAAGCGAATCGTGTGTTTGAAGAGGCGGTCAAGGGTGGAGCGCTCGACAAGCTCGGAGAGGCTGGAGTTGTAGGTTGCGGCGAGGACGAGCATGTTACCGAATTTCCTATGAAGAATGTCCGTCAGTGTGGGATTAAAGAGATTTGCAGAGAAAGGAATCACTTAAAAGGACAAGGCTTACGCATGGGCCGTGCCGAAGATATTGGTTAGCACGAGCCTGTTTTCGATGCCGTCAAACGCCGTGGTGTGTAGAATCGCCGATTCAATGCAGATCTTACATGCGAGACGCAGTAAAATTGGCATATCACTCAAATTGACGACTGGCGGTATCCAGTCCTGAGAGGAGAGCAAGGATGGGTTGCTGGGTGCGAAAGAACCTATATCATCGAGCATGCGCTGCATGTCGGCGTAGCTGCTTTGCGACTGCGTCTGCGAAGCGGATCTGGGCCAAGTGGCCGAGTCTTCCCAGCAGGCCAAAGTGCCGGAGTGTCCGTAATGTAAGGCGTGGTACAGCATAGGCCGGTGAATAATATATCGTGTACGGTAGTACTTGGCGCGCATGTGGGCGGCATTGATGTCCTTAGCCGGCTCATCAACATCGCGCCAACTCATCATTTCCGGCAAGGCCATGCGCCAGAGGTCGATGCGGGCACCCTGGGCATTTTGCACGGAGGGTAACCAGCATGTTTGACCTTCTTTTTCGACCTTAAATAGATCCATATGCACATGGTTAAGGGTCTTGTGGAGATGGATCTGTGAATAGTAGTACAGCATCACTCTTGTGCTTGGCAAGGTGGCATCTTCTGGGGCATCGGTAGCGTATCTTCCTTTTGGGAAAGGGATCCGGCTTTCATATCGAGAAATACCACTTGCGGGGATGTCCAGCTCTACAAGGAGATCACTTTCCAGCTGTAGGCAACTCCAGTAGGCAAAAACACAAAGCTCTTTCGCTTGGCCTTCGAGTTCCTCATATCGTGGCTGTCGAACAAAGAGCTGGCACGTCCGGGCGGCCTGTCTGATCCATCTATGACTTTGGAAGGGTTGCGTTAATTGGCCAGCATAAAGACCAGCCAGCAAACATGCATGGACATAATCTAACCTCACGCCACCCTGAATATGGTCTAGGATCGCTGTGGCGTACCCATAAAGGGCCAAACCGGGAATGAATGGCCGGTTCCTGACGTGTTCACACTTATCTTGATCCGAGTCTGTAAGATCAAAGATGTGTGGAAGCCGCCAATCGCTCTTCTGATCCATAATCTGTTCAGAATGAGAGAGTTGACTCTCGCAGATAGCTCCGAGCGCGAGTATAAGCAATATAACTGCATTGTCGATGTCTTGTCTGACAAGTTTGCCAGACGACGCAGAGGTCGCGTCGACGAAGCCTCCGGTGACATCTGAATTAGCTTGGGCGCATTTGCTCAAGGTATCGGGATCTGTTGTCGGGGGAAAATTTTGAGGACAGTAGCATTCGATAAAATCCTCTACTCTCTGGTTTAGTTCTTGTTGGTCTAAGAAAGGGTGGAGCATGTGCATCCAGTCAAGATAACTCTGATAGTACCGCCGGGCGGTGTTCTCAAACAATCTCAGCAGACCAAATTGGTCGATATCTGAGTTCTGAGACAAAGCCTTTTTGTCCATTATCGATGTTTCGTCCTGGCTAGACCTGCTCCCACTGCAGCCACTACAGCCACTGCCATCGTCCGCCAGGGGCGACGTTGGTAACGCGGTGTCATTTGCCGTATAGAAAATACCACTCGGGTCAGACAGGCTAATAAGCCCTCGCTGCTCCTCTAGCATCATCATATAGTCCTGGTCGTACTCTTGGTCAAGTAGTGTCTTGACAGCGGGCCACATCAGCATTTTGTGTGCCGCTGCGGTGTGTCCTAGAAAAAGAACAATCAGTTTAGTTCAATCTGCCTGACAATACTTTAACAGTTCCACATACGCCAGTCGGTATCCATTAAAGAGCTATCCATTGAGAGTATTTCCGTCGGGGAGATTTTGGGTCGTGTTGATGCGACGCCAGAATGTTCACGAAGATTTAGTGCTCTTGTAGCAATGTGCTCTGCATTTACCGTTCGGGAAGGTGGCCAGGTTAAGTCCGGCATACACTCGGTCCCTAGACTGATTGCAGCCTCAGTCAATTCCGTCGCAGTTCTGCTCTCTGTAGTCTCTTCGACCAGCAGTGGTTTAATACAACCTCGGCCGATCTTGCTCCGAAAATGCCGGCTGAGGTTTGACTTGCGCCCGTAGCGCCTACTGCAGCCCCAGTTCTCACCATTCTTGAGTGAACCTCTACAGATCCATATCTTTTCTCCGCTGTGAAGCTGTTCATGAGTTTTGCAATCATGCTGTCTTGTGAAGGCTCTTCCACACACCCCGCAAGTGAATGGCCGCTCATCTGTATGAGTACGTATATGATTACGTAGGTTAAACGCCCTAGTGTACTCTCGCGGACACAAAGGACAGTGGAACTTGGCAAGCTGGGGCCACATGTTTGACGGAATTGATGGTTGGATGCTTTTGGAGTTCACGGGAAGGTCGCCGGCTTATTCTCCGGTGTCGCTCACGGATGCATTTTCGTGCTTTCCAGAGCAACAGTTGCCAGAGACGTGAAAAGGAAGGAAACATTAACAACAACCAGATATGTGTATGCTTGAGTAGTCGATTAATCACGGAAATTTCTGAGGGGTTGTACAGGCTCAAGCCCGACCGAACTGTCCCACTGCAGCAACTCGCTGGATCCAATGACACAAGACGATGACCAAGCGCCACCAACTGTGCATTTGCACAGGCTCAATGGATACCGGCACAGACTGGGTGAACGGTACAAGGCTTCGGGGCCGGAGGACTTTTCCATAACCTACTGACTCCCTCCACTCTGCACCGGCCCCTTCTCGCATGGGCACAGGCTCGGAGGTTGGGGAGGCTCGAAGGCGGCTTGTCTTGGCCACCTTGCCCTTTTACCCTCCACGGGCTCAATAGCGATACGACTTATTTTATTCCTCTTGAAATGGGCTAAATGTGATATCCTGCTGCCAAATTTCTCGGCCTGTGAGCAGTCTGATGGGCACTAGCTCCTCTTCTTAGAAATTGCAGACTTGCAGATTGAGCCTGTGCATAACAGCCTACCACTCTTTTTGCCTCGTCAAAACTTTTCTCAATACTGTATACGAATCAATTTCTGCTCTCGGATCATCCATTGAAGTGCTCAATCTATACCCTTAAACACTAGCACTGACTCAATCTTTCTCTCAGTAAATCTAGGGCTAGCACGCACTGGCTCCAAGAACTATCCGGTCAACAGTTCTGCCATTGTTCTTCTGGAAAGCTGATGGATTTCTATCAATGCCATCTCACTTTCACCTGGGAAATTGACTGTCATACACCAGAGCCTTCGGATTCCCGTCAACCCGAATCAACAACTCGAATAGATAGCGATCCATGACTCCCGAACTCATATGCTCGATCGTCTTTGGAATCGCGGCCACTATTCTCTCTTTGTTGACAATCATACAAAATTTCTTTCGACAGCCAACCAGAGGTAATATTGTCTTTACATTTTTCTTTGGGTCCCCAAGCCTGATCTTGAAAGCAGACATGGATATTGAAGACCAGCGGTACTGGCATTATCAAGTCTCTCCATCTTGCCATAGAAGTTTTATTGAGCATCCACGGTCGAAATGTTCGACATATCCAAGATACTGCTCGAACGACACCGGAACAAAATTCATCTATCCTGCCTCGGCCGGTATCCTGCCTCTGTCAAAACGAAACAGAGCCAGTATCAGTGGCCAAACTCGAATGTGGGGGTGTCGTCATATCACTTCTACTTGTGGTTTTCCTCAATATGACCACTTCCACCTCTACCACCTTGATGTATGAACAAACAGTAACAGCGTGCTGGAATTCTTCCATCAGTGAATAGCAGAAGATTGAGCGTATCTAATATAGATTCTCAGCCGGGCTTATCCTTGACCTGACTGCAAATACATTCAAGCGAGCAGAAAGGAACTAGTCTGTGATCTGCTGAGAGGACAACGGCAGTAAAAAGAATATGCGATTCTAAGGTTTGCTTTCACAGAGAAGGAATAGAAAATTTGATGGTGATCAACTTTACATTACAACGCTCATTAAACACTGATTTCCAACAGGGCGGCACAGCTCATATGGCATATTAAATAAGAATCTAGTTCTCTTCCATGCATTTTTTGGTACATACGACCATAGGGTGTGGAGAACAGGGCTTCCCGTCCGCTCCGTAGAAGTGGAAGGTAACGCATTGAATTCATCAGCGTGCCCACTTTCTTGATCACGGCTTCAACAATATTCCATTTTGGAATCCGGACCAACGCTGTGGTTGGATTCTGAGCGTTGTTGGCCCAAAATTCAGGAGGCAGATTGGTACCGTTGATGGTTGGGGCCGGAGGTTCATATGTAGTGTTCGTCTCTAGTTTTGTAGTAGCCTCATGGGCATACCTCCACTGAAATATACGTGACAACTTCACCAGGAGGGTCAGACATTGCGTTAGAATGCTTGTTGGAAAGGCCGGGGGAGAGTCTATAATCAACTACATCTTCGTTAGCCTGGTCTCATCTGGTCCGGCTAGAGGCTCCTCATTGAATACTTCCGGGTGAATGACAGATTTTGTAAGCAGTGGGAGGAATGTATGAGGTTAGAGGTCCAGAAGGAAGGCATGCTTACGGATGTTGACGCTTCCTTATAGCACACAAAGTTATTCTCTTCACAATATGCTTAGGCGCTTAACTTAAAATGGTGCGGCTATAGGGCTGCGCATGCACCCCATTATCCCAAATAGGTTTAGTCATATTATTGTACTTTCTAGTCCTAAGTGAATAAATCTTCTCACGCTCTATTTTATTCCCCCATCATCATCTTTTCTTTCTTTCTCGAACCAACTCTGTGTGGTCAATATCTCCACCCCCTCCGTCTACCCCGGTGAAACCTCCAAGATGGCGAAGAACAAGAACCAGAAGAAGAAGAATATTGAAACCCAGGTTCACCTCATCTGGAGGGAGTTTGGGTCATTTACGCGATGCTTGGATGTGGATCCTTCAAAGGCAGACCTCCTAGTCCCAAACCTTAAAATCGCACTACAGCGGCAGCAGGAAATCCTCAAGCCTGCTCCCGTTGAGGAAGTGACAAGGAAGGCCATTGGAGATCTCACTCGTGACGAAATTAATGAGGGGTTCGGCATTGCGAAGGAGTTACCTGAGTCCGACGGCCGACAGCCCTGGCCACCTCGCAACATGATCCCAAGGGATATATCAGCCGGCTGCTGTAAGTCTTTCTCTTCCTCACAATTGTATTGTGTGCCTGGATAGTGTTGTGGACTGCAAAAATAATGGTGAAAAGTAACCTCAATCCAAAGCGTCCAGAAATACATGGCACGCTCATCAAGGAATGAGGCTGCTGCAAGGGTTGTAATTGACCTTATTCTCTTTGACATTCTCGACCAGATCATGGATGGTCACTGCAACATTTCGGGCACCTGGCCCCTCCACATCCAGATGGAGACTAGCCTAGAGTCCAATATGGTCACAGTGAAGGGAAAGGACCAACGGTTCCGCGGGACGAGCGACTATACTCTCTGGTACGGCAATGGTGATGGGCCTGAAAAGGCAATCAACCTTATTATTCTGGAGGCAAAGGCTCAGAAACCTGCGGCTGGTGATGAGCAAGCCCTAGGCTACATGGGTAAGTGTCTTTGAAATCGCATTTTCTCTTATGCAACTTCTAATCTATGTATTGGCTCTAGGCTGCGTCCACCAAGAGAGACGGTTTAAGCCCGGCCGAAGCGCCATAGTGTATGGTGTCGTGACAGACGGCGAGGAATGGCGTTTTTGGCGGCTTAACGACGAAGGAAGATATTCCTGGGATGTGGAGATTTCTGGGATGCTGTCGGGTGACGTGAAGGGTAAGGAGACCGGTTATGCAAAAATTGCGACGCTCTTAGGCTTTATTATGGAGCAGGCCATGATTCTATCGCCGTACACGACGAGGATGCACTCTAAAGAGACATCCAGAGAAGACGACGAGCCAATGACCGGTTAGGATTTACTCTTTTTCTTATTAGTCCAGGTTACATGTTCACTCTGATTCAGATTTGTTCAGTATCTTTTAGGTTTGTGAAATGACATGGAATAAGAAAGGCAGTTGCTTGAATATTATTTGTTCTTAAAGTAGTTCTGACTCATTTTTGGCTTTAATGAAACCCTCTAAGAGCTGTATCTCGGCAACTTTCTCTTGAAGAAGCCCCTCGAGTTTCCTTTTCTCGTGTGTGGCTTGGTCAAGGAGCTGGGTAAGCTCTTCCAGGGTTCAGGATGATGGCTTTTCTTTACCTGCCTGTGCAATGACTATATAAGAGCTGGCAGGGGCAAGATTTGTGTCACTTTGAAAGCTGCAGCGTTTTTTCGCACTGCAAAGATGACAGTTGGCACAAAACTTTTCATTAGGAACACGGACACAACCGTCAAGAATCCCTTTGCCTTCCTGGCAGTGACGGCATGCATGGTCTCCCTGTTGTAGTTCCCCGGTTGATTGGGCCAAGATAGCCTCAGCATTGCACTTCTTCTGGGCCATCAAATGATTAAAAGAGATTCTCGTCCACGGTTCCTTCCCTTTACCAGTTCTTCCAGGTGGTCTGATCGTCGGTTCGCGGATCAGCGGCAAGAGACTCATCGAGTTCAGCAGCGTGCCCTTCCTTTGTATATGCCTTTGACTCCATAACCAGGGCGATTCTTTGGCAAGGTTTGCCCATTTACCGGGGGGGGGGGGGGGGACCACTAGTGCCCCCAATTGTTAGGGAGGATGGTAGACTAGTGGATGACATCCCTGTATATATGTGAGCATAATCATATTTGCCACTTATGAAATGCAAATGGACCCCTGACATATTGAGAGGTTAGAGGTTAGAGGGGTGACGGTTGACGAAATGAGTGGGACGATTTAACGGTCCTCAATAAGGGACACCAAGATCTGCAAGGTAGAGAGAATTCGTCAATAGATGGAACGGGCTTCGAGGAGGGGACAGCAGACAGACTTCTAGAAATTAGAGGGGAGTTCGAGAGAGCGGAGCTTTTAGGGGAAGAGGAAACAAGTGTGAAGAAGAAACAAGGAAGTGGGTGATAGACAATATCCATTCGAGACTTCACAAAAGAAGACTGTTTCAAGGACCGCCCGTATGTTCGAGAATAGCCGCATATGCGATTTTACGCCGAAGTCCCTTTGTTCAGTCCCTTAGGATATGCGCTTGGATCATATTGCGTCGTCGATGATAGCCCGCGTGGGGAATTTGGAGACGCACAGGTAGCTTTATTATAGGAAGTCTCCGATGCAATCGCCCTTCATCTTGAGAACACCCGTTCCATGTATTATCATCGTCGCGCCGACAACCTGGTCAAAGGATTAACTAGCTTTGTCAAAGATTACGCAGAGATTGTTTCTGAGTGATCGCCATCTCTAGTCAGGTACTCAAAATCTCAGCTCCAATTTCGATCTACCCGATGGCTTCCCTAAGCAGCGACAGACCACTATTACATTACCTGACAGAAGCAAGGATAGTGATGGCCCTATAATGTAACATCCTTATTAACTCCTTCAGAGGAGCCATTACCGTCCAGGAAATGCTACTCAGCGTGTTAGTCACACATTTCCCCCAGGTGGTGATCCAATTGAGGTGGGCGCTATTGCGTCTGTCTTTCAGTCATGGACGGAGGGAGGATGACGCGTTGCGCGTTGGCTCCGTCAAGACAAACATTGGCCATACCGAAGCAACGAGCGGACTGGCTAGTGTTATTAAGGTCGTGATGGCTATGGAAAAAGGTGTGCTTCCACCCTCAATCAACTTCGAGAAGCCCAATTCCCAGTTCGATTTGGATCATTGGCGACTCAAGGTGCCTACCGAGTTGAAAAAGCGGCCAGTGGCTCCTGGCCAGACGATGCGAGCGTCAGTGAACAATTTCGGCTACGGAGGCTCCAACGCCCACGTCATTATGGAAGATGCCAACAGACTCTCACAGAACCGCTCTGTCAATGGGAAAGTCATTGATGGCGTTAATAAAATTATTAATGGTGTTGACGCTCATGCCACTGGGACCACTGGCGACAAGCATAAGCTTCTTATAGTCAGCGCCAAAGACGACCATGCGCACGAGAACATGGTCGCCAGACTCGCGGAATTCCTTCGTCAGAAGGAGTAACATCGTCTACAAGATACCGAGACTCTTCTGGAGAGCTTGGTCTACACTTTGGGCCAGCGTCGCACTATGTTCCCTAGGTTGGCAGCATACCCCGTCCCCATAACTCAAGGTCTCGAGGGCTTTGCCGAGGTTCTGGAACGCCTAAGTTCAGACCATCGCGCTCTGCCCAACGCCCACGTATCGGCATGGTCTTCACTGGCCAAGGAGCGCAATCGCACGCCTTGGGTAGAAAATTAATTACAGCGTACCCTGTGTACAAAGCATCTCTCGAGGAAGCCGATGGCTATCTGCGGGACCTCGGCGCCAGTTGGTCGCTAATGGAGGAGCTTGGCCGTGATATCGAGGCAAGCAAAGTAAACATGACGGCCTTTAGCATCCCCATTTGTGCCGCGGTGCAGATCGCCCTGGTCCGACTGTTAGAGACCTGGGGAATTAAACCGTCAGCTGTAACAAGCCACTCGAGTGGAGAGATTGCCGCAACATACACGGTAGGCGCCATCAGCCTCCGCCTCGCCATGGGAATCGCGTACTATCGGAGCAGACTAGCCGCCGAGGTGACCCTGAATAGGCCTATCAAGGGCAGCATGCTGGCGGTTGGCCTTGGTCATCTGGACGTGGAACAAGACCTTGAGCGGCTTACTGGCGATGCTCGAGCTGTGGTGGCCTGCATCAACAGCCCGTCTAGCACGACGGTGGCGGGCAAAATTGCGGCGATTGAGGAGCTTGAGACGTTGCTCACAGCTGAGGACGTATTTGCTCGCCGACTTCGAGTAGATACTGCGTACTACTCCCACCACATGGAGCCCGTTGCGGAGAGCTACCGCCAGGCGCTCTGCAAGATGCCGACGGACGAACCAAAGACTAAGCGTCAAACATGCATCGCTTTTGCATCCCCGGTCACTGGCTACCGCATGACCAGCACCCGAGCAATCGCTGACCCGGAACACTAGGTTGGCAGTCTAATGCAGCCCGTCCAGTTTGTTGACGCATTTATCGAGATGGTCCAGGGCGATTTGTCTGTCGACGCAGCTAGCCACAGCGTGGATATCATTGTCGAGATTGGCCCGCACACCGCTCTCGGAGGTCCCATCCAGGAGATTCTCACCCTGGAAGACTTTGAGGGAATCAAGCTGCCATACTATGGTAGTCTCGTGCGGCACGCTCACGCGGTCGAGAGCCTCCAGATACTGGCGTCGAACTTACTCAAGGAGGGCTATGCGCTCGACATCGAAGCCGCCAACTTCCCACAAGGGAGGAGCCAGAACGTGCGTATCTTGACTGATCTCCCGTCGTATCCCTGGAACCATCAGACAAGACACTGGCTTGAACCGAGATTCAATCTGGGCTTATCGCCAGAGGGATCATCCTCCACACGAGCTCCGAGGCTCGCTGGTCCCTGGAACCAACCCCGAAACGCCGGTATGGCGACACATACTACGTGCTACCGAGCCGCCTTGGGTTCAAGACCACGTCATCCAATCCAAGATGCTCTATCCCGGCTGTGAGTTTATCTGCTTGGCTGTCGAAGCCGCCATGCAACAGCTAGAAATCGCCGAGGAACAGGAGGACTGTGAGATATCTGGTTACCAGAATCCGGGACATGAGCGTGCGCAGGCACTCGTCATTCCAGACACAGCTGGAGGCATTGAAATTCAAACAGCTCTCCGTCTGGTCAGTGACAAGGCCATTGGCCTGCAGGACTGGAAGGAGTTTGGGTTGAGGTCTTTTCAATTACTTGAGGTCTTTTCAATCACTTCAGAGAACAGATGGATGCGACATGCACAGGGTCTCGTCATGGTTGAGTTCAACAACGTCCAAAACGGCGTCTCCTCTTTAGACCAAGAAATACAAAATACGCGAAAAATCGATCCTATTGAGATGTGGAGTACTCTGGAGCCTCTCGGCATCAAGTACGGTCCGATTTTCAGAAATATTAGCGACATCCATGTGAACCTTATCGGCTTTGAAATGATGCAAACACCCTAGGCTTCATTAATTTGGTGTGTAAGCCCTATTTTGAGTGAGTTTTTGACTGTGAAGGCTGCTAGATGCCTGCATAGTAGATTTTAAAAATAGATTATGACTAGATACTTAAGCTTCATTTCTCGGCCTATACCCTAAACCACTCCGATTCTATGCTAACCTTCAAATTACCCTTTTCTCTGACAAGAGAATTTTACTTCTAGAAAGTTCGTGCTACTTATATTACAGTACCTATACGAAGCTCCGTTATACTCCTACCTAAATGCCCTCTATATTCTGATATCTATTTCTCTTAACTAGAACCTCTACGTAATATAGAGCCGATACTACCCTCTTTATAGCCATAACTTATAATTAATATAATGCGAAGCTTGATAATACGTATCAAATAGTTAACGTACTAGAATATAGAGAGCAGGTAATCAAAATTACCCTTAGGAATTGCCCGGATACATCTATAGTCTACATTTCCTTAGGTACCCAATATTTTCATTTAACCGCCAGCGGCTACATTAAGAAACAATAAAGCCAGAGAGAAGTCGACAGTAAGCTTATCTATGAGAAGAACTGAAGTACCATAGTCATACTCATGATGTGAGTGTTAACAAGGCTTATATTCGCAAAAGGTCTCTCCTTACGGAGACCCAGACATATCTAAACCTAAGGACTGCTTCAGACGCACTCGACCTGCAAGCTAAATAGAGTGACATCGGCCTCAAAGCACTGCTTGTCGCCATCGACGCTAACAGTCCTGTATAGGGTGGAGTCGTCACAGCCAGAGGCAGTGTATGTATTCAGCACGGCTGAGGTGCCATCCGTGCAGGAGCCAGACTCAATATAGGCACTAAAGGATTTGATGGGAAAATCCTCGACGTTGACACAGGAACCGGCGTATGCGTTGGCGGCATCGATGCTAGGGGCGGTGCAGTTGGTGTAGAAGTAGCCAGCGTAACCGATCGTGGGGTTTGCAATGGCAGCAGCTACCAGGGTAGAGAGGATGGCGATGGTCTGGATTTGACTTAGCACTGGAGTGGAAACGAAGATTGTTGATGAAGGATGGGGTAATACTGGCTTGACACTTACCTTGATCAACATGTTTAAGGAACTTTGTTTGCGAATTATCAGAACAATCCCGTGGGTAAACGTGCCTTTTATATGTTTTCTGAACGTGGGAACCGAATGGCCGAAGCAAACAGAGAGATATTTTCTCACAAGCCTTGGCTTAGGTTTGAAGGCATGGCATATTCCTTAAACTGCCCATTGTCCTAAACGGGTAACCAATGAGGCGCCCTGCAGCGCTAAAGAATTCGCTTCGGCAGTTTTGCGCAATTGATGGCCTTGAGGGGTTACTAGCCCAGAATCCTTTGAGTTGGTCAGTTAGCGCATGAAGGCAGGGAGGGGAGGGGGATTGGACTGGAGCTTTGTTTAGGTTCATTGACACCCTGGCTAAGATTCCTTTATTTTGTTCGAGCTAAAATATCTAATGGAAAAGAAGATTCTTTCCATAAACTGTTTCTCAAGGTGTTGTCAACATTTCTCTATAACGGTCGTACTATGATTTGATTGTGATTAAGATGGCAGCGGCTAGGGCTTGTCAGATTTTCCGTCACTTGGTGCCCCGACAAGGTGTCCAGCGTGATTCGGCAAGCAGCTAAGGATTAAACCGAAAAGCAAGCGTCGCTGGATTAGGGATAGAACGGGTCATGGTGGATGGGACAACCGGTTCAATGATGATCTCCGGAAGTCAAAGTGATTGTCTTGAATATCTACAGTACTTTGATATAACTTGGAATAGATAACTGCGACATATGAGGGAGTAAGCGGACAGACAACAATTTGAGATTAGCATTCAGGATATGTTTGTATCTGCCACCGGGTATCCTCAGTAGGGCTGGTCCGAAAGCCCGCCCGCCCTCGTCGGCAAATTTACGGAAAAAAAGTAGCCTAATATCGATCTACTCAGCATCCGTTTTGCTAGACCGTCTCGGGCGGACTAGTCTCCGCCACCAAAGCCTGTGGTTGGCTTGTTTCTCGCTTGATTACACCAGGTGAGCAACGCCCCATCTTCAGCGGCGGATGCTTCGCTGTCAGATGAACAGGTAAGAGCTAAAGATTATCTGTAATGCCGCTTGACTGGAAATGAATATCCTTCTAGGTAGTTCTCAAAAATACACCGCAAGTTCTATTTAAAGCTCAGCAGGCATTAAAAATAAGGGATAAAACACTGTCTATCTTATTAAACCATGCGACTTCCCATCCACAGTCTCCATTATTTCGTCATCCACATCTTTTCCTGATGTGACAAATATTCTAGACAGCTATTTCGCTAGGCTACCAAGAGCCAATGGATCTGAAGCATCGACTTATGTCATCACGTGCTCAGAAACAAGAGAAGGATCAGAGCCGTGCCCTCTGATCAGGGGCTGAGCAGACCCATGGACAGGTGCCGTTCCCCAAGGTAATTAGTCTCCCATGTACAAGATCAGCTAAATCACCGCCTCAACTATTACTCCGCCTAATCATCGGATGGATAGCTATACATGTAACTGCGACTCCGGCGTCGACTACTGGAGCATGCGCAGGAGCATACCTTGGAGTAGGGAGAGATAGGTATTTAAGGACACTCATTCCCGCATATGTATTTAGTTCTTCGCGATCAGTCGTACAATATTACTTGAAGCCTACTATTGATTCAGTATCTTCACAATTTGACTAGTTTAGCACCTATCCTTCGATTGGAGGATTCACTTCGGTGCCTCACTTAAATGGAATTCTACTCTAAACAAAGTTGCAAGACTACTTTACAGACCGGAGCTCGTGTAAAACCTAGTGAGTTAGGAAGCGATGTGGTTGCAAGCACTGCTTGGAGGCACGGCCGTAGTAAGTATACCATATACGAGACTAGCTCACACTTAACAGTGACCAACGTAGTACCTAGACTAAAGACTGAGAGTACGTTCTTAGCTCAGCGCCACCTGGAAATGAAATATTTCATTGACTAAATCGAACATATAGAACATTGTACATTGAACATTGAATACCACGAAATACCTCAAGGTTGAAGAGAGAGAAGCCTAGGCATATGTGTAGTTTATGAAAGGTAGCATCATTTTGATGAGTTTATTCCGAAAACCGAGGAAAAGAAGAGAAGATCTCAACAGACTGAGGCTATAAAGGAGAGAAAGAAAAGGAAGCTACAATATGTCTATGCCAAAGTGCAAGCCGGTTAGACTAAACATCTTCAAGTTAGTATATCTATTGCCAAAGATAGCAAACTACCACTTCGAAATGTTCACTTCCGACGCTCACTCACTAAATTGCTCCTACATCCGCGGTTTGATATGATATTCCCATTACAAAACTTTGTACATATGACCATAAGGTGTGGAGAACAGGGCCACCCATCCGCTCAGCCGTGCTTAAACCACACATACATAGTGGCTGGGTGATCACTAGCGAATCTCGGTGTTTCATGTTTTTGCACAGCCAATTTCCTGATTTGTCAGGCTTAGCGAGTGCTCTCGCCGCCTTGAATGCCGGAGCGCTGACGTGTCCCCTCGGCTAAATCCTCCCGTACCTCACGCTATGACCCTTCCTCCCTACTTATGCCGCGCTCACCCATTCTGAATTATACTTCAAGGTTGCGGGCCGTCCCTGTGAAGGCTAAATAGCTCTCAGCTTTGAATTTTAATATCAGTAAGATTAAGCAATAATCAAATCTACATACCGTTGAAGGGCTAGCACTTGATTCTGAAAATAAAACATCGCAATCCTCCCAGCCACTCGATCGAAGCTAGGTTAGCGCTAAGTTATGGGTGATGATAGGCCAAGGCTGCAAGCATTATGGTCTTATCGGAAAATGGCCCCATTCCTCGGGCGCAGTGGTCTCCTGCCTCGATAAAAAGGATGAATATGCTCGTTCCTCTTTTTGAGTTTGATGTTTGGAAGCCTACTTTTCCGACTGCTCTCAACGATGTCTACAAATACAACTGGTAACCTCGGCTGGGTCGCCGAGCCCGATGGACGAGGAACGTGGGCCATCCTCTCAACCTGCAGTCTGACTATCGTGCTCTGCTGCTGGTCATCTGTCTATCCTAATATTCCTTCGAGATCAGACGGAGCGTTTAAACGAGGATTAGGCAAGATTAATCTCTTCCTTATCGGCCTTCTTGGACCAGAGTTCTTGCTTGTTATCGCTCTTGGGCAGTGGTCATCCGCTCGGACATCATTTAAGGTGCGTATCATTGTTCCAAAAAAATTTCAAGATGCTAATCTGATTAATTGGGTAGAAATTTCATCATGCTGGTTACGAGAACTGGTCTATGATTCATGCATTCTTCGCCGACATGGGGGGATTTCTCCTTGAATCCCCTGGAAGCGAGCTATTTCCTATTGACGCCGAACAGCTGTTTCATTTGGTGAAAGCCGGATACGTTCCTTATCCAGATTTGGATATGGAAGATATAAAGGACAAAAGCAAATTAGATGGCTTGGCAAGGTGAGCTAACCTAACCTCCTTGTATTGTGCTCCCTCTTCTTCTAGACAGAGCGCTATTTTTATATGGAGAGGTCATATCTAACCTTTTCTTAGGATGATCGCATCATTACAAGGAGCCTGGTTCTTGATCAATTGCATAATCCGCGCCGCCCAACATCTTTTTCTCACTACTCTTGAGATCACCACCTTATCTTTTATTATAATTTTCTTCTTCACTTCATTCTGCTGGCGCCATAAACCTCAAGACATATCCCGCTCCATGATTCTTCATACAAATACTCCTATCGCGACTATTCGCTCAGAATGCCGTCCACGTCCCGAGAAGGAATGGCACCAAACACCGCTCGATTTTCTTTCTCGAAATGAATGGCTCTGCAGTCGCTTGTGGCGCTATTACGTTCAGATCCTGCAATATTTACATATTCCAATTTTTGCCCGGCCAATTACTAAGCCTTACGATCGCATACCCTCCGATAACTTCTTACGTCTTGACAGAATTGCAGACAGTATTTTTGCTCCTTGTATGCTATTATTTGCTTGCATGTTCATGTTTGCCTGGAACTTTGAATTTCCTACGCCCACGGAGAGGCTACTTTGGCGTATTGCAGCAGTCTACCAAGTCCTGTTTGGTTCTGTAGGTGCTCTAATCTGCTGGTATGCTGATGTGTTCATTCTTCCCAAACACGTGGAAAGCGTTGAGAAACCCCCAAATAAGCTCTTTCATCGGCTTGCATGGAAACTGAGAAATATCCACCCCGATCGAGATCCAGATTTGGCAGTTCCGTTAAAGGTGCTTCTCCCAAATGTCTTGCTTTCTTTTTTGTATTGTTCATCTCGAGTCTTCATTCTCGTAGAGGATTTGGTTGGACTGAGAAGTTTACCAGAAAGTGCGTTCCAGACAGTGAGCTGGTCAAAGTATATTCCTCACTGGTAGATGAATGTTAAAAGCCGGAGGTTTCATACGATAACAAAAACTAAAAGTAAAATCGGAGATTGGGATGGGATAGTGAGTGATGTGGGGTGTTTGTACGACAACTCTAGGATTGAATAGTGATGACAAGTGTCGGATATTTCTTCAACATCTATAAATTCCCGGCTACACGGGAGGCACAATGCAGGATGAAAAGGTATCATATAACATTGGCGAGAAGACTAGAGAAAACAAAGTCATCAGTCACGCCCCATCTAGATATACAGATAGTGGATACGCTAGTCCCAGTATGGTGAGTCCCCGTAACAGTCGTAAAGAAGTGCAGTTCAGTTCGATTACAATCGGGAGAACTTCATGTGGCGGTTCACATCCTTATAAAGCAGGTAGCGGAACTTGCCAGGGCCACCCGCGTAACAGGCCTGCGGGCAGAAGGCACGCAGCCACATGAAGTCGCCCGCTTCCACCTCAACCCAGTCCTGGTTCAGTCGGTAGACGGCTTTACCTTCCAGAACGTAGAGACCGTGCTCCATTACGTGCGTCTCGGCAAACGGAATAACACCGCCAGGCTCAAAGGTCACGATGGTGACGTGCATGTCGTGACGAAGGTCGGTCGGGTCGACGAACCGGGTGGTTGCCCAAGCTCCGTTGGTATTCGGCATCACGGTGGGCGCAATTTCTTTTTCATTGAGGAAGAGGGGCTCGGGCTTATCGAGTCCATTGACAGCTTCGTAGGCCTTGCGAATCCAGTGGAAACGGGCGGTCGTTGCGCCGTTGTTGCGGAGGGTCCAGCCGCTCTTCGGTGGGAGGAATGCATACCCGCCCTCGGTGAGCGTGTGCGTTTTGCCGTCCAGGGTAATTGAAACCTCGCCTTCCACCACAAACACGACACCCTCGGCGGCGTCATCAAGCTCGGCACGATCACTGCCGCCTCCGGCCTGCACTTCCATAATGTATTGCGAGAACGTCTCGGCAAACCCAGACAATGGACGGGCAATCACCCACAACCGCGTCTTCTCCCAGAAAGGAAGAAAGCTCGTGACTATATCTGAAAAGACCCCTTTGGGGATCACAGCATATGCTGGTTTTTGACAAGTTAGCAAGTTAGAAACGGCCGCAATCGATCCGAAGCAAGTGTGGCGCATACCTTCAGTAAACATGGCGCGATCGGTGAGGATTTGGTCCTGAGGAGGCAGACCCCCCCGTGGAGCATAGTATTTAGAGGCCATTTTGAAAGGGAAAATACGATTTAGAAGTTGAAAAGGATACGGAGGAACGTTTTATGGGAAATTCGTCGGGGCGAAAGATTTCGGACCCGGCCGATGAATCGGAGGTTCCCCGCGACTAAGGCCGGTACCGCCATAGAATGGCACTGTATGGCGGGGCACATTGAGTCCTCACCGCCCTTCCCTCCGCCTTTGAAGGCTGCACCAGGCAGTCTCATTGAGCCTTATTCTGTCCATATAAATGAATCATGTGTGAACGAATCTGCAACTAATTTGTAGCAAGTCTAGGAGTTGGAGGTTTAAAAGAAGTGTTATTTGATCACTTGTACTTCGTTTTTAAACCTAAAAAGAATTCTATTCATTCTCGGGCTATAGCGAAGTGATATAAAACGAGCCCAGCTTCAGATATTATCCCTAAATCTCATCTCACAGAAGTCCCGGTATACTTCAACCTACTATTTCATATTTCATATTTCATGATGCTTTTGATTATTTTAACCAATTTTGTACTCCCTTTCCTAATGCTTCTAAGCAGAAGATGCAGCTGAGGTTCATTAATCACGTCGACGGAGCTACGAAAGTACTTACAATTTTAGGTATATAATCAATACTAAATTGGGCATGTGGCGTGCGGCTTACATGCGGCCAGGGGGTGTGGTCCGGGTGGGAATCGTGGATGAGAAGGTCATTAACGTATTACCGCAGCTAGAAACAAGGATCCCAAATTCATTGGCTTTTCAATGGTGGAGCTTTATCGACGTCCGTGGGGGTCCTCTCTAATCACATCAATTTAGGAAGTTGGATGATTGGGGTACCTAAGGCTCGCCATATGTGTAGACACACACACTCTCTCACACTCTCACTCTTCCCCTCTTCCCCTCTTCCCCTCTTCCCCCTCTCTCTCTCACACACACATTCTCTCCCGGGGCTTGCAAACACATTTTCTCCACAAATACTTCGGTTTTAACAGAACAAAAATGCAATTACAAGTATCATGAAAGCATGCTAGGGATCACCACGAACGTGACATGCCACTGGCAATCGAGATCCATCGCATTGAAGCAAATCTTGCTACTCGAACCATAAGAGACAGTCTGCTCAATTGATACTTCTTATTGTTGATTATCCATGGGAAGAACGGCCTCCTCCTCTTTTCTTCCCGTTCATACTGGATCTATTTCCAGGGAGAGACTATCCCCTTCGTCACTCCCTTCTGAATTTCATTGCCTCTTGTTTCACAGCTGAACAGACCTTCTTTGCCGTTGCAGATCTGAGAATGCCGCAGCTTTCCAGGCGTGTGCACGCGCGCATCCATGGATGAAAGTCCAGAACAGGCTGAGAAAGTGAGGACTGAAGCCAACGGCACCACTACCGTGCTTCCATGGGACGCATCTTCACAGCCACCTTGAATACAAAAACTCTCAGTCTAGTCTTCATTTATCGGCGCAGATCTACCACAGCACCGAGGATCGGAAGTCCTTCGCCCAGGTTCCCTAGCCTCGAAATGCTTCAACGCTCTGGAACACACTTGCTGTTTTGACCAATTAGCCCGAGGTCTAACCTCACTGCTTAATAGACCTGCAACCCGAAGTCAGCTTCTAAGGGTCATATGGGTACGCGAAATTTCTCCGCCGAATACTGAGGAAGGAGATAGCTCAGTCCGACGCATGGAAAATTAACCTCCTTTAGCTACATACATTTGATTAGTACCTGGATCGACTCACAGTAGCCCTTACGGACATGCTAACATTCTCACGACGTGCAATCGCCAAGGACATCAAGATTAGGGATTTGGTTCCAATTCGCTTTTGTAGGTGGAAGATTGGCGAAGCACCTGCCTTGAGAAGGGTGCTTAGGACCGGCACCTTTCTGAGCTGGAATGCAAGAGTTAGAGGTATGTGATTCCAGTGTATGGTCTTGTGGTGGATGCTAGCATCAATGAAATATTGTGCCGAGTTCGGCTGGTCTATCATTGTGGCCCAGTTGTGGGCGTTGCTTCCATGGTGAAGGTTCAAGACCATACGCAGAGGGGTCCAGACTTGTGGCCGCCCACGGGCTTCAATTGAGCCTCACAAGAAGGCTGATATCCCTTTGGGGACCGGAGCAACCCGTAATTATGAGCAAAGGCTCAGGTGGAAGGTTGAGAGGCTCATGGCTGAATATAGAAGCACGTCAGGTTCCAACGATGATAGAAATAAAAAATCAAAGAACGAAAAAGAAGTGAATCAAGTTCGGTTCAGCTTGCGTGAGCACTCAGAAATCGTGAAATTACTTCTAGAGAGACCGAATGGACCGGGACCAGGATTTAAGTAGAGGAACTGATCCTCCTATCGGCCCCTGATGCGATTGATGCGATGAGCATAGGCTTGACGAGAGATAAGAAGCAGCGCGAGAGGTTCAGATTATATAGTTTATGCGCCGACATTGGCAAAATTTTGAATTTTCTTCCATGAATCGCTCTGATCATGCCCAACGCTCCTTGTCGCCTTCTATAGATTCTGCCTCTCGCAATGTACGACGACTCGACGACCAAGTTTCGACTACAAGCAGACTTTTATGTTTATCTACTCCCTTAATATGTGGATAGGCCTCTTACTGTATGGGGGATTCTCACGGTATATTGAAGTTAACGCAAATCAGGAGATTCAATATCGTGTTAGTTGTAACCGCCCCCACCCCCACCACAAACACACTCAGTAAAGCCAAACACCATCCTGCTCCAACTTGCCCTCAGCTTTGATCTTCTCCATACATGTCTTAATTCTATTGACGATATGCTCGGCATAGCCAGGCCCTAGAGCAGGTCTCTCTATAGTCATGTCTATCTTTAACCAAGGGACGGAACTGAGTCCTCGGCACGCCTGGCGCATCTCGTCGAATTCCGCATCGCCGTATAAAGCCCCTACAAACACAGCCACGGGCGGCCTGGAATAGTCCATGGTGCCACGATTGGGCTCTTCGGCAATGGGAGGGGCCTGCCCTTGCAGCATGAGGGGTATTTCGACTGCTCCAGAGGCACTGCTGGTGACATTATGTATAACTGTTGATGATTTTAGTTTCAAGCAAGGACTAGCTTTCTTTTCTCACTTACTTTCGTACTCGGGCAAGTAAAGAGGTTTGACAGCGTTGAAAACTTGCGGGTTGGTGCTGCCACAGGCAATAATTGGCAAAGCTGACATGATGAGTGAGATGAATTTATGATTGCAAAAAGACGTAGTGAAGAAGATATCTCGTCCAGATACTGGGGTATTTATAATCGTGAGCGAACGATATACACGAATGATCGTGGCTGCAGCTGCCATTGGCTGGGTGAATGAATTTCCTAAAGGGGCGAAAGCTGAACTTTGCTGACGCGATCGCTTCGACCCCTCCAGAGGCTCCCTCCGGAGCGCAAATTCAATACAGCACTCTTATCAGAATTACTCGAGGCTCAAAAATAAAGACAATGCCGAACACCGGTCAGTATAGCCGAGACTGCTATCCATGTCGACAGCGACGTATTAAGGTACGTTGGCCCTAGGAAATATAAATGCACTATGTCCACTCATCAACCGAGTTCCAGTGTGATCTTGCACGTCCATCCTGTAGTCAATGTCTACGAATAGGAAAACCCTGTTTAGGCTATCGAGATGAGGTCAGCATGCGCTTCCGTATTGCCAACGTTTCGTCGTTTAAATCAAGCACGAGGCATGGCCAGCGGAAAATGCGTTACCACGACCCGCCAATAGTCAAAACAGATTCAGCCAAGCACGGCTACATCTCTGTTCCGATATTATACGAGCCGCCTCAGGTGTGGAGCCACCATGTGATTCCTTTGGTCCTTGACAAGTTCTCGGTCCGGCCTGTGGATACTAGCATAAACAGTAGCATGTTTGCTACCATCCCACGTATCATATCCAACACGCAAGAAGGGTCCCAGGTCTATGCAGTCTGTGATGCTATTGCATGTGCATATTTAGCGAGTACGACGGGATCGACAGCTGCGATTGCCAATAGAAGCCGGACGTACGGGACAGCACTGAGGACTGTCAATGCAGCTCTTGATGATCCTACTCAATACAAGAATGATAGCACATTATTAGCGATTTGGATGTTTGTGGTGTACGAGGTAAGTGTTATTCATCAGTGAGGAGTTATGGACTAAGAGAGCTAACTGACCCAACGTTCCTATCGAACCCTCATCTCACATCTAGTGTAGGGTCAGAGCAGGGAAACCGCCACTGTCAAGGCATGGCCTCTTTAATTAATGTCCGAGATACGGAACAATTTTCTAGGCAGGATGGACGAAATCTCGTTTGGTATATCTGTCATTGCACTGTAAGACCTCCTGAACCCGAAGTTTGTAGTCGGCATATCTGATGACAACAGCAAGCCAAAGCACTCATCGCCGGCCGAGAGGCTCCTACAGAGATACTGAGTTGGATCTATAAGCTCTGCCAATATTTGAATCCATCCGAATCTACCATGATTCAAGCATGTACCTTTGCCTACCACTGCACCCGCCTCTGTAGTCGGATTCGAAAGGTGTTAAACGGAAGTTCGGATTTGGTGTTGGCCACCTACTCGTCCATATTACACCAGATGGACGAGACAGAGAGAATGTGGAGCTCTTCATATAGCTCAGCTCAGCCATCAATATCGTCTATTGGAGTGCATGCATACCAAGGAAACTTCCAGATGCATCTCTCGGCGAGTGTCTTAACGTTTCTACGTCGCGCCTGCCAGGCTGGCTGTTCATCACAGCAGCACATGCATTCCACTGCGATGCAGGAGCGTTGCATTTCAACTTTTCGTACAACGGCTACGAGGACCTTACAGGTGCAGGGCTTGTCACAAGAGATCGGTCACTTGCCTTATAACAATTCCAATCTCGGATGGGCAGACGCAGTAATGGTTTACGGATCCTTGAGAACCATCGCCACATCTCCTATTTCATTAGGGTGGCAGAGATACGCAGCGAATAAGGTTCTTGCGGAGATCAAAGAGCGACTTGGTTTTCAAATTGTGCTATAAATGGATAACTTTGTCATTCTTCAATCCTATGTCATATTCGTATCATACGCATACTGCCAAAGCCGATAGCAACAATTCCCTCAAAATTTTAATATTTCTTGTTTCCCTGATTTAGCAGTACGTCCAGGTCCTGGCTGTGGTGGTCGTGCACTTCGACCCTCGGCCCGATCTCACAATGTTCAGTTGTAGTAGGCGTGGGTCCTTCGATAACCTTGAGGGAGATTGGATCTCATTGGGATTGGACCTTGACGATCGCCAGAGAGATGTTCACCGCTACAGTTGAGGCATCGCTGTCGCTCGTGTTGGCCAGCGCAATGTCCGCAACCGGGTGTTTCCCCGCACGAACACACCAAATGTCTAAATCGTTGACATCGTAAGCATCTCTTTTTCGTGATATCGTCGCGCTTTACATATCTACTGTAGAAAGCCCCCGAGGTCTTTGACGTAGAGAATGAATGATTGATCCAATTAGAAGATCCCATAGAAACCTAATTATTAATTTCTTTCTGCCCTCCACACATCGACACAGTGGAGACCCTTACAACTACCATTACAGACCCTCGGATTGACCCTCGGATTATCGAAGACACAAGATCTAAATCGACTTGCATCTAAACCATGGCTTTCGCGGCCTTGTATCGCATTTATGCAGGGTTCATCAACCCCCCACAAGCCAAGAAAGAGAATGACGCAATCCGCTTCGGACTACTCGGAGCATCAAACATCGCGTGAGAAGAGACAATTCAATTGCTTGGATATGTCTAACATGATAACGTAGTCCATTTGCGTTGATCAAGCCAGCTGAAGCGCACTCAGAGGTCATTGTTGCAGCTGTTGCAGCTAGAGATCGCAGTCGTGCGGAGGCGTATGCCAAGAAGCATGATATTCCTATTGTCCATGCCTCTTACGAAGGTACCATTTTCGAGTATTCTTGAACTGAAGAGCTAGTGGTTAATCTCTCATAAGATCTACTCAACGATCCAACCATCGATGCCGTCTACATCGCCCTCCCTAACAGCCTACACTTCGAGTGGGCCTTGCGCGCTCTAAATGCCCGGAAACATGTTCTTTTGGAGAAGCCCTCGTGTTCGAATGCTGAAGAGGCGAAGAAGCTCTTTAACCACCCACTACTCAAAGGGCCTAACGCCCCTGTTCTCCTGGAGGCCTTTCACTACCGCTTCCATCCAGCGTGGCAAATGTTCCTTTCCTTCGTTCACGATGAGTCTATGGCAGGGCCTGTAAAGCACGTGTCTGCAGAGCAGTACCTACCCAAGGGAGTAATACCCAATGATGATATTCGCTGGCGCTATGACCTTTCCGGTGGTGCATTGATGGACTTCGGTACTTATCCTTTGAGTTGTCTCCGCCAGATTCTACGCGAAGAACCGACGGAGGTCTTGCAGGTAAAAGAACGAGTCGATCTACCTTCTGAAAGCCAGCCTGCCGAGCAGGCAATAACAGCTACCTATAAGACGGAAAGTGGCGCGACAGGACACATCGTCGCTGATCTTGCTACAACATCGTCTTGGATTAAGGCACTACCGGGCTTCGGCTGGCCGAAATGTCAAGTTAAATTGGAAGAAAAACAGATCGGGGATGATAAAAACCGCACCGTCCAGCGCAAAGTTACGATTTGGAATCACATAGTTCCGAGCCTTTACCATAGGATCGATGTGGAAAATACACATAAGATCTATCGAGATGATGGAGATCTTTTGAAGACCTGGAAAGAATCTCAATTTCTGAAGGCATATACCTGGGCACCCGAGGATGGAAGAGGGGTGACTGGCCAAACTTGGTGGTCCACTTATCTCTATCAGCTCAACGAGTTTGTGAACAAGATTAAGGGGCGTGATGGATCTGGAGTTTGGGTTGATGGAGAGGATAGTATTAAGCAGATGGATGCGATTGATCTGACGTATTTGAAGGCCGGATTGAAAGTGCGGCCGACGAGTACCTTTGAGCTGTGAGTTGCTGCTCGATCTTGGCGGTTTACATAGCGTGTTTACCGTATCCATTGTGATCTCCCATCGTGATGTTTTGGTTGAGCAACGAGTACTCAACCATTGGAACTGTGCTATGTACATTGTATAATCTTTATCACTCACATCATTCAAAGCTTAGACGAGGACACCTTGACCAACAAATGTTGATTAACAGGAGTTACGGCCTTGCCATTCTGCAGGAATGATAGAATGTTCTCCATACCCAGACGTTCAAACCCAATATGCGAATCCAAAGAAGCACCGGCATTGTGCGACAAGATTTCCACCATCTTCATCTTACCCAGTGTCTTGTTGACGTGCGGCTCGTTAAAGTGCACATCCAGACCAGCCGCAGAAAGATGGCCCCGCTTGAGCGCGTCGATCAGAGCAGACTCATCGAGCAACTTTCCACGAGCAATATTAACCAGCCTAGAGCCCCTTTTCATCTTTGACATCAAAGATGCGTTCAAGAGGGTCTCGCCGCTGAAAGGTGTGGCGACCACGACACAGTCGGACTCTGCCAAGAGGGTGTCCATGCTCTTGTGGTATGTGGCATCTGAGGCGGACTCTAGCTCTTTAGACATCTGGACAATATCATAATAGATCACCTTCATTCCCAAGGCTAGGAAGGCCTTCTCAGCTGTACGGCGACCGATCTGACCGAAACCGATGATACCGAGTGTGTGGCCCTTGGGGTTGAGGGAGACGGGCGCGAGGTTCTTGTTGGCATCAACAAACTGGTCTGGGTCCAGCGAGCGTGCTGCAATTGCAGACCAGGAGAAACAGCGAAATGAGGAGATGATCAGCCACAGGGCGGCGTCGGCGACAGACTCGGTGCAAGCTGCAGCAGCGTTGCAGTAGACAACACCTGTCAATCAAGTTAGAAAAAGCCCTGAGATATCATTTAGAGCACACTGAATATCCTACCCTTCTTCGCCAAAGCAGCAGTATCCACCTTATATGGTAAGTATATTTTACTTCTAACAACACCCGGGGATGGCTTACCCAGTCGAATCCAGCTCCTGCACTTGCGAACACTTTGCACGAACCAGGCAACAGAGAGATCAGTTCCTCATCCCAATTGCCCATCTCACCACCAGTGTTCCAGAATGGTCGGTACATGGCGAAGAAGTCGCCGAACTTGCGCTCTTTTAGAGCTCGGATAAACTCTGGTCGAGACATGCTGTAGGACCTCTTGACCTCGAAGTGCTCGTTGAACTTGGCGTATAACTCATGATTCCATCGGATATCGTCACCCAGTTGAAGCACGACTGGCTTGCCCATTTTGATTATTCTTTGGTGGGTGTATATGAAGTTCGGGCTTGGGGTCAAGTATAGACAATGGGAATAAGCGTCATGTTCTACACATTAAATACAGTTCTTCAAGTCACTTGTATCCTTTCACTGCGGCTATTGTTGGCTATTGCAAAGTGTCGCGGCCTCTGCATCTTGCAGACGGCAATTGAACGGATTCGGCTATTGAAATCCGAAGTGGGGTGATCCCCACGAGTCAGAAGCATCTCCGACACTTCTCTTCATTTTGCGACTGCTGAGGCCGGGGGGGGGGGGAATGCAAGAGTGCTATGGGGAAAGTTGGACACTAAGCGGTTAATCGTCATTGAAAAGGTGAGATACGACTAGATCCCCTCATCGGGCTCTTGTAGTGTTCGATATATTCGGAAGTCTGCTTCCAACTGGATTTCTAGAGATCCACTAAGCCTTTGATTAGAAGTCTTCTTATTTGAATTTTGCCCATTGTGCAACCGTTTGAATGCACACATGGTCGCTGCCCTCTCCCTCTCAAGCTGTTCTGGCTCTGCCAAGGAATTTGCGGTGCTGGTCCGATGAAGCCTGTTAAAATCATCCAATGAGCCTGCTGCCAAGGCATTCTTGTCGTTTCTATTTTCCTTTCGCAAGTATCATGACTGGGACTAAGCCATTTGCAGCCCTTATTAAAGTCGCAGAGCGACAATGTCAATTGCTCCGGTTCATTTCTGTTGCGCGTGGTGCGCTCCTCTACATCTTCCTTTTATCTCATCCTGCCCATTTTTCTTCTTCACTTCTTCTCATTCCTTCATTGATCTGAGCTACTAAGACTACCGCGAGAACCGAGAACGGGATGTATATGGAAATGATTGACCACAATTATAAGTCGGAACAAAGGGAAATACGCGACTGCTCTTGGAAATTCAAACGCCTAGCTCTGTGCCGAACACAACACAAATTCCAAGAAACATCAAGTTCGAGTCGTGTTTAGACATTCGAAGAGAAAGGTTGTACCAGATCAGATAAGTAAAACTCGAGTGCAAAGGAAAGTGGAAAGTCCGTCCAAACTTTGGAACTTTGAGCTGAATTAGACAAAAGAAAATAGAAAGTCCACTGAGACTCAGGCAAACGAGAAAATAACAAACCCAGATTCAAGGGCAAGAAAGACCCATGCACGCAAAGAATCAGACAAACTCCACGGCCGCACTGGCTCGAAAAAATAAGACGCCATGAACGCATAATGAACTCCGTTCTCCTATCCCAGTCCGATATGATATCCTGAATAAACCGTGTTGGCGAAAATAAGTTGAAAATGAATAAGAATTCCCGCGTGTTTAGTTCTTGGGCGCGCTTCTAACCACGAGTAGAGCGTTTCCTTAGCCCAAATTCCTCTTCTTGAATCTCGCGGATCAGACGAAGGCTCTCCGCATCCGTATTCTCTTCGTCGATGAGACCCTTCATATGTTTGCTTGTTTGATTGGGGGATAATGAGGACGCCATGTGGCGTTCAAAGCGCTTCTCAACCATTGGTGAGCTTTTCTTCGTATGGGATGACGAAGGGCGTGATGATGGCTTCTTGGTAGATGGCAATAGTGGACCAGGGGTAGTTCGGCGCATGGCAGTTGGTGCCGGCCGAGGGGCTGGTTTGGAAGGGCGTGATAATGTTGTCTCAGGCGCAAATCGCTCGGCATATCGGGGCTGACGTGAAGAGTGGCGAGAGCTGGAGTTCGGCGTGTGGAGCGTTGGTGCTTCACTTTCAACAGATGTCAATGCCTCGCCATCTTGTGTAACATCCATCTCGTCGGCCAGCGACGTGGGTGGAGAAACCAAAGACGTGGTCGGCTTTGATGAAACAGACATCGCATTGGGGTCCTTCGTATCAACTGATTCGGTATGGAAAACAGGCGGCGATGCATAGGTGAGGCCATGAGACGTCTCCTCCTTGTGAGGCTCTTCTTGAGGCTGATTTAACGGGCCAAAGCCGACAGGATCGTGACCATAAGCCGCTACAGAGGCAACTTGCATCAGCGATGCCTTGTCATCGTTGCTGAAGAACCCTTGGTGCGCAATTGGAGACGTGCTCTCCTGCTTAGTTTTCTTGCTGGACGAAGGCGCACCATCTTCCTCATTAGGCCGCGGTCGTTTTGCGGAAGCTGTGCCTCGAGGTTTCGATCGCTCTTGGGCCTTAATGGGGTCTATTCTGCCATACTCATCATGAATACAACGGCGCTGTTCGAAAGTTAGAAATTGAGATCACTGTTAATGAGGGGGAACCACACACCTTGCTCTTTCGACAGTCATCACACGCCTTACTTCGTCCTTTTTTGCTGCCGGCTCCATCAGGACTGAGGTCGCCAAGTCGATTGGCAGCCGCTGTAGAGGTACCCATGACTGCCGATTGGAACTTGCCCGAACCCTCGAATTGATCTAAGCCACCAACAACACCATTGTTTTGGAATCCAGCTTGGGAGGCAATCGCTGCCAGAGAATTGAGCGCAGAAACAGCATCCTGAGCCAAAGAAGATGGTGTGCTCACGCCTGATGTCGATCCAAAGCCGTTTATTGTCATCTGTCGGCCCAAAATCAAGTCATTCGGCTCGTCCTTGTGGCGGCACCGGATACGTCGACGGCGGCAAGCATCACAAGCAACACGCTTCGGCCCAAGTCCAGACCCGCGCTGGACAGGTCGCGACTTGGGTGTAGAAATCTCTGGCATAGCGAAGTCTGGAAGGAAACCGACTGGTCCTGAAGTTTCACCCTCAGAAGGCTCATAAATGACGCTGCCGATCGGGGGAAGAGGCGTTGCGGTGAAATCCTCCGATGGCCGTTGCACTGCTTGTCTTTCAGCATAGGTACGCTGACTGTCCACGTTGCGTTCGGACCGGCGACTGGGTCTCCCGGCAGCTTTCTTCTCGTTGAGCGATACTTTGGGATTACTTTCAATGACGCCAGGATAGGCCCACTGAGGTGCTTTCTCATTCCCGCGCTTCCATGCCACCCAAATACCGAACTTCCTAATCATTTCAACGGGGTCCGCAATGGACTTCGGGATCGAACGTCGGACCGCGTTTCGCGCGTCCACCGACACACCATCGATAAGATAGGAGCCTGCAATGAGAGCTGTCCGCAATAGATACTTTGTCAACTCCGGCAAGCCTTCAAGCTCGGCCTGAGAGTAGAACCGGGAATTGTAATATGGAGAGCCCACGGGTTCTTGGTTGCTGCGCTCCCCAAACTCGTAGTATATGGGGTAGTGTCGATGAAACCGATAGTTGTCGTCTTGGGTGAAAGCTTCCAGCACATTTGGGGGGATGGGATCATCTTCCAGGTACCTCAAGGCCGTATACCACTGGATCTTCTGGAAGAAAGGATACCTAAACTTCCTGGGAACTTTGGTCTCCTTCTCAATGTTGAGCACCTTGATTTGCATTCCATAGTTCATTCTTGTCAGAAAGTTGCCGCCAATCACCAGGCTGTTCTCCGGAGTCCAAACAGCATGAATCCACCCCGAAGGAATCAACATGGTGTCTCCTTCTGAAAGATCCACGCGATAGCACTCCTTGGTCTGATTGCCGAGGAATATTGAGTCTTGAGCGGGAGAGTTGCACCATTCCTCATACTTCTTCAAGTGCTTGTCTTTCGGAGGGATGAAGAAGAAGGTCTTCTTGCCCTTGAGGATGTGGTAATACACCGAAGAGCCGCCAAAGTCGATGTGGAAATCGGTGTAGCAATCAGCGACCGACATCAAGCAATAGAACTGGACCTTTGGGAAATCGCCAACAGCCTTGAGCTCCTCGGGCCAGACGGCATCTTGCAGATCTAGGTCACGGACAACTTTGGGCCGCTTGATGAGCCTGCCCAACCTACTTTGCGACACTTCAAGGCTGATGACGTTCCGGACGACCTTGTTGGGTTCGTTGCTTTCATAATAGTCGGCCCACTTCTGCATGTTCCACCTCTTGTCCTCTCCTTGTTGTGATTTGACGTCGATTACTTCCACTTTCTCCTCCGGACCATACAGCTCAGCCACGGCCCGGACGGTGAGTCCTTGCGGAATGACCATGTCCAGCTGGTCTTGACCACAGTCGACTGTTTCCTTAAGATTTGTTTCTTGTTCGGAAACATGGTCGAGTAGGTCATCAAACATTTCTTGTGATGAAGCCTCTTTCACAAGATCTGCGAAATCCACGTCGACTTCAAGAGCCGGTTCACGGTGATTCCAGCAAGCAGGAATCACCACCGGCTCTGTCCATCCATTGCCACGCTCAAAATATTCGGCCGTGACTAACTCTGGTTTCATTCGAGGGAAGTTCTCTGGTGTAAATTGGATCCTCCCTTGGCGAATGGGCTCCAAATAGTGGTGTTCTAAGGAATCTGTGGCCGCCTTGACAAGACCTTGATTGAGACCGGCATAGTCGATTGCCGTACGGGCGCGCGAGGACTTGCGCACAAATGTAGTCTGACCATGGAGTGGTCGACAATCGCGGCAGATGAATTTGTCGACAGTGCGGATCTCTCGGTCATTTTTGAACCCGGCACAAACGATGTGAAACCAGCGTTTGCATCCATCGCAACCAATCCACGTGTCTTCGTCCTGCTCCTCCGTTTCGACTGGGATCCTCACCAGATGGCATGCGGCGCAGCTTGCCTGGGTCGAATCGCTCTCTTGCTCTTCGACTTTCGGGGTAGGATCTATTGACTTCTGGAACACATGAGTTTGAGCGGCGGCAGGTCGATGGTCCCCGTATCCAGCATAGCGAGATGTATCCACTGATGAGCTCCATGGACTGTCTTCAGTCTCGTCTTCCCATACAATGGGAGGTAATGTCCCGGCGCTGGTTGTTGGGCGTATACCGTTGATCACAGGGCGCGAAAGAAAAGTTGAGCCATCCGAACGGGATCTCATGCGCGACGGAGCATGATCGTCTGGGTGATATGCAGATTTCGGGTCGTCCGGTCCACCATCGCTTCCGCTGGCAAAACCGACCCGATTATGCCGCATTCCATCACTTCCGTAGTGGTAATGAGTTTCGTCAATGCTGACTCGCTTGGTATGGCCGGGTTGAAAATTGGCAGGTCGGGCGAAATTGAGCAGAAGTTCTGCGTCGGTCGTCATACTCTCCAAGATATTCGGGTGGGTTGCGTCCGAGGGTGCTGGCCGAGACCGATGCGGTGACGGGATCCGCTCCGAACGTGAGCGTTTTGCAGGCCGTTCGGGGTTGGCAGGTTCGGGAGGGAATAGAGGCTTATTCGATTGGGGGTTAGGAGATGGTGGGCGATTCGGGAGTGGTGTAAAGGTAGGGCTGGTTGCAAGGGCGATCGTCGCGAGAGTATCAATGGTCGAGTTCGACCGGCCATGGCCCGATCGATGATGTGAATTCCCATCGGTAGCGATATTCCGACTGGTGTTTGACGGGGGCTGGTCGCGATCAAGACTGGTAGCCCGACCGACGACGCGCTCAATCCTCGATGCTCGAAATTCTGCGGTGGACGGTGTGATGGGCTCGACAGCGCGTCGCGGGGGGGACGGCGTGCGGTACTGCGGCGGGCGCTCACCCAGCGGGGGCAGGAAAGACGCCGCGCTCATCATTTTCGCACACTCAGGCTGTGCCGAGCAGATGAAAATATTGTAGGAGGGGTCGGAGGCGCGAAGTTTTGCGATTGCGGCAGGTGGGTGCAAAGCGGGGATCATGGACCACACGGACTAGCGAGAGGCCGTCGCAGAGGAAAGGAAAGTCATTCCTGGCACGGACATGCGCACAAGAGGCCGCGAGATGCACCGAGATTTTCGATGGCCGATTGAGGAGGGAGGGTGTGGGCGAAGGAGGCGAGTCGCGGAGTCGAGTTGAGGGGGGTCTGGAGTTGAGCGGCGGGAGGACAAAGGCGCCGAGGAGTCGCGGCGCAGCCCGCAGGCAGGAAGGGAGTCGGAGCGAGTGCAATCCAGTCAGCAGGCGTATAATCCTGCGAACTGGATGACGGACGGAGGTCGTGCGAATGGATGGAGCGCTCCGTGGGAGGAGGGGAATGATGAGCGCAAGGTGTAGGCGAAGTGAGGGAGCGGGAAGTCAACTAGGTCAGGTATGTACGCGGGGACCGCTGCGGCCGACGAAGTGCTTTGGCACCTTGAGTGCTTTCCTGGAACCAATGCCAGTTCTCACAGGGTGAGAAAGCGGTCCACGATCGATTGTGTCCGGTGAAAAAAGGTGAAGGGCGAAAAACAGCCTCGAGTGCTCCGAAGCTCCAGTTGCGACGAGAGCGTCGCCGCCGAGCTGTGTCATGAATACAGTCCGGTACCGTATGTAATGGCTTATATCGTGCTATCACGTGAATATTTATGTCAGGTACGGTAAAGCTTAGGTCATCTTGCACGCATCTGGAATACGCTAAACCGCATCTGTGTGCCAAGGCGACCTCGTGCTTTCTGCGTGTGTTCGCTCTTCTGCTCCTCCTGCTCGTACTACCACTGCCCTCGATACCACGGGTATCTCGCGATCCATTCCAACCTTCACATCTCCTCCATACCGGACCACATTTGTCCTGAGAATGAGCCGGAAGCTCGCCCCCGAAGCAAATCGGTATGTGCGCAATTATTGTCCCCCTCCGGCTTCGGTGTCCAACACCTGTTCAGCCGCAGAGGAAGCCTCATACGTGTTCAACTTGAGATCTCTGCAATACATGGATGTTAACCCCCATTTTTTTGACAGGATTCTCTTCGTCAAGAACCTCAAGTATGTTATCCGAGTCGCCAGTCACCCCGCCGCCAACGCTCGTCGCGTGCCCTTGCGTTTTGACATTTGCAAGTCGAATAGAGTATCGCTGACTTTTCTTTCCTTTCAGCTATAACGTAACAGCAGAACAGCTGTTTGACCTCTTTGGCAAATTTGGGCCTATTCGGTAAGCCAACCGTACTTCCTCCGATTTCGCCGGTTGGTCCGCGACTGACTATGGATATTTGCTTCGTTGATAGGCAAATTCGCCAGGGTATCGCCAACAACTCGAAGGGTACCGCATTTGTGGTCTACGAGGACGTGCACGACGCCAAGCAGGCATGCGATAAGCTCAATGGCTTCAACTTCCAGAACAGATACTTGGTTGGTACGTACGACAGAGGGATGCAAGTCACTAGTGAGTTTGCAAGCTGACGAAATCTACGCAGTCTTGTACCACCAGCCCGAGAAGATGCTCCGTTCGAAAGAAGACCTCGCCGAGAGACAAGAAAACCTGGAACGACTTAAACAGCAGCATGGGATAGAGTAATGTGTGACGACCTTCGACTCTTATGATGCCCTCTGCTAGCATTTAGCTGCGCATGGTGTTGCAACGGCTCTCCAATTCTATCATTCTGGTTGGTTGAGGGGTTTCCGGCGTTTTTATTCCCTGGGTTTTCTTTTCACGATTCATATCAACGGTGCTTTTGAGGTATGAGAACGGAGGGTTGGATGGGTTTATTCCCTGGCATCAATTTGGGGACTCCTCGCACGATGAACACGTTTCGGCAGGAGATATTTTTCTTCAATGTTTATTCTATTTTATCCAATCGTTCATCTTACCTGACGATCAATAACAATTCCCCGCTTTGCTCAACGAACACAACCCATGGAAATTCCAGTATCTTGTTATCAGACGTCGCTTCGCGAGAGTAGTTTTCAGCTGTAAGTAAATTGCCAAATTAAGCTCATTCAATCCAACGCTGAGCGGTAAGGCTGAGTGCGTCATTACTTTGAGAGTACCCACCTGGCTGCAGAGAAATGGGGTCCTGTGCTTGGCGAGCCGCTTTCTATCATGAAGTCCATGTAGAGGGAACAGAATACTTACGAAGTTCACTGGTTGCGGAAGAACTAGTACGCTAGATTCAAAGAATATTCGGCTGATGTGAGAAACAGATACAATGTGTGGCTGTATGTGGATGCTGGCCCTGCGTCGATCACCCTCTGCGGGGAACGCTTCCATACCGAGAATCAATAGACCGAACACCGTCACATAAGCCGTCGAGCCAATCCTTCATTTACTATAGGCAAAATATGAGAATCGTTCCCTTGTGATTTACCTTTTACCTCTGTGAAGTAAGAATACAATTGCTTTATTTGCTGGGATTCACCCCTACCAATACATATACTAAAGGACAGGGTGAGAGGCCCAAGCCAGGCACCCACGAACTGGCCCTACTAAGCCCTGACAGTCTTGCGTAAAATCGAATATCTTTGAGTCTTGGCGCTTGAATCTGGGTTTCTATAGTGCTAGAGAGTTTGTAGATCGAAATTTTACAGCCTGCTGATCACGAGTTAGGTTTTTTGGTTCTGTATTTAGATATTATATTGTCATATAGCGACGATCAGAATAGTTTCCGATCCCGGAATTTGGAGCCTACTGTGATATTAGAGAGATGTGCGCCTCTCTTACCAATCTCTTCGGAAAAGGTGGTCATGGTAATCATCAACGGTTCCCAAGACAGTTCACTCAGTCAGGGGAGCGCAGGTGTTGAATAGCGATCGACTTTCTAACTCCGTCGTTTGATTTTTATATTATTTATACAACGAAACTGATATATTGCGGTAGTTGAACGTAATACAGGTATAGTTGGGGAATGATGGCCCTGTGGGAATCAGGATTCTTGATGCTAAGTGTGGAGTCATCTGCTTGCCCAGAGCCCCACAGTAAGATACCGCCTCCGCAAGGCAGCTCAACGTGACGTCTTGCCTTCGACCTACTCCTCTCACCTTAGCGTTATCCCACTTCTAAATCCCTGGAGAACACCGAACACCTTTCCTTCCTAGCATGCTACACGCGTGACGCGCGCCCTCCGCGATCGATAAGACGGCCAGCCCTGCGTTTCACCAGACCCAGTCATCCTAGCACGGGTCGCATCTCATCACCAGGGTCTTCTGCGGTTGATCAGCCACCTGCAGCCTATACTCTTCAACAGCGACGGACAAATCGCCCGCCATGTCGCTGGTTGCGATCGCAACGAGCACACTTACCGCTGCTACATCTTCGCCTTCGCCATCTTCATCGCCTTTACACATGCTGTACTACCACGGAGCGTCTTCGCCAGGACAGGACCCAGGCGGGGATGGGAATGGTGAATGCAAGCTTCTTGGGCCATTCTCTATCCTCGTTCAGTCTGCCTTGGGGGTCCTGGCGCTATCATCTTTAGTCTACAAGCGATGGAGAGAACGGCCCCAGCGGCCGATAAAGGTCTGGGCCTTTGACGTTTCGAAGCAGGTCTTTGGTTCGGTTTTGCTGCACATGGCAAATCTTCTTATGTCCATGTTCTCGGCTGGCCAGCTCGAGATCAAGACGACATACCGACCGAACCCTTGCTCGTTCTACTTGCTGAATCTGGGAATCGATGTGAGTTTCTGCCTTGCCCCTCATGGAGATGCATGATCACTAACAAGTTTATCAGACTACTCTCGGAATTCCAATTTTAATTATTGTTCTACGCATCCTAAACTTCGCCGCTTCTTACACTATTCTCGCGAATCCTCCAGAGTCGATTGAATCTGGGAACTATGGCCAACCACCGCGCGCTACCTGGTGGCTCAAGCAATCCATTATCTACTTCATGGGACTGTTCAGCATGAAAATATGTGTTTTCTTCCTCATTCAGCTTTTACCTTTCATCATCAAGATTGGCGACTGGGCTTTGCGATGGACAGAAGGCAATACTGCCTTGCAGATTGCCTTCGTCATGCTTCTGTTCCCGCTGATTATGAACGCCATCCAATATTATATCATCGACGGCTTCATCAAGAAGCCACTTTCTTACGATATTTACACCTCGGATGGCACCGATGACAATCCCGATGATATTCACCGCCGAGAAGCGCTTCTCGCAGGCCTGGATGACGCTTACTCCTCTACAGACTCGGGTGACGAAGAATCAGCGCCAAGGAAAGACACACCTTCGCACCCCAAGTATGTTGCAAATGCTATTCATGGGTCCGAAGGGCTGCTCACTGAGGACCATTCTCCAGTTCCACCCTATGAACCTCCTTCCTCCGGCAGCAGTCGTAGCGAGCAAGGTGGGAAATGAAATGCCGAAGCGTGAGCATACGATGGAATGAACAAATTTTGGATATTGGTGTTATGGAATCTTAGGCTGCTTTTGTCGATGGTTATCTCATGAAATCAACGTGTACATGAATATCTCACTCTCCATTATTGACATATTTATTTGAACCTAGAATTTGCTTAGAAATATATTACCGCTCGAATTGCAAGACAAAGCACAAAACAAGATCTCGAGATCCTCTGGCGTATCGTAGATTTACGACACTACTTCGGTTGTTTCCAACTAATCAAACTGGCTTTCCCAGAACTTTGAACTGAGATGTGCCGCTCGGAATTGCCCACTTCACAATTCTCTCTGCCTCAGGCACATAATCAAGACCGCCGGATACACCGCCCGAATCTGCCGGCATTGCAAAAATCAAAGCGAAAAATATTCGATCCCGCCGCCGATCGCAAGCTCCATTCAATTCTCAATTACGGAGCTTTCAATATGGCTCCAGCCGCGTTGAAGGAAAAGACCAAGCGGTCGACCGCTCGGTCTCCGTTTGAAACCGCCGCCATGAACCAGCATCACGACGAAGACATTGAGATGGGCGACGAGACGAGCTCCGACGAAGAGAGTATTCCCGAGGCCGATGAGTCGGAGAAGAAGCTCGAGCGCATGCTTTTTGGTGATGATGCGGGGTTTATGGGTGCGCTGAAGAGTCAGCAAGAGCGCGCTGATGCTATGCAGCTCACTCTGTTCAGTGACGAGGAGAGTGGGAGTGCCGATGAGGGCGCCGAGGATGAGGGCGATTTGGATAACATGGCTGATGCGGATGTATGTGAACTGTCTCCCGCCTATAAGCTTCACCATTGATGGGCTTGTACTGACATTGCTTTTCTATAGCTCTTCTTCCTGGACTCCGGCGATGCCCCCGCCCCGAAAGAGATCACAGCCCTGGAGACTCCCTCCGACGAGGACTCCGAGGGTGATGTCCCTGCCGTATGGCACGACAGCGACGACGAGCGAATTGCCGTGTCGTTAGCTGGCCAAGCCAAATTGCGCAAACTGCGTGTGGCCGACTCTGAGGATGTGATCAACGGCACGGAATACGTTCGGCGACTGCGCAGACAATTCCAGCGTCTGCACCCAACTCCAGAATGGGCCAACCCCGAACTTGCGGCCAAGCGCCGCAAGATCAACTCAGACGACTCTGATGCCGATAGTGACCAGGAAATGGAATCTGACGAAGAGGAGGAGGAGGAGCAATTGTCCATGCAGCCTCTCGCCAAACTACTTCAGAACTCGACCAACCTGACCCGCATTGAAGACAATGCTCGCTCAGGCGGAAAACGAAAGTTGAGACAGGAGGTGCTTGATATTCAGCGATTGAAGGATGTTGGCAAGGCGCAACCGGTAAAATTTTCCCAGATACGAAATGCGAAATGCGAAAGATCACTAACATGAATCCAGTCCTCCGTCGACTCGCTCACCTTCCACCCTCACTACCCGCTCTTGCTCTCCTCTGGTCCCGCATCAACCCTCTTCCTGCACCACATCTCCCCCTCAGCACCAGCCCCGAACCCGCTCCTGACCTCCCTGCATATCAAACGCACGCCGATCCACACCTCCGCATTTGCCCCGCCAGGTGGTAACAAGATCTTCGCTTCCGGCCGTCGCCGCTACTTCCACATCTGGGACTTGGACACCGGTAAGGTCGACAAGGTCAATGGTACCGCAGACCGCAAAGATGAACAAAAATCCATGGAGCGCTTCAAGCTCTCGCCCTGCGGCCGCTACGTCGGTCTGGTCGGCAGCTCCCGTAAGGGCGGCGGTATCATCAACGTCTTGGACTCCGGCACTGCACAGTGGGTTGCGCAGGTCCGCATCGATGGGCGCGGTGGTGTTGCTGACTTTGCCTGGTGGTCTGATGGTGAGGGCATGACTGTTGCCAGCAAGAATGGTGAGATCTCCGAATGGGATGGCAAGCAGCGTCGTGTGATTGCCCGCTGGCTTGATGCCGGTGCCGTTGGCACTACTGTTCTTAGTCTGGGTGGCCGCTCAGGCCGTACCCAGCTTGGTGGTGATCGCTGGGTCGCTATTGGGTCGTCGAGTGGTGTTACCAACGTCTACGATCGCCGTGACTGGGCTACTGCTTATGCGAATGCTTCTGCTGCGGAGAAGGAGGGTACCCAGGCTGGTGTCCCCCGTAACCCGGACCCGGTCCGCGTCTTGGACCAGCTTACTACCCCCATTAGCCATTTGGTCTTTGCTCCTGATGGCCAGATGCTGGCTATGGCGAGTCGCTGGAAGCGCGATGCCCTGCGTCTTGGTATGCCAACTCCTTTCTTCCCTTGTGTCTCAATCTGTTTTTCTAACATCTATCTAGTTCATCTCCCATCTTGCACCGTATACCGCAACTGGCCTACCTCCAACACACCCTTGGGTCGTATCTCGTCCGTTGCCATCTCGCCCAACTCCGAGCAGTTGGCCGTGGGTAACGAGCAGGGCCGTGTTCGACTCTGGGAGATCAGAGGGTAGATCTCGGTGGACGCATAGTTTGGCAAACATTATATCCACTGTTCTTCCATTTGTATAGCTGGCGCAACTGATTAGCATGCTTCTCGTAAGTCCGGGAAGCCCTCAAATATGACACGATTGTACTCTACCGAGATATCTCTTCGCATCATCCTTTCAATTTACATAGGAGCAGAACAGTCACAACATAGTGCTTCTATTGCAGTGTATTTGTTTTAGTTGCATAAAACTCTAGATTTCAAATCAAATGAGCAGACCAGATCGTACGCCAACCTTGAATGAAAGAGCGTCCAGGTGACAGGTTAAATCATAATATCGTGCAATCCGGCTCAGCAATGGGAAACGCTCGATCCGAGACAGAGACAGTGTCTGGCCTCATGTCAAAATGCAAAACCAAAAAAAAAAAAAAAAGGTCAAGGGGGTATATAATCAAAATCAAAAGCAAATGGTATACGCAACGCCTCCATGGAAGACAAGACTTCACTCGCCAACCCCGACGGAGTCCCACCGTGGGCTTCGGACATCTTCTCCAATCCAGTCTTTGATCACGCAAGTTGATCGGTCTGATCCTTGGCACACTTTAACTCGATTGAGATGCTTGAATTTGGGGCCCAGAGGTCCATTTACAAAGTGGTATTGGCCGGCAAAGCGCCATTGTCGTGAGTCGCCTAGTGGGTAGAATTTGTCGCCCCAGTGGCCGCGGAAGTAAAACCAGTCTGTTGGTGACGTTGGGCTGTGCGTGGATGCGCGTAGGGTATCATTGTGAAAGTCGTAAGTATATGCATGGGAGTTGAGCATGGGGTCCCATAGCGGGCCTTTGTCGGTCACATCATGGAGGAGCCCCCATGGCAAGACATACTCGTGCACGCCGGCTGTGGCATACATGGCATGACTGCCCTCGGCGGAGTAGATAACCGGCTTCGATACGTTAGCAAATAGTATAGAGAGGGTGATCGTGGGTGATTGACTCACCCGCTTTCCGATCTTTTCCACAGCTTCATATCGATAGGCCTCGCCAGCTGTGTGGGCACTGAAGAAGAGGGCCTTCGGCTCACCGTTGTGGAATCGCATCATGCAATGCTCCCAGTCACCAACATGGTTACCGAAACGCACATTGGCAACGGTGTTACCCAGATTGAAGCTGTAGAAGAAGAACCAGAAGACATCCACGACTCCATTGCCTTTATCCATCACAAGCAGAATCACCGGCGCATCGCTGCGACCTCCCGCTCCTTCCATGGGCGTGTCTTGAATTGGTTCCTGGATCGGCTTGCCGCCATAGCGTTTGCGCAGTTCCTGTCTCAGCAATCGATGACCCTGCAAGGATCCCATATCTCGATCGTCGTCCTCTGGATGTCTCAAATCCAACCATTCGGCGCGATCCTCTTCGGTGTCACCGGGGATCTTGCCATCCACTCGACCGTCCCAATCGGCCCATGATTCCTTCATCTCTTCATCGGACTCCGGAATATTCCTCTCACCCTCGAGCCAAGGAGGGCGGGTTTGCACGTCATCGTTGCTGGACAAGAAAACATGACGTCCGGTTTCCCATTGGTTGAGCTCCTTGAGGTTGTCTAACGTGGGATGGTCCCATTGGGCCTGGATCGGAGTGTAATTGAGCATGGGAGTGGTGTGATACAAATGCTCGGCGATGTCTCCGGGCCAAAACTGTTCCCCGGAATAGAGATGGACAAGTGGGGCATAGTCAAAAACATAGTCGGGAATCTCCCGCCGAGCCCGCTCCTCGGCATCCCACTCGGATTGATTACTCGTTCCGCTAACCCAGTAGGATCGCCATGGTTCCGACTCGGTATCGTTCGATTCGTGCCATTTCTCGGGGTTGCGCTGCCCGAAGTGCCCACCGGCTGTTTGGAGGTGTGCGGCACCACAGACGCCAAGCCAGCGGCAGCTCTTGCGGTCAAACCAGGACCGCGAGGTCGCGATCCAGTTCCGCTCGTCTTTGTCCTCCTCATACCAGACAAAGGATCGCGGATCGACAGCCCGGGCAATGCTGTTGACGGAGACGTAAATGATCAGAGTCGCCAAAGCAACAATGGTGGCCTTGGCCTTGCGACCCATCTGCTGAAGCGAAACGGCATAGACTGCCCGTGACTGAGCGAAAGAATCACGGACTGACACAGTCTCCAAAACTCCGGACGAGGCCGGATAGTCAATGTAGGGTGTTGGCAAGGCTCTCGGGCATGCCGGTCTGGGGTGAGGAGGGGTGGGGGGGGAGGGTCTATGGGATGGGAGAGTGGGAGAAAAGAAGTACAAAGGATGGAGAGACTATATGATTATTTTGATCAGTGACCTAGTTTACCGGGGTTTCCGATTCCAGCAAAGTGTGTTTCTCCCGTGAGCAGAAGGAGAAAAAAAAAAAAGTCAAAAAAAAGAGAGCAAGTGCTCGAACAAGTCAGCGAAAGCGACCGGGAACGTGCGGAAATGCATGGCGATAGCCAAGCCGGATGCGATCGCCATAGGCCCCAATTTTACTGCTGCATGAAAGTATGCAGGGCGGAAGACTCGGATAAGTTACGAACACATGATGCCTCTCTTTTTCTCTTTCGACTCTAGTGGGGGCTTGGTAAGGCTGATCTGATCGCCGTCCCTCTTTAGGTATCCGGGCAGCGCGGCCCTACAGTATCTATACAGGGATGGTCCGACAGGGACCCTCGGGCCCAGATCCCATGTCCTGAAGTGACTCATGGAATGGAATGCACCACTCAGATCGAGGAGCCTAAAAATAAAATGCCCAGGAACACATTGGCAACCACCAAAGGCACCAAACAAGCAAATAACCCGGCTGGACAATTCGTCAGCTCGACTCGCCGCAAACAGAAGAACGGGAACCCCTCACTTCTCACCGCTGGTGCTGAGTCATCCGTCTATCTTATCGCCAAACGTTGATGTGATTATTGACGTCCCTTGCAAAGCATGGATCGCCACCTGGATCCGGACGCGTGGGAGTACGAATACCATGAGACAGAGACAGAGGTGAGATCTATCTCCTCCTACCCATCCTGCAGCGACTGACCCGCCCAGACCTTCTATCTGAACTTGGACCTTAGCTCCCACCATGGCCCTATCCGCCCTCCACGACGGCGGCAGGGTGACCCCGCCTCCAATGAGCCGGCCAATGCTGCAGACGATGCACCTGATTCAAATCCAGGTGCTGATGCCTTCACGCCGCTCGAGAGTGCAGAATCCGAGACTTTGGGCTCCGAGCGAATCCAGATTCTCGGTCTCCACACGTGCAACCCTATCGTCTCCTACCACAACCAAATCTTCAGCTGCTCCTGGGCCGATCAAATCGGTACCGAGCTAGTCTTCGCTCATCCGGACTCGGACCCGGACCCTGATCATACGCCTCTGTACCCGGGCCCATCGTTTGACCTCCTCGCTGCCAACTCTGTGAAGATCCTCGGCCGCAAAGCGAACATCACCTCCAGCTCGGGGCTCGGATTGGTTCAGGATAGCATTGCGGGAAACTCCGATCCAGCACCAGAGACTCCGTCGTCCTCTCAGACGGCTGCTTCCGCCAGCGTGCCCAGGCGTGTCGTGCCACAAACGTATCAGGCGCAGTTCCTTCAGCAACTGCAGAATATCAAAATCGCCAAGGGTGAAAGTGATACCGTGCGCACTACCATGAGCAACCGGCGCAACGTGAACATCGCTGAGCGTCTGAGTGGATGGGCTCGCACCGAGGAACAGGTCGCTGAAGTGAACAGGCTTCGCGCGCTAGCCTACGAAGGAGACCCTGAAGCCCTCGCAACTTTGGAACAACTGATCCGTGAACATGTTCACCCAGATGAGTGAGTTGCCTATTTTGGTTATGGTCATAGTTATGGGATATGCAAGCTTTATCCGAACTCGGAACCGGCCTCGGTACTGATCTACTTGATTCATCCAATTGCCCGGTCGCGGGTATTCGGGCCACCGCGACAACGGCACTTTGATTTCATACTCCTTTTTCCGCCCGATCTTGTCACGTGGAAACGCAGGGCCGAGGCCTTTGCTAACTTACCCCGGTGCGGTCCCCGCATATTATTGCAGCTTGTCCGCGTCTATTAGATGTGTACGGCCATTTGATGAATCTCTTTAATGTCGTCGATATGGAAAGACAGCTCTCCCTTCCCATGGAACGCCGAGGATGCCCGTCGGGACCCCCGGGCGGACAAGGGGCCCCACATCGCTACCTGTTTCTACTGTATCGAGCGCAAAAGTACTTAGCGCACATGCTAACATGACCATGAACTCATATCTGTCCCTGTGTGTGATGGTCACGTCATCCGTCCTCTATGATATGACCGTTGAATCGTCCTTGTCTTTTAGACTCCGCTCAACCGCCCCCCTGTGCAACTAATCTCCTACCCCCTGTGCCCCCGAGCTTCCGAGTTGGAGACTTCTGACACCTTGTGTCACATTTGTTCCCCAATGTGTGACGTCGTGATCGGCGGGCCTTCCTCGTATGCGATGTATAGTGGGTTGTTGGCAGGGGTCGAGAGGTTCCCTTGCATTGCGATCGGGATCGTGTACACTATATGTACATGAGGCGAATGTACTTGTCTTGTACTGAGATTTTCGTTGTTTTCATCTCCGTCCCTGCATTTAGCTCGTACTTTTGCTACGAATGCGCTAGATAAGCTGTAACATTAGGTTACCAGTATGTCGGGTTGTCACTCAACAGTTCCCTTCTACTTTTAACGGCCTGAATAACTAGACAATACAAAAGGTTCTAAATAGGCGGCCGTGACTTATGCTAGACGTATTCGAATTCATCTAGACCAATACCTTGGAATAGTAACAAAGAGGTCTGTAAAGAGCTGTAGACCGAAACACTCAGAAAAACATCGAGTAAGAACTGAAAATAGTGGGGCCCGGCCCCCTTTACTAGTTTCTCGGTCAGGTTATTTAGTTACTCGCAAGCTTGCAGTAATACACAATTATTGTATTTCAGTCCAGGACATTAATACTCCTAATCCCGAGATCCCCCAGACTTTTTTATATATCAGGTCCCATTCGTCGCAACACAGTCAAAAGACAGTCAGACAGAAAAAGAGAGAAAAAAAAAACCATGAAATGCCTTGCATCCAGCAAGGCCCCTATTCAAACGCCGCCATGTAGTCGCTATGTCAGGCCCGTGAAATCGAAAAGTAGCTTGAAAATAATAGGTGTATCGCTCGCAAGTGGAAGACGCACAGAAGAGGCGTGGAGGTAACAGGTGGCAAGAAATGAAGGGATACGCTCGTTTACTCCAGACTCATGCTGGGGATTTTGGAGTGCTTCTTGCCGTTGGGCTTGCCATTACTGTCGATGGCGAAGAAGACGGGGGAAGGTGGTGGAGCTGGCGGGAGTTCGTTGATGAAGTTGTGGTGCAGCTTGGCTGGCTTGGGGCTGGTGGCTGTCATGATTGCACGAGTGATATCCTCTGAGTAGGCGGCAAATGCTTCGGCCGTCGTGGGTGCGATAGCGAGGTGGGTGGCTGTTTTGGTGGAGATGGCGGTCATGGTGGAAAGTGGTAGTGCTAGTTGGGGTATGGCTTCTTTTTTATGCCTGATGCTTCGGTTACCGGGTGTGTTGATACCTCGGTTGGATGGAGATCGTGTGGGCTTGTGTTTCCGAGATCTATGGATTGATTGTCAGTTTCTGGGTTTGGTGTTGCTGTTTGGGGGAAGTAATTGGCATATGGTATAGTTATCCCGGAAAAGCCCGAGCTGACGAGGCCGGATCGGAGGATCGGAGATGGGGGCGACATATGATGTAAAGAAGATCGGATGGGGATAACTCACATGGGATTGAAACTTTCTGATGCTCGGGGTGATGTAATGAAAAGGCGGGAGTGCAGTAGTGCAGTGAGCAAAATGGTTGACAAGGTTGAGAGACGTTGAGGATGGAGTAAGACAAGCACTGAGTTGCGGAGGATCAAAGGTGGAAGATGCCGGGCTGACAAGTAAAAGGCGAGACGTAGTCTTATACCTTAAGGCAATGTTCCTCAGTAGCCAAGGGGTAAGTGAAAGTGACAAAAGAAGGCAGATTGAATTTTCTGGATCTCCGGCTAGTTATACTCCTGGCACCTCCTTTGGAAAAAAAAGAAATTCTAAAAAAAATTTAAGGGTGGAGATACATGCCTAGGGAAGGAATCGCAAGTACCGGGTTCAAAGTACAACACACCACAAAAGAAAAGAATCGAGTTTAGAGACGCCAAGCCTCGACCGCCTCATTCTCGAACCAGAGCATCGAATCATACAGGGATATGTAGACATTCCCGGAACGGTGGGATTCCCCCGGGAAAGTTGACGCGTTGTGTGGGGAAGGCGGGTTGCACACAGGGGCAAAATTCAATGAGATGGATCAGCTCTTCTCCGCAAGTGGAGATGAGTGGTCGTGATGTGCAACACTAGCTCCAGAAAAGGAGCTTCCGGGGAAGACGGACATCGATGCCGCTACAAATCAGATCGGGTTACGGACCCTTTTTCCTATTTTTCTGGCGCTTCCATGATGGATTAACGTCCTTTGATCAACGGGGAATCGCCGGAGCTCCCGAGATTTATCCGGCACGAGGATCGTTCCAAAGACCAGAATGTCGGGCTAGACGGCATGAATATAGAACATCCACCTACTCTACCATACCTTGAATCAAAGTCCAAGCCACAGACTCAGGTACTAGCGGAGGACCGAGACGGGAACAAGGAAACCGGGTGGAGTGTAAGGGGGCAACAAACAATCCCGCTATCGTGATCATTGCAGGAATGGCGGTGGACGCGGTGAACGCCCGATTCATGTTTTAGCCGGCCTGGTCTATCGGGGGTTGCTCCGTCAGGTCATCCCACGATCTACAGGAGGCGTCTCCATCGAAACCCTAGACCCGATAAATGGGACCCCTCCACCTGCCTGCGTTGATTCCCCGGATTCAAGGGGTCTCACATAGCCTGCACTATTCTTAACTATCGACTATTGACTATTGACAATTCCCCCCTACACTGGGTTTTCTGGGGATAAAGGAGCATACCAGATGGGTTAAACACTCCGGCCCCCCGGAGTTCCGGCTTTTGTGCATTGTTCAGGTATTTTCCCCCTCGATCGAGGCTCGATCGAGGCCCAACTGATATCTACCGTGTTCGCCAATGATATTCGTTGTGTGCGATAGATAAGACGGACGGATTCACTGCCAAAAAAAAAAAAAAAAAAAAAAAAGGCTGTTATGCGCGTGCGATGATGTGTTGGCTTTCTGCAGACGCCTGACAGATGACCGATCAGGAACACTCCATTGGCTCTGGTGTGTCGTGATAGCAACCGTACCTCAGGTGGCTATCTGTGTCAGTTCACAGGCATTCCAAACCAGTTCGAACCATGGACCCTAGTGCCTTGGGCATCAGGACAGGGCGCGGGCTGGGGTACGCAGGGGATATCTCGCCAGGTGCCCTTGGATAGAAGATAGTCCGCTCTCAGAGGAATGTCTGGAGACACGAGGGTCAGGACCGTGCGAGCAAGATCGGGAACCATACGAGATTGCTGTCGTGTCTTGCTCACTTGCTCAGGTGGTGATTGCGATGAGTTACCTGGGTAGATGTACTTCCAAGGTTGTCTGTGCCAACCCAGGTCAGGCCATTCGTCAGCCGACCAATTCCTGGATTTGGTCCGAGGGTGGCCCCTTGATGTCACCCCTTGGTTAGCGCAAAACCGGGAGAGACCAAAGCATCGTGACCAAGTCCATTCTGGCAAAATGGAAAATGGACAATGGACAATGGAACATGGAACATGGACCATGGTCATGAAAGTCCGGTTCGGCTGGGGTATCCCGTCCTGGGTAGTGCCTCAGGCAGATCGGAAGAACAGATTTTTCCATTCCCCCCCCCCAGACGATAAGCCCATTACCTCATCCAGGTTTTTCGGAATCTCCTTCCAATGGCAGTGGCGCCGAGGGGCCGATATCACGTAAAGCCCCGCGGGTCCTTGGGGTTGCAGAATCTGTCGGGCCCAACAAGGCCATGGGGCCCGCCATGATTCGTTGTTGGATAGAAACGTGCGAGATGGCTGGATCGCATCAGCGCCGACTAGCCTTCTTTTACCCCGCAACTCACGACGATCCAGGTACCAGAGCCCCTCCGGTTGGAGATGTCGCCGGCCCGGTCATATTCAATGCGTAATAGCCTTGGTTATGTAGTTCCAATGGCGAAAATCCCCCGGACTTTGGGATTGATAGACGATAAGACTGCAATTGAGGCATTTACGGTGATTGGAACCCCCGTCCAGGCGTCATGACACATCGCTTTCAATCACCTCATTTTGAGCTAAGTGGAAGTAATACTTCGACTAGTACGAGTTCAAAGCGGTTGACGTGCTCAGGTGACCTCTGCTAAGTCCTTCTATTCTTCCAAATCCTTCTACTTTCGTTTCCTTCCGTTATTTTTAGAATTTTCAAATCCCTCTAGTGAGTCACCTGAGCGGCATTGTCAACGTCGTTTGCCCCCTAAAGGAAATACGCGGCGTCCGGCATCGTAGAACGCATCGTCTCAGCCACACAGATAGAGTCCCAGTGAGGCAATTATTTCTCTATTTTCGGCCCGCATGACGCAGCGGGATTTTCCAGTCGGCTTTACCCTCGGAAGGAGGGGCGCTGGCTACCAATCAGAGCGCCATTGAACGCCGGTTCTTAGTCACGTTCTGATTGAGGGGGACGAGAGGAGGAATGAGCGTTAGCCCGGTGGAGCTTCCATGCGGATCAAGGGCTTCGAGACCGCGGTCACGATGGAGTCGTGGAGTGACCGCCGCCTAGCATCGGTTATGACTGGACACGGCGCCGTGCTGTGTCAGAGAAACTCGGCGCTGGTTTGGCTCCTGTCTAGCCATCCTGTTTTGTTTTCCAAGTATTTAAGAAACCTGGGATTCCCCGGATTTTTCAGTGAAAGCACAAGTACCCTATCTTAAAACACGATCGACGGTAGATGGCGTCGGTGAGTACTCCTTACATGTTATCATCGGACAAAGAATCCAAGATCTTCAAAACCCCTCGATGACTTCAGCGATAAGCTTGCGTTTCTTATCTGTCCACGTGCCACCAACTGACCGCGGTTCCGTCGCAGACTTCTTCTTCTTCTTCTTCTTTTCTTCTTGTTTAGAGTATCCAAAGACCAATCATGTCGTCTCCCGCGCCTATTACTCCTCCGTCGGAGACCGTCAATGGCGCCCAGCTGCCCTCCCGGCCTCAACCTAAGATGTTCAACAGCCAGGATGGGGGCTCCGGCGCCGGTACCCCCATCGGTTTCCAGCGATACCCCCACAACAAGCACCTGGACCATGTCGTCGGCCAGGCTCTGCGACAGCCGTCGCCTCAGCCTACACATCTAGGCATTCCCGGTACCCCGGGCCACAGCCCTCACCGAATTCTGTCTGAGGAAGACCCCGGCTACATTGCCGCCACCTTTGAGGGCAAGCAGAAGCAGATGGAGCAGGGTATGTGAAAAATACCCACTTGATGCGCCCAATGCATTCAGCTAATACATGACAGTGATGGATCAATTGGAGGAGAAGGGATTCTTCCCCAGTGACTTCGTCGTGTCCGAGACTACCTGGTTCTACAACATGCTTGGCATCGACGACACCTACTTCCAGACCGAGACCGTGGATGCCATTGTCACCCAGATCCTCTCCCTCTATGCCGCCAAGGTCGCCGCCTATGCACGCGATGATAAGCAGCTGGAGATCCGCCTAGACAAGGAGGCCGAAGACCACGCGGTTTACATTGACACCAGCCGGCCCGGTGTGTCCACCGTGGACGGTCCCCGCTACGAGCAGCGCATTGATGAAAAGTACATCAATACCTCCAAGGGTCCCAACAGCTACCGTGTGGAGACCTTCCGCTCCCCTACCACTCTTCCCGGTGACAACGGACAGCAGCTGCGCTGCTACTTCGTGTACAAGTGCCAATTCGCCAACCCCACTCCTTCCCCCAATGAGACCAACATCGACATCATCGGTGAGAAGCGCTTCCTGCAAAAGGCTACCCCCAACACCAAGGCCATCTACCAGGAGATCATTTCCACAGCCGTCAGCCGTCATGGCCCGGTCATTGAGATGTTTGAGATTGAGGGCAGCCGGGAGAAGCGCCTGGTGATTGCCTACCGTCAGGGCTCTGCCATGGGTCTGTTCAGCGCTCTGTCTGATCTGTACCACTACTACCGCTTGACCAGCTCGCGCAAGTACCTTGAGAACTTCTCCAACGGTATCACCGTCATCTCTCTCTACCTCCGGCCCTCAGATAACGTTGAGATCTCGGCCAAGTACCCCCCGATTGAGGCTGCTATCCACCAGATCATGAAGGAGGCTTCGCTCCTTTACTGTATCCCCCAGAATCGCTTCCAGGGACACTTTGCTACCGGCCGCCTCAGTCTGCAGGAGACCATTTACGCTCACTGCGCCTGGGTGTTCGTGCAGCAGTTCCTGAACCGTCTGGGTTCTGAGTACACCTCTCTGTCCGCTCTGCTTGACACCAATAACAGCGTCCACGCGGAGTTGCTGTCCAAGATTAAGAAGCGTCTGCGCACGGAAACTTTCACCGCCGACTACATCTTTGAGATCATCAACAACTACCCGGAGCTCATTCACAAGCTCTATCTGGACTTCGCCAACACCCACTATGTACAGACTCAGGGCGGTCCCTCTGGTGACGACTTCCTGCCCACTCTCAGTTACCTGCGTCTCCAGGTGGATGAGGTGCTGGACGACAAGAAGCTCAAGGCCCTCGTTCGCAGCACAGCTGCCAACGAGCACGACGAGATGGTCATGAACTCTTTCCGCATCTTCAACAACTCCATTCTCAAGACCAACTTCTTCACCCCTACCAAGGTGGCCTTGAGCTTCCGCTTGAAGCCGGACTTCTTGCCTGAGCACGAGTACCCCCAGCCCCTGTACGGCATGTTCCTGGTGATCAGCTCCGAGTTCCGCGGCTTCCACTTGCGCTTCCGTGACATTGCTCGCGGTGGTATTCGTATCGTCAAGAGTCGTAACAAGGAAGCCTACGGCATCAATGCTCGTTCCATGTTCGACGAGAACTACAACTTGGCCAACACTCAGCAGCGCAAGAACAAGGATATCCCCGAAGGCGGTGCCAAGGGTGTTATCCTCTTGGACGTGGACCACCAGGACAAGGCGCGGGTCGCCTTCGAGAAGTACATCGATAGTATCATGGATCTGCTATTACCCCCCGTCAGCCCTGGTATCAAGGACCCTATTGTCGATTTGCACGGTCAGGACGAGATCCTCTTCATGGGTCCCGACGAGAACACCGCTGAGCTGGTCGACTGGGCTACTGAGCATGCTCGCGCCCGTGGTGCTCCCTGGTGGAAGTCCTTCTTCACCGGCAAGAGCCCCAAGCTTGGTGGTATCCCCCACGACGCCTACGGCATGACCACTCTCTCTGTCCGCCAGTACGTGCTCGGTATCTACCGCAAGCTGAACATCGACCCCTCCACCATGCTTAAGCTGCAGACCGGTGGTCCCGACGGTGACCTCGGATCTAACGAGATTCTGCTTTCCAATGAGAAGTACTCTGCCATCGTCGATGGTGCCGGTGTCCTCGTCGACCCCCAGGGTCTGAACCACGAAGAGCTGCTCCGCCTCGCCAAGAAGCGTGTGATGATCTCCGAGTTTGACATGTCGAAGCTGTCTCCCGAGGGTTACCGTGTGCTGGTTGACGAGAAGAACGTCAGACTGCCCAGCGGTGAGGTTATTTCCAATGGTATGATCTTCCGTAACACCTTCCACCTCCGTCATCACGAGAAGTTCGATGTCTTCGTGCCCTGCGGTGGTCGTCCCGAGTCCATCGACCTGTCCACCGTCGGCAAGCTTATCCAGGACAACAAGTGCGTTGTTCCGTATATCGTGGAGGGTGCCAACCTGTTCATCACTCAGGATGCCAAGCTGCGTCTTGAGAAGGCTGGCTGCATTTTGTTCAAGGACGCCTCCGCCAACAAGGGTGGTGTGACCTCCTCTTCCCTGGAGGTCTTGGCTTCTCTGTCCTTCAACGACTCCGAGTTCGTCCAGAACATGTGTGTTGCCGAGGACGGCACCGTCCCCGAATTCTATCAGGCCTACGTCAAGCAGGTACAGGACATCATCAAGGAGAATGCCACTCTCGAATTCGAGGCCATCTGGCGCGAGCACGAGCAGACTGGTGTCTTGCGCAGTGTTCTCAGTGACCGTCTTAGTGTCGCCATCACTAAGCTCGACGAGGAGCTCCAGCAGACTGAGCTCTGGCACAACATTGCCCTCCGACGCTCCGTCCTGGGCGATGCTCTGCCCAGCCTTCTCCTGGACAAGATCGGCCTGGATCACATTTTGGAACGGGTATGTTATAATTCGGTTGTTTCCCTGTTGACTATGCTAACGTTTCTCAAGGTGCCCGAAAGCTACCTCCGTGCTATTTTCGGTAGCCACCTGGCCAGCCGTTTCGTCTACGAGTTCGGCAACAACCCCAGCCAGTTCTCCTTCTTTGACTTGTATGTGCCCATCCACATCCCTCTTATGATCTACATCACTAATCATCTTCCAGTATGACCAAGCGCCTCTCTAAGCTCCAGTAGAGTACGAGTACCTGGTTTTTCTTTTTTTCCTTTTCCTTTTCATTGCCGGATTCTCTGAAATACCCTTGCCGTCGCAACTGGCAGGGCTCAAATGATATACTTAATACGGGAACGAGACCGTTCCTCCTGACGAATGTATGGTTTAGAAAAGTTGTTGGATTTTCAATTGCATTGGCATTCAGCCCCGATTGAAAGGGGGCATTGAAACATGATTCATTGTAATCCAGATCATCACTATGTACTAGCCTACGTATAAGACACGGTAGAAACATCAACCCACCCGAACACGATACTCGTGCCGTACAAACTCGGCCATGATCAACACGATGGTAACGGCCAACACCAAGTCCACTCCTTCTGCAATCTCAACCTCCCACTTCGGCATCGGACCGGACAAGTTATAGTCCATCACCTTATCGCGCCGGATCTGCATGATCCTCCTCTCTCCCATTGTCACGACCGCGAGTCCAGAATTCAGCTGTACCACTTTCAGCTCGACCTTGGGATCTAAGCCCCCTTCTGACCACCGCCGCTGATGTGACAGTGGCGCGGGGGCAGGTTCTCTCGGTGGTTCAACAGCATCGAGCAGATCACGCAGTGAATGACTCGATCGTCTCGATCGTCGAACAGAGTCGTAGGTCGGTGGCTCGTAATTGTGTCGTCTTTCCTTGGTGACTGAACTCTCCGAACTATCACTCTCCCCTCCACTTCCACTCCCACTCCCACTCCCAGAGTGATTCCTACTATCCTCCGCCAAAACAGCACTATACGGAGGCGGCGTATACGGTGGCGGAGCCTCACTCTCCATATCCTCCTCATTCCGTCTCCGTCTCCAAACACCATTTAATCTCCCAACAAGTGCATTCGTAAATCGTATCCCCATCTTCGTCCCAATCGCCCACCGCATATCAACGTTGAGAAGCTCGTCGCCGACCCCGCCGGCCCGTTTCACCGACCACTGGCCCTTCCACCATATCCGGCGTAACTCGAGTATAGGTCGCCGAGACGCATCGCGGATCTCGCGCTGGCACGAGTTACTCCAGAACTTGCCTGTGACGGTGTATAACAGGGGGTTGCGTCGGGGGCTGCCGATCGGTTCGTCTTTACGTAGTTGCGTCACGGTGAAGTCGCGCCCGGATAGGGTATTCTCGCGCGTGATCCATAGAGTTGTTGGGGTATTTGTTAGGCGGTCCGGCGCGGGGGGAGAGGAGGTGGGTGCGCCGGAGGGCGATGGGGTGGTCCGGAGATTGGAGGGTGATGGGCTGGACGGGCATTGTATGTGTTTATAGGGTATTATGGGAGAGATGATGTTCCAAGGTTTACTGTTATAGGTGCGGAGAAGATGGGAGGATGCGGGGTTGGAGGGGGAGCCTTGGCGGTCATTGCAACTGGATCGTTTTAATCGCGCTTAGGCTGCAATGATAAATGTGATAAGGCAAGGTACGATATCTCTACGGTGTGGCGGAGTTTTCTTGGCAGAGGAATACAGTAGAACTATATAGTCTCGGTCTCCTTGTATACCGCATAAAGGCAATACCCGAAATAGGTACGGATAGCCAGGATAGACAGCCGCGGTCCAGGTCCTCCTCACCGCCACACGGGCTAAATATATCCAGAAGTACGTGGCGCGATCGCCTATTTATAATAGATCGTTTCAGAACCCTGAGGCGTCGAACTATCAGCCACAGAGAGCTAGGGCAACGTACTACGCTCTAGAAGCCTCGATCCGGATAAGTATAACCCGACCCGTTGACCCCCAATTCTAGAAACATCCAAATTACGTGAAGATCGACACTGGGAACATCCGGCCCTAGTCCCCTTTGTGAGGTGACCTGTTCGTTTCATTTCCAGCATTTCCAGCCAGTAAGTCTTGATCGTCCCTAACCTATCCCCATACCCCTGTGTATTTTTATTTTTATTTATTTTTTAAAAGCCCAAAAATCGGCCGAAGCCTTTTGTGTGCAATGTGGGTCAAGTCCAGAACCAAGTTCCGAAGAAATTGCAAATAGAATGAAAATGCAGAGCGGAAACGGACGGCTCTCTAGTAATAAACTTGCGTCACTAGTGTGCTTTAGTGTCTGTCGCAGAAGCTTGTCCGTTTTATGAAATACTAATGAATCGTAATGATCGTAATGAATCGTAATGATCGCAATGATCAGACCATATCTGCCTCTTCTATAGGGGCCTTTGACGCAAGTTCCATGGGTCGAACCAGGAACTGCAGCACACTGAACCGGGGCGTGTCTAGTCAACTTCGAAATTGTTCTCTTTTTCTCACCTTTTTTTTTTTTTTTCCCTTCGGTCCATCAAAGACCAGACGCCACGCTTGACGCGTTCCGTCCCGGCAATGACTTCAACCCACATTAGCGACGTGGGTCTGATGGAGAATAGTCTGGCCTTTCTAGAAACAAAACCCCCTGGTGCCCCCTGCTTCTGTTCATCTTCCCCCGGATGAAGTTTGGCCGTTTGTGGGGTACTTTTTCTCCGGCCACATATATGTCCGAACAAGAAAAGACGCCTTGCCTCCTCCCGGAGGGTTACGCGGGAGAGACGGAGATCAACCGGGAAAATACCGATAATACTGCCGTTAATTCCGAAATTCAGGAGACCGAGATCCAGGATGAGGCGAGGGAGAAACCAAGTACTTCTTCTATCCCTGATCGATGGAGGACTGTCAGCCAGCGCATTCGAACAAGAACCGCCACGATAGCTCAGAGTTTGGGTCGACCTCATGAAAGAGAAGCAGAGGGCGTGGAGGCTTCTTGGTCACCGGAATACTACGGAGCAACAGACGATATCAGAAGTTTCGAGGCTCGCCAGGCCAACGATGAAGAAGCTCGCCTGCATGGCCTCGATCACAACTCGCAGGCCCAGGACCTATTGAGGCAGCTGGGTCTGCCGCACATCGCCAGCAATCGTCGTGGGAGGGAGGAGGTGCGCTCTGGCGCAACGACTGGCGCAACGACGCCCGGCGAAAGCGGAGCCTCAACCCCCCTTAACGGAGGTCTTCTCTCGCAGTTACTCCGAGTGTATGCCAACCAGGTTGGCGCTGCGAGTAGGATCAGCGTGGCTTCCACTGCAACAGACTCTGACCCTGAAACAGAGACTGTTCCTGCAACCGCTATCGGAACAGAAACGGGACTGGGATCGGGAACGACCACGCCCGGTGGAACGAATACCCTCAATGGTAAGAAGGAGAAAGTCAAATGGTACAAAAATGGATCAGACAACGACAGCAAGGCCAGCATTCCTATGCTGAAGAAGTTGCCTCAGCCGAAAAAGCACAAGAGAAAGCCGTCTGGTCATCACTATACTTCTTCTTTGATTCAGGCCTCTATGGATATGGGCCGGGTCGGTGTGCCCGGTGCACAGGGGCCTGGTACCATGAATTACAAGGAACGCAAGAAGCAGAGACGCAAGAGTGAAAAGGATGTCAAGCTGAAGGTGCATATTGCCGCTATCCTGGCTCGCCAACAATATATCATGCAACTTTGTCGTGCCTTGATGAAGTACGGTGCGCCGACTCACCGTCTCGAGGAGTACATGATGATGACTTCCAATGTTCTGGACGTCAACGCCCAGTTCATGTACATACCCGGCTGTATGTTCATGTCCTTTGATGACCCTTTGACTCGCACCGCCGAGGTGAAGATTATTCGTGTCATCCAGGGCCTGGATCTATCTCGTCTAGCGGAGACCCACAACGTCTACAAGAATGTGGTCCACGACGTGCTTAATATCGAGGATGCCACCAAGGATCTGGATCAGATTATGCAGCGCAAACCACGCTACAACCGTTGGATGTTGGTCCTGTTGACTGGTCTTGCCAGTGTCGCTGTCGGTCCCTACTCCTTCTCCGCTCGTCCTATCGACCTTCCTGTTATCTTCATTTTAGGATCCATGGTCGGCTTCATGCAACACGTTCTCGCCCCGTCGTCAGCCACATACTCCAACGTGCTGGAAGTATCAGCAGCCATCTTGACTTCGTTCCTCGCCCGTGCATTTGGAAGCATCATGCATAACGGCGAGAACGTCTTCTGCTACGCGGCCCTGACTGAATCGTCCATCGCTATGATTTTGCCCGGTTTCTCGGTCCTCAGCAGTAGCTTAGAACTGCAGTCCCATCAGATGAACGCCGGTTCTATCCGCATGGTCTTCACCATCATCTACTCTCTCTTCCTCGGCTACGGCGTCACAGTCGGCACCACGATCTACGGTGTAATCGACAAGAACGCTACCACTCAATCAACATGCCCTAACGCAGTCACGGATTGGGGCAATGAATACATTCAGCATTTCCCCTGGGTCGCGCTATTCTGTTTCTTCGCCGCCCTCATCAACCAGGCCAAGCTTAAGCAGGTTCCCATTACTGTGTTTCTGGGTGTCTGTGGCTACGTGACCAACTACTTCAGCTCCAAGAAACTTGGCTCCGGCCAGGTCTCTAATACCGTCGGTGCTTTTACTATTGGTCTTCTTGCCAATTTGTACAGTCGCTTGTGGCACGGTCATGCTGCTGCTGCTATCATCCCGGGTATCTTCACCCTTGTGCCGTCGGGTCTCGCATCCAGTGGCTCCATCCTCCAGGGTCTGGAGTATGCCGAGGCTGTGGCGTCTGGTAATGCGACGGCTATCAGTAATGCCAACTCGGGAAGTTCTTTGACTGCACTGGGCTATGGAATGATTCAGACGGCTATTGGTATCTCGGTTGGTCTATTTGTTTCCGCGTTAATTGTGTATCCGCATGGAAAGAAGCGGAGTGGTATTTTCAGTTTGTAAGCATTCTCGACATCTCTGGCAATTGGCGAATCTTGGACATAAGGAAGGCGAATCGGTTGTACATTCTACATTGTTCATTTTACAAGCGTCTTTGGATTTTGAAAATTGCTTATCGTGGATCTCCATTGTCATTTATCACCATCCACTCATCTCATTGATAAATATATTGCTTGCAGTGAAGTAGTTCATAGATCATAGATTATTTACAGAGTCAAAACAGCCCCCACAAATGCAATCCACGCCGGCAAATCCGCAACAAGCATGCGCACCCGATGAACACTCAACCACCGTTCCATATCGCGCGTCGACTCGGGCTTCTCCCCCTTCGCCTCCACAATGCGCTGCACCGGCCCCGCCACAAATGGAACGAACATCAGATGTCCAATCGCACCGGCCATTCCCGCCCAGTAGAATACAGGCGTCTGCAGATCACGTCGCTGTCGGTTCAGTAGAAGTGTCGCTGCAGCTGCAGAGATGGTGCTCAGATTCAGCGTGACAACGGTCCATACTGCGCGTCCGAACACTTGGTCGTACCAGGTTGGGAGGACTGGTTCGGATTGCTGGCGGATATGTGGTTGGAGGAAGGCGGAGTTGGTTATTAGTTCCAACAGGGCGTGTGCGAGTGTCGCGGTGCTGGTCGCAAGGGGTGCCGCGTGGAGGAGGTGGATTGGATTGAAGATGAGTCCTGATGCCATGTCGGGTTTTGGTGGGTTGACAAAGGGTGAAGTAGGGGCATCGTGCTTATGTACTTGATCCTTGTCATGGTTCCGATCAGCCCACGTTGGATTCCGTGGGCCGTGTTCGAGTATGATTCAAGTAATGTACACTTATGATTATTTTATCTACACCCAGATTTCATTCAAGATGCCATCGAATTTGAGGCCCTCTTCATGCTCGCTGCGCTCCATCGTGTCCAGATGCGCCCACAGCTCGGGGTACTTTTGTCCAGCCCACTTCTCCACCTGGTCCTTCCAATACTGGTATGGAATGGCATTGTAAAAGAGTCCAATCCTGGTCAAGTTAGCGATGGGCAGAATCATGAATCAGATGTCCACTCACGTTGTACTCGTGGGGGGAACCCCAATCTCCGCCTGCATCGAATCGATCGCAGTGGTAGCCACGTCGAATTCACACTGCGCGGCCACTGCTTCAATATACCCGGTGTAGAGCCGGCGATCAATTTCAATCCCCACCTTTTTGACTTTCTTCAGCATCTTCAGGGCCTCCTGTGCACCGTTGTGGTGCTTCTCGCAGACCTTGAAAAAGATCCCAATAGTCTTGTTTGAAGGCCCTTCGTCAGATCCAAGGATCTGGCGGAAGATCTCCATGCTCTTCTCGGGCATCTCGCAGGCTGCATAGGCCAGCATCAATCCGTTCTGAATCCGCGTGGTAAGATTGACCTCCAGGTCGAGCTTTAACATGTTGTGCACGAGCTCCAGATTGGTCTTGTCGCTGTTCCGCGCAATACCCTGGAAGCACCGAGCGTAGGTATCCGGCTTGGGACGGCGTCTGGGGTCTTCCGCCTGGCGCATGTGCCCGAATACCAAAACGGCAAGGTCGCTGCGTTTGCGCTCGAAGAAACTAGACATGATCCTCGTCCGGACGTCGACACCAGTCTGGGGGAATGCGAGTTTGAACAGCTCGTATACATCCCATACATCTTGGTCCTTCTGACCCAAGTCAAGGATGAAGTCCGTGATTACGTTCCTGACGACACCCTTTCCTTCGTCGTCGTAGGTACCCAGGCGGGGACGAAGCAATTCGGAAATGGCTTCCCAGTCATAGCGATAAAGTAGCATACGTGTCAAGGCGGCAACGGTGGTAGGCTCCAGCCGCACATTTTCCTGGAAGAGGGGATCAAGAAGAGACGAAATTCGCCCGAACAGAGCATCCCTTTGCTCTGACAGACAAAGCATGGCGATCAGTTTGTTGCAAAGGGGCAGGTTTTCGGTGGGCAAGAGGCTGAGATCGATTTGCTGCTCAAGTATTTCAAGGGTCTGCTCCACAGCACCGGCCTGGATGTACGACTCCAACCGCAACAGATGGGTTTCCTGGTCCGGAACCAGGCCCCACTGCTCCACCAGTCGAACAAACCCAGGGGCGAGTTCATGGTTCCGCGAGACATTGGCATACTGAATAAGACTGTTCACATCTGCAATGGTGATGGCATCCTGAATCTGTTCATCAGACGCAATCCACGTCTTGGCCTTCTCCGCAAGCGAAGACGCATTACTGCCATGTGCCGCCTCCCAAAGCAAGGTAATGCCTACAGTCTCACGGACCGGTCCCTGAGGAAGTGAGTGGAAGATTGGCTCAGCCCACTTGGTCTCTGAATTCAGAATTGCTTGCTTGACGACGTTCTTCTTGGTTGAAATGGAAGGCTCAATTATGTCGGCCATCTTGTTAGGTGTCGAGGGATCAAAGGCACCTGTAATGGGACACTGGTAGGCCGTCTGGACAGCCTTGAACTGACCCTGTTCGATGAGGAGGTTGATGAGCTCCTCATGAGAGGCTTGATCAAATTTCATGCCATATTTCTCAAATTCTCGAGTGATATTCCGCAATTGGCGATTATCGTCCGCCATAGCAAAGCCCTTCATAACGGTCAACCATGGAGACGGCTTCGCGCCCCTAAATCGACCACCGAAATTGAGAATGACAAGCCGCGCCTCTGCAGGGCAGCCATTGCTTGCCAGCAAGTTAATATAGGCCAGAAGGGCGGGTCGACTGACTGAGTCGACGCCGAATCCATGATCGGCACGGAGCTCTGCATAGACATAGCGAGCAATCTTCAAGATAGTAGCGCGCGCCTCAGGGAGACACTCCGCCTCCTGGAGCACAAATAGCATTTTCTCAAGGCTCTCGACAGAGAATACATCTTGAAATTCCCGGTCATCCAACTCCCCCTGTTGCGCCTTCAGATGTCTCCAAGTTATAGACAGCAGCCGAGCCTGGAATCCGTTTATGACTCCAGGGTTCTCCACCCGCGTCGCGAAGAAAATCTGGAAAGCTTTTGTCAGCGTATGGCTTGGCGGAGCTCTGCTTTTGTCCTCGAGGGATCGCTTAAGATCGGTCATGGGCTGTAGACCCTTTTCCGAGGGCAAGGTCGCCGGCTGCCCTTCTCCCGCATCTGCATTGCTCGGGTTGAAGTTGAAGGCGAAGAAAGTTCGTCGCGATGTATTCCCGAGGACCGGGGCCCACGGTCGTACTCGTGTTGGGGAAATGGTATGCAGCAATTGATTTCGGCGACATCGCGAGAAATGGAGCGGTTCGTTATTGATGATGGCCCGAAAGACTTGTCTCGTTAGATGGGACTGCATAATGGGCAATGAGCGCCGCCTCTCTGAGGGATAGAGCAGTGTAGATGAAAAAGAATAGTAGAGGTCGTGGAGCTCAATGCTTCCGAAAGTTTCGCGACGCGGAGTAGGCGGTCCAAGTCTTGGCACCCGCGAAAAAAGATCCGCTTCGATCCTGGCCTCCTCCACCTCACCACGACATCGCGGTGTCTATCTATCGCAATGTCTGTAAATCTCTTCTCTTCTCCGCTACTGCGCAGCATTGCGCATGCTGTGCCATCGGCTTGCCGCTGGAGCTCGACAGCGGCCATGAGCGCCTTCACCTCCCAACGAGCCACATCTTCACAGAGTGCGTGGAAAGCCCGGCCTTCGACACCCTCCCAGAATTGGCTTGGGTCAGAATCCTCTTCAAAGGGAACTTACAGCTAAAAAACTGAAATAGCCTCGAAAGTCCAGCATCGACGCCGGTTACCGAATCGCCTGCGATTCCTCGAGGATCAGAAGGCTCAAGGAGAAAGCCGAGCGCTGGAAAAGTTCCAGACTCGCGAGTGGAAGGCCGGTGATGTCTACGCTCCTCATGATCTTAGCCCGGCCGAGATGAAGAAATGGGGCAAGCGCAAGAGTCCCTCGACGGATGCTTTCGATGCGTTGAATCTGAACCCACTGCACCTTTACAAAGTACGTTCATTCTGATACACAGCGCCTATTTTAAGAAGGATGGGAAGACGATAATCAAGAAAGAAAGAGGGATCAAATCCAACTGGACACCAATTGCTGACATCGGTTCCCTCCGCAGAACTTCTCCGTCATGTCCGAGTATGTGTCTGCTCTGGGCCGTATTCGACACCGAGACCAGACTGGTCTGCGACCTGTGAACCAGCGAAAGATCGCCAAGGCCATCCGCAGAGCCATGGGCCTCGGCCTCATGCCATCTGTCCACCGTCACCCTGAGATCCTGGCTACCGAACTCCGGGCTAAGCTCGAGGGCGGCAACTTCTAAGCAGACACCGTCTCACTCATTACAGTCCATTGAAACCGGCTATGGCGTTCTTGTACAAACCATCGAGCCTGATTCAGGAGACACCGTTTCATGTATTATTACACAGCGCAAATCCACCCAATTTTTTTTATCGACGGAGTCGTCTTCCAGGGCTTCATCCTGCACTATATCATGTCTCAACAATAAATATAAACCTATTTGGACCCCCCTTAGATAAGCGGTTAGAAATGTACGTTTCATGCGTGATGCCTGGAGCTATAGTGCTGAGTGGAAACGCAGCCCCGCCTAAACAACTCCCTTTCCTCCCCACCTCCCCCCGTTTCACCTTGCATATACCTACACCCATGTCAATCACGAACGGTATGACTCGTATACTTTCATCCGCATCCTAGATTGTTCTGACTGACCCGCGCAGAGTCCATCTGGGCTGCAAGCCCCTCCACCACCCGTGGGCAGCCCACCCAGCTTTCGTCCGATGCCAAGGGCGAGCGACTTGCCTATGCGGTACAGTACTCTCATCAAATTCATCGCAAATAACCGCTTCTAAGTCAAATTATCGCAGTCAAACAAATCTATCTTCTTGCGCTCGATCGACGACCCCGCAACCGCCAGACAGTACACCGAGCACAAAGCCCAAACAACCGTCGCTCGGTTCTCCCCCTCTGGATTCTATGTTGCCAGTGGTGATGCCACCGGTACTGTGAGAGTTTGGGACTGCGTTGGCGAGGGTATAACCAAGGGAGAATACAGCATTGTCAATGGCCGCATCAACGACTTGGCCTGGGACGGTGATTCACAGCGCATTATTGCCGTCGGTGATGGAAAGCAACGATTTGGGCACTGCATTACCTGGGATAGTGGTAACACCGTCGGAGAGATATATGGCCACACGCAACAGATCAACTCGGTGTCCATCAGGCAGCAGCGACCCCTCCGCGCGGCCACCGCCGGTGACGACAAGAAGCTGGTCTTCTACCACGGAGCGCCTTTCAAGTTCAACATGGGAGTTCCGGATAAGCACACCAACTACATCTACGGTGTTGGGTTCAGTCCGGACGGCTCAACCCTGGTCAGTGTAGGTGGAGACCGCAAGATCTGGCTCTACGATGGCAAGACGGGAGAGACCAAGGGTCAGATTGGCGAAGGAGAACACAATGGCAGTATCTTCGGTGTCTCTTGGTCGAAGGACTCTAAGAAGTTTGTGACCGCTAGCGCTGACCGAACCGTCAAGATCTGGGATGTGGAAGCTGGCAAGTCAACCCAGAGCTGGACTCTGGGAGAGGAGGGCGCTATGGCTGTCCGTGACCAGCAAGTTGGTGTTGTTTGGCCACCGGGCAGAAGCGACAACCTTCTTATCAGTTTGTCTCTAAGTGGGGACCTGAACTATCTGGTTGAGGGCACCCCCAAGACCCGGCAGGTTATCCAGGGCCATCAGAAGAGCATAACCTCTATGAACCAGTCTGCCCTGAATGATAAGGAGACATTGTGGACCGGTAGCTTCGAGGGCCGCGTCTGCAGCTGGGATATTTCTTCTGGTACTGCCGGTGAGATTGAGGGTGAGGGGCATCCCGGCTACGTTGCTGGCCTGGCCCCAACAACCGAGGGTGCAGGAAGAATCTACAGCGTCGGCTGGGACGACACCATTCGCTCCATCGATGCCTCAGCCAAGACTTACACTGGCAGCTCATCCAAGCTTACAGGTCAACCTAAGGGTGCTGCCGCGGCTGATTCGACTGTACTGGTCGCTGCCGCCGAGGCCGTTGAGATTTTCCAGGATGGCAAGAAGGCCGGAGAGTACAATACCAACTTCCCCGTGACGAATGTTGCGGCCCACGGAGCGGTTGCAGCTGTTGGTGGCGAGGATGGATCAGTCCAGATTTGCAGCATCTCCAGCTCGAGCCTGTCACCCAAGACCGACATCAAAGCCTCTCGTAACCCAGTGTCTACGCTCGCTTTCTCACCGGATGCTTCTCTCTTGGCGGTTGGCGATCAGAAGGGGCGCGTCCTGGTCTTCAGGGTCGCTGACGGTAGTCTGATCACGGATCGATGGACCGCTCACACAGCACGCATCACATCACTCGCCTGGCACAAGGACGGCACTCACGTGGTGAGTGGATCGCTGGATACCAACATCTTCGTCTGGAGCTTGGCCAACCCGGGCGATTGGCTGGAGCTCAAGAACGCCCACAAAGAGGGCGTTAACGGCGTGGCGTGGATCGCCGGAAGCTCCAAGATCGCATCGGCAGGAGCTGACGCCGCTGTGAAGGTGTGGAAAGTGGAAGGTCTGAAATAATTGGCTTAAATGATTGAGTTGTACCTAAAATTCAAAGGAGAATAGATGAATTGAAGAAGTTGGAAGATATATAGTAGTCACAGTAAACAGAGTGCGTGGGAAAGGCGGAGCAGGGATGTGGCCGCAAAAAGAGTCTGTGCCAACACCCACACAGCGTGTTTTCTGCACCTTTGCCCAAGTTCCAATTAAGACAGGCGAAGTCAAGACGACAAGCCGCTATGAGGTTCTCATGAGTATCCACCACACCTGGACGTGAGTCGATACCGAGAATGTCACCGTCGGAAGCTCCGAGTAGCTCTCGGCGCTTCTTGCGCCCAAAGGTTTGTACAGCCCAAGCTCCCACGACATTCAAGAAACCCGGCTGACCACGGCTGTAGCTGCGACAAGCAACATTTGTCCTCCCACGAACCGGTCAACGTCTGAAAGGCCTTGTGAGCTTGCGTAACACCACACAAACAACCGCGGCCCCCGATGACGACAATGACCGCGAGGAACGACGCGGGCTGCTTACCGGCGAGATCGAGCCACGCAATGGTATAATTACTTGGTTATGGACGCAATTACGAGCCCTGTGGGCGTCGATGCATCGGTTCCTTGTATCAGAGCCGGGTATTGGGATCTTGAAGTGCGGGTTAGCATATTTTCTGGGATCGCTTGCGACTTTCATTCCTGCCATCTCCACTTTCCTTGGGCATCAAGATGGAAAGCATATGGTGGCTACGGTCACCGTGTACTTCCACCCCGCGAGATCCCAGGGAAGCATGTTTCGCGCCCTGATCTGCGCGCTCCTGGCATTCTGTTATTCCTCCTTTCTCTCAATCACGAGTATGCTGGTTGAGAACTTGTTCCAAGATACTCTGAACATGCCTATAGCTGGTCATGCTTTGGTCCTCGTTGTTTTTTGCGGTGGTGGACTGGGTTTTGTGGGCTGGACCAAGCAGCGACTCGGTGATCCCATTGTCAACGTCGCCTGCTCGCTCACAGCCCTTTCGACAATTACTATTCTGACCAAAGAAGGTTCTGTTCAGAGCGGCGACCTTTCTTTGAGCAAGATATCTCAGGTCCTGAAGATGGTCATCATGGGTGTGATGATCGCTATGCTCGTGTCCTTTTTGATCTTTCCCATTTCCGCGCGGAGGAAACTTCGTGCGAACTTGGTCACGGCCACAGACACATTGGCCGTTATGTTGGCCATTATCACTGAAAGCTTCCTGAGCGGGACTGAGGAAGAACTCAGATCATCTGAATTCAATGAAGCTGAGACTAAACACCGAAAGGCCTACAGCCAACTTGACAAGCTGGTCAAAGAGGCCAAGCTGGAGCATTACGTCGCCGGCTCTGAACGGGAGTATCGTTTGGAGAAGAAACTTGTTCGCTGGGTGCAGGACATCACTCATAATATGGGAGGGCTACGCAGTGCGGCCTCTCTGCAGTTCAGTCTTATTCGAGAAACAATTGCTCGCGAGTCTGGCTCTTCGGAAGGGGCAGAGGCTACTCAAATCGAATATTTTGCAAGTCTCGAGCGATCCTGGTCGTATCATGATGGGTCCTTTTTGGAACCAATTGATGAACGGCCCGAGGAAGAACTGTCTCCAGAAGGCAGTTCCACTCCAGTGCCAGATGACGATACAGATTCAAACCATAACACGTCTGCCCTTCCCGCTGACGTCTTTACAATATTTATCTCTCATCTGGGCCCGTCTATGGTAAGTAGCACCTAAAGCTTTCTGGTTTCTAGAAACTTTAGAAGCTAACTGAAAACAGAGATCTTTAGCCTTCACATTGAAGGAGATATTCAGAGAGATCCCATTTGGCCCTGCTCCAGACTATAAGGTGTCAATTGATGGTCGACTGAGAACGAGTCTTGATCGTGCCCTTGAGCTTTACCGGGAGTCACGGGGAAAGACTCTCAAGTCTCTTTACCAGCAGACAGAAGCAATGAAATTCAAAAACCAGGAAGCTGAAGCGGATCTTGAAGAAGTATCTGCCAGCTGTGGCCATTTCAGTTTTTCTCTCATGGAAGTTGGAGAACAGCTCCACGAGTTATTGGGTATTCTCGATGAGCTGCAGCTTGAAACCGAGGAACGACCTGGCGGTCGATCCTACAATTGGATGAAGTTCTGGCAGAACAACAAAAAAGGAATTGTTGAATCTGGTATGTATTTCATGTCCTCGAGCTACTCCATATTTCATCTTACTGACTCTTCCAGATTCTCTCTTTGTAGGCCCTGTGAATGATCGGCAGCGACAGTCGTCAGGCCCATTCAGTTTCGACGACAGGGTCTCAGCTGCCGTTCGAGGTCGTCTGCGCCCACCTTCAGATAACAGCATGAAACAAAGACTAGGCTACCGTCTTTGGAAATATCTGAAGGTTTTCCGTCGGGACGATACTAAATACGCGATCAAGGTTGGAGCAGGAGCTGCGCTTTACGCTCTGCCTGCTTTTCTACCTTCCACTCGCCCCTTTTATCAGCACTGGAGAGGTGAGTGGGGATTGCTGTCGTACATGCTGGTTTGCTCAATGACGATTGGGGCTTCGAATACCACGGGGTATGCTCGATTCCTCGGTACTTGTCTTGGGGCCCTTTGTGCAATTTTGGCCTGGTATGTCACGAATGGGGATGTCTTCGGTCTTGCATTTTTGGGTTGGTTGATGGCTACCTGGACGGCATGGATTACAATTGTCAAGGGCAATGGGCCTATGGGTCGATTCATTATGCTTACGTACAACCTGTCCGTACTTTACGCCTACTCACTCGCCCAAAAAGAAGCGGATGGTGACCAGGACGAAGGTGGCCAGGATCCGATTATCTCTGAGATCGCACTTCACAGAGTCGTTGCGGTGCTTTCGGGCTGCGTCTGGGGTATCGTCATCACACGCTTTCTCTGGCCGATCAGCGCACGAGAACGACTCAAGGATGGCCTCAGTATCCTCTGGCTTCGGATGGGTCTTGTGTGGAAGCGCGATCCGTTGTCTTCCATGGCAAAGACTGGCCGCTCCGTCGTGTGCATGACTGCTCGAGAGAAGCTCGAACTCGAGCGGTACCTAACCAGTCTAGAATCGCTTCTGGTCGCTGCAAGCTCCGAATTTGAACTGCGGATGGCATTTTCAGAGGATATTTACACTACTATCATTCGGCGCACGCGAGACATGGTGAATGCGTTCCATGCGATGAATCTAGAGCTCATGAAGAGCGAAACCGCCACCGAGGGTGAAATTACCCTCCTTCGTTACACTGCTGCAGAACGACGACAGCTTTCTGCTCGTATCAGCCATCTGCTGACCGGTGAGTTATGGCGGATTTTGCTTTGGTTGGTGAACTATGCTAATACGGTCACAGTGATGGCATCGTCCATGAAACTCGAATATCCATTGAGCGATGTGCTCCCCAGCATCGATCACGCTCGCGACAGGCTTCTAGCTTGCATCTATCGCTATCGCCAGGATCATGAGGCATCGCATCTGACGACTGATGAAGACAGCGCGTTACTGTATGCATATAGTGAGTCTATCTTTTTCCCGGGAGATTTCCTAGGCTGACGAGAGACTAGTCTTGGTGACTGGCCAGTTGTCGAAGGAGATCAATGAAATGATCGCAGAAATTGGGCAGCTATTTGGAGTTCTGAGTGAAGATGTAGCCCAGCTAGTTTAATGAAAAACACAAGTCTATTTCTGAAGTTCGACTGGAAGCAAGTATAAGGGGTCTGATATCGATCATAAAATCCTAGAAACCCGATGCGGCTGCTGCTTCCCCGCCTACGGAAGTCCAACCTCTCCCTTCCACACTTCTTTCATCATCACTTCATCACCCCATCACCTTCACCTCCTTCGATCGGAATTTACACACTCTTGATGTGTAGTTCCTCTCATCTGCCGCCCTTCGGCCACGCCTCGCGCTCCTAGTCCAGCCATGCAGATCGATCCGGCCGCCCTGAGTCGGACTGACTCGGCCTCAAATCCGGCGAAGGGTGCGGCGCCTAATGCTTCGGCATCACAAAAGTCATCAAGAGCTCTGATTTCGGTTCCGCGACTCGATCTGGAGCATGCCTACACTGACCTGAAGGCCGCCATCGGAGACAAGTGGGCCGAGTACAAGGAGGCTACAGCCTTTTTCTTACTAGGTAAGTGTCGCTGCGCATGCCATCCCCTGTCATTCGCTTTATTTCCTGGCTCTCATAAAGACCGACCGCGACGAATTGACCCAAATCCGAGCTGACCTCCTGACCTCCTGCCGATTCTAGGACACTACAACCAGAACGAGTACGCGTCGCGAGTCGACCACGTAATATGCGCCGATCCTAAAACTGAACATCTCCATAATAACTTTGTCTGCGCGATCATCGGAAACCTCACTCGAGACCTTCCGGATCATGGTGTCGCAAACTGGGTATCGGCGAACGATAAGCCTTCAATGGTGTCGAAGCCGATTTCGGGCGATGCCGCGGAGCAGAGACTGAAAACGGAGGTGATGCAGCTGCCTCCGAGGGACCGTAGGCGAATCAAGGGGATTCCAGAGGTATGTGATGGCTATTGTGGTCGTGGATATTGGACGAAGATGCTAATGCTCGGCAGCGCGATCCCAATGACGCGACACCCACCGAACTGGAGGAGTACCACCTTGCCAAGCAGATCAAGCTTCCAAGCCAGGTCCCGGCAAGCGCAGGTGGATTAAATAAGACCAGTAAGATACTACCACCTCTGAGGCGCACACTCGGCCAGCGATACCGCATCGCGCGTCTCCGCTCAATCCCAAGGACGATCTAACCTCAAACCTACAGACTGGGAATTGGAAATTCGAAAACGATATGCGCAGCCCCTCGCCGCAGAGACGGGCGAGTTCCCGGACGCCGAATCTATTCATGCTCGCATGGTCCCTATGTGTTACGAAGAATCTCTGCCTAGTGGCGCCGGTCTGCCGTGCGCCGAGTTTATGGCAATTGCAACAGAAACATTTGTGAAGGAGGTATTGTCCTCGGTGTTCTCACGCACCAGATCCAATGGCCCGTCAGGCACGATCAACGGAATGATGATGCGGAAATACCGAGAACAACTTGAACGAGAAGAGCTTGCATACACCCGCGGCGAGATCGCAAAGGATACCGCAACTGGTTTGCTCCCTGTCGAGGCCAGAGAGGCCAGTGTTCGAAGACCGCTCGGGGTCAGGGATCTACGACTTACCCTGGAGCTCAGTGGCAGTGTCCTCGGTCATATGCCCTTGATCATAGACCAGATCGCGGGTGGATACTTTGAAGATGAACTTGAAACAGAAAAGCAAGATCGACTGGAGAACGGCGTTAGCGAACCACATGAGATCAAGATCGCCGAAGACGAAATGGACCTGGACGAGATCGATGATTCTCTGTCAGATTGGGAAGGAGGTGGGATTGCTGATCGTGAACAGTTGAGTTCTCTACTCGACGAGTGTCTGTCGATGGCTGCGTGAGCTTTGATACCCCTTTTGTCCCCGTTTGATACTGTCAAACTACATGCTTTCTTTTTCTATTTGGTTTCCTGATATCTCGGGTTTCTCGGTTTTGGGTGGGATGATCACGGCGTCTGGGATTCCATCTTTTTATGCATCTGGTTCTGGAGTTTGTTTTTTTCTGGAGGTTTGCCGTGGCTGTTCTGTCTCGACTACTTTAAGTCCCCTTTACTTATTCCAGAGCTTTGTTGAGCCCTACAATGTACAGTATCTACTCACAGACAAGGTGTATCAAGTTGATTGTTTTGCGACCCGAAAAAGCAAAAGCAGAACAGATGGCGATGACCTTTACCGGGCATGGAGAGGTCAAGCTTGTTCGATACCCATGAATTTGATTCCTTTGTCTCGGAATTTTCCTCTCGCATATCTTACTGAATCAAACTAATGACACACTATAAACCAGCTCTGATGAATAGAAATTGGATTTATCATATCCAGAAAACGCCTCTTAATGGTAGTACATCGTGATATCTTAGTTAATAGCATTTGCAACGATCTTCAAGATCTCCTCCGTCGACTTATGCGCGTTGACCGGGTCCTTAGCCACAGACTGCCAGACCTCGCCGTGCTTAGGCTCCATTGAAATGCACTTGGTAATAACGTCGGATCGTTTGTCCTTAAGATAGATGTTAGCAAAGCCCTCATAATTGCAATTGAGCAAGAAACGAACCTCTGTTCCGTGCTGCAAAAGGAACTTGTAGTACCAAGCCCAGCCATCACCGTAATCGCTGTCCGAGACGATCGCCTTTTCAAACCAGGTCATCGCCTTCTCTAGTCGACGTTCGCCCCAGAAGATTCGTGCCACTGTGATGAACAGAATTGGGTCGTTGTCCACCTTCTTAATCGCCTCCAAGCTGCGAGCCTTGCGCTGTGCCCGCGGTTCAAGGTGCCAGATACTCTCACTCCAGAGCAATCCGGATGCCGGAGTCTCCTGCAACGCCCGCGCCATTAATACCTTGGCCTGAGCAATGTTGTTCGCACGACGTTCCACGCGCACACTCTCTGTCCAGAGTTCAGCACTCTTGGGGACCGCAAGACGAGCTCGGTCAAGAACGGAGCGTGCACGAACGACGGCACCCGCCTTCTCTTCCAATCGAGATGCCAACAGCCAAAGCGGCACGGATTTGGGGCAGGCTCTGGTGCCGGTTCCGTACGCCTCGCGGGCCTGTGGAAACTTGTTTTGAGCCTCGTATATTTGGCCCTTCATCATCCAGAGTTTGTCTGCCTTGGGGTACAGCTGCAGACCCTGGTTGACGAGATCTAATGCGTCGTCGATATTGCCCAACTGCCGCTCAAAAGCAACACTCTTGACCCACACGCGATCCGTACCAGCTTCACGGCGAGCAGTAGCCAGAAGTTCCCGTGCCTGGTCGGTCTGTTGGGCATCCGCCTCGAGCTTGACAGCAGCAAGCCAGATATCTTCGTTGTTAGGGTTTTGGTTGAAGGCACGGCCGAGAACTCGTCGGGCATCGTCGATTTCACCGGACTGCCATTTCTCTTTCGCGAGCTGCAACCAAAGCTCCTCGCTCTGAGGGCATGCTTCAACGGCTTTCTCGAGAACTTGCCATAGAGCTTCCTTGTCGCCATGGTTGCGCTCCAGGTCAGCCGCAGCAAGCCAGATGGATCGGCGATTGACAAAGACTCGTAAGGCATATGCGTAGATGGCACGAGCAGTCTCGTACTTGCCCCGGGCAATGCTCGACTTTGCATCTTCCATCCATATGTCTTTCCGATCATCGTCTTCATCCAGACCCCATCCCAGCGTCTCGCGAATGATACCGCCACAGGTGAGGATGGCGCCTTCTTCTTCGCATCGCTGAGCCTCTTCAATCCATTCCTCTCGCTTCAACATAGCGTTCTCTCTGGCGAGGGACTGGACGGCACGCTTCATAACATTGACCTTTTCAAATGTACCCATCTGTTCTTGAAGACGAGCGGCAGCAATCCAGATTTCGTGGCTTGTGGGAACGGCCTTGCGTGCAGCGTTCAAGACCTTCTGAGCATTTTCAGGTGTCTCAAGTCGAGCGAGAGCCAACCACAACTCCACTGACAAAGGAATCATCTCTACGGCCTTTGCCAGCAGAAGGCGTGCATCGGCGGGGTCTTCTTCCAGATTGACAGCTTCTTTCCAGATTTGAACTGATTGAGGAATATGCAAAATAGCTTGCCTAAGCACGTTCTTCTTGGCCCGTGAATCTGTCTCCAGTTTCATGGCCTCGATCCAGAGTCCCGTAGAGCGGTCGTTGTTCTTGATTGCATTCGCCGCAATAACCTTGGCGTTGTGACCTTCGTTCAGACGGATATTCTCCATCCATGCATCTTCGCTTTTTGGGCAAAGCTCACATCCTTTAGCGATGATGTTTCTGGCTGCAACAATTCGACCTGCAAGCTCCTCAAGACGCGCGAGGGCAATCCATCCGGGGGCGTGTTTGGGGTTGGTTTTAGTAACGGATTCCAACAAGACTCGAACTCGCTTAATATCGCCCACCTCGACTTCACCGGCTTTCGCTTCCGATTTGGTCAGGCTGGTGAGATAACCCTTGGGGTCGATACTGGTGGCACTTCCCGAGGCCTCTGCAGCTGATCCGAGCGCAGCCTGGTCCAATCTGACTTTCAACACCTTGTCACGCGCAGCACCGATATCCGCAAAATTTGTCATAGTGCCATCTGCATCTCCATCGGCCGCACCGCCGTCGTCGGCAACGGTTGTGTCAAACTGGGCTGAGTCTCGGGCACCTGCAATAACGCTGTCCGGCACGGCGTAGAACCTCTGGCGACTATTCTGCTTCTCTCGTCGGTTCTTGCCTGTCAGGTCACCAACTTCGGGTAGGTTGGCCCAGTCGTCCTCAGACACTGCTGCGAGGGAGCGCTTCAAATCGGCAAATTGCTGTTGGATCTTTGGGTTTTTTCGTTCATAATCTTCGCGTTCTTGTTGCTCTCGAGCTTCCCTGTAGGTGGCGAACGATTCATGTCGGTATTCTATCCAAACAACCGGGGCTTGGCCCGATGAACAAGAAATCTCTTGAAAAAGGGCGGTATAAGGGAACGGTACTAACCTTCGAATTTTCCGGCGCCTATCCATCTTCTCATCGACCTCTTGGTAGATTCGATCCGCCTCATCGTCTTCCTGGTCGAACTGCCCGTAGGCAAACAAACCCGTCTCATTGTCAGGATCCTGGAAGCGCTCATCGTCCTCTTCTTCCTTTTCTTCCTTTCCTCCCTTCTCGCGCGACTTGTCGCCGTAAGCAGTGGGCGCGGCAGCTCCAAGCGCGGCAGCTCGTTTCGTCAACGCAGCCTGGATCTGTTCAGGTGTCGGGCCTTCGCGCGCAGGTCCTAGGTCAGAGCGCGTAGTGAAACCGGTCGCACCACGACCCAGGCCGGCGACATAATTCTCCGGCGCCTGCTGGCTAAGAAAATCCTTGCGTCCGGACGCCATGATGGGGCATGAAGCTGTAAGAGTTGGAGAGAGTTGATAGGCGGGCCTCGTAGAAAAGTAGATCCGAGTCCGACAATCTTATCGCGGGAAAAAAAGTTGCCCACAGCGACGCCGCGTTTACCTTTGCTTTGCTTTGCTTTCAAAGACATTAGTCGCAAAGCGTTGTTTGACAGATTTCAACATGCCAAAAGTCAAGCCCCAGAAGCGCAACAGCGCGCACTCAGATGCCATGGCAAAAACCAAGGCTGCCCACAGCATTTTCAAGATGAATACAGACATCGGCCAGCACGTCTTGAAAAACCCCGGTATCGCCGAGCAGTGAGTACTCTTTTCGTCGCGTATTTGAATATTGAAGCCCAACTGATCATTATGAAGGATTGTTCTCAAGGCCGATCTCAAGCAGAGTGATGTGGTCCTCGAAATTGGTCCAGGTACTGGAAACTTGACAGCAAAGATTCTGGAGAAGGCCAAGAAGACGATCGCGGTGGAATTGGATCCTCGAATGGCCGCCGAAGTCACCAAGCGTTTCCAAGGCACTCCTGCCCAGAAACGCCTGGAAGTTATCCTCGGGGATGTCATGAAGACGGAGCTTCCATACTTCGATGTTTGCATTAGCAACACTCCTTACCAAGTTTGTGCTAACAGTCTCTCATCTACGATGTACACCTTCTTAACTCTTTATAGATCTCCTCCCCTCTCACATTCAAGCTCCTGGCTACTCTGCCGGCACCTAGGACTTGTATTCTCATGTATGTTTCTCAAATGGTGATTAGTTTGTTAGATACTAACATATAATTACCAATAGGTTCCAGCGTGAATTCGCTTTGCGCTTATTCGCCAAACCCGGCGACAAGCTATACAGTCGTCTGTCCGTCAACGCCCAAATGTGGGCGAAGATCGATCACATCATGAAGGTCGGCAAAAACAACTTCAAGCCTCCGCCCCTGGTCGAGTCAAGCGTTATCCGTATGGTCCCTAAGGTCCCGAGGCCGCAAATCAACTACGAAGAATGGGATGGTCTTTTGCGCATTGCCTTCGTGCGTAAGAACAAAACCCTGCGCGCCAGTTTCATCGGAACTCCCACCATCATGAACATTCTCGAATCGAACTACCGCACTTGGTGCGCCCAAAACGACATTCCCGTTGAGGACGGCCCGGTGGGAGATGCTGATGGTGATGCTATGGATATGGGTCAGGAAGAAGCGACCGAGGAGGTCGCTGATGAAGTCATGGATATGGACGATGATGACGTCCCCGATTTCTTCAAGGAAGAGACCAATAGCCGCCTTCAGCAGGCGCTCTTGAGCAAGCCCTCGCGCAAGAGGCGCGGAAAGGTGGCAGAGTTGGTGCGCGAGAAGGTGCGCTCGGTTCTCGAGGATGAGACTGGCCTTGCCGACAGACGTGCGAGAATGTGCGACGAGAACGATTTCTTGAAGTTGCTCTGGGCTTTCAACCAAAAAGGAATCCATTTCAGCTGATCGAGACCACGGCTATTCCCGGGGCGCCAAAAATAAAATAAGGATTGGAGTCCGGATTGGAATGATGAATTATGATTACTATCAATAAAAGATACCATTTTCAGGCGGTTCACCAGCAGCTCGGAGGTGCGCGGCGGAGTCCTGGAATAGGCTCTGCCAGATAAACGCTTCGCTCAGCAAGAGCTCGATATCTTTCTCAGTCCAGTCCTTCGTAGGCAATGCTTGGAGGAACATCATGATTTCCTGTGTACAAATTAGTCTTGATTGTGCATCATTATATAGTGCTGAAGACACATACTTGGAAATCCATCTTCAGGAGCTGATCCGTCCATTTGACCAAAAATGCAGCACAGACATAAAGATGAAAGCGTGAGAAGCCCTGCTCCTCGGCCTGGAATGACTGTTAGCGTCCAAAAAAGAAAAAAGAGAAAAGAAAAAAGGAAAGTTTCCAGCTAGGGACATACCATGTAAGTATCCCACATGCGTATCGTGTTCTGAATTCTCATTTCCCGCATGAGCAAACAATTCATCCATCGGAAACTGAATTGCATGAACTCCACGCCCTCTTGCTCGAGGTGTTTAGCAAGAGCAGAATCAATGCGCACAGTCAAATCTCGCAATGCTCGAACCTGCCGGTGAATGCCTGGCTGGGCATAGATGTAGTTGTCTTGAATGCCATCAAGAAGCTTTGTTATACACCAGAAAGTATCGGCTTCCACTGCATCCAGTACGCTCCGGGGAAGCTGGCCTGGGTCCATGCCTTCTTCAACATTCAGATTGGTGATGTAGACGCCCAGGAACACTTGGAAGAATGGTGTCACCAAATCGTTGATACCTTGCACATAACCACTGGCGGGGTGTCGAATAGCCCACACATACAAAATGCGTTCAAGAGAACGCTGTGTAGCTTCATAGCCGTAGAGTGGAAGATGAGGACTTGTCCGTGGGACATCTATGCTGATTTGATGCCATACTGCTTCGTCCAGTCCTCGTCCTCGGCCTGTACCCGAAGAAGGAGGGTTTGTCGCTGCTGCTCCGCTGCCTCGTTCAAAGGCCTGTCGTACTCCGTCAAGATACTCCTTTCGTTTTCTCTCAAGTGTTGATATACGTCGTTCGCTATTTGTGGGAAGATAGCCAAGTAGAAGCTGCCAGGTCATCGGTCGAACCTCTTCGGGAACACCAGACCATGCAAGGTCTCGCAGTTCAGTAATAGATACCGTGCTTGCCTGCAAAATGCGCTTGAACTTGTTGATTCGTGAGATGCGGCTAGAATGCATATCTCTCTCCTTAGGTGTAGCATTAGTCGGCGGCGCAGTGTGATTGATTAGATTCAAAGCATTTGCAGGATCTGGGGGCACTGTTAGCATGTCCGTGACCGAGGTATTGGAAAGCATAGGATATCTACCTTGCAGAATATCTTTGTACTGTGGCCGAAGAATCTTTCCTTCCCCCTTCCGTGCTGTAGGGTACATTGGAGCGCCGCGTTCCTCGGCAATGTCTGAGCTATTTGCTCGTTGTCTGTTGTTAGCCGCGAGGCTAAATCCCAGGGAGGAAGGGTTTCCTCCCATCGAGCCGCTAGGATTAATGCTCCTGGCTTTCAAAGGGCCTGATTTCTTCCTCCTCATACTGGCAAGACTTGGTAGTCCAAATTCATCTTCGTCGTCGTCGTAAACAATCTCATCGTCATCGTCTTCGTCATCGTCTTCGTCTGCGTCGGTTGGATCACGACTCCACTCATTCACGCCTTGATTCATGATACTTGAGTATGGCTTTTCACGAGGGGGCGAAGCGACCACATTTCCAGACCGATGTGCTAGTTGCGACGCGGGGTATGGGGCATTGCTAGAGGAAGACCGGGGTGGCGTTCTAGGGCGTGGGCCAGATGACGCACTTCTATCGACAGAACACCTATTAGTATACCTCGACCAGAAGACAATTGGTCCCAAATCGGTATTTGATGGTATAGCGTACTGTAGAATGTTGGCGTGGGAGTATGAAGCGCCAACCACAGTGTTCTGGCCGTGGTCCTTCGACTGAGACTGATTCAGGGATACGTTTCGGGCGGCCCAAAATGGAGATTCTGCGCGTCTTTGATGTTTGTCAGTTCTAATTCATGGGGCATAGGTCGGCAGGTCTTGCACTTACTCGGAATTGTCTTAGCAACACACCTGGATTAGCTATGAACTGCGAGGAAGCTGCGAAGGGGTAATACTAACCGACCTGGACCATTTCCTGGGTCGATAGTTAGCTTAGATATCACCATAGTATGCTCTGCATGGTCTGAAAGAAGCTTACCTGCTGCCCCTTTTTGTTCGCCATGATGGACTGACCTTCACGGGTGTCGAGTGCGGGGCGGCCTTGCAATGATGCGGTGTTCGCTCCTCCGGGGCCCTGTAGCAATGGAGAAACTCAGAACTCAGTCATGCATGTCGCCGCAGTAATCCAAAGCGAATCGCAGTTCTGAGAAACCGTGCCGATGGTGGGGATGTTGACTATACTTCAAGGGTCGGTTTGTTGCAGAAGCTCGGTGATCTGACCCGTGCGTATGTAAGCTACAGGCCTTCCTCCGCTTTCCTCCCTTCGTTTCTTCCCTTCCCCACGAATCTTCCGACCCTTGAGCTTCTGTATCTCTCAGTTCTCGGTTCTCACGGGTCTATCATTTCTTTAAATTCCACATTGCCCACTTGCCCTTGTTACGGATCACTCAGCATCATGGCTGAGCCGGGGGAACTTGAAGAAGATCTCTTCGCTGATCTGTACGTCCCTTGCTCAATTCTAAATTCTGCTCTGAGGGCTGTCTGGACTGACAATTCCGATCGCATAGTTATGACGCCGACGAAACTACCAATCGCGCAACTTCTGCGGTGGAGACCGCAAAGCCTGCCGAATTCGCTGCTTCAGCAATCCCTGCACAGCCTACCGCGGATGCGCCCATCCAGAGCTACGAGGACTCGCATGACGATTCATACTCTGCGCAAGCTCCTCCTCAGATGAGCTATGGCATGAGCTATCAGAACGGTCATGGTCAAGATGGTGCTGCCTCCTCCACCCCCGCAGCGGCTCTCGCAGACAACGATAATCATGGAACGGGAATCAAAGAAGACGGGTAAGTGATATATACCCCTGTGTTTTATGTTGTTGTTTTTTTTTTTTCAAATTTGCCGATTTTCGGTGTCTACCTGGTCAGGCTTTGCTGGCTTGGGGTGTCAGCTGCTATTCACGGCGTGAATGTTTGGAACAGGATTCCGATAATCTCTGTGATTTTATATCTACGCGATATTACAACAGACTTATGGGCACTTGATCAAATACACAATGTCAATTATGGGGAGGCGAATGAGCAAACAGGTGCTCGGTGTGATACACTCAATGGATCCTTACGACCTTGTCAGCAATTTGCCCAACTTCTCTCAGTGCTACAGATCTGTCCACGAGCTAGTGACAACTGGCTCCCGCCGCAAAGAAGAGCAGAAACAGAAGACCCGGCAGATGTCTTGGGGGAACCCTTGGCTAAGGGCAGTTGGTCGAGTCGGCCACAAACGAGTGTGACAGGATATCAGAACCTGTTGCAAGCCACGATATATAGTACAGCGGATACTATATAGCTTCCTGTCGATATACGTTGATAGAGCAGAGCAAGAAGTAGCAACGCTGTCTGGAAGGTTATCAAGCCAGCTATCTAGCTTGGAACTCTGTTAGACAGGGGTTCTCCCCGCTTCGGGACAGAGACAGTCAGACAGTGACAATTCACTTATTTCGCCTGAACTTCTTGCTGCATCCTCTATCTCGCCTACACCATCCGAATATGAAGCCCGCAACGTGAAACATGGTCAATCTTCAGACCAAGGCTCATGTAAACCAAGTGGGCTTGCGTTGGAAGCGGAAGAGGCGAAATTATGTTGTCACAGTACACCATCGCCATACAATATTCGGCCCTTGCAGAGCATGGGCTCCAGAAAGTCCAGCATTTAGCTGTATTCGTGAATAGCAGCTTAGCGCCACCAGCTTCATAGCCAGAGCACTGTCATCTTGCCCTCACAATCATGTTTTAACCTTGTTCTTGTCTTGTTTCTATGCGGTCCTTGCCATCTTTTTGGGGGTTATATGGACTCCGATTGAGGCTAATCTCCTTGGTTAGGAAAATGTTTATCGGTGGCTTGAACTGGGAGACAACAGATCGTATGTACTCGGTTTATGGGCGACGGTTGATATCAGGTCTAACAAATACATAGAATCTCTTCGGGACTATTTCTCTCAATTTGGCGATGTTCAAGAGTGCACTGTCATGCGTGACAGCGCTACTGGTCGTTCGCGTGGTTTTGGTTTCCTGACTTTCCGGGACCCTAAGACTGTGAACACGGTTATGGTGAAGGAGCACTACCTGGATGGCAAGATTGTAAGTTGCTTGGAAGTGAGGTAGAGAAGATGAACGATCGGCTAATTCAAATACCAAGATCGATCCTAAACGTGCCATTCCTCGCGATGAACAGGAAAAGACTAGCAAGATATTTGTCGGCGGTGTCAGCCAGGAGGCAACTGAACAGGACTTCAAACAGTTCTTCATGCAATTCGGCCGTGTTATCGATGCGACTCTCATGATTGACAAGGATACTGGACGACCCCGTGGATTCGGCTTCGTGACTTTCGACAGCGAGGCCGCCGTCGAGAATGCTCTGTCTCGGCCACTTGAGATCTTGGGCAAGCCCATCGAGGTAAAGAAGGCTCAGCCCCGTGGCAACCTACGAGACGAGGATAGAGGAGGCCGTCGCGGCGGTGGCCGGGAAAACTTCCGTGACATGAACCATGGAGACAACGCCCAGCAGCAGGGAGGACAGCAAGGCATGGCTGGTGGCATGACTCCCCAGATGATGGCCCAGTACTGGCAGCGCATGCAGCAATACTTCGCCATGATGCAGCAGCAGATGGCCGTCGCCGCAGCCTCTGGTCAAGGTGGCATGAACCCCGCGATGATGCAGGGCGGTATGAACCCTGCTATGATGCAGCAAATGCAACAGATGCAGCAAATGCAAATGAAGCAGCAGCAGATGGGTGCGGGCAACCAGCAGGACGGCATGAGCCCCAACCCCCAGAGTCCTGGCTCCCAGCAGAACATGCAGAACATTATGAACCCGGCTATGATGCAGCAGATGCAAAACCCGGCCCAGGGTGGTAACAGCGGTGATGCCAGTCCTAATCCTGGTTCTAACTACAATCGCCAGTCTGCCAGTGCTGCTGGAGCCAACGCTCCCGGCGGTCCTGGCTATAATGCCCAGGAACAGATCGCCTTCGAGCAGCAGAAGTATGAGCAGCAGCAGGTTCGCCGCGTCGCGATGGACAACCGTGGCTTCTCGCCCTACCAGCAGGGTGGCCCTACATCATGGGAGGGCATGTACGACGAAGTGCCTCAGCCTAATATTCCTACTGGACCTCAAGGTATGACTCGCGGCGGTAGCATGGGACATGGTATGTGATCCGATATGCCGTGATCACAGACTTAAGCTAACTTTCTCTACAGAATCGGGATCAACTCCCCAGCCGAGCGCTGCTCCAGCCAACGCGCCCACAGGACCCCGTAATGCCGGCAAGCCTGGAGCTAACTATCGTGGCGGTCGTGGCGGAGGACAACATCGTGGCTTCCACCCCTACTCTCGTTAGATGGTGAAGCAGGGATGTTTTCTCCTTCTCCTTTCCTTCTACCTGTGAATGGTCCTTTTTTTCTCAAAATTTTCAACTTCCGTTGATGGTTCTTGCGTCTGTTTGGTTTTTTTTTCATCATGGACAGGCGATTCTTGTGGGTTGCGGCTTTTAGGGGTTCTAGGGAACTGATCGACCGTGGGCAGACAAAAACATGGTGGTTAACTCAATTTTGTTCCCCTTCAGAGTCCTTCAATGACAAAATCATTTAAAAGCATTTTTGTACGGTAATTTTAAGAAATATAGCTTTGCCAGCAAGTTATATTCACTATGACTAATGGATACCCGGAACTGCAGGATAATGTTAATAGGAAAGATGTGACTACTTGATGGTATACCAGGGAACTAGAAACCAGAACAATTTGCTTTGTAGCCAAGATCTATCACCGGTACAAAAAATCACAAATTTTTCACAAAATCTCAAACCAGGCAGAATTCGCTGATAATAAAAGAAGGTCGGTATGTAGGAAACAAAAGTAAGGAAAAGGCTGAGTGTATCGAGAGAGAGAAAGGGTGTTATGGCACAAAATCCAAAAGGCATTCAAGGAATCCGTCCGCCATTCAAATACGCTAAACAAAATTTAGACAGAAGAATGTAGCCGGCAATAGCGCCGGTGCCCCGTGAGAAACACGAGGAAAAGAAGGTAAATATGAAGGGCAACGTCGTGATATCGATGGGCCTCTAATACGCCATGCCGTAGCCAGGCTTGGTTGGTTGACGGCCCTCGAGTGGCGGGCTGTGGCGACCATCGTGTCCAGAATTTTGGCTCAAGCTGCGTGCTACGCCGTAGTCCGCATACACCAGACGGTCCTTGCTGCCGGTTGAGTCGGATCGGTGAGGCATATCCCGATACGGTTCGTATGGACCGGTGAAGTTGAACTTGCTCATCTCGGTGAAGTCCCTCTTCTGTGGGTGCTCGATCAAGAGAGACTCGCGAGCATCCAAGGGGGTGAGATCATCAAGGTCCCGATTATTTTTCTCGGCTTCCCTCTTGCGCTTGGCGTGAGGGTTCTCACGGACGCACGTGATGATGGCGTTGACGGCAATGAGGATTGCGAGCACGCCGGTCAAAGTGGACTGGACCACGATGAGGACGATGCCAGTCACGGTTTTGGTGGTTTGTGAGAGTCCAAGCTCCTCCACAAAGACCAGAATGCAGGCGACGGAAAGGACTCGCACGATCTGGATGGTGATGTTGATTCCCATGGACGATTTCCGGGCGTAAGGGCGGTTCCACGCAAGAAGACAGAGCAGAAGAACCTCGACAACTAGCTGACCGATGGTCTGCACCATGCCGTGGCCCTCAGCACCGGCAATGATACAACCCTTGGCCAAAGCATATACGATAATGGGCACGAACAGCCACCAGAAGTCTTTCTTGTAGTTGTCGTAGAACAGACTATACTTGCGCCAGGTGTCCTTGTTGTCATAGAGAGAAGTAGTATCACCCTCGGCCCTCTTATACTTGCGGGCCATGTAGAAGATGCGCCATCCAAAGAAGGCTAGAACGCCTGTGAAGACAACCAGAGTCACCGCTGCCAACAGCTTTGCTGCCCATGAATCACCATTCTTGAGCTGGTAGATACAATACAGCACCCAAATACTGTATAGAACGAGAATCATGTTGGTAATGGTCCGAGCCATGATGCCCCAGTAGTCCTTGCGGAAGTTGGTCAACTTCTTGGGAAAGTTGCCGTACAGAGCCCAAATCTCGAGAATGATTTTCAAAGAAGAATGCCGACGACAACGACGGCGATAACAATGGCGAAGACCAACAGAACGGTCATGAAGACATTGGCCGAAGGAATCATAGCCTCCTCTGCGAACGACTTTATTGTCGACACGGTACTACTGGAGTCAGTGCTGTTGGAGTCAGAGCGGGGCAGAAGGTTGACAGAACGGCGCATCAAGTCCACACTCCGCTTGGTCGAGCTGCTGTTTGATGATGAGCTACTCAAGCTGGTCAGGTAGACATAGCTATCATTGGTCAGGTTGCCGCCGGTAGCCTTCCGGAAAGAATCGATCGATTCTTGCATGTTTTTCCAGGAAATCAAACCGGTACTCCAGCCGAAGTTCTTGGTGAAACTAGTATAGACGGTAGGATAGCTGACACTCAGCATGCCATTGGTGGCCATGCTATGGAACCAGCCCATCACATCACCAAAGCCCGGGCTGGAGGGGCTGGCACCGGGATGACCAGCCGCACTGAGGGCAGAGATGCCACTCAGAGCAAGAGCGCCGGCCGCGATGCCAGCCGAGGCCCAGCTGACAGCTTTGAGGCTGGTGGTCCTTCCATTAGACAGCTCGGACTCAACACAAGCCACATCCTCGTCGGTGTCGGTGGACTTTAAAGTCAGCTGGGCCTGTCCATCCAGATCGGGGATGGCGAAGGCGATAGAAGGGATCTCCGAGGCGTAACTATCGGGAACCGTCATACTTCCTTTGGCGGAAAAGGATCCCGAGGGGACTGATGCGGGTCGGGTCAGCGGGTTGGCAGGGCAGCACGAAGCGTCGAGGGGCACACTCACCTGGGCACAACTTGGCCACATGGACGTCGCTACCACATGGGTTGAAAGTCTTTGTGTAGATTGTATTGCCATAGGCGGTCACCTTCAGATTGGCGGTGACATTCTGTTCCTTCGAATTGGTACCAGCCAAATCGAAGACCACTTCTTTAGTCGAACGAGTGTAGGTGACATCGAGATTGGTGACGGTGATGTCGGAATCGGTCATGCACAGACCGAAGCCGTCGGTGCTCAGGGTGTCGGCCGCCAGCACCTGGGGCACGAACGCCAGGCCCAGGAGGGCCCAGATGGACTTTCGCATGTTCAGCCGGTCACTAATCGAGACGGATTGGGCACAGGAACATCAACGGCGGATCAAGAAAAAATAAAAAGGGCGAGTAGAGCCGAAGGAGGAGGGGGTGGAATTAAACGCGTGAGCCAACAGGATCAACCTGAGGGAGAAAAGGAGAAACCAGAGAGCAGATGTCTCGCGAGTGCTAACGAGAGTGGTATAGAGCAAAGAATGAGATAAACACGGTAATGAGTGAGAGATCGAACGGATCGAAGAGTCCCAAAGTCGCAGAGTCGAGTCCCAGTCGCAGTCGCAGTCGCAGTCGCCGTCACATCCCCTCAAGAAAGTCTCGACCGATGGATACGTTACCCCTGAGAGAGTATTGATTGGCCCCGGCGCGTTTCAGAAGTCTAGACTCGCCTCTTTTCCACTTTAGGTAAATCGAACATCGGATTGTTACTATTCTTATGTCTTAAATTTGAGCTGATCCTGCCTAGCCATGGGTGCGTTCTGCCATGTGTGTTCAGGGTTCCTCACGGTATAGACCCTTGAGTGGAACCAAGGCATCCGTCCCAAATAAGCCCAGATCAGCCCAGATAGGCCCAAATAAGCCCCAAGAAGCCCAAACAAGCCCCTGGGCGGCCCGGCCACCGTGATCCATGGTTGAAGTGGCTGCCGTGCTGGGTCAGCCATCTGCCCACTTGGGGCTAACACGACGCGGCCCCGTGCCTTGCAGTACAGTATGTTCCTGGACTTTCTCCCGAGACTCGCCTTCCACATTCCACATTCCACATTCCACCTGGCGTGGATTCTCGCCACATACCGTCGATCGGATCGTTCTAGATTCTAGTGGATTGACACAGATCTCACACTCTTCCCCTGGAATGATCAGAGCTTCTCTACTGCATCCTCCTACGGGAGTACCATCCTCGCGGGATACTTAGTTCCGACCGTGCCGCGCGCCATAAAACTGAGACAGGCCAAGCGCCAGTGACACCCGTTGGGTCATTTGATTATGACTTCTGTCTCATCATAGGCTGATCCGCTCCACAAAGGGGGGCCCTCCTGTCACGGGCGTTAAAATCAAATAACCCTTAGATGTGGCGGTGATATCACCCTTCTCCAAAAATACATCTGCAATAATGTGTGGATTGGATTGTAAGCGAACACAAGTCTGGGATACGAATGTTGCTTCTGTTCTGTGCAGAGGGCATGTTATGTTGTTAGCTATTATGCAATACTATTACCTCTTAACTATGGACAACCGACTACTGATCGTGCAATACATATTGCACCGGTGCCACCCACGAGAGACTAGTTCATCGGACATAGCCCTCCACTCCCACAGTTCGAACCCCGGAAATGTTCCATTAAGCTGATGTGTACAGTTTTCTCATAATCGTCATAACTACTCCGCAGACGCGACATCGCGGATTATTTCGGCCCGGGCTTGCTCTGCATCTCCCGCATCGCTGCTCTCGCACTGCGGCTGCCGCCCAGCTTGGGTCCTTTGGGTACCTCGGTATTCTCGGTCTTGGTAGTGCGTGTCTTGGGCATTCGGCGGCGGGCTTCGATCGCGTCCATGAAGTCTCGTCGGAACTGCTCCGCGATTCGGTCGTCGGCAGCCTGGCCATCATGCGGGACTTCGTCCTCTGGTTCGTCGTAGACATCCACTAAACATCCCGAGTTAGCGTCGCCGTGGTATGTCCTAGAGGCTATACATACGTTTGCTTTCACGCAATACTTCCTCCACCAGTCGGTCTCGTTCGATGTCGGCGCTGGTCCGTCTTTTGCCCTTTCGCCACGCTTTCTCACTGGGACCGGGACGTTCGCTCGGTGTAGCGGCTTCTCCGGGAGTTGGCGAGTCATCATCCCCAACCAATTGTCGAGTGGCGGCTTCAGTACGCGCAATATTCTGTAACTTGGTCTCCTGGCCGAGATCGATCTCGTGTAGTCGGCCGAGCGATGCAGGCTCGCGCTCGAGCTGCCCAGCTATAGTCTGGACACCGCTGGATTCTTGTGAGGGTCGATCAAGACTCTGCTTCTCTGGTTGTGGGCTGCGTCGGTAACGCTTAGCCATCTCGGAATCTATGTAGGCCATCCTTATCTTGTTAGTCTGCATCGCTCCGGCACCGCGCATCGAAGAGAGTTCCCGTACATGTGCCTGTCCACGTCCACCGTCTGGCCGCTATTCCCGGTGAATCGATCACTCATATCTTGAACCGTCTCTTTGTCCAGATCTCTCGCCGGGCCCAGCGCTGTCTGCCGAATGTCGTCCTGGCCCAATCGCGATGTGGCGGCAAACCCAATGCCCCCTTTCCGAGTAGTATGAGGTCGTCGAAGACGGACGACACCTGTAAGCTCTGTATCATTGCCGTTGTCTAGAGCAGGTTGGGCTCCATCATTTTCATTGCTATTGGCAACCCGGTCCCCGGCGGTAGTATCGGAGCTGTCATCTGGGCGTCGCCGTATAAACTTCCGCCGTTTCGCAGGGCGAAAAAGAGCTTCTGAAGCGATATCAGGGTCCGTGTCCATGGTGTGTCGGGTGAATTGAAGAGTTGGAGGAAGAAAGAAGAATTGGAGAATTGGAGGTGAAGTCATCTGCCAAGATCCAATCAGTCTCCGCCCAGAGCTGTTCCCGCACCGAAAAGACCGCCCTTCTCTCCTTCTCCATTTGTCCTCTCAAGGTCTTGACTGGATTTGTCGATTACCTCGTGCAATCACTTCTTGTCTTTCTGCGCCGTCGACATGAATTCATCTAATCCGCCCCAGGCTGGCGAGTACGGTGGAGGTACGTGCTGCGCGATGCGACGCCCTTGGCTCTCTCTCGATCCTCTCAATCCCTCCCAATCGCGGAAACGCGCTATGCCGGTATGAACGAACACTAATCTCTGTCATCTGCGCGCTTAGACGAAGTCTCTGCCATTGTTCTCGACCCCGGCTATTCTACCACTCGCGCTGGCTTCGCCGGTGAAGACGCCCCCAAATCCCTGATCCCAACGTACTACGGCAAATACAATGCCGACGGACAAGAAAAGCTCGTCTTTGGCGACGACGTTTTCGTGACCCCGCGCCCCGGTCTGTCTATTTACAACCCAATCGGCAAGGATGGCATTGTCGAGGATTGGGATATGGCCGAGAAGGTGTGGGAGTATTCTTTCACGTCACGACTGACTGGCGCGAAGGCCAGCAACCCCCTTCATAACGGCTTGAACGACATTTCTAATGATGAGCTTCCCACGGATATGGAGGTGGAGTCGGATGAGAAGCCTCTAGCCGACAGTCCGTTGTTGATGACCGAGCCTGGCTGGAACCCTGTCAAGGCTCGCGAGAAGACCATCGAGATCGCGATGGAGAAATGGGGCACTCCCGCCTTTTATCTGGCACGAAGTGGTGTACTTGCTGCGTAAGTCTCGCGACATATCTGGTGTTTACAGCTTGCATTTTGCCTAACACAGTCCCTCTTCAGATTTGCTTCCGGAAAAGCCTCCGCCCTTGTGATTGATATTGGCGCTTCGAACATCTCTATTACCCCAGTTCACGACGGCATGATCCTCAAGCGAGGTGTCCAGCACTCTCCGCTAGGAGGTGACTATATTTCATCCCAGATCCGCGCATTGTTCAAAAAGAACTCCCCGCAACCCATTACCATCACGCCGCATTATTTGATCTCCTCGAAGACTGCTGTTGAAGCTGGCCAACCACCCCAGGCTAAATACAAGACCTTCCCTGCCGAAAAAGCACCAGACGCTACTTACCGCGCTCTTCTTGAGGAGCGGACATTGTCGGAATTCAAGGAGTGCGTGGTTCAGGTTTGGCCTGGCCCGAACAAGCTTTCTGCCACCGGTCCTACTGGTGTCTCCAACGAGGAGATGGCTCGCAGCTCTCCCGGCCGTCCGTTCGAGTTCCCCGACGGGTATAACCAGCTCTTTGGCGCGGATCGTTTCCGGGTGGTGGAATCCTTGTTCGATGCGAAGGCTGCCATTCTTGACTCAGACTCGTCCTTCCCTACCCCAACGCAGGCTCAAACTCTTCCAGAGCTGATTAAGGCGTCCCTGAGTGGTGTCGACGTTGACATCCGTCCTCATCTTCTGGGCAATGTGGTTGTGACTGGTGCATCCAGCCTGCTTTACGGTTTCACTGATCGCTTGAACCACGAGTTGATGCAGCTCTTCCCCGGACCGCGGGTGCGCATCTCCGCTCCCGGCAACACTGGTGAGCGACGATTCGGTTCCTGGATTGGAGGAAGCATCCTGGCCAGTCTTGGCACCTTCCACCAGATGTGGATCTCCAAGAAGGAATACGATGAACACGGTGCAAACATCGTCGAGAAGCGCTGCAAATGATCCCGGAGTAATTTCAAATTTGTTCGGCCATGGGCTCATGTGTTATGAAGTGGTCCCGGCTCTGTTGGTTTATGTTTGGGCGTTTACTGCTTGGGCGCTTTGCCGGGGCTTGCAATGTGTATTAGGCTCGGCCATAAAGGTCTGAAAAATGAATGCTAGATTTTCCCTGTTCGATTAATTTGTACAGCTGCTTGGTCTGAAGACAGGTCAACATGAATGCTGCCTTCGCCTAGGCGAGGTTGGACTCTTCTCCGAGTTCTTCAGAATAGCCAACATATTGTTGTCACTACCAGATGGGCACTCTGCCGTTACGCTACCTGCCAGCAAAAGAGAAGGACCTTTTTTTGGTTTTTTTTTTTTTAAGAAAAAAAAATAGATTAGACGTCAGTTGCATAATCGAATGCGCGCCCAAAAGGAATTGACATCTTGCAATACAGAGAAGGGGTATATAACGAGCCAACACAGGTTCCCGATTGGACACTAGACCCTACACCCCAGCCCTGCCCATCTATGGGTGTTTTCAGTTTTGGTGGTCCTTTTGATCTTTGCACGTTGTGCCCAAAGCAAATAATTTTTATTATTATGTTCAGACTGTCCAAGCCATCACGCTTGTGCGCAATCGACTGTTCGAGGTCTATACTCAGTGGCCACCTATGAGGTAGTCAGCCATGCTATCCCAATGAGAAGCATTATGATATGCAACTGACCAATGGAATTGATGCTGGTGTCGGCGGTGGTAAAGCTGGTAGTGCTGTAATTATTGAACCGGTCTCGGCGCTCATATCGGAAGCCTCGTCACCCTCCTGAGCAACAGTCAATTCTTCATCCAGGGCCAATTGTACAGAAAGGACATGGATTCGAGGCGAAGTTTCGGGCCGTTGTTTGAACGAGTATGTATTCAAAAACTCCGGTTCCTGCACCCAGGACAACTGTTTCTCTAATTCGGCAGCGGAAAGACCCGATTTGCTGGGCTGGGCTCGCAAGTCCTCAGATGATTTGGCCCGGAAGATACTGCTGGGCCACTCTTTAGTCTTGATGAGTGTTCGGCCACAGCAGTCTGCCTTGGCGGTAATGTTTTCCCAGGCTTCAACCACACGGTCTGTCTTCAGGAACTGGGAGATTTGATCCTTCATGGTTTCAGCGCCATTTGGAGGGTGCGTAGCCTGTTGTCGAGAACGAGGAAGTGATTTTGTCATTGTTTGCTGCGTCTGAGGGCGACCATTTGCCCATATAGCCTTCAACTGTTCTATAGAGGCACTGCGGGACTTGAGTGTCCGATCTGGTGCTGTGGATGGACGGTTTTGAGGGATCTCCGTCTTCTCACTGGCCGATCGTTTGGGAAGGAAGGGCTTGGAGAGTCGTCTCGTAAGTCTTCCCGGCGTTCGAGGAGGTGTCGTGGCGCCAGAGTCTATAGAATCACCTCCTGCTACCAGGGCGCTACATGACTTCGCTCGGTTAACGACTTTGGGGAAAACACTTTCTCTCTTGGTGGTCTTAGCATCGTTGGGATCTCTGTCGTGTTTTGCTGTTGGCGTTTTGGCTGCCCGAGAGGCCGGTCGAGAGGCCGGTCGAGGGGCTTTGTGTTGCAAGAAAGGATCGAGTGGTAAGGGCTTGTCATGCACTGTACGCGAACCTGGAGTGCCCAAACTCTTCACAGAAAGCCTTTGTGCAACCGATTCGGTTTGAGTCGGGCCGCCGTTGCTCGTCTTGATCATGGATTGCACATCCTTCCGGCTGGCCACCCCCACGCGCCGTTGCATCTCGGTGACTGCGAAGGCCAATTTGCCAAGCGCCTTGGAAAGTGCCGCCCCGCGTCGACGAAGCTTGGATATAGCCTTGATCCAACCCTCAATGTTTTCCGTCATGGTCTGGTTGAAAGGGTTGAGATGACCCGATTCAAAACAGCCTTCATTTGCCTGTTGGCGCATGTAATACCACAAGGCTGCCATTGCCTCCTTGCCCTTCTGAAGATCTTTTAGCGAATCCGTAATAGCCAGTGTAAATCTATCGACGGCATGTTCGATTTGATCATTGTAGGACACGAGGGATAATCGAAAACTCCGGTCCTGCAACATTTCATCGAACACATCGAGATTGGCCAGGGGTAGACTCAGATATTGTATCCTAGTGCGCACATCCAAGTGAATGATCATAAAGTCCTCTGTAGTTCTTTGCAGGAAGCCATCCAGCTCGTCAACATGGCCCTGAAGAATCTTCATCACGTCGAGATCGGATTTTGCGAGCCGCTTGGCCAGGAGATGGACACCAAATACCATCTGGGAGACCAGCTTCCAAAAAGGATGGTATCTATCACTGGGTCAATCCCAACATGCTTCAACGGAGCCGGAATACCATTCCCTTCTTACCTTTCTTCGGCTCTCTGCCGCCATTTCCGTCCACACAGTCGCTCATATTCGTCGTTTTCCAGCAGATCACGCCGACGTGTCTGCGCATCGATTTCGACGGCCGACAACTCTGCGGGGCTCTTGTTTGCTTCCAAAATCGACTCCTCGAATGGACCCTGGAGCTGGGTGATTGGATGGCTTGGGTATGACGCTGGTTGTATATCCACGACCGTTGAACAGGCCGGCTGTTTCTCGGACTCGACTCTACCAGCAGCAGGTGTGATGTCCATGTCCAATGCCGCCATGGATCCTTTCGCGCGAAGCCAACGGGGACCCAAGTGATCGCGCGTCAATTGAGCTCCGAGGGGTTCACTATCAACTACCCTCAAGTATACAATCGTCGTATTGGGAAATCACCGGATTGATTCAGTCGCGATGCATGACATGCCAATTAAAGCGTATGCCAGCATCCATCGGGATGCGGTCAGGTATAAAATCGCGATCGGGACCGGCCTTCCGTGGCGACTATGCGGCGAGGGGGTTCGAAAACGGCTGGGAGGATGGCGGAGTTGAGTGAATCGACGCGCAAGGACGTATACCACTGGAAATGGTTGTTAGAGGGGTATAACAGGAAGACGTGAAACCCGAAACTGAAACCGCGGTGGCGGGGATATAAAAAATATAAAAATAAAAATAAAAAAATAAAAAAGGTGAGACACGCGGGGACCACGAGTTCTCTAATACTAAGTTCGAATTGAGAGCAGGAATTCAAGAAATTAGAGACTCAAGAAGAATAATGAAAAAGAAATTAAAGAATCAAGGTAATGGGTCCGATAAAACGGGGCCGAAATGAGCGGTCGGCGCGGATGTCTGGAAAGAATTTCGTGTTCCAAGTCAAGGTGGAACCTTTCACCAGGGGCACTCTAACACCGGCCTCTCTAGGGATGCCTTGCCTTTCGACAAATCCACCATGCTCGACAAAGAAACAAAACGACGATCGTGGCCCTGCAAAGAGGGGAACGGAGCCACGAGTTCCGCGGCTGAAGCCCCGTTCGGGCTGCGCCTTTGGACGATCACCATTTGTTTCCCCACAGACCGCGCTGGCGTGTTCTAGCCCAGCTTCTTCTCACTGAACCTCCCTCTGCTCTTCATCGGCAAAAATGGGATCCCAAAAATTCGTCGGCAAGGACAAGTCCAGGAACTCTCCAAATAATGTGTCGATATCTGCGAATCCATTCATCGAGGTATCTAGCGCGCCCATCGCTGCTAGGGGGCTCTCCATCGGCAGATCGGGGCCGGATCCCATAGGTGCCATAACCGATTCCTTCTCGGTTCCTCCATGAATTGGACCCTCATTCGCATTCGCATTCGCATTCGAGAATTCAGCGGCTATCGAACCGGCCAGAGCCGTGCTGGTAGGAGGTTGCGAGGCCGAGAGGTCTGACGCAGGATGCCGCTGATGCTCATAGTCAATCTGGTGCAATGCTTTCCTTCCCAGGCGAGCCATTGCCTCGGCAGAATACCATTGTGGACTGAGGTCCTCCAGCAGTGAACAGCATGCTTCCAGGCTGGCCTTGGCTCGGTCTAAATGAGTGACTAGCTTGCTGGACCGGAGCTGTCGGTAGGAGACGCCCATAGATAATGTGACTGCGTAGGGTACAATCGGAAGAGGTGGTAGATTGCTTCTACATTCCGATGCGACGATGGAATGAATGCGAATGGCTGCAAGACCTTGTCGGATAGACGAGACTTTACTGCTGTCAAGGCCCTCGGTCAGTTTATACCGACAGGACAAAATTGCCACGCAGTGATAATATAGCTCCAGAATACCTATCATGACAGTTAGCTCCCACTGAATCACGGCTTGACGGAATCTCGAGGATAGATATACCTAGAGTCGCATAGTCTAGATCTCCTTGGGCGTTTTCTCCCACGATATCTTCAAAGGCAGGAAACCCCTCTTCCCACCCGCTCGTGGTACCCGTAGAGGGCCGGTAAAAGGAAATGACAGTTGCAAGAAGGTCGGAGATGGCCAACCATACCTCAAATGCGCCGCAGTTCTGGGTTTGGGTATTTGGTTTTGCAACTCCAATATCCCGGTCGGCCAGGAGCACCGGACGCCCGCCTATGCTTGCATGCATCTTGTCCAACGTCCACAAGCACCAAAAAAACTCGGCAAGGGGCTCTGCAGATGTTCGGTCCGGCCGGTCAAGGTGTAAGCCTACCGTTTGAGCCTGATGGATTGCCTGGCAGAGGTGAAGTGAAGCCGCCTCGGCTCCTTCATATCCTTCACAGTGTAGAGACATCAATGCCAGTATACGAATGCGAGTCAAGCGATCTGTCTCCAAGTCTGCATCCATGGCAGCGACAAGTCCCTTGTAAACCTCACTACAGAATTGACGCGGGGTCTGCAGTAGCCCACCCTCCGTTAGGTGTAGGTGAGAACTAGCAGCAGCGTCTTTGGCAGCAACAAGGCAGATGGCTCTCTCGAGAAAGACCGAGGTTAAGCCTTCCGCCTGATTTTGTAGGAAGGCATCCCTTTCGAGGAGTGGAATGATGTGATTTACCTTTGAGAAATAGATAACCGTTAATGGCTCGCGCGTTACGAGTGGAAGGGGGCCACACGCTTGCAATGCAGATGTATAACGTTGATGCAGAACCGATGCTATCGAGGTACCGCCAAGGGCTGACTGGGGCAGTCCACCAGGTAGAGGCTCCGAGCCAGCGGTCTGACGCTTATTTCTCGCGCTACCGGCATTCTCTGGGGTTGGCGAGTTGATCCAGAGCCCAATGCGGCCTCGAAGAGGATTGCCAATAGGCTCATCTAGTCTTTCTCGAATAACAGCTTCCGGGTTTAGATCACCAACAAATCTTTCTGTGAGGGGAAATGATGGCAAGGCCGCATCCGCAGATGCAGTTCTCATCCGGACCGGGGCATAGGAATGAGAAGGCCGGTGACCTGTATCATCGACAGTGAACGTGCTTGAGACACCACCTCTAGATCTGTGGGAAAATTGATCATTCACAATGTCCGGGTTGGCGGTCAGATGCCGACATCGTTTCTATAATATCCTCAGCCGTGACCACGGGATCTGTATCGCGTTCGCATACCTTTCTCCGCTGGCAGGCAGGACAGGCTCGCAGAGCTCGAGTCCTACTCCGCGACTGAGGACTATCGGCAAGCCAAGTGAGCTCCATTGAATCAAAGATGCGTACTTGAGTCACATCGTCCCTTCAAATGTTAGGCCTGGAGGCGTGAAGAAGCTTGCGATGGTTTATCGATAAGTGGCGGATGGGACCACCTACCGCCCCGAAACAGCGTTCCGTCTCTTCTCCTCTCCTCAATCGATGACTGGACATTCCCCGGACCTTCAATGCACTGGAGGTCTGATGGATTTTGATTGCAAGTAATGGCGCGTCTCGTCATCTATCTGCCTTAATCGCCTGCATCTACTTTTCTACTCGCCCAAGGATATTGGACCTGTCGATACTTCAATCTAAGCTAATACCTAGTAACACCGAAAGGGAGAAAAACATTGAGCCTCGTATTAAATCCTAGGTTCCGATACACTGCGAGCGCCTTGTGCCTGTTAAAGCTGACAAAAGGACAAGATCGGGCAAATTAAAATGCAGCAAATCGTTGTACATTATGCAAAATTAATGCCTTGTTAAGCCTCCACCTCCGCGAGAGCTTCGAGAACGTCTGCGTCATCAAATTCGTCCTCTCCAGGACAGGATTTGGTATCTTCTTTATCCAGACATGGGCCCGGAGTAGCTATTGGTGACGACGCAACATTGGCCAATGTAGACGAATTTTCCTTATTTGAGGGCAGCGTGGGTGTGGACTTCATGGTCGGTACGAGACTCCAGTCAATGATTCCGTCGTCTCCATACCGCGACGCCAGCCAATCGTTGCATTTCTTGAAATGTCCGTTGTCAAACTGGAATTCATTGTTAGCAGTCTGTGGCATTTAATACAGGTTCTGTCCCAAAACAGCAACGGGTGTCCACTTACAAATCCTCGATGAGCACTCAGTGGACTAGGATGCACTGATTGCAGTACACAATGCTTCTGTCGGTTGACTTTTGCCACTCGCGTTCCAGCGGGGCTGCCCCAGGCTAGAAAGACCACTCCGTTTGTGCGCACTCGAGCAACCAGATCAATTGCCTTCTGGGTAAATTTCTCCCATCCCTTGTTGGAGTGGCTATTTGCCTGATGGGCACGGACTGTGAGACAGGTATTGAGCATCAGAACACCCCGGTCAGCCCAAGGAGTTAAAAGTCCAGCATTATTCGGCGGGATTTGAAATTCCGGGTAATTCTTCTTGATTCCCTTATAGATATTCACCAGCGATGGCGGAGCTCGAGTTGGAGGTCGCACAGAGAACGCTAAGCCGTGAGCTTGATTGTCATTGTGGTACGGATCCTGACCAACAATTACAACTTTGACACTGTGCAAGGGCGTGTGTCGGGACCTGAATATGTTAGCGCAAAGAAAAAGGGATGGCGGGCTCGGACTCGGCGTACCAAGAATAGACATCAGCTTCTGGAGGAAAGACCTTGGCCTTGGAATCTTTCTCCTTCTTGAGAAAGCGCTTCAGATTCAAGAATTCCGTGGTAACAACCTCATCTTTGAGATGAGCAAGCCAACTTTCGTCCAAAGTATCTATTTCCAACTGCAGCAGCTCCTTCTGCTCCGCTGTAAGAGACGCAATCCACTTGTCCTTGTTGAAAGATGCCGATCGGGGCGGAAACGGAGCTGATGTCTGTGTGGCATCGGGGGTCTTCGACTTGGGGGGTCCAAAAAAGGACGTGATACTGGCGCTTTTGGTCTTTTTGCTGTCTGACGATGAGGCTGAGAAGTGGTCCGCGTTTCGTTTCAATGCCGGGCTAACCATGGCGAAGGAGGGGTTCTTTGTTACCGAGAAGAAATCAATGGCATGCAGCACAGATTTTGAGGAAATGGAATGAAGCAAGAAGGGAAATCGAGGGATCTCAGAAAATGGCGTCGATAGATGTCGCGCCGACGGACGCGTTCCGCGCCAACGCGACGTAGATTAGATAATGCAAACCCGACTCGACAAGGAAGAATGGATCCATCACATTCAGAGTCCTTTTTTATGAGCGCAATTCTCCCGGCTGTTCACAAGGGCTTACGGAATAGATACACTTGTCACTCAAAGGTCCATTTCAAATTGGTGATACAAAAGACTAGGCCAAAACATCCAGGCGACTAAAGTTTACAGCTCGTCGTGAGCCTCATCGGAAGGAGCGGGAGTCTCAGCAGCGTTGGACTCCGAAGCAGTGACATCGGCACCCTCCTCGGGCTTTTTGGCGCCGTCAGCCAGGCCGTCAATCTCGTACTTGCCATTCTCCTTAATAAATTGGACAAGGTCCTCAACGGTGCGCGAGCCGGCGTACTCAACGGGCTCGTCCTTTTTACCGGCGGGGAAGAGCTTGATGGTGGGGAAACCAGTGATGGAGTCGGGCACATCGTTAGCGGTGGCATCAATCTTAGCAACCACGACCTTGTCGGCGACGTCGCTGTACAGAGCGGCGAGTTCATCGTACTTGGGGGCAAGACTAGATAGAGAAAACCATAAGCACACATCGAATGACGGGCGGAATGAAACTTACGCCTTGCAATGTCCACACCAGGGGGCATAGAACTCGACGAGGACATCCTTCTCGTTGTCAATGACGACCTCCTGATAGTTGCGGCCCACAACCACGGTGGCGGAGCCTTCCTGGGGCTCGGGGATAGGCTCGGATTTGATGCTAGGCTCAACCTTGCCGTCCAAAACGTTCTTAATGAACTTGCCGACCTCCTTGGCGTCAAGCTTCTGGGACTGGTCATAGGGGAACTTGGAGTTCTTGGTGGTCTCCTGGATGGCGAAGGCAGGGAACTTCTCGGGCTCTAGGTTCAGGTTGCTGGCATGGGCGCCGAAGAGCTTGGCGTCAAGGGTGACAACGTTGATGGCTCCACGGTGCTTCTCGGCGATGGGGCGGAATTCCTCAGCGAACTTCTCACGCTCCTCAGCGGTTTCAGCGAAGATGTACGCCAACGGGATACCAGCCTGTCGAGAATAGTATGTATATTAGCTTTCCGTGCAAACAATGCGTCAAAGGACTTTCTATAACTTACTGCCATATACTTAGAGTAGGTCTCGGGGCCCAGCTCGCCAACCAGAGGAGTGCTAGCGGTCTTCACCCACTTGAGGATGGCCTCCTCCTCAAGCTTGCCGTCGTAGACAGCCTTCTTCTCATCGAAATCCTTGTAGAGGACAACGGAAGGCTGCTTCACACCCTCATTCTTTGCGAGAGCAACGTCATTGGAGGCACCGAAAAGGTAAGTGTCTCTTTGGGCCTCGGCGAGCGCGGTGAAGCTCTTGTTGGCGGTCTTGTCATCGGAGGCCACGTAGCCGACGATGACAATCTTATCCATGGTCTTGAAATCCTCCAGGTTCTCCTCGGTCACGCTGGAAACGGCGGGCATCGACTGCTTGGTCATGTATGAGACGATCCTATAGTTTAAAGAAACACACGCCCGTCAGCAGATAATCGCGAACGCGTTACAAAGGACCAGAGAAGCTTACGATTCAGTTTGGCGAGCGCCGCCATAGGGCTTGTGCGATTCGGCGCCACGGAAGACCTTCAAAGTCGGGTATCCATCAACCTCGTAGCTCCGGCAGAGGTCCTCCTCGACGGTGCAGTCCACCTTAACCAGGGGAATGTTCTTGCTCTTTAGCTCTGTCGCGGCCTCCTCGTACTTGGGGGCTAAGCCCTTACAGTGACCACACCACGGGGCGTAGAACTCGGCGAGAACCAGCGGGTGCTCCTTGACGAAATCGTCAAAGGTATCCTTGGTCAAGGTAATAACATTGGGGTCGGCAGCATCAGCAGGCTCGGCAGCGGAGACAGCCGCGACAGCCCCGAGAAGGCTCAGAACCAGAGGTGTGAATGACCGCATAGTGGTGGGTATAATAAAGAGTATGAGGGAGGTATGAAAAGTGGAGGGGGACAAATAATTAAAAGGCCCCACGAGAGTTAAGGACAGTTTGTTCTTTGGGGGCCAAGTGGAGCGGGAGCTGCAATGCAGGGAAACGCAAGGGACGTTCCCTAGGCCCGCCCTGTGTCCAGGTACCCGCCCTTCCAGCCCTTTTGATATGAACACGAAGGTACCAGCTACAAGCTACTGCACGAGTCGCGCTACAGGAAGATTTGCTTCAGCGTCCGTACCCGTTACCCCATGATTCCAGATTTACGGATACCATGGCCTGGAAAATGCTTCTTCGGATGGGCCGTACTTTGTATGTGTGCCACAAGCCTACATGTACTTCTACAATCTCCTCTACGATAGCTTTGACTATTATTTGTCCACAAAGGCGTACTCTATTTTTTTTACCCTTTTACCCTTAACTATTTTGTTTTAGCAACATCGCTACAACGCTGCGGAAGCCACGCTCGACTGATCCTCCGGTCGAGTGGAAATGGCCCCATATCCAGGCGCTTCGGAAACATGATCTAGCTCGGCCCCCAGTGCCAGAGCATCCCGTTTTCCACGGTCCACATCGACCAGTAGCATGAGAGGCAACGGGAGGAATATCAAAATGGCAAGAAACATGAATGCGGGTCGGATCTCACCGTATCGATCCGTAATAGCGCCGACGACCGCGGGGCCGAACACGCTCGATCCCTTATCGGTAATCGCGTAGAGAGCATAGAAGGCCGCTTCGTATCCCGGTGGAATCAGCTCCGCAAAGAAGCTTCGGCAATACGACGATAGTCCACCCATAACAAGCCCATAGACCGCTCCCAGCGGGTACATCTCCCACGGCTGTTGGAGCCCAATACCCATGCGCTGCACAGATGGGAGATACCCAAGAATACCGTACAGGGGAATTAGCTCGAATAAAATGATACATGCAATGATAGTCTGCGAGGCTCGAAGATGAAGCAGGCGCGATACATAGCTCCAGGAAAAGGCTCCAAATACACCCGCAATCATGACAACCACGTTGATCAGTCCGAGAGCTGCGGGCTTCATGTTCAGTTCGGTTTTAGCAAACAAGACGGCGGTGCCGCTGACGGTGGCAATACCGTCGCTGAGGAGAAACCAGGCGGCTAAAAAGAGTAAGATATCCTTGAGGCGACGTGCGCGCATCGCAGTCTTTCCAAGTGACATCCAGGCATACATCATGTATGCCATCCAGGAGTGAAGCGGTTTCCCGTCCGGTCCCAGAAGAGGAGGCCCAGGCCGGGCCCGCAGCCAAATGGTTGCTGGTATGGTAAAGATGAACCACCACAATCCGATCAGAAATAGAACAAGCCGCAAAGAAAACGTGGTTTGCTTGATAGTCATCACTACGAGAATAGCGATGAGTTGAAGGGTCACTGCTCCGATATAGCCGATTCCGATTCCGAAGGAGGATATTTTTGTGGAGAGGCTGAGCTCCAGTGAGGTCATAGCTGTGGTATCTGCCTCGCGATTCTCCCTGTTGGAATCAAACAAAGGCGTAGAGTCATCGGGACTCACATCGATATTGTGTGCCACGGGAGGAGGAAAGATCCCATTGGGCATATCGGCAGCCTCTCGCAGCCGTTTTCCCGCGAGAGTCGAAGGATGATGGCGCACAAGAACCGGCAAAAATGAGTTTAGAAGGACAAAAGACGCACCGAAGCAGGTATTCGCAACGATGGCAAGAAACCCTCCGAGGAGATAAACTTGGGGCACAACCGCAAGGAACAACATGGTCGCCACCGAGCCGACAAAAGCAAATAGTATTAGGAGCTTCTTGCGATAGTTCCCATGATCGGCGGCACCGGACATGGATATAATCAGAATCGCTTGGACCAAGACGCTCAGAGAAAAGGTATACAAAGCAAAGCTTGCCGTATTAATCTCCCAACCGAGGAAGTAGATGATACACTGGCCTACGCCAGACCCCTGGACACCATATTCGGCGGAATGGGATATCTGCTTGGACGGTTTCCATGTTGGGCTACACGGAGTGGTTTTATCCGACAGGAGAACGCCGCGATCCCGTGCCATTTGCTCCAGGGTAATCGGGAGAAAAGAGCCTAATGGAAGTCAGTGTGAACTTCGGAATTTGAGGTGTGTACATACCCATGGCACATACGGTGAAGACCTCAGCCGCCCAGCCGTAGCAGTACCAGCCGGCTAGCTCTCCTTTGCTCGTCGGGCGAGGATCATCCCCAGGAAACTGAGAGAATTGGCGATCGGCCTCATGTTGAGACATGGCCACACTTCATGAGCTCGACGTAGCCAGGTACGTCGATCTAGGATATGACTCGATAGCTAGTTAGTTCGGTAGTTCGGTAGCTCGCGAGTCGTGGTGAGGTCATCTACGGGGTAAAACATTCCTAGTAATTAGAATGTTACGGTACGAAATGCAGTAGGATCAACGCAAGGTAATTAATACGGTTCTCTGACGATACACCCGATAATGGAACCCCAAGGCACCAAGGCACCAAGGCACCAAGGAAACAAGGACGCAGGCGGTGCGTGCGCATCGCGCTTTCACAATTCCATCTTGGGCCTCGCCCTTTACCGTTCCTGGCTAACTCTCCTCTCCGTTCGATCTCCGATCCTCTCTGTATCCTGAACTGGCTTACTGTGGTCCTTGCGACACTTATCTGAGCCTTTCCACCCACATCCACCCACATCCACCTCCTATCGCCTCCTGTCGTCCCGCTAAAGCCTGGCGCAACGACATCCGGCCCGCCCTCCCCGAAGCTTCTCACTCGCCTAAGTTTTCATTGATTGCTCCTGCACTTGATCGCCTTATCGACACTCCAATTCAGGCTCCCGTACATTCTCTGGATCCCTTGATTATGATCGCGGCCATTGTTTTTCACGGCCAGTGATACGCATGGCACTGGGCTGAGAACTTCTCTCTCTCGCCTGGGCTTTACTTCCAGCTTCCATTCATATCATCCGCGCCAGCTGAGTCGAGCTCAGCACAGCGACTGAACTGGGCTGTGTTTTCTGTGTCGTGCAGAGGGCCCAGGAGGGTAAGGCTTAATTACTACTGACACGCGCCGGAGAGCCGGGTAGATTAGACATGCCCGGCGTCGTCATGGACAAGGCCAACGTTGAGGGACCTGTGCGACGGTCGGATCTCAATGAGGCTACAAATGGCGCACCTGGGTCATTTGGGAACAATGACAAATCCGGTCAACTCTCTGCTTCCATGAACGGGCCGGTCCATGTGAATGGGGCAGGAAGAGGAGCAGATAACTTGACCCAGCATTCCAAGGCAGCAACTCAAACGACAGGAGATATGGCACTAGCACCCTTCGAACTGCCACACATTACGCAAGGATTCTTTCCCTTTGGAACACTCATCAATCGAGCTGTGCAACAGTGCTGGAACGATCTTTCCGATTTGATCACCGAATTAGCTGCTATTCAAGTTTCTTCTGAAGGCTCCAATGCCCAAATGACGAATGGGAAGTCGGCGGGTAATCAGTCTTCGGAAAATGTTCACAAGAAACTGCGGATTCTGGATTTTGCACATACCAAAAGAGCCGAGTTTATCAAGCTTCTGGTTCTTTCACAATGGAGCCGACAAGCTGCAGAGGTTAGCAGGCTCATTGATATCCAAGGTTTCATCCGCACACGACACCAAGCGTACGAAAACGCAGTTCAATATGTTGGAGAGGTGAAGCGTGACCTCGTTCGGGCCCAGGTAGCCAACCCGGATCTGAAAACAGCTTTAGAGGTTCTTTCAAGGGGCCGAGTGGCATCTCTACCAGATGTAAGTCTTGGGGTTCTTCTATACTTTTGTTCTTGGTCTTCTCATGAGTCTGTTTATCGGCATGTATCTGACAATTTTCAATCTAGTTTGGCTACAAGCCCCCCAAACCATTAACTGCACGCTCAACGCTGAAAAAATTGCGTAAGATCAACCGCATCGTCAGCGTTCGGCTGGCATTGCATGACCAAGCACCCCGTCCACTGCGGAATTATCGTGTCCATGATGGCCGAGTGACGTTCACGGTGTCTGGGGAATTCGAGCTTGATCTGTCGGTGGCAGAAGAGGCAATAAGTTCACAATTCTTCTTCGTGGACATTCGCTTCCTTTTTTCACCGTCGTCCCCCATCCCGAAAGGTCGCATTTTCAACGAGCTCGATGCCAAGGTTAACGATCTTCTTCGCACCGAAGGCCTGATGGGATGCTTTAACTTTCTGCATGGGCTAGTCCTGACCAACAAGGTAAACACGCTCTTCAGACAAGCCAGGGACCTTGCACGGGGCTTATGGTCCGAAGCTCTGCGCATCGAGATGCTACATCGAACCTTGGTTGTTCAATATTGGCCACTGCGGGCAGGACCGAAAAGCTGGGTGGAGATTGGTGTTCAAAGAGGCCCACGCCGGAGCTATTCCCAGGATTTGGGCGACCAAGTTTCACGTCTTGGCCTTCGCTGGATGCGAGACGGTCAACAAGCGAGTAGCGACGCTGTTCATTTTGATTTGGACAAGCTGTCCATGGAACGTATTTTGCGAAGTGTTATCGCATTGCACGCATCGCATCTCCTCGCGACTGCGTATGCCACATTGAAGAAGTATAACCTTTTCTCCAGCCGTACGCTGTCTTTGTGTGCGCAACTATCTCCGACAGAACCTGGGGATTGCTATCTCGACATTCAATTAACAACCTCCCGGCATCTTCGGGTTTCCGTCGAACCCCTGTCAGGGACGATTACGTTATCCGGTACATCAAGCGCATTGGAGCGCCATGACGGCGAGCGAGGCCCCAATAAATCGGCAATTGAGGAGATGCTTGCTCGCGTCACGCGTCTCAGGTGCCTTACTGCGGTGGACGAAATTGAGTCTGGCACAAAGGCACTAGGCCTTGAGAGTGTCAACCAGAGAGGCTTGGGGCTCGATGTCCGGCGGCTGTTCCCTTCTAATGTATTGCGCTCCGCGTTCTTCACTCATCCACTCTGGGATCGTCGCTGGGTCGCTGCTGCGACGAGCAGCATGGATGGCGATAGCTGGTGGTTGCTTCAGCTACACACGGTGGATGCGACTCGTAGTGGGACACCCTTCACTGTTCATGATATCAACACCGGTTTCCCGCTAGCTCATGCAATCAGCAAAACTTTCATGGCCCAGCAAGGACGATTTGACTACACCGCCTGCGCAGAGCTCGCGTATGGCTTGACGGGGATGCTGGCAATTTATGCCAATGCACGGTGCTTAGCAGAATTGCCTAATGCTCACTTCTATCCCCCACTGGAGCAATTGCAGTTAGGGTCTGAGCTTCAAGTGCCGGATCTCTTTTTGCAGTACAAGGCGTCTACGATCCCTTCCGCTTTTCGAATATCGTTGCCGTCGGGACTTTCGAGAGGATCTTATCTGCAGGATACTGTCCGTCTCTCATTCCATGGAATCGACCGTGGAAGTCAGTCAGTAGTCCTAATGGCTTATGGAACTTTGCGATTCCGTATCAAATGCCTTCTCCCACTTCTCTCCCAGATGGATCCGTCATTACTTCTGCAAGACAAGGGTAGTGGGTTTGCGCTTCGGTTGCTTGTACCGGCTGGCCACTCCGTTATTATTGGCCTGTTTGAGCGCCTGCAGCGACTCGAATGTGTTTTATCTATCCTTCAATCTCTTATACAGAAAGATATGGAGCCTCGGTCGTTGTCACTTACTGAGGTTACGTTCTCCTATGGACCTAACAAGAAGTTCTCCTGTCGATTCGGCATCAATGTCTCGGGACCTTCGTTATCAACCTACATCGATGTTCCTCAAGCCCTGTTGAATGTCGACCCACTCTTCCAGCTGCGGTTGCGGGTCAGTTTCGACAACCCTAGCCCTCACCGTCGCATTTCGGAGTCACTTACGGTGGCTTTGAACCATCGCTTTGCCGAATCCGGTGTCGACTCTATTCTCGGCTTCATGTCAGATACATTCCCGCTTCTGCACTGCTTCGATCAAATTACCCTCAAGCCGGCGCAGACAAAATCTTCTCTGGTGCATGTCACAGTGAGGACACCACTTTCCTTCCAAATCCACTATCCTCGCTTGAAAACTCGTTTTCGACTGTCTGCTCGCCCGCGACACGGCCGCTCAGTATGGGTTTTGGAGGATGCCAATGCTACTGCTAGTCTACTTGATCGCAGTCAAATAGTCGCAGCAGTACGAGAGAAAGTTTACAACTCTAAAGGCGATGGCTGGCAAGGCCTTGGAGACGGTGCTATGTCTAGCATGGATAAAGTTGGAGGTCTCCTTTCCAGGCTCCACGAGTGCATGTGTGCTTGTCATCTAGTTCCCATCAAGCAGGACGACGAAGGGAAACAGGAACAGTCTGATACAGGTCCGCCGCGTCCTCAGGGAGTTCCGGTGCCCCTCAAACCGGCCAAGGCCTCGCCGCAGAAAGGTGGGATGGGCAAGGCTGACATTATCACAATTGATTAGCACTGTGGTTATCGTGATGCCTGAGATCTCTCTTTCGAGATCTCGAAAGAGCTCTTCTGCCGTCTCCAGGTTTTCTTGGTTCTTCAAAGGGGAGACTACGGTCTTCTCTTCACGACTGTATTCCTAAACTTTCAATGCGACGCATATCTCATGCATTCTTGCTCAAATATTGTATTAAAACAAACTCTTCCTTTCTATACATTACTGGCGTAGCATCATTGCTTATTTTTGTACGCTCTGTCTATCAAATGGAGGACGGCTGCATGAGCACAGAGACCAACGCCAAAAACAGTATGTCAGGTTATTTAATTCAATATCTTTCTTCCTTGACCTTTCCTCGGTTCCGCAACAAATCATATTCAACCCATCTCACAGTCGGTGTCCCGCCTTCGGGCAGCAGTCTTCCAGGGTTCATAACGTGACAGCCCTCATAGGTCATGCAAAAGGGCGCAGCCTCGGAGTCTGCTAGGAGGAGGGCCGTGGGCAATGGATAGAGTTGCACGGAGGAAGCGTGATCCCATAGGACAGGCCGTAGCTGAACCGGAAACGGAGAAACTGTTCCCTGATCCAGTATGGTCTTCACCAGTTTGCGAGCCATCGAAGCTGCAGCCGGCACGCTATCAGCCTTGGTACCATTGCCCTGATCCAGCTCGGGCGCAATAGAGACCGCATCGTTCGTCGGACCATCCAATGTCTCGTGCATGGTGATATCGGCCTCGTCATTGTCAGGCTTAGTATTGATCGCAGTTCTTCGAAGTCGGCTCGAGATATCATCACGGAAAACGGCAATGTCATGCACAGGTCCAAACCACGAAAGACGTGCTGGATTGGATGTCCACAGAGCTTCACCAACTGGTTCCGTTGTCTGGGATCTGTCGAGTTCCGAGTTTGCGGTTGCAAAGGCACGTCTAATTCGAGAGGTGAATAGCTCAGGGATGGGCTGTCGCGGGATTGCCGAAGCAGCCCCCGCCGAGAATGCAGATGCCCAAGGGTCATTGTCGCCTGGAACGAAGACGAAGGTCGAGTGTTGCAGTAGCGCAGGGAAGTCGGCCAGGACCACAGCGAGGGAATCAAAGTATTCCTTGTACTCGATGCTCCCAGCCCGTCCGCCTCCGTTGATAATTGCTTTCTGTGAAAAGTTGCCTATCAAGACAAAGGTCTGAGGACGTTCGGGGAGCGCCAGGTCATTGTAGCTGCTGAAAACCTTTCGGAGAGCGTCGAGCGTTCTCATGTTATCGAGATTTACCTCACTCATCACTGCGATCTTTATCCGGACCGTGTTTTCCAGAGCCTCTTGTTCGCCTCGCAGACATTTTTCTTGAATTCTCCTCATGCGTGCTCCCTGGGCACGTTCGCTGCCAATTCCCAAAAAATCGACCCATCCGAAACCACCGCTAGAGCTGAGCTCGCTGTTGCCCTGGCGGTTGCTCGTTCCCAGGGAGATATCTCTGCGCTCACACGGAGGGCCACATATCGATACCCCGACAAAATGGCCTCCAATGGCCCCACCAACCCCGGAGTTTCCTCCCAGGACCGATCCCTTGACCATCTCTTCTTCCTCATAGATCCCATCAACGAGCACGATCATACCTGGGGAGAACCACGCACCATCTTCGGGGATCATGCGAGCATGACGCAGGTCCAATGCCACACTCCCAGTCAAATCCACGAGAGACAAATCTCCAGTAGGGCAAATGGACAGTAGTCCAAGCAGGAGATGTGATGTTCCACTTCGGCCCAGTAAGTTCGCAATCGGGGTCAACTTGTAGGACTGCTGAGTCGCGAGGTTCGACGATGAACGCTGCAGTGGAGGGACGCCTGCAAACCCTAAAGAGCTTTGAAAAGACTCATTGCGAAGTAATCGCTGGTACACCAAGTTGTAGCGATCCCTGAAAAGTGCGGTTTTGTGAGAAGCAGGAGGAAACAACGTAGGTTTGGACTTGATGGCCTCGAAGTATTTCTTGTCGATGTTATATGTTAAACGAGGTAAATCAAAGGCCTCAATAACCTTAAGCCAATGCCGTGAATGAAGAGGCAGCTGGGATTCGTCTTCTATTGCGTCTCCCTGTTTCGTGAAAACTCCCTGCGAGTGGTCGTTGCTCATTTCAAGTCGCCCAGCATCCACGCCGATGGTCGACTTTGCAGACCCGTCCTGGTTGACTTTTCCGGCGATGACTCTCCCGCCGCTTATGCTGCCCTCGAGTGTCTGTAAGATAGCCTTCAATGAAGCTCCTTTCCCTTCTTCCACGATAACACCGCCCCCAGCTCTCTTCCAGATCTTAGCCACCTCATCTAGAACTTTTTCCGCTAGACCTTCTTCCCTCCAACCTGATCCACAATGCTTGCCCACGAATACCGCTAGTGTCTGCAGTGCTGATGACGAGATAGTGAGGTTGTGTTTGCGAGTGAAGGTCCGGAAGGCCACAGGTCGAAGAGTAGAAGGAGGGAGTAGAATGGGTAAGATGGAGGTCTTCGTGGGAGGAGCATGGCCTTTCGGAATTCGAAAGGGACGCGCTGGTGTCCCAAATGCAGGCGACGAGGAGGGGATTGGGTCTGCAGCACCAATTCTGAAGCGATCTGTATGTCGCGGGGTGGATGCTGGATCCATGGTGGCGTATAGTCTCTGGAGTCTCTGCGGTCTTCTCCTCTTGAAGATGAAAAGAGAACGAAGGGCAAAGCAAATCAAGTAACAGAGAGCTGGTTCAAAGAGGTGGTTCTATGGGGGGAGGTCCAAGGCCAGGTCCAAGTTGATGTCAAAAGTGACAAAGTGAAACGCGTGACACGGAACGCGACCGCGACCGCGCTTATCGTCGTTTATCGGTTAATGGCTCACTTTGCGCCCTTGTTACTTTCCACTTTCTCAACTCTCTCGCCATGGCTGAAGCTACCTCGCATGCCTCGGCTGCACAAGATAGGCGCGCCCAGCTGGACGATCTCATCGCTTCCGCTGCGGCCAAAGATGCGACCAAAGATCACAACTCTGCTTCGGAGCTCTATTCTCAAGCCACCGAATTACAAGCTGAGCTCAACGGTGAGCTGTCGGCAGAGAACGCCGACCTACTCTACGCCTACGGCAAATCCTTGTTCAATGTTGCCGTGAGCAAGAGTGATGTCCTGGGAACCAAGGTGGCCGACCCCCAACCACAGAGCGCGCCTTCAGTAAATGCGACATCTACCGGTTCGATTAATGCTGGTGAAATCCTGGCCAAAGATACCATCTCGGATGCTATGACAAAGAACGTTCCCTCTGGGAAAGAGGAGAGCACACCGTCCGAATCCGCCCCGTCCAAGCCCTTCTTCCAATTTACTGGCGATGAAAACTTCGTCGATTCTGATTCAGACGATGAAGAAAACGGCGAGGCTGACGGTGAGGAGGAGGAAGATGACTTTGCCAATGCCTTTGAGGTTCTGGATTTGGCGCGCATTCTCTATGTCAAGAAGCTTGATGGTGCGGATGAGAGTAGTACCGCGAAAGGCAAATCAACCGAGCTACCGGCAGACGTGAGACATATCAAAGAACGACTTGCCGACACGTATGACCTCCAAGCTGAAATCTCTCTGGAAGCCGAGAGGTTCTCCGACGCAGTGACTGATTTGCGAACCTCTCTTGATCTTCGAAACTCACTGTTCCCATTTGAGGACCCCTCGGTCGCTGAATGCCATTTTAAGCTGTCTCTTGCATTAGAGTTCGCTTCCGTTTCAGAGCAGGGAGATGAGGATGACGAAAAAACAAAGACAGTGGACGAAGAAATGCGAAAGGAGGCTGCGACTCAGATGGAGCGTGCTATTGAGAGCTGCAAGGTCCGAATGTCTCAGGAAGAGAAGAAGCTGGAAGCCGATAAGGATATGGATGAGGACAAGGTGACTGCCGCAAAGCGAAAAATTGCGAACGTCCAGGAGATTATTGCTGACATGGAGCAACGAGTAAGCCTCTCTAGCCTAAACACTTGACCCCTAAGCTAACACATTATGCAGTTACTTGATCTTCGACGATCACCAGTATCAATTGAGCAAAACAACCAGTCAGATGAGGCCATGCTTAAGGGTATCCTCGGTCAGATTGTCGGCCATTCGCCAACCGATCAGAAGGCACGTCTGGATGCAGCCAGCAAAGGGGCAACAGACCTCTCATCCCTGGTCCGACGAAAGCCTACCAAGCACGCTCAGCAAGAAACGGCTACGTCCAAACGCCCTGCTGAGGATGAATCACCGGAGGGAGAGACAAAACGTGCACGGGTGGATGATGCGTGATACCTCGGTCATCTCAATTACCTATTATTCCCGGTGTTACTGGAGCATCTCGTAAATTGGACATGTCCTTTCATATTCTCAAAAATATCAAACTTTTCGAATATTACAGTTTTATTCACTGCTATCGGACGGGTGTTGAGCGATCTTACCAGATTAAAAGGCCTACTGGGAGACTTTTGCTTAGGACCCGGTTCCTCCTCTCCTTGGTTTTGTTAGGAAGATGTGGAAATCATACTGCGCTGAAACCCAGACTGTAAATATATGTTATGGCGCACCAAGTTGGAGTTATCACCGGGTATCATGTTAATAAACAGTAAAGAAAAGAAATGGAAGTCCATGTCTTGATACATATCATGCCAATCCAAATATAGCAGGTCGCCTTTCAATCTTGCGACTTCTGCGGCGGCTAGCCAGGCCTGAACTCCAAATGCCCGCGAAAAGATCCTCGCACTCGTCCTCATCTTGACTATCAAACTCAGGTTCCGCAGAGTTCGAATTGATATCGACGGGCCGGTGTTCATCTTTAGTGGGAAAAATCACGCCCGGGGATTCCCAGCAGGAAGATGTTGTAATTTTCTTGGTCTCTAGGATAAATTTCCCCACCTTGTATCGCTGCGACTCCTCCTCGGCCGCGACATACTTCCAGCCCAGTACACCCCCACAGAAAGCACAACTGACATCGCTGACAGTATGAGCCCCTGTCACCAGCTGGCGTGGTACGGGGTGTTGTAGAACGGTATTAGGAAGGGTTGCTGTAGGAGATGAAGACGCGCAGACCGACACCGCACTGGCAACTGGCTCTGCGGAGACGAGATATGCACGACCGTGACGGCCCGTGAATCCTTTGCTGATAATCTGCGATGTTAAGCAGAGGTGTGAGGCACATTCAGCGCAGCGGAGGTAGGAGACATGACCGTCCAAGTATTTATCTGTGGGGCTTGGGGAGCTCGAGCGGGGAGGACAGACATCCCGTTGGGGAAACGAGGGAAGAAGGAAACGAGGGAAAGGGGAGAAGTGCTTGGCTTTGTTCTTGGCCATATTTTCTCCAGTCTGAGTCTGTAGCTTGAGAAACAAGAGAAACAAGAGAGACCAGAGGGGAAGCTAGGGATAGTTGTAGATCGAAAGTCCCGTGCTGTGGGCGGGGTCTGAGGTCATCTGGGCTTATCTTATCAATCGCGACATATTTGGATTCGGGAGGCTCCAGTGTTCCACTATCCTCCACTTTTGCATTCTTGAACTATGAATAAGAGATGTCAAGCACAAGAGAAACGACGCTCATTAATTATTGCCGTTTGAAATAAGTAGACGGCTGCTAGACATGAAAACAGGGCGCATTGTAGACAGCCCAAGAAGCCTGACCAGAAAAGAAGGAACAACAGAACGAATCCACCAATTCCTCGGACTCTGATTGAAGTCGAGCCTGCAGACAAGGTGAGGCCAAGGACTATACTTCGGCGACCAGGAAGAGCCATTTCACGCTGAGCGAAGGCCCCGAAGCACCGCCCGTTGCCCACGGTTCCAGGGTGGTAAGGTTAAAGCCACACCATCCAAGGCTCCGAACGAGCTCCATTTCATCTGTGTGCTGTGAACGCTTGACACAGGCCACAATCTGAGAGCAGTCGAAGGCATCAATCCCTGCCAGTTCGAAAAGAGCGATCAACCTGCAAGAAACATGAGTCATTCAACCGTTTGACACGATAGACACGGGGTTGCAAAAAAGAACGGAGAAGTCCATACCCAGATTTAAGGCCGTGTCCCAGAGCACCGTCCTCGAAGAATACGAATAAAGTCCGCTCCCCGTGCACACCCGTCACAAACCCGCGATAGATAGCGTCGCCGGTATAATCCCACACCTCAATCCATTGCTGGACGTGATCGTTTCCAGGCCCGACATGATTTGGCTGGATATTTTGAAACGCACCCATCCCCAGTGACTCCTGTCTCTCGTCAATCCCCTCACCAAGGAATGTCGTGAACAGTTTGTCACAGAAGAGTCTCTCACACTCTTCCGGAATGGTGTGCGTCGCCTCCCCGTTGTACTCGGGCCAGTTGGCCCCGGACCAGCTTCGTTCAGCGCTGGTAGCGGGACGGTCGAGGGGAGGGCTTAGGATGGATGATTTAGACCCCGAGGGGACCTCAGGGATACCACTGTGCTCCTGGAGAATGCGTCTGAGTACTGAGGACTAGAACAGGTCTCAGGTGAGACTTACCGGCACCCAGAGTAGTGCAATAGTGGAAACCGTGAACTTTAGAAGTGGTCGATTCGACGGAGTAGCAGCTGGCCAGGGCCGTGGAGTCATGATCCTGAAATCGGTGCATTTGATTGGAATTACTACTGTGGTTATTCATGTACTTCGCCATGGTGAGTTTAATCTCGGTGGTCCGGTTTCAACGGGGTTGGAGAAAGTCTGAAAGGGTTGAAGTGGTGCGCAGGGGGAGGATGGACATATGATGCGGTGACTGATGCGTTGGGCAGACCGAAATCTGGGGGGATTTTCTAGTGGCGGGTCACCTGACATAGAGGCCCATGGGTCTTAACCGTAAGTAAACAAGAATGGGTGCTGATCTTCTATCCTTGATCATGGATCATCTGGGAATCAAGATCTTATTGGTCTAGGAACTACATATTTGACGGCATTGGAATTGAACAATTAATTTGCCTAGTAGCAATCGCCTAGAAATACAAATCGTGGGTCTAAAAATGCAGTTCTCCTGGGGTATGTAAAGACACAGGAGCGAGATCCATATGCAAGTAGCGCATAGGATAAAAAGAGAATGAATGCAGAACAAAAAGGAGAGAGCCGCTCTATAAAATAAAGAAAGCCCCCTATGCATGCCCGAGGCCCTAACGCCAAATCATAATTCTCGGTAGTCACTCGGCCTCACCCTTCGATTCCGGGCTTGATGGCGTTGTGGGTTGACGGGTTGACGGAAATATGGTGAATCTTCCTCACGAGAATAGGGGCCCCCAAAGGCAGTCCGCTGTTGGTTGGAAAAGTTGTTCATAACTGGGCCCTGGAAACTGGAATTTTGCATCTGTCCAGCCATCTGGGCCATGGGAAACATCGACATGGACGGATCTCCATTGAACATGCTCGTAAACCCGTTGGCCTGGTCGCCATACAGGCCGGCCTGAAGTGGGTTGAAAGGCATATTCATCTGATTCCATCCCGGGCCCATCGGATTGGGGAAGCCATTAGCCATAGCCATCGGGTTCATAAATCCCATGGAGTCGTTACCAAACCCGGATTCTGAAAAGGGAGGCATCATGCCAAATCCCCCGAAAGGCACCTGAGGGTTGAACGACATACCAGCACCGGTCGAAGCCTCCTGGGTAGTGTTTTCAGTAACCGGGGGACCGGATTCATCCTCTCCTTTCTGCTTCTTTGTCGCATTGGCGGAGCTGTCGCCATACACTTCAGGGACTAAGTCATCCTCAGCTGACCGCTTTTTCGATTGAGCGGACGTTTCTGCAACTACCACCTCTTGATGGGACGGAGATCGATCCTTAGAATCGGCTTCCTTGGACGCATGGTGGTCGAAGTTTCCGTTAGCCGATCCGCCATCCTGGCCTGTGGGGTGCTTTTCTCTCTCTTTTTTCGCCTCTGCCTTATCTGCTTCGTATGTCTTGATTTTGGAAACTGCCTCCTCATCGGGAGTAAGGTTATCGAGCAGAACGCCCTCTGTAGAACAGCCAGGGCAGACAAAATCACTTTCAATCAAAGCATTTGAAATACAATCATTGCAATATGTCCTCTGGCAACATGGTGTCTTTGTTGGCTCTAAGAACATTCTCTTGTCAATTGGGCATTCCAGACCCCGAGCCTGCAGTGCTTTGCTTTCCTCCGCTGCGGCTGCTTCCGCGGCAGCAGCAGCAGATGCCTTCGCCTTTTCTTGATATAGTTCCCAGGCCGCCTTATCCGGCTTTGCGATGACAAAATCACCGTCCGCATTAACCATTACCCCTGTATTCCTCACGTCATCACTAGAGCCATCGGGGGCTAGAGATTCTGGCTTTTCAACCTTCGTTTGAAGAGACCGAGGGATTCCAGTGGACCTTTTTACCCTATATTTGCCGTCGAACTTTGGGTCATTGTTTGTGGGGCATGCTTGAATCCAGTGGCCTTTCTCTCTGCAGCGGTAACACAGATAACCGGGAGGCGGGGGTGGTCAGGAACATTGACCTGCTTTCCTCTGCCACGACCGAATGGCACGGGAGTCGCACTGTGAACCGTTAGTATGTATCCCCGAGCCAAGATGTAGGGCGTGATGCTTACTTGGCCATCTCCTGCTGTTGTTCTTGCCATTGACTGGCTTGGAGATTGAAGAGTGCATTGATCTTTTCCTCCTCTGTTTGCGCATTGTTGAGTTCGAGGACATTGTTGTTGACACTGCCGGTTCCAGGGATCGCTCGAGTGATCGACGGCTCGGTGCGGGAAGCGTTGCGGGCGTTGACGGGCATTTTACCGGAGACATAGCGGGCAGCGCCGCCTTTTCCGGGGCGAGCTGCAGGTAATCGACGAGCTATGACGGAGGTAGACCGGGGAATGATGGTGGTGTCATCGTCGTATTCTGCAGATGGTCAGAGTGAGTACCGAATAGGGAGCTATGCAACCTACCTTCTTTAGTGTCTTCATTGTAGATGGACAACTCGAAGTCAGATCCATCACCCAATCTACTCTGGCTGATGATCTCTCGCTTGAGTTCGAAGACAGATATACCGGTACCGTCGAAAGTTACCCGAGAAGGCTCTTTCTGGGACTTGAATTTGAAATGAACGGACGATGACATTGTATTGAACTGCAAGTGTGCAACCGGGTGGCCTTCAGTTCAGACCGCAAACTTATGGGATGGGCACCACAATCACAAATGTACAGATGGGAGTAAGGGGGAAAGATATAAGAGAGCCGGGGGAAGGGATGTATGCGAAGACAAAGAGTATTAAGTGTGAAAGACTGCGTGGTTGATGATCACTCGAAGTCTATCGAGGACGTGAGAGATGATAGATTGGGAATGATTCTTTCTCTTGCTGAATGGTGAGTAATATCACTGCATACAGATGGGACGAGCAAGCTGAAGAATACAATTTTCGAAGAAAATGTCGCTTGGCAAGAAAAAGAAAAGGCGTTTCAATAAAGGTCCAATCCTTTGATCTGTTTGATCTGCAGGGCCACCTTCCTCACCTGAAATCAGACCTACGGCCGGGTTCACGTCGCAGATTCCAGTTATCGATCCAAACGGGTTTTATAGTGTCAGGTTCCCTGAACCCGATCAAGTTCGCTAGGTACTGGTCCGCGCCGGTGGAAAAGGGATGGGAACTGGGGTGTCGGGGGGTTGGATGTGTCGGAGAGGGGGAGATGCGAAGAAGAAGTGAAGTGGCCAGTGGCAACGGGAGAAAAGTCAGATGACACCGCGGCTCATACCGCCCAGATTATGTCATCACGCCGGAAAAGGAAACCTCTCACACCATACGACAACTGGCGACTTGCAGCATCTGATCATTCATGTTTTTATGGTTTGATATTTGAAGTCTATTTCACATTGAAAGAAAACGCATAAATTGAATTTCTGGAGCCGTTAGATCTCGGCTTCGAATTGGCGCACTAGGAATCCCTCCTCTTGAAGGTGATCTTTGACCTGGCTTACTGTATATTCTCCACGGTGGAACTAGATCAATGTTAGCTGGGCGCTTCTCTGGAAATTTTTAATGAATGGGCACACGTACCATGCCTGCGCCCAATGCGGCATCTGTAGTGGTCTTGCTGAATACCTCTGCAAAGTGTCTCGGTACACCAGCTCCGCTAGAAGCAATGACGGGGATCTTGATGGAAGCCTTGATATCGTTGATTAATTCCAAGTCAAACCCACTGTTACTACCATCCTTATCAATGCAATTCAAAAGGATTTCTCCAGCACCCATGGCCTCGACGGCCTGCACCAGTTGTCGAACATCCATATCCCGGGTTTCCCGACCACCCTTGACAGTACATTGATACCAGCAGTAGCTTTGCCCTGCGGCATTGGGATACGCGGTCTTAATAGTGTGGTGGCCTGTGTCCTCAGGTCGATCAACGTAGACCCGCTTAGGGTCCACGCTCACCACCACGGCCTGCTTTCCGTACGCATTGGAAATGGTCTCAATTGGAGTGCGACCACTCAGTTTCTTGCCAGCTTGGTAGTACTCCTCGGCGGCAAAAACTGCATCTGATCCGATGCTAACTTTGTCAGCGCCAGACTTGAAATACATGGTTGCGACGTCAAGTGCAGGAACTTGAGTGCCATCGGTGTCGACTGTGTCTCGGATGCCTCCGCCAATGGTCAATGGCACAAAAACGGTTTCCGACGCCCTTCGCAAGATCTCAAGCATAGGTGTATCCGCTAGAGGGCAGTTTCGGAAAGAAGTGATGTTCAGGAAGGTAACTTCATCAGCTCCTTGCTCGTAGTACTTCTTGGCCATGTCGACCGGTTTTCCCAGGTTTCGCACCTGGCCACTCGCATCTACACCACTCTTCTCTCGCACGTCATACTGATCACCTTTGGTCACCACGAGGTCGCCGTTGTCGTTTGTACGGACATCAAGGCAGGCAATGACTCGGCGGGTCAGCCCGTCTCTTTTGTCGGCAATCGAATCCAGCGACACGGATTGGAACTGATCGCCATTCAAAAAGGCGCGAATTGCACGAAGACCCGCCACCCCACTCTTTTCGGGATGGAACTGTGTGCCAAAAATATTTCCTCGGCTGACTGCGCCGATAAATTCCTCGTCTCCATAGGTGGCAGTGGCGACGGACCAGCCATCCTTCTCAAGAACCCCCGGGTTATAAGGGGCCGCGTAGGAGTGAACATAGTAGTACTTGCTGGTTGGAATAAGTCCATAGAAGCTTTGCTTCTTGGATGCAAGTTCTGTGTTCATCGCCGAGTTCCATCCGATGTGCGGCACGCTCTTGTTCTTGTCATCGAAATGCTGGATGCGCATGGGGATCAAACCCAGTCCTGGAACTTTGGCATCCTCCTCTGATCCTTGGAAAAGGGCCTGCAGTCCAACACAAATACCCATGAAAGGCTTGCCTGCCTCGATATGCTGTCGAATTGGGCCCAGGAAGCCGCCTTTTTCGAGTTGGGAGAGACAATGGCCAAAGTGACCGACGCCAGGAAGAATCAGTTTCTATAATCAGTTGAGTCAGTATTCATAATCCAAAAGCGACCTCCAGCGATCTCAATTTCTGAATGGACGTACGTCCGCGTTCTTCACGTCTTCCGGGGTCTTGACCCATTCCACTTCGTATCCAACCTGGTTGATCGCATTGACCAAAGAACGTATGTTCCCCGCAACATAGTCGAGCAGGTGAACGGTGGGCATATTGATGTTTCTGCAGTCAGATCGTCTTCAGCAGAATTGAGAAAGGGTTGTCCAGCCTGGAGGGGAAATTCGGAGTCATCGCGAACCCCTCCAAAATTCACCCCCGCTGAGTCATAGCTGCTGTTTTCTGCCCGCAGAATCCGTTGCGGGGCACAGATCACGGCGTTTACCAGTCTACGCGGTCGGGCTATATTATCGACTTATATCTCGGTTGCATATTTAATGATGGTGGTATTAGATATTTCACCTAGGGCACTCTCGTAGATCCCATCCTTTTTTATCGCGGTCTTTTCATCAACAAAATGCTGAATATTGCATCATAGACCCCTATATATATGAGGGTACTATGCTTTGCTTGTAAACTCATCGTGACCATACCCGTACCAGTCTTTCAATCTATTCCAAGTATCGCCGGAGCTAATCGGGTGATAACTGTCAGCTGGACTAGCAAGAGAAAAGAGACAGAACAGCGAGAAACTAGCCGTGCAGCTTACAAGCTACTCATAGAAGAGACAGTGTTAAGTAGTGGCTGTTCCGACAAGACCCTACAGATATATCAACCCATTTGATGGCTGATAACAAAGGTGGTTAGCATTGTTCTCAAGAGAAAAGGAAGCCCATCGATGGGTGTTTACCGGGCTGAACTGTCGTAGGCGAACACCAGCAGCCTCAAGAATGGCAGCGCTCTAAAAGACAGCGTCAATGGAGAGCCTATGAAAAGGAGCCGGTAAAAACATACGTCCTTATCCATGTTGTAGCCCTGTGAGTAAACAACCTCGGAAATTCCAACCTGGGTGATCTTAACGGTACAGGTCAAGCATGGGCAGCTGGAACCACACCAAGACAGTCAGTGTTTTTGTTGGATTTTTTTGGTCGGGTTCTAGGGCAACCGGACTTACGTATCACAATACAGAATTGCACCCTCGCGAATGCGCTCTCTCCCAGCTTCCAACAATGCATTTTCCTCGGCATGGAGACAAAGGCAGGTGGAAAGACAGACGCCGCCGCCGTCGCCGCGGTTGCAACGCGGGCCTGAAGAACAATCAGTAAATAGTGATCAAGGGAGTCGATAGTGTGTCTCCGTACATCCACCTTCGTTGCAGTTCGTCAGGTTTCGAGGAGTCCCGTTGTAGCCTGTACTGATGACGCGACGTTCTCGAACGAGCACACATCCCACTCTTCGTTTCATACAGTTGCTTCTTTGTGCGGCGAGAGACGCTAATTGCATAAAGTACTGATCCCAATTCGGTCGTAGTCGCTGTTCATCTGCCAAGTTTAATTCCTCGAGAGATTGGTGGAGCTCGTCCAAGGACGAGGAAGAGTTGAACAGGCGCATATGGGCCTTGCCGGTCAGGTACACGCGCCCAATGTCCTTTTCATACAGATGGCGGTCATTCCATAGCACGAATTTCTCTAGATCGGGTGGATCCAGTTGTCTTCGCCAGCATCTACACACTGGGATGAGTTGGGTTATTATGGAAGATACGGGTGACGAACCGGTCGGAGAATCTTTTCCAACGGAGGCTTACAGGGGCATCCACGCTCACGAGAAGGAAGAAGGGGCGCAGGAGGAAGCGGTTGAGCGTCTCGCCGTTCGCAATATCAGTCGTCACCCAACGCTCTTGCCATCGTTTCGTCGCGAAATCTAGGAGGGAATCGGGGGAGTCAAACACGAATTCTGAGAGCGTGTCCGCGCTCACTTCCGAAGCCTGTAGTCTGAGATCATCGTCCGCATCATTGGTGATATGGTGAGGGGGGTTGCTAGATAGTTGGAGAAGTCGAAAGCCCTGCTGAATCAGATAATCGGCAATCGCATGTTTGCCGGCGCAGATCCCTAGAAAAAGGTCAGTGTCCTTCACAGGACATGAGAGGACATGAGAAGGATCTTCTGACCTCCGCATAGACCGATAAGCATTGTGACGCCAAAAAAAGAAGGGAAAAGTTTCACGAGGCCGCGGTCACACGCGTGGGGCAGAGAGATCAGCTTTCCCGCGTTGCGCCCCTCTCCAAATCTCCCCAAACTGATAAATCAATGGTTCGCGCCCGATTACATCACACCCCACTTCTCTTCTTTACACACTCAAGATGCAGTACACACCTTTTGCGTCTGACATCGAACTGCCTTTCTACACGGCTCTGGCCTCGCACAAAATCAATCATGATAAGTTAGATGACTCTGCACGTTCCGTTCTGGGTCTGTACGAGATCCGCTCCTCGGATGCCGCGAATGCTTCATGTCGAATGCAACTACATGGAAATGCTCTGACTAGTAACGAGTAAGGCCGCCAAATATTCTCTACTGTGCCCTGAGCTGACCAAGCTGTACAGAGCACCGGCAAACTATTACCGCGCCGAGGGCATGATCAAGAATGTCAACACCATCGAGGACTACCGCAACATGGACAAGTCGCAGATGATTATCCAGGCCGGCAAAACGGTAAGAAGCAAGTGATCTAGTTGGCTTGGCTGATTCTAATCTGGCCGGATTTTTTCCTATAGATTTGGGATGCTATCAATGACGGCACGATCTACTCCTGTCCCTCCTTGCTGGCATCTTTCGTCATCCTGTCCTTTGCAGATCTGAAGAAATATAAGTTCTACTACTGGTTTGGATTCCCCGCCATTCATTCTGATCCAGCGTGGGTAACTGTAGACTCGGCCGGCATTCCGCTCGACTCCCGACAAAGCGAGAATCCCGACACGCTCCAGGGCAAATATCTATCGTCTCTTGAAAGCACCGCCCTCGTGGACGCTGTGCAAACGTGGAGCTATGGCGTTGATTCTCGTCAACGAGGCTTTTTCCTGGCCCGCAAACAACGAAACCCCCAGGGCGAGTCTGCACATACCAACTGGCAGGTAGCTTCACTATCGGAATACGAAAACGGCTTCTTTACAGGTACCGCCCTCGAGCACCGCTATATTTGCTTTGCAGATCCCTCCAACTACGAGAATACGCCAGGTTGGATGTTGCGAAATTTGCTAGTGGTAGCTAAACAGCGCTGGGGTCTTGACCGGGTTCAGATCCTTCGGTATCGCGAAGTTCAATCGAAGCGTGATCAGGGTCGCAGCGTCGTGATTCGACTGCAATCGAAATCAGATCCTGCATCTGACGCGGTGAAAGCACTTCAATCTACGGGCCCGCTACCAAAAATCACTGGCTGGGAGCGCAACCCGGCAGGCAAGCTGTCGGGAAGAACCGTCAATCTAGCAGAGTATATGGATCCTACCAGGTATCACCCCCGAGAACAAGCAATCTCGATTTTTAGAATCTGACAACCTACCTATAGGCTGGCGGACCAATCCGTCGACCTAAACCTCAAGCTTATGAAATGGCGAATCAGTCCGATGCTGGATCTGGAGAAAATCAAGCATACTAGTTGTCTCTTACTTGGAGCTGGTACTTTAGGGAGCTATGTTGCCCGGAATTTGTTGGTATGTACAATGTTTCTAGCTCCAAGCCATACGCCGCCAACGATCGGCGCTAATTTTCAATATAGGGCTGGGGCGTGAAGAAAATCACATTTGTCGACAAAGGGACCGTTTCTTTTTCCAACCCCGTTCGGCAGCCCCTCTTCAATTTCGCTGACTGTTTGCATGGCGGGGCACCGAAAGCGCATCGTGCAGCTCAAGCGTTGACTGAAATCTACCCTGGCGTGGAGACAGCGGGCCATCAGCTTTCGGTTCCCATGGCAGGCCACCCCACCGTGGACGAGGATGCGACTCGGGCCGATTTTGAAGCCCTGCAAGTTTTGATTCAGGAACACGATGCAATATTTCTCCTGATGGACACTCGGGAATCGCGTTGGTTACCCACTGTCATGGGAAAAGCGGCCGGCAAGATTGTGATGAATGCAGCCTTGGGCTTCGATTCCTATGTCGTCATGCGCCACGGCATTGCAGAGACTGGATCTAATTCTGCAGATCTCGGATGTTACTTCTGTAATGACGTCGTAGCACCGGCTAATGTAAGATTTATTCCGAAACCTTGGGTGCAGAGAGCTAACATCCGCAGTCTGTCAAAGATCAAACCCTTGACCAGCAGTGTACCGTCACCCGTCCCGGGATAGCCGCCATAGCCTCTGCACTTCTAGTAGAATTATTAGTTTCGATTCTGCAGCACCCACAGGCCGCTGGCGCCCCGGCTCCTTTGAAAGGAAGTGATGAGCGCGGAGATCATCCCCTGGGGCTTGTGCCTCATCAGATCCGAGGGTTTCTTGCGACATTCGAGAATATTAAAGTCACCGGCAAGAGCTATACGTGCTGTAGTGCGTGCTCGGAAAAGGTGACCTCGGCGTATAAAGATCAAGGTTGGGAATTTGTGCGAAGAGCCCTTAATGAAAGCGGGTACGTGGAGGAATTGAGCGGACTCAAAGAGGTACGGATCACCCCATATGGTCAGACTTTTAGTTCTAACACCACGTCAGGTTCACGAGAAAGCCGAGGCCGCGTTAGCTGATGTGGAGTGGGACGAGACCTCAGAGAATGAAGAAGCCGAAATGCTGTAGGGTCCACAATGGCCGGTTGCGAGCGGCAATGAGCGCAGGAGAGATTTGGTCTCATGGCCGGCGGTCAAGGCCAACAAAGAACGACTCTTTCGATTCCTATAATTTGCTATAAGTTGGCGAACTCGAGGTCAATCAAGAAAGGGCAAGACCTTACACTGCGAGATGATTCGGGTTTCAGTCGGTGAACTTTCTGGAACAAATTCCTGAGCTGTTGCTCCAAGTCTTTGTCCTCTGCTCCTTGGTAGAATTTACAGACGAAATGGCCCCCGACCTTGAGAACATCCGAACTAAAGCGTAGAGCAGCATTGCAAAGGTCCTATCCACCTGTCAGCAAAAAATTTTGCGCAGAAAGGCCGAAATTGGCCCGAGCCCTTACCATGCTTCCCGCATGATCTCTGAAATTGTTCCCGCTGGTGTTCATCATCCTGCGATAAGGATCACTTAGACTTCGTTTCCAGAAACCAGATGTCTGGTGCCAGGGTTCGCACATATCGCTGAGGACCACATCCACCGTTCTTTCACACTTCTCCCTGTCCGTTTGGGCTGCCTCCGAGATCATCCCGGGCTCAAGCAGACTACCACCAGCATCGTTGAGTACACCCAATTGTCGAGGCCTGCCTCTGTTTGGATTGCGCAAAAAATCCTGGATATAAGCCTGGATCTCGGGTGCCAGAAAATTGCCCTGGATGGTCGAAACTCCTTTCGGTGGCTGGGCTGGGATAATATCGACACCGAGGACTCGCCCGTTCGGCTGAGTCCGGTTCACGGCGACCTGGAGAGGTCAGATCAAGATCACCTGAATTGGAGCTACAAACCTACCTGTGACCACGAGCCCGGCGCATAGCCCTAGTGAAAGTTGACGGATTAGCTAGAGAACATCGATGTCAGGGGATATAGTGCACATACTAAGTCGACGACGGTCTGGCCGCCCTTGAATAGGCGATACTTTTCGTCAATCTACACCCATAAATATGTGTCAGAAAATTTAATCAATTGAGATCAGGATGAGGTACCTGTAACAGCTTAAACGCAGCTCGGCTTTTCAGACCTTGAACGGCAGCTTCCCTTGTAAACTGGTCATTATGCTGACGAGCCTGCCATCGCTTCGAAGAGGACAGACGTATTTGACCGACCACCCCGAGGGCGAATGTCCCCCGGGGTCGAAGAGAGAAGAACAATGCAAACATGAAGTGTGAAGGTGAAGCGTAGAGAGAATGTCGCGGGCTCCACGAACGGAAGGATTTCTGCCGGCAAAAAGAGTCCGTGCTCCATCGATCTAGCTCCGCTACTTTCTCTTCTTCTTTCTCGTTCTCTTTCATTGCTTACTACACGGAGTCAGTGCAGATGATACGTTTAGATTTGGTTACATTCAAAATTACTATAGTCGCTTGCGATCGCGCTTAAGGGGAGAAAATCCTCCAAATCCAAGGGCACGGGGTCCTCGGTCACCAGCTGCGGTACTGGAGATAGCGGTTGTCGCGAGCACAGAATTTCGACCTGCTCCCAGGCCAACCTTGCGTCCCGGCTTTCTGTTGTCCAACATGTCCTCTTCTTCATCCCCCTCGAACAGGTTTCGATCTCGCTGAGCCCCGAGCTTGCGCTTCCTTGGCTTGGCCTGTCCTTGTTCAATAAATGGATCAATGGCGTCGTCAGACATATCGGCATGTTCTATGCCGGATTTTTTAGATCCATGTGTCGGTCTCGGCGCGGCAGGCTTTGCGTCGCGCGCCTTTGTCTTGAGTTTTCCTGCTCTAGCTTTAGGAGGTGGGGCCTGTGTGGGACCAGGTCTGTCATCCAAAGCGGCATCAATGCCACTTGGCTCATCGATAGCCCGGGCTTTGCGGAATGAAGCATTTGATTCGTCCAACGTAACATCCATGGGATCTTCTTCTGCTTCCGAACTACTCGGTGAATCTTTCGTCGGGCCACCGGTCCGGTTCAAAAAGGGCGTAATGGAAAACACTGATTTCTCGCCAGGCAATGCGGATGGCTTTTGGCTCTTTTCCTTCACTCGGACGGCCCCGGGCGTTGCAATTGTCACACCACTATGATAATCCGCACTTGGGCCAGGACGCTGGAGAGGAACGGCCCGTGATCTCGACTCAGTACCATCACCCTCGTTGCTCATGCTATTTATTCGTCTTTGCTGCAACTCCTGCTGAGTTTCTTGTAGCTTGTCCTTGGCTGATCGGAGCTGCTTCTTCAACGTATCAACCTTTCCCTCGAGCACTGACCGCTGGCTTTCCCATCCCACACTTTGCTGTTGGTTTTCGCGTTCGTGCTGTTGCTTTGCGTGCAATTCTTTGGTGAGTTCGCTCTGCAAATCATCGATTCGAGCCGAAAGCCTGTCAATCTCAGTTGCCTGCTGAGTGCTTTTCGCTCGTGTACGTTCGTGGGCATGTTTTTCGTTCTCGAGCTGAATTTCCAACGAATTCAATTGCCGTTCCATCTCATGCTTCTCCGCAACAAGCGCTTGGTGGGAGTTGTTCTGTGATTTGAGCCGTTTGATTTCGGATTCGAAATGGGAAATATCTCGGGACAGGTGGAGCTTTTCGGTAAGGAGAGTATTGTAACCGGTCGAAGTGTTATTCAAGGTCGACAGTTCGCCCTGCTGCTGTTCAGATCGTGATCTCTAGTGATGTAGACTATGTTAGAAAAAGACTCACCTTCAGCTTCTCGACTTCCTTTAATGAGCTTTGCACGTGAAGATCCAAGCGATCAATTTCCTGGTAAGCTTCGTCCAGTTGAAGGCACGCCTCGGACTCCGCCTGAGTGGTTACAAGTAGTTGCTCATGAGCTCGATCGAGCTGTGATCGCAGCGTTTCACTCTCAAATTGGAGTAGTAGCTGTTCCATGCGCCGAACGCGATCCTTTTCAGCATCCAGAAGGCGTGCGGAGTCCGCAAGAGACTTTTCGTACTCCTTCTCAAGGCGGATAGTTTTGATGGACATCTCGCACTAAATCAGTCAGGTTGAAATTCCGTAGCAAGCGGATGATAGCAGACATACGTCCAGTAACGATGCTTCAGTAGCTACCGCCATGGTGACTGGAGGGAAGGCAACTGTCCGAATATTGATTGAAATGCAGAAACCCCAAACAAGTCGCGAAGTTGGGGAAACGCGTCGGGGCGGGGCCGAACTTACGTAAGGGGACACCTTTCATTCCTATCGGTTTGAGGTACGATCCTGACTCTCAAGCTCTCCAACTACAAGCTTCTGGAATGCCAAAATGAAGCCCTGGGCCACCCTCTTCTTTTTCTTTTCGGTCATTTCCGGCGTGCTCGCCGCGAAACCGTCCGACACATTCGGGAAGTTTCAATCCATCTCCCGTTCTGGGCCCGTCGAACTGGACAGTGCCTCGTTCAAGGAGCTGTCCACAGTACCCCGAGATTACTTCGCGGCCGTCCTTCTGACTGCAAAAGATGCTCGCTATGGCTGCATTATGTGTCGAGAATTCGATTCCGAATGGGATCTGATCTCCCGGAGCTGGAACAAAGGCACCAAGCTTGACGGGTTGAAGGTCGTCTTCGGCACTCTGGACTTCGACCACGGCAAGGATGTCTTCCAGAAGGTGTGTCTCAATTCGATATTCCACCGGCCCCCCATGATGGCTGACTCAAATTCTGCAATAGCTCCTGCTTCAGACGGCTCCCGTTCTTCTTGTGTTTCCTCCAACCATGGGTCCCTTCGCCAAGGTGGATGCAGAGCCCGCGAGATTTGACTTCACAGGGTGAGTGGATGGTTTTAATATCGATGCCAGAGCCAATCACTCATTTATTTAAATTGTTCTAGTCCAATTGCCGCCGATCAGATCTATTCGTGGATTGGCCGTCAGCTCCCGGATGGCCCCATGCCTCCATTGATTCGACCGGTCAACTATATGCGCATTGTTTCAGCAATCACCATTCTGATGGGTGCTGTCACCCTCTTCACGGTGCTGTCGCCCTATATTTTGCCAGTTGTTCAAAATCGGAACCTCTGGGCTGCAGTCAGCCTGATTACCATTCTCCTCTTCACTAGTGGTCAGATGTTCAACCACATTCGCAAAGTACCTTATGTTGCAGGTGATGGACACGGTGGTATCAGCTACTTTGCTGGCGGGTTCCAGAACCAATTTGGTATGGAGACGCAGATTATTGCTGCAATCTGTAAGTGAAAGCCCTGACTTGGAAGACCCCGTCGCGCGTCCAGATTCTTACATGCTTCTACGATATAGATGCCGTCCTGTCATTTGCCACAATCGCACTTGCAGTGAAGGTTCCTCGCATGGAGGATGCCAAGGGACAGCAATTGGCGGTGCTAGTTTGGGGAGCCGTTCTCTTTGGGACGTACAGCCTCCTTCTCAGTGTTTTCAAGACCAAGAACGGTGGCTACCCGTTCTACCTTCCCCCTTTCTAGGTTTCATGTGGCTATTGAGGCATCCATGGTCACAGGCTTTACTAAAAAACAAAACAAAAAAGTTCGCGATCGTTCAATACATTAGAGCCCTCGGCGCAAGGAAACAGAGGGTGGTGAGTCGAACAAGCTGGTTTAGCCATCTCTTGTTCCGTGCGTGTCGCTGGCGACAGCTTTCGGCCAATTGTATACTTGTAGATCAAATCAAACATGCGTTGCCTAAAAATTCTGCATCTCGAGTGCACACAAGTATTATTTTCCACGGAAAGGCCCCAGTGGTTCTAGGCAATTTCTACTGTACTGTATTGCACCGAGACAGGAGTAGGCGGTCAGTGCGTGGCACTAGTACGTATCTACATACATTCCTCGCTGGCCACTTTGATCTCTCATCCCGCATGTCCTGCAGACCAGGCGGAATTTGGGTGGGTCTTTCCCATCTCTTCCAGAACTTCTATCCGTGCGACTTTTTCCTGTGAATATAAAATGCCGCCCAATGGAGCCCAAGCCGGCGATGTCGTGGCATCGTCTGCCTCGGGCACGACATTTTTGATTCTGATTCAATTGGCTTCCAGAGTCTTCACTTTTGCTTCAAATCAACTCATCTTGCATTCCCTTTCGCCAATTGTGCTAGGTATTGCTGCCCAGCTCGAACTCTACCAGGTGTCGATCCTGTATTTCTCCAGAGAGAGTATTCGTCTAGCGATTCAGAGACAGCCTTTGGCACAGGCATCCACATCGAAACGGCAGGGGTTCAAGCAGCTCGAGTCTGCCTCACGAGACGGACAATCAGAGGCATCTCAGTCTGTTGTGAACGTGTCCTATTTGAGTCTGCTTCTGGGAATTCCGTCTGCAATCGTCTTCACTTTGCTCTATGAGCGCCTGGCACCGAAGCAAGCACACGGAATTCCCTTCTTTAGAGAAAGTGTAATTGTGACGGGAATGGCTTCATTCATGGAGCTCAGTATTGAGCCATGTTTTGCAGTCATTCAGCAGAACATGTGGTATGACAAACGCGCAGCCGTGGAGATGCCTGCGGCCTTCCTCAAAAGCCTCACCACCTGTTGCGCTTTCATTTATGCATCAAGAACCGGCCAAAATGCCGGAGCTCTACCTTTTGCATTGGGCTACATGGCTTACTCGATTGCTCTCATATTTGGCTATTCCTTTTCTTTACTGTGGGCTGCGGATGAAAGGCGCTTCTCTTTTCTCCCCGTGCGTATACAATCCAGGTAAAGTGGAATCCCTTGAGTCTGTTCGGTCGGTTCTAGTGCTAACACTGGGCAGCAATGTATCCGATTATTTTCTGGGTAGATTTTCTCATCGGCTCACTTCAATCGCCGCAAGTGTTTCCCTGCAATCACTGGTGAAACATGTTCTGACGCAGGGTGATTCCATGATGCTTGCGGCCTTATCAAGCCTGGAAGATCAGGGTATTTACTCACTAGCATCCAACTACGGGGGTCTCATTGCCCGCATCGTTTTTCAACCGCTGGAGGAAAGTAGCCGAAACCTGTTTTCCACCCTACTCAGCCCCGACAAGAGTGGAAAGCGAGATAAGCAACATGTTCGCCTTGCCAAAGACCATGTGGTTGACCTCCTGCGTGCTTATCAGCTGTTGGCTGTTCTGATCTTTCCACTCGGCCCTGTCATGGTGCCTCGGGGTCTACAGATCCTAGGGGGTCGTCAATGGGCCTCCTCCAATGTCGGTGATCTGCTATCGTTATATTGCTACTACATCCCGTTTCTTGCCTTTAACGGAATTACTGAAGCTTTCGTGTCATCTGCAGCCAGCCCACGGGAGATCCGGAAGCAGACGGCTTGGATGGGCGTTTTTTCCGTATGTTACGCCCTAGCAGCCTTTTTATTCCTGGAAATTGGGTCCATGGGTGCATATGGCCTTGTACTAGCCAACATCGTGAACATGATTGTCCGTACTCTGTGGAGCTACAATTTCATCCAGTCGTATCTACGTCGACACGGCGACGATCTTATTATTGGCGACGTGAGCATCCAACCAGCCAGTTACATTACGGGGGCTATCGCTACAGCGACACTGGCCTCCCCCGCACTGTCGATATCGAGTTTGGGTATCATCTCTGCGATTTCATTGAGTGGCGCCTATTGTCTTCTGATGTAAGTCAACAATTGAATACGGACCAAACGAGCCCCCCAAACCGGTATCTAATAGACTAACAAATTTAAAAAAGATTCTATGTGGAACGACAATACATAACGGGACATTTTATGAGACTGCGCGAGCTTGTATCGTCTCGTGGCAAAGGCCCTAAAACTGAATAGCTTCAATATCAGAACTCAATCGTCGAATGTAATCTTCGTCGCCTTTTTGTCCGTGTCGACGTCCTTAAAGAACGCGCCATAGGCGTCGTGCTGCTTCTTCTTGACGGTAGTGCCAAACTTCAACAAATCTTCTGGCACATTTTGCTTTGCAGCTTTGAGAACGTTAATCAATCTATCACAGGTCAGCACATCTTGAATGTCTTAAGTGCAAGGTATTATTATCGATGAGCCACTTACCCGCCGGACAGTGCCTTGTCTTGTTCCGTAAAAAAGGTGATGGCATGGCCCGTGGCCCCAGCTCGGCCAGTTCGTCCAATGCGGTGCACGTAGTCCTCCACAGTGAGGGGGAAGGTGACGTTGATCACCAACATCACAGCTGGAATGTCAAGGCCACGGGCTGCTACATCGGTAGCAACCAAAATTGTCGCCGTACCGCTCTTGAAAGCTTCGAGGTTGCGGAATCGATCCGCTTGGTTCAGGTCACCGTGGATGCCAGCAACCTTGAAACCCTTCATCTTGATGAGCCTTTCCACACGAATCGCCTCTTTCTTATATAGACAAAACACCAAAACCTTCTCGGGGTTGTTGGAACCTCTTTGAGACCGATTCAGGAGCTGGATGAGTCTCCCCTCCTTCTCCCGTCCGTCCATGACTTCAACCTCTTGCTTAATTCTCGTATTCGCACGAGGGTCTGCAGAAGGGTCTCCACCAATGGTAACGGTCACTGGGGAATTCATGAAACCCGCAGCCAGATCCCGGACAGAGCGAGGCCAAGTGGCGGTGAACATGACAGTCTGTCTCCTGGAGACTGGCATAGGTCGGATGATTTCTTTGATATCTTGCTCGAACCCCTTGTCCAACATACGATCAGCCTCATCCAGAACGAGGTACTTCACCTTCGAAAGGTTGACAGATTCATCGCTCATGAGATCCTTCAGGCGACCAGGAGTGGCGACCACGATGACGGCCTTCTTGAGCGCTTCACGCTGTTCGTCCTTCCTCACACCACCATAGACACAAGTCACGCCGGCCTTCACCACGTCGGCAAACTTGACGAGCTGGTCATAAATTTGCATAGCAAGTTCACGGGTTGGTGAAATGATGACGGTAGACGGGTGGGAAGGCTTCTTGTTCCGCTTGGATTCCATCAGCTTCTTGAGGCACGGCAAACCAAAGGCCAAGGTTTTGCCGCTGCCGGTCTCTGCAATGCCAATTACATCACGGCCTGCAAACAAGAGAGGCCAGGTAGCTGCTTGGATCGGCGTGGGTGCAGGGAACGACTTCAACGGGGCGTACAAATTGTCGTCGCCGGGGGGCAGATAGTCGAAGGAAATGAGCGGGCGGAACTTCACACCCTCGGGCGAAGGATCGGTGACCTTAATGACATTCTTGTCCAGGAACTGGTCAATCTGGGATTGAGGGAGGCCACTGAGGGCAATACTCTGGGAGTAAGCTGCCTGATCCTCAGAATTGCCATTCTCCTTGTCTGAGGTCTTCTCTTTGGTGGATCCAGAGTGCTTGTCGGATTTCGACTTTTTCTTCTCCCGCAGCTCAGTTGGCTCGGCGTTGTGGCTTCTCTTACCCATGACAGGGATACTGAAGTACAGTCAACCAGGAAAAATGAAGTGCTGAGCAACAATGGCAAGGTGGCTGCAATTGAAGAAATCGTCTGGGGAGAGCGCCGATCACGAAAAAAAAAAAAGGGAAAATAAAATGTATTGCCAGTATTCACCGCGTATGCCGCCTGGAGTGGACCCACATTACTTGGACATATGCGTCCCGATCCATGTTCCTTTCAATACACAACTTTCGCTGATCTAGTGAGACATCTGAACAAGAGAGAATATGGCACTAGGTGAAGTGGTCAGTTACCAATTTCAAGGAAAATACATGAGTGTTTAAAAGACGAGAAACGATCTATATAGCCAGAAGGCGGTCACCGACCTATCAGATGATACCTTGAGAGGTAGCTATGGTATTTAGACAAGCTCTGCGAAGACTCTCAAGTGTCACGTTCAACATTTCCATGATAGTTTATAACTAGAACAATAATAAAAATGAAAATTATTGCAATCAGACAATAGTCATAGCCATTCGAAATACAGAGAACAGGTCAAGAGAACCCGAGGTTGCAGTTAGAAAGAGTCAGACTTCAGCCCTGCTGATGATCTATTCCAGAGAGTAGGAGCTGATAATATCGGCAAGGCGCGATGCTTCTTCGGAGTAATTAACAGCTTTGGAAGACGATACTTGGTATCGAACTCTATATGACAGTCAGCTTCAGCCGAGGGGTTTAGAGTAACAATGGACTTGGAATAGCATACCGTTGCTGGTCACCAAAGGTATCGATTTTCGCACGGCATCGGAAGCTCCAGGTCCGGCAGTTGGCCTCCTGGAATACTTCACCAAAGGCAGTTGGGTCGTCTTCTCGGAGTTGCATGAGATTGTCAGCAGAAGTTCCCATGATCAATCGTCCAGTATCGTCAAAGCAACTGAGCCAGAGTTGGCCGGTATGATCGCTCACGCTGATCGGCATGATGTAGCGGTATTCCGGCTTAGGATGAGTCTTGTCACACATTTCGCATCTCCATTGGCCGGGGTCCAGCTCGGTCACCTTCTTGTTGCAACCTTCGGAGAGACAAGCAGGGTAGCACCAGGTAGAATCCTGTCTGATGTAGACAACGGTTGCTTTCAGCGAGAAGTAGTCGACCTGTTCAGACATGCCTAGCTGTTCCTCACGAACTTGTGCAACGGTCTTAAATTGATCCGGCTTCATGTTGGAATTGGTTGCGTTCGATACAGATGCATGAGATGTGAAAACCTCTGTTCTCCCCTGTGCATCATACCAGCCCTTGAGTCGATGGGCTTCTCCAATGTCGGGGTCAACAGTCATTGAGCCGGAGCTCAGCAAGCTCAGACTTCGCCCGCCGAAGTCGGAAACCTTGACACCTTTGAAAGCAACCACAGACTCCGGAGCCACATTGAAGTTGACGGCGGAGGCCCCCCAAATAGTCAAGCGGACTGAGAACCCAGAATTATCAACCAAGCCGAGCTCGCGCTTGTCGTAAGGCTTGCCGGTTCCTTTGGATACGATCTGGGATGTTTCAGCCACTTCTTTGAGAATGCCAATCACATCAGTGGTTGTGTCTTTCTCCACCGATTGCAAGTCCCCGATGGTAGTGAAGTTGAAGCGAATTTGAGGGACATCATGCTGATCTTCCGCCTAGATTCTTGTGAGTCTATGATCGTAACAGGCTTTTGAAGACTGCTCTTACCTTCTCAACCAGAGTGTCCCGTTCAAATGTAAGTTCATAATCATTGTTCAGGTTGGTGAACTGCTTTTTCGCAATCTGCACACGACAGGGGCTGGAGATATAATAGACACTGCCTTCCTGGAAAAGATCATAAAGCATGTCACACTGATCATTGAAGCCAGTAGCACGAATTTCACCACTGTCATCAAGCAGATTGACACTGAATAGTTTTCCTTCTCCATTCTTGTTGTGCCAGGTTTTGATGTTCGACTTGCTTGTGCAGCGGGCCTTGATGGTCCATTTGTTTGAGTAAGGGGAGATGGCTTCGATGGGATAAATGGTGGCATGGGCGGAAGCGGAAGGCCCTCGCATCGGCTGAGCTCGATTAGGTTGCTGTGCCGGTGCTCCCGGGGGCTTGGATCCATAGAAACCATTGCTGGAGATCGTAGTGGGTTGGGCCTTCTCTTCCTCCTCGGCTTTGATTTCCAGAGGTTTGGGTTCTCCAATTTTTTCTGCCTCACCAAGCTCCCTCAGAACCTCCAGATCCAGAATAATCAAGATTCTATACCAAATTAGTACATGAAGAGGCCGGCTAATTGTGTCTTATTTTGGTTCACCCACTTCTTACCCTTCACAGCATTCGCTTGGAATGACTTGAGACGAACAAAACAACCCTTTCGCAGTGAGCCATCAGTCACCACATGGTTGGCTTCTGCTGGACATGTTAGCGATGTAAAGATGTTCTATGGGGCTAGCCCAACATACGGGTGGCAAGCATAGTCTGGACGTAGTTTGCAATATCACTGAAGACGGCGCGGTAGCGTTCCGGGTGGCCAGGCTGCGGTGGCAGCGGCTTGACCTGAACACACTGAACAATCGGCTCACGGACTTGATCCTTGGTCTCGTCGAATATGGCACTGGAGTTAGTGTCAAATGTCAGCCGTTGCTCAGCCGAAGCACAAATGACTGTTGTGGTCCCGGGGCCAGGAGACATCCGACCTACCTGAGAGCACCAACGGTGACCTGAGACGCTGCATCCGAAGCCATTTTGGCTGGTGGTGGTGGTGGTGGTGGTAATAACAAACGGTAATAACCCTCGAGAAGGGAGGGGGTGGGAAGATGCAGAGCGTCGAGAGACCTGCGACGCGTGAGCCAGAGAAATAACGCGTAAAGTGGTGGAGTCACGTGCAAATTGCACCTCAGGCAACAAGATGCGACATACCCCACGTCATTATGTAATCTCTAGCCCCACGCAGGCAGCTCCTTCCTTGTCCCGCCTTTTTTCTTGCTGTATTCAACTCACCTACTCGCTGTTCTTTCTGCTCGGTCCGCAGTGATAAGCTACTTGATCTCGTCAAACGACCAACAATATGGCCTCCTGTGTCCATTCGGGTGCTTCAGGTTGGTGAGAGCGTTATAAACCTTTATATGAATTGACTTGTTGACGATACCGATTAGAGCTTAGCCCACCGGGGCCCTCTCAGGCTGTTTATCGAGAGGATTGCACTCAGTGCTTTGACTCCATTGTTTGTTCTCTTGAGCTCCATCTTCGGGATCTGGCTAATCACGGTAAATTTTCCAGGATAATGATTCGGGTCTAAACGTGTGCCTCCATTGTTTTAATGGTGGCTGTACTGGGGATAGAGACCATGGTTTGCTTCACTACAAGCGCTTTGGGCATTCACTGGCTCTCAATATTCGAAGAATTCCGAAAAAAGTTCAGGTGAGACTGGACCCCACGCGGCATCAACGGCATCACTAACGGCATCGTAGCGTGATGAGCCCCCACCGAAGATTTCAAAGCTTACGATCACTGCTGAAACAGATGAGGATCGATACGACATTGTGACGTCGGTGACATGTTACTCGTGTGCTCAGCAAGGTGTGGACAAAATGAGCGGTAACTTACCCTTAGTGATTGAGGGCATCATGAATGCAATGACATTTTCCAAAAGAGAAGAGGTCAAAGCATGGGAGCAAGAATTCGTTCCCTGCGAGCACACTTTGTGCCTGGTCCAGCAAGAGATTGAGGATGCAGATAGCAAAGGTACCGACTTCTTAAAGGTGATATTCTGGTAAGGTACTGATGAGAAGCCACAGACTCCAGCCAATGCTCGGCTTGCGAATTGAAAGAGAACCTGTGGATTTGTCTGGAATGTGGAAATATTGGCTGCGGAAGAAGCCAATTCGGTGGCAGTCCGGGAAATTCACATGCTCTTGCTCATGCGGACTCAGCATCCCACGGCGTTGCTGTTAAACTGGGTTCCATCACAGCTGAGGGCTCGGCGGACGTATATTGCTACAGGTGCAATGAAGAACGAACTGACCCAGAACTTGCCGATCATCTTGCACACTGGGGAATCTATTTGGCCGGGCGTGAAAAGACAGAGAAAAGCTTGATGGAGATGCAGGTAGAACACAACATGCAGTGGGAGTTCTCCATGACAACTGAGGATGGCCGTGAGCTATTACCAGTCTTTGGTCCCGGTTTCACCGGGCTGGCCAATCTTGGAAACAGCTGTTATCTGTCCAGTACCATGCAATGCATCTTCTCGACACCTGGTTTTGCAGAGCGCTACTTCCATCCTACTGAGGAACCACCGCTGTGTCAGACCCCCGCTCAGGACCTGGAAACTCAATTGAGAAAGCTTGCGGATGGCATCCTGTCCGGTCGGTACTCTCAGCCAGCTTCACGTGTTGTTGCTGTCCCGGATACCCCAGATGTTCCCCATCACAAGGGTCTGCCACCGACAATGTTCAAGTACCTCATCGGACAGGGTCACGAAGAATTTGCAACAATGAGACAGCAGGATGCATTCGAGTTTCTTCTTCATGTTTTTAAATCTGTTAGTCTCTCGAAACATCAGGGAACTATGTACAACCCTGTGCAAGATTTCCGATTCGAGGTTGAACAGCGTCTTCAATGCTTGAGCTGCAGGAAGGTCCGCTACAAGGTAGACGAGCAGGACAATATCTCCGTTGCAGTCCCTGCACGCCGTGTGCCGAGCGAGACTGGACGTTTTGAATCGGTGACTTTGTCAGAGTGTTTGGACATATTTACGGCACAGGAGATTGTTGAGCTCAGTTGCCCTGCCTGTGATAGCCATGATGGGTTTTCCAAGCGTTCTTCCTTCAAGACCTTACCGCGTGAACTGGCTATAAATGCCCGTCGCTTTGAGCTGGTAAATTGGGTTCCTACCAAGCTTGATATTCCAGTGCTCGTCGACGATAAGCCAATCGACTTTGGAGCCTATCTGGCTACGGAGCGTGATCCAAATGAGGAACTTCTGCCAGAGGTCAGCGACAACATTATTTTCGTGCCTAATCCTGGTGTCCTTGATCAGTTGTTGGGTATGGGGTTCCCGCCTGCAAGGTGCGAGAAGGCTCTGCACGCAACCGGAAACTCTGACCCTGAGGCTGCCATGAACTGGTTGTTTGCTCATATGGAAGATCCGGACATTGATGACCCACTAGTCTTGGATCAAAGCACAAGTGGATCTAAGGATGCTGAGCAGGATGAAGGAAAGATAATGCAGCTTGGGGAGATGGGTATCGAGGCCGCTCGAGCCCGGCAGGCTTTAGCTGCGACTGACGGCGATGTGAACCGTGCTCTGGACTGGGTCTTTAGCCACCCTGAGGATGAAGTGGAGGATATTCAGACGGACAGTGATGTCCACCGCGTACCATCTGGATATGACAGCAAACCGGCCTTTTATCAGATACGATCTATCGTTTGTCACAAGGGTACCTCTGTTCATGCAGGGTAAGTTGATTCCATGGGTTGATTCCCTTCCTATTCGCAACTAACCTCTCCAAGGCATTATGTGGCTTTTGTCCGCAAGGCACTGCCGGGTCAAGACGGCCTTTCATGGGTCATGTTCAATGACGAAAAGGTCGTGAGGTATGACGATATCGAGGAAATGAAGAAGACTGCTTACGTGTACTTCCTCACAAGGGTATAGACACACTGGATCTATGGCGGAGTGGGCGGACTTTACCTTTCGTCCTCGTATTATCACAAAACAACTACTCCCATCCTAATGTTTTAGTCCATCACCGTACACTACCCTAGTAGATAACAGCCTGACCAAGGAGCTAATCTTAAGTTGGCTTGAACACTTATTTTCTTCTTCTCGACCTGTTCTCGGACCACCTCTTTTTGCCTCTTTTCAAAGGTTGACGACGATGCAGATCGGCGGCTGTACGGCAGATGTTTCGTTACAGTTCCCACTCATGCAGGTCTGATGGGTTCCTTCCTATTCCTACATGTCCGTTGCCCGAAATATCTAGGTCTTCCAGGTCCAGCTCGGCTCGCCGACTCCATGGGGCTGAAGGCCAGAACTCCGAGAGTGTTATCATTCAATCACTCATTCAGGAGCTATAAATTCCCCGCGGTTGTCATTTCAATGAGTAGAATAACTATCATTACAATTGATAGCTATTAATATAGATACAGGGAGCATCTGGATATGTTCGGCTCCTGGTTTTGCTTCTTGAATGATGCCGAGTTACTTGACGAGCTTCTATAGATGAATCATAGGTCGAAGTTAAATTGTTATCGATGACACACAGTAAGTATCATTTAAAATATATGAACTACGTGCTTTTCCCGGTGGTCCTCTATGGCCAGAATCAACGCATTGATTAAGAAGGTGACGGGGCATTAATCGGACTTCATCTGCAGGTATGCAGTGATGATGATGATGATGATGATGATTGTACGATTGTATGATTGATCTAATGGAGCCTACCAAGATGCGTCAAGGCTAGGCAAGTGCTTTACTAGTGAAGCAGACCCTCTTTCCGTTATGCGGGTTAAAATAGAAAATGTCCCATAATCGAGCGAAAGGTGGCCTATGGTCTGCTTGACTAGACTGCGCAAAGCCCACCGGGCCCACGGCCCAACCCAACCCAACCCGCAAATAGGTTGGGCCGTGGGCCCGGTGGGCTTTAGTATTAGGCCTATGAGCCCATTATAGGGCTCATTACACAAAGCAGACTCGTGACTGCATAAAGTATGCATTTTTTGTTACGGTATGACCTACAATATGAAGGTATCCAATATCCGTATTAGGATATAAGGAGAAACCCCCCGATAGCCTGCAGATAACCTATATGGAAGCGAGTGCTACGTGATCCTATAAATATATAAAAGGGAGATAGATATATCTAGTCAATCTTGCTTTAGCAAGGATTAGTTTAATTCTATTCTATTATATGATTAGTATTATCGTGCTTTATTATCTTATCCCTTACCTAGTCTAACATATCCTTAATAGTTCTAATCCTTTTCCTTAATTATCTAAGGAAAAGATATTGAATAAAGATAGTGAATACCCGCCAAAACGCCTCTATATAGGAGCTAAGTAGCCCCTTAGGCCTCGCTTCCTCGTTTTACCTAGCGAACTCTACCTTATAAAGTATCACCCCTAGCTCTTATATCTATTAATTATATTTAGGCTGAAGAATAAGAAATATAATACCATATTAAACGCCTCAAAAACCTATAGGTATAGCGTAACAACCTTAATACACTAATCGCTAAGCTTAGTTAGAATCCTATTAATCTAATCCTAAATTAATACCTTTTTACCTATAACTCAGACGCTAAATAGGATATTATAATTAATAATATACTTACCATTAAAATAGGATTCTTAACCTAGAAGCGTTAAGAGTGGCTTATTAATCTTAATATTATATTTAAAGTTACTCTAAGGTAGTATAATATAAATATATATAAGAAATATAAATCTTAGTGCTTTATAATTTATCTTATAAAGTAAAATAGGCTAAGTTTATTAATTAATAAACCTTAGAATAAAAATAAAAATATACTAAATTATAGGCTACTTTTAAAAATAGACTTTAACCTTAATCTAAAACTTTACTAGCCTCTAGGCTAATATTTATAACTAAATAAAAAAAGTATTCTAACTCCCCTACCAAGACCCTTAGGAATTCTACTTCAATTTATATAGTAAAGAATAATATCTTAATTATAAATTAAAATAAAGTTATATCTTTAACTTTTTTATGAAATTATAAATCTAAGAGCTCTTACCTAGCGACTTCTAATATCCTATAACTAACTTATTGTTGAAATTTGGACTAATGCTACATCAGGTGAAGGTATCCTCTTATTCAACATAAGAAGAAGAAGAAGAGGAAGAAGAAAAGAAATGCGAACATGATTTACCCCTCCAAACCGCTTACCCCTCTTTACCCCACCAGATCGATGACATATCCCTCATCACGCCATCAGTTCTATCACATTTCCTTCCCTGATTCTATTCTGTTTATCTGATATAAAGCATGTGACTTTGACCACTTTCTGTCTATAAATACGCGCGAGACACTAAGTAGAAATGACAGACCTTTCACTCTCTTCAAATATTCTACTATCCCTTTCTATCTGCTTAGAAAGACCTTCTTCTTAGTCCTTTGTTTGAGGATTGTGGATTGTGCTCATTTAGAGTGCATAAGCCCTTTGCACTCTATCTTATTCTTTTTCTATCTTTATCCGATCAAGCCTTCCTTGGTCGGGTAGTCAACGGTCCGTGGTGGGGAAGCATCTACAAAAGCGTACCCCGCGCCACGAAAAGCTTCGTGGTATCCGCCTCCCTACACGGCCGACACTTATTATAATAATCCACCCTATATTAGAGATAATCTTTGTTAAATAAAAATCTAATAAATTATCTATAAAATATTACTAAAAATAATAAAACCTTTTAATATTATATTTATAATAGCTTAGATTACCTTAAACTTAATTATGCTTATTAAGCCTAAATCTAAGCTAATATCCCTAAGTCAAGACTATATTACACTTTTATACCTTAATTATTATCTAAAATAAGTAGTCTTTGGCATAATTATAGATATATAAGGAAGAATATAGTCCTTTATGTATCGCTGTATTATAATCTAAGTATTAAATAAAACTTTATTATTCTTTAATTTCTTATATTTTAAGAGCTTTCTATTAATCTTTCGCTAAAGTATTACTAATAGTAATATTATATATTAATATTTAAATTAAAAATACCTTAATAATTTACCTAAAATTATTATAATTGAGTCTATATCTTTATAATAGTTAAAATACTAAAAGAAATCTAGAAACCTAATAATATTTATAAAATACCCTTAAAATATCTCTAACTACTTATTAAACTCTATAAATTTTAAGATATTTTCTTTTTAGAGTAATTTAAAATTCTCCTTTCTTGAAAATTAATTAATTATATTATTAAGCTTAGACCTAGTAAATTACCTCTATATAAACCTATTTATTCTTTATTATAGATAGAGCTTTAAGCCTTATAAGAATATTAATTCTCTCTAGCTATAAAGGTTTTAGTTAAGAATTAATACCCTTTATCCCTTATTTTAAAGATCTTAGACTACCTAATAGGTATTAAATACTTTAATAAAATTAATATTTACGACGCCTAGTACTAAATATAGATAAAAAAGGAGATAAATAGAAGATCAGGTTTTATACCTATTATAGTTATTTTAAATATATAATTATACTTTTTAGCCTAACTAATTTACTTATTACTTTCTAAAACTATATCTATATAGCCTTACGCGGACTATTAGATATTTATTATATTATCTACCTTAGTAAAATATATATTTTATAGACTTCGCGAATAGCTCTAATTTATTAAATGTTTAATATTTTTACTAAATTATAGGAGTTATACTACTTATATTTAATAAATTAGAGCTATTCGCGAAGTTTATAAAATACATATTTTACTAAGAACGCGTTAAATTCCTTGGATATATTATTTTATAGGATAGTATTTTAATAGATTCTTAGTAGGTTTTTATTATTAATTTATAGTTACTCTTATAGTAAGTTACTATAATATTTAAGTATTCATTAGCTTTTATAACTTTTATAGATATTTTATCTAGAATTTCGAAATAATATTACTATTTGAGTTTTATATATAAAAGACCTAATTAGTCTTAAAACCTAATTTAAGGCTAGGGATAATAGAACTATCTAGAGGGAATATCTATTTTAATACCTATATTATAGAAAAGATCTTAAGGGAACTATTATAAAATTAGCTAAGCTACCTAGAATAATTTAAATTATAAATATAATATTCTCTAGTATTATTTGAATATAATATAATCCTTAGAGAGTATATGTATTTTTAAATTCAAAATAAGTATTAATTTATCATTAGAAATCTAGCGAAATTAGGGCGAAAACTGAGAGATATAGTAATAAAGAATTATAATTTAGATTAGGTTAGAATAAAAGAATAGAGTATTAATATAGATAATTTAGTTATATTTCGAGGTTATTTATATATCCTTATAGCGAAGAATTGATTTATAATAAATATTATTAAAACTTTAATATAATAACTCCTTAGCTAGATATTTTTTAAAACCGAACTATAAAGCTATTAAGATAGAAATTTCACGTGGTAAATCTTACTAAAGATATTGACGAATATATATTATACTAAAGAGCGATATCTCTAAGGCGCTAACCTTATAATAAGCTTAAAAATCTACTAATTCTTTACTAAATTAATAATAGACTTTATTATAGGACTTCCTAGAATAATTTTTAAATTAAGAAGAGTTAATATAGTCTTGGATAGATTTATAAAATATTATCTTTTTTTCTCTATTTTAAAGATAATAAATATCATAGAACTCGTAGAATTATTCTATAATTCAGTTAAACTAAAATATAGGCCTCTAAAGGGTATTATTATATCGGATTAAGGACTAATATTTATTAGTAAATTCTAATTAAAACTCTCTTTTATCTCTTATAGTAAACTCTCATTATTAATAATATTTGAACCCTAAACTAATAGGTAAAAAGAATATATAAACTAAATCCTTAAGTATTACTTTTAATATTTTATTAATATAGCCTAAATTATATAGCTATTATTATTATATATTACTAAAT